GTGCTTTGTTTATTTAGAGAGCTCAACACATATTTCTTAAATTTAAAAGTTGCCACAGTGAATATCAAGATTAGTTGATGTCGGTTGGATAAAAGTTTTGACATCAGAGCTGGGAACTTTCTCTTTAGTAATCTTTTTTTTTTAATTAATTTGAATTAATTAATTAATTAATTTTTAAATCAATCTTTATTCCATATTCCGCAGTGTATTTGTTCCCTCAAGAGAAAACTGAAATGAAGAGATTATTCAGATTTAGCATTGATCCTCAAATTAAAAGTACTCAATCTTGATATCGAGAATAAACGATCGGTTTTGTGAGTATCCGACTCAAAAGTTCCCAGCTCAAGTTTCTTTCTGAAACCAAAGACTACGAATTTTTTCTCAAATATCCAAATTAAATTGAAAATACTTAATTGGCAATAAACTTTAAGATGTTAAAGTCAATAAGCGAAAGTGGTTTAGTTTGGCGAATAACTAAGAATTCAGAAATAAAAATCATTTAAAAAAACGTTGAACAGCAAAAGACTGTCAAAAAACCCCATTTTTTTTGTTTAACATTGGCGATTTAATTTATTAAAATTTGGAGTTCAGATCTGTACTACAAAAGTTAAAAAGAAACAGCATATTTAATATATTTAGTTCTGCCCTAATTTTCTTTGCTTCCGGCTCATTTTCTGCGTCTCCCTGTATTTTGTAATTATCATCATCCTAGTTTCAAGTAACACCTAGATTATCGAACTATCTTTGGAACAGTTGCACAATCTCCCAATTTTCTTATTTTCTTATTATAATTATCAATATCTATTCTCTCAGAACTTTTTCAATCTGGTTATTCTTTATATTAATTTCTACATCTCGATCATTTTTATTATTTTTATTTTTTATTTGTTTTGTCTGAACTTATTCTCTGGTCTTTGTGTTTCCCTGTATAAACTATATTGCAGGCTTACTCTTGATAGATTAGTTATACTGCTTTCAGGCTAAACAATTTATCTAGATAGGATGGATAGGATGTATAGGAGGGATAGGTAGGATAGGATGAATAGGATGGATAAGATATATGAGTAGAACGGACAGAATGGATAGGATATATGAATAGAACTAATAGGATGGATATATGAGTTGAACGGATAGGATATACAGGATAATGAGTTGAACGGATAGGATAGATAGGACATATAAGTTGAATGGATAAGATGGATAGGATATATGAGTTGAACGGATAGGATGGATAGGATATATGAGTTGAACGGATAAGATGGATAGGGTATATGAGTTGAACGGATAAGATGGATAGGATATATGAGTTGAACGGATAGGATAGATAGGACATATAAGTTGAACGGATAGGATGGAGAGGATATATGAGTTGAACGGATAGGATGAATAGGATAGATAGGACAAATAATTTGAATGGATAAGATGGATAGGATATATGAGTTGAACGGATAAGATGGATAGGGAATATGAGTTGAACGGATAAGATGGATAAGATATATGAGTTGAAGGGATAGGATAGATAGGACATATAAGTTGAACAGATAGGATGGAGAGGATATATGAGTTGAACGGATAGGATGAATAGGATAGATAGGACATATGATTTGAATGGATAAGATGGATAAGATATATGAGGTGAACGGATAAGATGGATAGGATATATGATTTGAACGGATAGGATGGATAGGATATATGATTTGAACGGATAAGATGGATAGGATATATGATTTGAACGGATAGGATGATAGGATGTATGATTTGAACGGATAAGATTGATAGGATAATGAGTTGAACGGATAAGATGGAGGAAAAATAACGTCTTGCATATCTAGAAATTGAAGTATTTTATATATCTAGAAATTGAAGTAGTACATATATCTAGAAATTTAAGTAGTTTATATATCTAGAAATTTAAGTAGTTTATATATCTAGAAATTTAAGTAGTTTATATATCTAGAAATTTAAGTAGTTTATATATCCAGAATTTAAGTAGTTTATATATCTAGAAATTTAAGTAGTTTATATATCCAGAATTTAAGTAGTTTATATATCTAAAAATTTAAGTAGTTTAAATATTTAGAAATTTAAGTAGTTTATATATCTAGAAATTTAAGTAGTTTATATATTTAGAAATTTAAGTAGTTTATTTATCTAGNCTTGAAAAAAGTAGTTTATATAATTAGAAGTGCTAAGTTTATAGATGCTTATATGTTCAAATATATTCTTGGGTAAATTGCATTTGCATTCTACAAGCTAGAAGCCCGGGGAGTGCTTTAACTGCTTGCAGAATTCTAGAATAGAGAGAGAATTGGAAAATATGGAAATTGGCTCAGTGCAATATTTACAACATTAGATATACATACAGTGATAACCAGAAAACAATGGAAAAAAGACAACATTATAGCAATAATTACGCGTTTTGATGTTGTTACAAAGCAAATATATTTACTAGTAACTCAGCAAAGCACAACTTAAAGTGAAAAGGGTCTATTTACTCTGTACAATTGTGTTACGCTGGCACACGCAGCGTAGAAGGAGTCTATGAAATATACTTGTTTTGCGGGGAGGAACTATTCTCCCCTGTACTGTATAGGTGTTCTGAGCTGGGAACTTTAGAATGGATAAACTTTAATCCTGACTTCTTGATCCGAATATCCACTGTGGAAACTTTTAATTTTTGTCCTAATCCACTCTTTTTCTCTCTCCTTGGATATCCGTTAATTGTTTTCTCCAATGAGAATATTTCTGTTCTCTCATTGGTTGCCCGCTTTTCTCTGATTGGCTGTTACAGTTTCTCAGATGATTAAATATTAATTTGAATTTTATCGTTTTTCATACACTTTTAAAATAATCTTGCAAGATTATGTTAATCTTGAGATTATCAAAAAGAGAGGATTAAGCATTAATCCCGATATCCACCATTCTATAGTTTTCAGCTCTGTACAGTTGTTTTCTAGTAAGAGTTGGAAACAAAGAACCTGTTCTCACCGTAAATATTTTTATACTGCGCAGACGCAGCGGACTCGTGTTTTTTTTACAGTTTGTAGTTTATACGTCGGATTTTTAAAGTTAGTTATATTAAAGAATGTGTTCGTGATTATTATCGTGCTGAAATCAGCGGAAGCTACTGTGCTAATTATGATTGTAAAATATTAAAGTATCTTTTTGTGTTTTTTTTTTGTCTTATATCTTATGATTATTGGCTTGATCGCAGTTTTTTAATGCCTGATGGGTATAATGCCTTTGTTTGATAAGAAATGGTTTATATTATGCTCTTCAATGATTTTTCGGTGATCCTAAAAGAGTTTTATTTACTAGACTGAAGCTCTGTTCCATATTAAAACTTAAAGCCTTTTCCTGTGTTTTGATTCGTCATGAGAAGGAATGGGAGTAGTCAGTAGAGGAGCTTACGGTTCGGCCCGAAGAAACTTGGCACGGTACTTGACTTTTGTATAACCCAGGGCAACGCCAGTTGCGAAAAAAATTGCTATGTCTAATGTTTATATTGAACTAGTTTAAGTACTTGAGTTTAAAAGTCGTCTTCCTATTTCATGTTTCTGGTTATGTCTGTTTTTAACATAATGTGATATTACAGTAGATCGAGAATTAGTTTGGAACATATTGCACAGATATAACCAGCATGAGCATTGATATTGTGAGAAAAAGAAAACTGTTAAGCTGTCATTAAAGCAATCTTTAAACTGTATTTGATGCTGTTACAAAGCAAATGATTTTACTTATAGCATAAAAATCAATTTTAAAGTGAAATTGTCCGTACACACTGCACATCTGCTGTGTCACGATAAAAATTGAACTATGTAAAGTTATAACTTGAGTCGTTTTCCTAGTACAGAGTTAGCTGGTTTTCATTGTAATATAATTTTACATCCATATATTTAGAATAAGAATTGCAAACATAAAATTATTTTTTGTTTATCAATAATATATCTAAAACATGAATTTCAAAAATAAAATTATTCTGACATCACATTTACGTCAGACCCCAGAGAAACATTAAATAATGCTAGATGATTAAATATTTCAAACGCCAAAGAAAAATTGTAGGATTTTCATAATTCTCCAGAACCCAGGACAATGATAAAAAATGCTAGATGTTCATAAATATCCATACCCATGGTACGAACAAAAATTGTTATATCATTAAATTTCCAAAGCCTAAGAAAATAGCAAATTGCTGGATGAGTAAATTTCTCCAAAGCAAAAGAAAATGACAAAAATGCTTGATGCTCATAAACCTCCAGAACCCAGAAAAATTACAACAGAAAAGTTGCTTTTCGTTTAATTTCATCTTTTAAACCTTCATGTTATATTCAAGGGTGTACTGTATAGTTCGGAGTAAAAAGCTTAGAGTACACATAAAAGGGAGCCACTAAGAGATATGTATTTAATTTGTTTTTCATATTAATAATACTCAGAGATAGACCTTCTTTCTAAATAACTGTATGTATCTCTTCACAGTGAGTTTATACTTTATTTATCCATACTCGTAGATATGGAGGCATTAAAGCCAGGTGTAGCTGCTTTCAAGGCTTTGAACTTTGCTAGGTATTAAATCTTTATATCAAGTGTTGCAGTACAGAATATATCGAAACCAACACCGTTTTAAATATCATTATCATCTGATTTTAAGGCCAGATCTTTTAGAGATCTTTAATTTTTTCATCTCTAGTTTGTACCAAATTGATTAAAAATGGTTTACAGCAATCAGTTTAAACGAGTTATTTTACTTGAGACACAACAAAAAGTAGGCATTAAAACTTTTTTTATTTTTCGTTCGATGGAAATTCTATGAAAACCATGGGACAAGGGTGTAGTATTTATAAAACTCGAAAGTTGTTTTGACTGTATTCAGAAATACAGCTGATTAACATTTTTCTATTTTATACTGAACATCAGTGAACCAACACCGGGCCTTTGCAACCTTGAAATACTAAAGATATTATTGTAAATCAGATGATAAAATATATTAAAATTCCTACCTCTGTTGTGAATACTGGTTGTTCCAAATTTCTCCTTCAAATCACCTCGCTGGACGTATTTATCAGTTTGGTTTTGGTGAGAGGACTCATGATAAACCTGCCACAGCTCCAAGTCCTACCCTGAGCTGAGTCTCAAGGTTTGATGAGAACGTGTTCAGTTGTATCGTAGAGAACAACTGGAGGAGGATCGGAGAGCAGAGGAGGGAGGTTGCAACTTTTCCAACCAGTCCGACTCTCTGGGAGGATGCTTCAACCTGGAGCATATACTACACAAGGAGGTTGCAAAATTATATACAGGAGACACTGTACTGATCGCCACAAGACAAAGAAAGATATGAGTAGCAAGATTGATTAATTATTAGACAAATTATTCCGACCTATATAGTATTTATGATGATGAAAGACCGCCCAATTTGAGCTTTACCTACAAATGCTCTATCTATTAAATGTTGTAAGATTCATAGAAATACATTTATTGATATCAATGTCTTGACAATAATGTTGCCATTTATTTCTGGAATCCAAAAATGAGAATCAAGCAACAAACAGGGTTTTTTTTATATATGGAGAGTTTCACTCACAAGTTCAGGTAGTGTTGAATTGGATTTTGTAAAAAGCTCTCCTAAAAAAAAACGACGATCTTTAAATTTTCCTGAACTTTGGCACTTACATAAATTATATATGATTATCTATTTTAAAATCTCTTTAAAATACATTTTTGTAGATCTCAAGTATGGGATCGTGTCAGGGACAATAGAAAAATATGACAAATTGCTTGTTTTTTTGCTCTCTGAACACTTCTCATATGAGAATAAAAGATAAAAGTACGGGGTGCTGCAATAATAATATTGTGTGTGTGGAGGGTTGTGAAGTTTGGAGGTTAGGAGGGAGAGAGGGGGGGGGGGGGGGAAGGGCGATAGGGGAGAGAAGGGGGGGGGGGGAGTATGGGAGGAAGAAAAGTTTGTCCTATAGAAGAACAAATTATACGCTGATTAGACATTACATGGTCTATCTAGACAAAAACAAGTTCTCTAGACTGTTCTATGTCAGCAATTTACGATCCTAATTGCTTTTATAAACAAAGACTATATTTTTTATTGGTTTTCTAGAACGAAGACTGCCAGAAAATTTAGTCTGACTTGCGAAATATCATTTTAAATTTTTCATGTTTCATATGATGACCAAGGTTATATGCAAAAAAGATTGTACGATCTAAAAAGAGATTTTCAAATTTTGAATTTATATTGATTTTGTATCATCTGAAAATAATAAAAATATTTGAATTTTCAGCCAACATTGGTTTTATTCAATCTGAATCTCCGGCAGTTTAAAAAACAAAAGAAAGGGTTGGACATTTTATAGATGGAGATTTTTGTTATTTATTGCTTCAAAATCACACTTGCAAAGTTTTGGTAATCGATTGTCTCAACACCTGCTGTGCAAAAAATACCACAGAAACTTGGAAAAAAAACTGTCAAACGTTAGATTTTCTCCACATTAAATCAACCTTTTATAAGATTCAAAGATAATTAGTTCCCTTTTTATTTAGCCTATCTAAACACAAGTAATAAATATAAAAGTAAAATGGCATCAAAATTCTAAATTTATTTCAGTATTTAAGATGATAAATTACACCGAGTCGATGACAAGATAATTCTCCGACTCCGATTCTTCGTTTTCTTTTAGGTCAGAAATGTCGTCTTTCATTTCAATTTCACAACTTTCAGCGGCATTATTCTCCATATTGGAATCCTAAACATAGTTTACATTAATTAATTTCCATGTGGTATTTTTGAAGCTTTTGATAATACGTAATAATTTTTGAATATTTATCATTGGTCCTGCTCGGTATTTAGTTCAATATATAGTTCTACTCCTACCTCATTTTTGATCATATCCTGCACTACAGTTCAATATATAGTTCTACTCCTACCTCATTCTTGAGCATATCCTGCACTACAGTTCAATAGTTTTACTCCTACCTCATACTTGATTATATTCTGCTCTACAGTTCAATATATATAGTTCTACTCCTACCTCATTCTTGATCATATCCTGCACTACAGTTCAATATAGTTCTACTCCTACCTCATACTTGATTATATTCTGCTCTACAGTTCAATATATATAGTTCTACTCCTACCTCATCCTTGATCATATCCTGCTCTTCAACTCCTCTCTCCAGATCTCCCTTCTCATGCAGCCTGACGTGAACCTTGTACAATTTCTTAGGGATGTACTTAGAGCAGTCGATACAGAACTTGTACTCAACCTGGTATAACATATTAGATCAAATCAAAGAGCAAGAAAATGTCGGTGGTTTGTCTAAGAAAGGAGTCCAATTACAGGTTGATTTTTTAAAATGTTTTTTTTTGTCATTTATTAGCTTGAATTTAGTGCAACTCATAATTCTAATGACAAAAAAATGTATCATTTACTCTCAGAAAAATTAGAACCAATGGGAATTTAAACCCCGGAGGCATTTAAATTTAAACCCAAGGGCGTAGTCCAAAGGCTTATCAATTTAAGACAGAAGGCTTTACAATCTCATCCTTTGAGGTAACCCTGCATAAAAATAAACTAGCTTTGTATAATGGAATGAAGGACGATAGATGGTTTGAATAAAATAATATAAAATAAAATGTAAGGTTTGGTTCTGATCTAATAAATGGATCAGTAAATTTGAGTTTGTGGTAAATAACCAATTCCTTTTTATTAGTTCAAATTTTTATGAGAGTAAATGACATTCCTCTATAAAGAGCTGGTTTAAACATTGACCTGTATGAAACAATTTTAAGTTAGCAGTATTCAATGCAAAATGGTTGGATAAAAACAACCCAGCTTTTTATAAAGGCAGGTGAATTTTTAAGGACGCCTGTCGGTTTGAATAAACTGTAAGGTTTAACATTTTTCTTTTTCAAAATAAGCCCATCATAATGGAGGATGCACGAACAAAAAGAAAATGGAGATCAAGAATGTCAACATATTTGCAGCTGTCATCATCTAATTATTCATAGAATTTTGTTATAATTAAAATTTAAAGAATAAATAAGTTTAAAATTAAATGTATATTTTGTTTTGATCTAATCTGTTCCTTATGTTCTACTCTGCAGTGTTTAATTATACAATCTTCTCTCATCTCCACACTGCACTCAGGGCACATCCGGAGTATACATGGATCCGACACCTGCTGCCGAGGAGAACCAGACTAAAATACAATATTTTATATAAGAAGGTCTATACAGGAAGCCGAGGAGAACCAGACTAAAATACAATATTTTATATAAGAAGGTCTATACAGGAAGCCGAGGAGAACCAGACTAAAATACAATATTTTATATAAGAAGGTCTATACAGGAAGCCGAGGAGAACCAGACTAAAATACAATATTTTATATGAGAAGGTCTATACAGGAAGCTGAGGAGAACCAGACTGAAATACAATATTTTATATGAGAAGGTCTATGCAAAACTCTGGAAAAATAATACGACTGTATGAAGTAAGTAAGGATTTTATATGTCCATCAAACATGAAAAACAACAATATTGCCATTAAATATACAAACCTGCATTTCACAAGATTTGCTGTATAAAACCATAAAATATCAAAAAGATATATAAAACGTCGTCTTCATTTTCCACAGTTTTATGAGTATTACAATCATTTCATACACCCATCCCACATTTGCAATTTGTAATGTCCTGATAAAACTATCCTAATACTTCACAGCACCCTCTCCCCCCCGGTTCTTGGTTCCATGGAACTTGTTTCTTTATTTTCCATATCATTAAAAGACTCTATTCAAAGTCTCATCCTTTGTGGGACAAATTTGAAAGGAATTGAGCTAGAGTTTGTGGCAAATACTCAATTTTTAGCTTTAGTAATGTCGGAAAGAAAAATGTTTTCTTTCTGGATTTTTAGCTTTAATCTAACATTATAATACCTTTCTGGTGGACTCCCCGTGTATCTTCCTGAGATGGTTTTCCATGAACTCCGACATCACGTGATCTCCACACCGAATACATTCAGTATATCCTTCCTCATCATACTCTTCATCCCTTCCATTCACCTCCTCTTCATCCTCATCCTCCCTGGACCCGTTCATCTCATCCCCGATTGTGTTATCAGAGATCTAAAGCAAGTACTATGTAAGTTTGTTTTTGTCTCATTTTTTCAGAATTGTTGCATTCAAAGAATTAAAATAAAGATGTTGTATTTTTAACGGATATTCCTCTGAAGTTTTTAAGAAGACTATAAGCGTAATTTCGAGTGACACTCCTTGGCAAAGATGGCAAACCCCGATTTTGTTGAGAAAAAAATCTCAAGAACTGACGAGAGTCAACCCAGACCAAAATATATTTTCAATAAATGTGGAACTAACATCAACTTTTTTTACTCTACAGAGGTTTGGTCCATCATCATCACCGAATTTTAAAAATATAATTTCTACTTGTTCAGACAAAGCTTTTAAGGGTACATGTGAATTAGGCATTGCATTATTATCATTTATTGTCAATAAAATTTGGTTAACGTGTTCTGAACTGTATAAAATTCGAATAGATATAAAGTTCGGTTAAAGACAAAGAGAATAGAAATGTATTAGAGTGGAATTTACTAGAAAAAAGTGTAAAACGACCATTTTGTTGTACTGTTTCCATACTGCAGGTGTACTTCACATATTTGTGCTAAATAACCTTTTGGGCCCTGGAACATCATTTTATAGAAAATCTAAAATTAATATTAAAAGAAAACAAAATTATGAAATAGGCTGGTTTCATGATTGACCAATCACTGCGATTTAATGGTCTCACGCTCTCAAGCTTAAATTGTTGAGAATTTTGCCAATTACTTCTAAAAAAAACAAATCTAGCCACAGCCCACAAGTGCTTTACTGTGCTAAAATGTACATGTAAAGGGCTACAGAAAAGCATAAGTTAGTTAAAGCGGTAACATCTAAGCTTGGGGCGTTGCGACACTTCAAAGTCAACCCTGTCTTAAAAATTGATGAGACTGTTTATAAGCAGGCTGAATCTATGTGCAATGATCATTTCACATAGACTCTATGCCTTTCACCTTATAAACGATGATTTTATAAAAAAAATGATGTTTTTTATTCATCTAATTCATTTTATAAAGTTTATTTAACAGCTTTAAAAGATTCGAAATTGAAATGGATAGTCTAGGGAACATACTGTATTAATGTACTCTACTGCATATAATTTGTGAACATTTACATAATTTGTACACTTTGAACTCCCTTTCAGGGTGAAAGGGACTGACAAAATTCATATCGAGGGATTGGCTAAATTCCACTCTAATATATATTCTATTCTCTTTGGTTAAAGACAATGTGTCCTAAAAATAGAATTGTACAAAATGCGAATACAGGCTTTTAAAAAGTTCTGTATATACAATATACAGGTCTACAAAGAAAAATTTCAGATTAAGAAAGATATTTCGCTGTTTGCTTACATGATTTACATCATTATCAGTCCTCTGTAAAGAATCCTAATTTCAAACTTAAAATCTTAAACCAAGATGAAGTTTCGCATGAAATTTATCAAGATCTAAAATGTAAAAATGAACAAATATATAAAATGAGATTAATAAAGGGGACAACTTACTCTGTCTGAATCATCCATATGGTGTCCCAGCATGTCCCCTTCATTGTCTCCTCCGGAGTCCGTGTTGTCCCTTAGATCTTCCCCTAACCCTGGGTGCGCGTTCCGGAGATGTCGCTGAAACATCAGAGAAAACATGGATATTATTGTGTTCATGGATATTTATGTGTTCATGGATATTATTTGTTCATGGATATTATTGTATTCATGAATATTATTCTGTTCTTTTCTGCTATACTCCCCAGAAAGAAATATCCTCAGGGTTTAGGTCCGGTTTAGGTCTGGGGGGCCAAGGAAAATCAGTCTAGTTTTTGATTTTTCTGCCCGAAAACTTATCATTTAGATATGCTAAAGATTTGACTGTAGTGCGAGATCCGTCTTCCATAAACCAGGAAAACTGAATTTGAGTATTTTCTGCAAATCATTTCGCGGAATTTATTGCAAAATATTCATAAAATACAGAATTTAACCCAGACCTTCGCAGGAATCTCATAAAATTTTTGACAGAAGTTGAAAGATATTGTTGACAGATTAAAAAAAATTTCGAAACTGATGGAGTTATACATAAATAGCTGTTAAAAATTGTCAAAATGGCCTCTGTATGTATAATTTATACCTTATAGTTTGAATATGATACAGAGTATCCACAAATATTGCATTTCCTCCTGGGATGCTTAAACTCCTTCCCCATCAAACTCTCCAGTTTTGTCATTGACGTGTTTGCACGGAAACTGTCGTCTTTACGCTTACCACAACTAGACACAGGTAAATGTTTAGAAAAATTAACCAAGAGCGAATACAAGCCACGCCACAGTGGGGGAAGGGGCTATGGTGTGGTGAATCACCATGGTCAAGGATTTTCATGCACAAAAGAAAGTACAATAAATATATGTTTGTTTGTTAATTAAAACAACAGCAAAAAACTTTGAGAAAATGTTTACAACTTTAACATAGCATCACGTAATAATTAGCGCAATGATATTATTTTTCTGATAACCATACAACAGACTCTGAATAAAAAAAATTTGTAATACCAATTCGATTTTTAGTTATAGTATTATAGCGCATTGCTAATGGAAACCATATCCTAGATTTGTAAAGAGGATGCATAGATTTTTCTCTCAAGGAAATTTATATATTTTTTTCCAAAAAAACAAGTTTGTTTTTATAAACATAAAAAGTTATCTTCATCCTCCATGTAAAAGATTCCAGGTTTAAATTCTAAATATTATTTATTATTCGAAGAAAGGTTTCCATATACGGAAGTTATGAATACTATTCAGAAAACATATTCTTATATTTCCGGCATCACAGTTTCTTTCAGGTTTGAAAACTTCATTTTATTCAAAACTGAAAATCATTCGTCAAATGTTTTATTTTGATAGCATTAGAAGCAGTACTGTACCTAAATTTTTCCGATTCCTTTGTTTCACAAGGGATTAAAATGAAAACTTTTGAAATTTACCCATTTGATCCGGTCTCCATGACCTCATCTAGAACCTCCTCAGGTATCTCTATAACCCCGTCCTCGCCTCCCTGTAATATATTGAGGCTAGGAACATTTCTATATGTGTGACACTTTCTATGCAGGACCTTTCATATATATTTGTATTTAATAAGCGTTAAAACAATTCTGAACCGATCTGTTCAATTGAAAATTCTGCATTGTAAATAATGTCAATTTTTTCGATTTTTGAAATCCACCAAATAAAACAGAAAAATTCACGAAAATGTCTGTTTCTTTGAGTATAACGATAAAAAAGGGCGGAACGATAATAGATATTAAGAGCTACGCTTGTTACTTGGAAAAATAAAAATCTAATTGAAAATGAAACACTTATAAATACACACACTGTTATACAGTTTTATAGTCAAAAGTACTAAAAAATGTATACCAATTATCTGCCTAGAAAATCAAGGAACACAAATATTTAGTTCTTTATGATTAAATTGTATAAATTACCTCTAAACTGTCCAAATATTTAATTGTATAAATTACCTCTAAACTGTCCAAATAATCGAATCCTGATATTGTTGGCAGCTCCCCTGATTCATGCAGCTTCTGTAAAAAGGACAAAAATGGTAAACTTATAAACATAAACTTTCTATCGTAATTTTGCTATAATACAATTTTAATATAATGCTGTATTTCCTTTGTTCTATGTACTATACTACCTTGTATTCTTTGTAATATTGTGTGTACTGTTTACTGTACTGTACTGCCTTGTGTTCTGTGTACTGCATCTTACTATCCTGTATTCTGTATACTGTGCTGTACTACTACCCTGTTGTCTGTGCTCTATTAACTAAAAAGTACTTCTGGATTGTGTTCTGTGTACTATACTGTACCCATAATTTGTGTTCTGTTCTTTACTACTTTATGTTTAGTGTACTGTACAGTACTACCTTTTATGATATGTACTATATTGTCCTACCTTCTGCTCTGTGTTCTACACTACCTTTTGTTCTGTGTACTGAACTACCTTGTATTCTATGTCCGGTACTATACTTGTGCTTAATTAACTAAAAAGTACTAATGGATTGTGTTCTGTGTACTATAATGTACTCCTTTGTGTTCTGTACTTTAATATACCTTATGTTCAGTGTACTGTTCTCCTGGTATTAGTTTCCGACATTTATGACAGAATTTATACTTGATGCCATGCCTTTTAAACCAGAAATATTTGCCTCCATTTTTTAAGTCGAAATAGGATTTGATTAATAGATTTTAATTTGACTAAATTATAAACAAATGTGATTAGGAAAAAACTTGTTTAGGTTATGCACCATACAGTCTTTAAAGTTTTTATTGATAACGTTTTTTATTAAATTTAATATTTCTTCATTCCTGAGCTTAATATGTCTCGCTAGATTTTTATGAGTGATCTCAATACTGCACACTGGACAGCGTTCCTTAGGCATCAAACTTTCTCGCCCTTAAGAATTGTACAATTAATGATAGTAAAAAAAAAAATTTTAAGTTTCCGGAATGTGACAAAATGCTTGTATCTTTTGTTCAAAGACGTATTTTGAGTAAATTATTATTTTTTAAAGTAAACTTTGTACCCCAATAACTCTATCCCAATAACTCTATCCCAATAACTCTATCCCAATAACTCTATCCCAATAACTCTATCCCAATAACTCTATCCCAATAACTCTATCCCAATTCTTGATTGTGCTATTTTTGTTGAACTTTGCTCAAACTTTGATCTATAGCTCAAATATTACAAAAAAAATCTATGTTTTTTTTTTATTTTGGATAATTTTTTTTGGTAAAATGTTTTTTTTTTCATTATTAAAATGTTAGTGAAGAAGTTTAAACGTGGATCCCCCCCCCCATTGACATAAGGATTAATTATCTTACCTGCAGAGCCATCTGGTGGCAACATTCCAAACTGATATGAAGAATCCCCGTTGGTTGAGCTGCCTGAGGTTTTGACAGAACCATTTGGGCTGGTTGTCCTTTCTAACTTACGTTTACGATTTATTTCATCCACAGCCTACACATATATTCTCATAGTTTTTAATATTTAAAAAAATAAATAATTTAAAGTGACACTCCACACAGAATGGAAATCAATAATGGAAATAATCAAGTGGATTTAACTGTTCTGTCAATATTCCAGAATGCTGTGAATTTTAAGCACAATTTGACCCATTAAACATAATTTTTTAGTCTTTTTTCTTAAATTCTTTTTGTCGGCATATGCATTTTGAAGTATAGAATAGATAAATTCGTACGTTAAAAGATTGTTGAATTATAGACCACCGAATGCTGTTCACTTTGGTTAGTCCGGGATGTAATGCTTATAACTTAAAAGCTTTGTTTGATCACTTATAGATTATGTTTGTAATTCTAAAAACTAGTTGTTTTAACTTTGGGTTTTCTGCACCAAGACAACTGCACATATAGTAAATCTTCGATATTTCTGGTAATTTATTTTTTCAATAAAAATGAAAAAAAAAAATAATTTTAAAATTATATTTCTGATTTATTAAAAGCGTCATATCTAGAAATAAACATTGCATCAACACAAGTGCACAAACATTTCATAAAATTACTAATACCAAAAACAAAAACAAATTATAAGTAAATTTTCTCTATAACTAAAAAGGCTTTAATTATGTACTTTCTCGATAATGAGAAAAATGCTTTCTAAAAACTTTACTACAATGCGAACCAAAATAATAGTGTAATTAAATGTATATCTAATTATATTTTCTTCTAATTATATATCTCTAATTATTTTCACAATTTGATAGTTCCCACTGGCCATTGTATTTATTTACCTTAACTACCAGTCCTCCACTTGAACCACCCCAGGCTGCCAGAGAACCAATAGGAGTTAAACTAGCTCGCTCCTTTCTAAAAAACATCGTTTTAATCCTTTTTTGTCTTTTTCTATCTCAATATTTTTATGAAAACAAATTGTTGGGAGGGGGGGGGGGGTATTTTTTTTATTTTTTCTCAAAATAAAATGTCTTTTGAAGATAACTTGAAAGAGATATTAATACGTCCTTTTTGTATGATATGGTCTGTTTTAAATTTAGATTAGGTAATAATTGTTTATTTCTGTACTTTGAAAAATATATTATATCTCGATTTTTTGTACATTTTTTTTTAATTATTCGTTTCGTAAAATTAATATATGATTTCTCTCGTAGCTAGTAAAAAAACCATCTTGAATTTAAAGATTTTTAATTAGAAATAACAATGGTGTTTTTGAATTTTAAATTTTAAAGTCAAATGTAAATTCTTTCTTCAAGTCAGAAAGAATAATGAATAATGAATAATTCATATTCTTTAAAATTAAAACTTCGCGTTAATTTGGTCCTTCAGATTTTATGATAGTTATGATAGTATGATATCTATATAATAAAGCTCTTCGCTCATATATATATATATATATATATATATATATATATACTAGCAGATGGGCCCGGCGTTGCCCGTGTAACAAAAATTCTAATTTTTTTAGCCTTTAACACCCCCCGGCCACCCATAAGTGTCGACAAAAAGTTTCAGTCCATTCGGTCCAGCCGTTTGACCGCCTATCGGCAACATATATATGCATACGAATGTCTAGTTTTATTATATTGATATATATATATGTATATTTGTCAGCTATATGCGAAATTGTTTTCTTCGAAATTTTTTTTTTTCGAAATTCAATTTGGGCACTTAAGCTAGTCCTATGTAATTTAGAGTTTGAGGTGAGGTTTAAATATTTTTGTAATTTAAATTGTTTCAATACCTGTCAATAATGATGGGTTGACCGTCTTCAATTCTTATCTTTTGCCCCATATATGGAGGCATACCATGCCAGTGCCTGTGTTCCTGCATAAATACTTTTATTAAAGGAACTGCAGTTGTAATTTTAAATGACCACTTGATTCACAACGAACTCTTTAAATCTCTATCTGAATCAACATATGTAGAAAATCTCTACGTTTTATAGATTAAAAAGTATTTTGCTTTAATAATGAATTTAGTTCTCTCTGGGCGGAATTTGTGAACAAGAATGGGTGCATCAGTGTTCGTTTACTATCCGAGGAGGTTAAAAGCATTGAATTTTGAAAATTTTGATAATTCACATAATAGTTTCCTATGACCAGAATATTTCATTGATTTTTTATGTGAAAGATGGATCCCATGTCAGGCTGTGATATCCGTATTGTGTTTGCATTACCGCTCAGAGACAGTAAACAGTCCACTACAGTACAAAAGATGCGTACACCTCTAAAATAACTTTCCTTGCATTATAACCTTGCATCAATATTTGTATTTATATAATTTTTTTTTTATAACCACTTTTTTTGTGCAACAGCTAGCGATAAAAATATGCTAAAATATATATATTTTTTTACCAAACTTCTTGAAATTGTCAATTGAATTATACTCATAGATAAGTAAATAAAAGATAGCTTATGTACGCAAAATCACCAAGAATTGTACAGTCCGCGAACTCATACTTCTAGGGGTCAAAGTGTACTTCAATGATAAGCGGGGTGGTTTGGTGTTTTAATGGATTTCATAATAGAGTGTAAAATAACTCCGGGAATGGAACTATTTGAACAATATTTCACTAAGCAATATATCATATTGACGAGAACTGAAGAAGGACATGAGAAGGACTAAACTAACTTAAATTTCTCTCTACAGAACTCATGTACACCACAAGTACTCAATGACATAAGAACAGCCAATGTTAATCTATATAATAGGAATATCTTTAAAACATCTCTGTACATTTATATCTTTCAAGATGAAAAAAGTCGTCTTATGCGAAATCTATCTTTATCTATTAATATACTTGATGAAAATATCCATTTTTATCCGATTCAAACTTACATTAGTTTAAGCCAATCAAAATGCTTAAACAAGTTCTAAGAAGTATATATTATAGTAAAACTGTGTGTCTCTATAGTTTGCTTTGATTACACTTTTTCTTCGTTCAGGGTTATTAGAGGATTGCCCACAAGGAATAGACTGTAAAGACGACTTGAAACTCTTCAAGGTTAGGTAAGGTAGTCTTTAGGGTTGAATGTAGATTTTAAATGGTTTATTTAATAATTTGGCAAAGAAAGAAAAAAGTTTATAGTTACAAGGAATCATGAATATAAGGAAACAGACAGTATACATTTCTTACAGTCGTCTCTGTCTCATCCTTTATGGTTAAACCTGTATCTTCTTCAACACAAACTAACTTTTGCTAAGTGGGATACAATCTATCCGTGGAGATAAATATTTTGAACTTTAATAAAATATTTGTAGAGACATTTAAAATCTAGACAATTTGGAAATTTACTCATCAAAGGAATTACATCTTTGCCACAAACTTGAAATTTGGAATTTGATCTCACAGAATTCATAGTTTAAAATATCTAAGGTCTATGCCATTTGATTGTTTAAGCTTCAGATATAGAGAATAAAGTTTACCTTAACAAATCACATAGTTTTCATTGAACATTTTTAAACAGTAACATGCTTATTTCTTGCTTTAGTTAAAAAAAAGTTATTTGCACAATCCTGATCAATTTTTGCGTAAGAGCACCATGCAAGACATTTTGAGGAATTTTGAATGATAAAGAAGAGACATACTTTTTTCTACAATGGCCGGCGATTATATCAATACAATGAAGACGACTTTTTTCATAAATAAATACATGTAAACAAGGAGAAGCAGTTAATTGACAACTTCTCTTTGTTTACATGTTTATGTGTCTTTGCTGTCTGAAAGATTGGTAGAAATCAAAATTGAATAAAAGTCGTCTTCATTGTATTGATATATGTGACGACGACTGTAGTAGGTTTAGGGTGAGCTTGATTACCTTATGTTCCTCCTTAGGTAGGTACTCCCTACAGCATCTGCAGAACAGGGCCTGGTGGACTTCAGACATATGCTTGAAGAACCATTTTATATTAGACCATTCACCACACAGCTCACACTGCTTCCGAACCTTTATATTTCATCAATTCATTTTTAAAAATATCTTTGATATCTCTCAAACTTTGAATTCTATCAAATGAAATATTCTAGGTTCAAAATAGCAAAGGTGTTCAGTGTTTACTTTCAGGTAGCAAAGATTAAGAGATTAGAAAATTTAGGTTTGTGGCAAAACTCAGTTCCTTCATGTGGCATTACTACTACGACTTTGTGAACTTGTATAGGTCTTGTATTTTTGACTGCACGTATTATGAGAAAAGGCGATCTGCTATTTTTTTAAATCACACAATTTTCATTTAATAGTTTTTAAATATTCATTTAATTATTTAGATCAATAACAGATTTTTTATTTTTAATAGGAAAGAAACTTATCCAACATTTTTCTTAGAATTTCTTAAAATTTGTTTATGGGTTGATTTCCTCCCTGTTTTAAAACACATCAGCTCCCTTTTCTGAAGATATAGTGATATACAAAAACATGATTTGATGTGTTTCATAGCATTCAATAAATCTGCTTTTTTACTTTTCCTTTTGATTTTATAAAAAGAGCGAAATCTACCTTTCCTGACTTAACCCTGCCAGCATTATCCAACTCAATATTGACTTCATCCTTCACTTTCGAGACCTTCGGGGTCATAGAGGTCGTCGTCTTAAACGTGGCTCCCAGGGGGAGATCGTCGGTATCTTTCTTCTTTGGTTTGGTGTAGAGAGGAAAACCTCGGAGGGCCTCGGCCAATAATCCTCCAGCGGAGGTTACAAGAGAGGAGGATACAGGAGACAAGGAACCTCCGGGAAGACCTAAGAAATAAAATAAACATTATTTTTAAAAAACATTTTCTCTGACATAAAGAGCGTCCCATATCGTATTGGATTATTAAAAGCCAAAATAATCACATAATACTCGAAAACCCTGGTATTTTCTGCAAGAAAATGTTTTTATTAGCCTTTTATAATTCTTCAAATTTTTTATTTTTTATTTTCTGATTTTCCTCTAAAATAGTAATTTAGAGCTATAAACGATCCATTATGATGTGGGACACCCTGTATCTATCTTTTGTCTAATGACCATACTTTGTACGTTATGTGAAGGCGACAATGCCCTTTTGATAAAGTTGTTTTTTTCTTTTTTGAGGTAAATACAGAAAAAAACGAACAATATATTTTGTTACCTGGAATAGTTATATGTGTGGCTCCATTTGAAGAACCTGGAAAAAATATAAAATAAATTTGCTGCTCTTAATAATGAAAACAAGCAAAGGTCGGAATTTATTAACAAAGAATGAGATAGTTGAACTACTCTCAGGTGGTACAACTACTTTTTAAAAGTTCCTAACTTAGTAAAAAATTTTTTATTGGGAAATTAAAATAAAGAGGGATTAGATGACCTCAAAATTAGATGTTGGAGTCTAATCAAAAAATTGTATCTGGTTGGTAATTTTTGATTTGAAATGAGTTAAACGTTTTCTCTAAGCTCAGCATAGTCAATGGTCATTGATAAAAATTCCCTCCAAAAACTAAAATGTTCTACTTTGATAACCGTAACTTCCATTCCATCGTTCACCCCGTGTATCCGTTTTTCAATAGAGATGTTTAATTTCGAATTTAATATCTCAATAATAAAGAATAGAAATGTACCTCCATTATCAGTATGTGTTGCCATATGTTGAGCTGCCGCCTGCATACTTTCAAACGTTCTAAAAAATTAAGAATGCATTAATTGAAAGTAAAACATCATTATTGAAAGTAATCAATTTTTTGTAATAATTCATCTTATTTTAGAAATTGTGTTTTCCTTTTTATTCATACTAGGCTTTCAGGGCGCTTCGCACTCATCTTCTATTTCAATTGTGAACATTTTTTCTTTGTTTAAATTTTAAAACAAACAAACAAACAAAAGTTCACGGATTTTATAACAAAATTCGTGGATTTTTAAAACTTGATGAAAATTACATATTTTTAGATGTAAATTTTTGACATTTTGATCGTCCATAAACCTTCCCTGGGGTTATGTGAGGTCCCACACAAAATTCAGGCCCGATCGGTTCAACTGTTTATCGTTTATTGGATACAAAATAGTTATTAAAGATTAGAAAAATCAAAATTTGTCTTTTTCTGATTTTAAGATGTCGAAAAGAAAGACCAAAGACAATTTTTTTGTAATTTAAATTGTATGTAAATATAACTTTCTTTATCTAATGTATTGCAGTTTACCTGTAGCAGATTAGACAAATTGTTGAACTATTTGTGAGCTGAACAATCTTTCTTCGTTCTTGTCTATATAAAATATAAAATAAAATACTAGGCTTTCATGGCGCTCATCTTGTATTTCATTTTATAAAACAATAACAACAAAAAAAAAGTTCGCGGATTTAATAATTATTTTAGTTGATTTTCAAAATTTTCGGAGGCAAGTTTTTAAATTTCTGATCCCCCATTAACCCTCCCCGGGATCATGTGAGGTCCCACAAAAATTTGGGCCCGATCGGGTCAGTCGTGTTGACGTTTATTTTTACAAACAAATAGATTGACAAGCAGGAAAAAAGAAAATGATGAAAAGGAGCACTTACAAAACGTTTCCCAACAAAAGGGTTTCTTGCACAAAATATTTCCTCACAAAAAGTTTCCTAGCAAAACGTTTCCTGCCACAAAACGTATCCTTACATTACATTTCCACCACAAAACATTTCCTGCCACAAAACTTGATGTAACCTTCAACAAAAAGTTTTATTTATCAAACGTTTCCTTCAAAAGATGTTTCCTGTAACAAAATGTTTCCAATTAAAAAAAATGAATTAGATACTCAAATTTTTTCAGCTAATGATTGTTTCTTAACAGTTAAATTATTATTGAGGATGGTGTAGGTTTAAATATCAAACATATTTACGTAGCTTGAGCAAAGACGGTAGAATAGTAGAAGATAGGGCATTAGGAATTTATCCGTATAGTGTGTAGTGTGTACGCGCTGTACACTTGTATATGACGTCATTGGCTGCAGTATTGGTTTTAAATTCAAACAATCAACATTAAAACTCTAGTTATCTACTAAATTAATCACTGTAGGTGCTAAATATGGTGGGAAAATAACGAAGCGGTTGTAAACTTCGAAATTTGTTTTAATCAGTTATAGGATAGGATGCTCGCCTTATAAGATAAAGATAAAATTGTGATTTTGTTACGCATTTCATTAGTATGAAAAATATCACTAATTTTAAAACAAAATTTTTTAGATGTCATAAAGTATAGTTTTGTAATAGTCTAAAGCAGAATTTCAGGCCAGTAACGTGATCAAGGCCCCAAAAAAACCTAGTTTTAAGTAGCCAAACTTTTTTTAACCAATTACATTGCAATCTGTTTAATTATAAAGTTTATCTAAAAAGATTATAAAGTTATGCATGTTAAACGACAAATTACTGAAAAAAACGCAAGTTTTTGTTGATGGAAATGCTTAAAAAGTCCTAAAATCTTTTTAAATTATAGAAAAGACGACGTTCTATGGCTTCTTATTGAGCCCAATTGAGGCGTCTAATTTTGCGCATAAATCCCAATGCCTACTCTTTATATTACAAAGCTCTTTGAGCTTGAGTAGTTCACTCATTTCTGAAAAACCAGAAAACATTTTGCGTCAAAAAACATTGGGTGGGAAAACATTTAGTGGAGAATTCGTTTGTGAAAAACTTTTTGTAAGTGCTCCGAAAAAAATAACATTACGAAGAAAGAACAAAAAAGTCCCAATTTAAGTAAGGGCCAAGGAGTCACTTGAAATTATGATTTATGCCTTTCCCTTTAAGTAGAATGAATAGTTACCTCAGAGTGAGTATATGTGAGCGCATATGTTTAATTGGAGGTACAGCATACCATTTAGCACAGACTAGACATTGGTGGGACTCCTTCCCTCCTGGTCCAAGGTGGGACCTAGTCAACTTATCCATCAGCTCCTCTAGTCCCACTTTACCTAAATATATCATACATATTGATGGGACTCCTTCCTTCCTGCTACTCCTGCAGTCCCAGGTGGGACCTAGTTCCTCTTGTCCCTCTTTACATAAATATATGTATATATATATATATATATATATATATATATATATATATATATATATAAATATATATGTATATATATTTATATATACACACTCGTTTAGTCCGTTAAACTTGAGTTCTCTGTGGTAATGAATAGATGTACTAATTAGCATTATGCAAGGCCCTCAACTTATAATGAGTTGGTTGAGCTCTCTGGTCCCTATTTCATTAAAATCATCAGGGTTTGATGGAGCAGTGGTTGGCGTGTTTGATTCATAATCTAAGGATTTATCAACTGCAAAATCAAAAATCTGATGATTAGAGCCATACTGATGAGTCCTAATAGGACGAAACACTGTGTCTATGGATATATAGATATATATTGGTGAGACTCCTTCCCTCCTGGTCCCAGGTGGGAACTAGCCAACTTATCCATCAGTTCATCAAGTCCCATTTTTATCTTTCTTTAAAACATCTATTCAATCTTTAATAAATATGATGAAAGTATTTTTTTCAAATATAGTTTTTCTGAATTGCTTGCCATAATTCTTCTTATTTGTTTTGTTGTGCCAGGATTCAATTTCCGGAAAATTGATGAAAAGTTTTTGAGAAGTACAAACTTGATTGCACTTTTATACAGAACATAATATTAAAACTTTTTCAATTGATTTTTGTCGGATTTTTATTTCCAAGACTCAGAGGATACGTAGTTTAGACCCTATTTTGTTTTCTTTATAGCTTAAAACAGGAGGGTGAGAACTGACCTCTGATATCCAGGGAGGATGAGGAGGGTGAAGGGAAGGTGTCTAGTTCAATTTTAGGAACTCCAGTAGGTTTATAAACCACAGGGTTGGACGGAGTAGATTTGATCGGAGTAGATGAGGAGAGAGGAGTGGAGGAGACAGGAGGTTTAGATCTGGAGTTTCCATTCTTAAACTTAGACTTCAAGCTTGCCTGCAATATAAAAGGATTAAACAAGATTATCTTGAAATAACAGGCGTAATTCAATTAAGTTTTTGCCACAAACTCAATTTTTTATAACTCTTTATCTTTGCAACCCAATATCATAGACCTTAGACATTTAAAAAAAAATTCTGTTCAACTAAGTGAAAAAGTTTGAAACATTAAAGGTTTACACCTTCCGGTTGCAAAGATTTAATTTAAGAAAGTAAAAAAGACGACCTTCATTGTTTTGATTTAATATCTAAGCCTCGTCATTTAAGAAAGTATAAGACGACCTTCATTGAATTGATCTAATACATGAGCTTCGTAATTTAAGAAAGTAAAAAATACGATCATTGATTGATATCGATGAACCACGTCATTTAAGAAAGTAAAAAGACTACCTCCATTGGATTTATTTAATACCTGAGCCTCATCATTTAAGAAAGTACAAAAAAGCGACCTCCATTGGATTGATTTAATACCTAAGCCTCGACATTTAAAAAAGGAAAAAGACGACCTTCCTTGTTTTGATTTAATACCTGAGCCTCGTCATTTAAAGAAAATGTATTGGAAGTTAGAACCCAGAGAAGTAAAGCATTTACAGCAGTCTATACAGTACATAATAATTATGTACAATTTAAGGATTTTTTCTGGGGGCAGGGAGGCCAAAAAATAATAAGACTATTGATTAATTGATTAAAATGACGATTGGTTGATGTGATGGAATTATGATTAATTAATTGATTAATTGTAAGATTTATTGGTTGATTGATAGTTTTTTTGGTTGATCGACGGAGAATAAGATTGGATGATCGACAGAGAATAAGATTGGTCAATCGACGGAGAATAATATTGGTTGATAGGCGGAGAATAAGATTGGATGATCGACAGAGAATAAGATTGGTTGATCGACGGAGAATAAGATTGGTTGATCGACGAATCAAAGGTTTGATGAATGATTGATTGATTGATAATTGTTTGTTCCTGTGGTACAAGTCCATGTTGTGAGGCTAGGTGGACTGTCAGGTCCATTATAGGGACCAGGGCCATACAGAGGGGGCAGGAGAGCTGGTTTAGAGGGCAAGTTACTCGATGATAAGCTCTAAATCCCAAAAAATAAAATTTTATTTAAATATTTCTATGAACTGCTAGTCATTATTTAAAGTGAACCTCAATCTGGCCGATTTACTATTGAATATTTTAACTTGTGGACTGTGGCGTCTACATGAAAGTTATTTGTGCATTTAAGCGTTGGAGACAATGGAGGAACTTAACAGAAATATACACTTTTGTAAAAACACCGAAGTAGATTTATTTAAACTGGACTGATATGGAAATATTAAATATAATATAAAGATTAGAAAATTATATAAAAAAAGAAAAATATCAAAATATTATTTTGTGGATTCCTGAGATGAGAAAGATATGAAGAAGAAGGTAAAATCATTGAACAGAGTGAGCACTGCATACATTGAGAAGTATAAACCGGTTCCCGGCTTCCTGTACTGTACCCGTCCATCTGTACATACTACACTCTAAGATCATGTACAACAAACTGATGTACAATAAAGAAACTGATTATTTGCCTTAAACTCTAATTTTCCAATACATTTATCTATGAAACCTGATGGTGTGAATCTTTATTAGTGCTATTAACTTGGAACTCTACCAGAGTATAATAAAATATCAATAATACCATCGGGTTGTAAAGATATAAAGTTTTTCTCTTTTACAAAGTCATTTTAATTAAGATTTCTAATAAGAAACTTTGTTGAAGATTTTCTTAAGTTATTAAATTTGAATGAACAGGCTTTAATTTAGTTGAAGGTATTTTTTTGCATTTTTGTCGAATGAATGAACTTTTCATACAAGTTGGTAAAACTGTGAGAGTTATGACAAACATGGTAAACAAACAAACTTTGCCACAATCTCTGATGTTTCCTTTCTCTTTGCAACCAAATGTCGTAAACCAGATATTACAGATAATTTCGAACTATGAATTCTATTAAAACAAATAATCTAAGTTTGAAATATCAAATTTCTAAGTCTAAATAGGGGATAACATGGCTTTTTTTTGCATCTCCTTTCTGAATAAGTTTGTGTAATTGAGAATATCTTGAGTTAATATTTCCTTGTCTGAGTATAGAGTTGAAGTGTCCCGGCCTGGTTCATACTTGATCCCTACCTCGGTATCCAGGATCACTTCAGGCTGATAAATAAAAAGTAGTAGCCAGTAGTAGGTACAATATCCAAAAATAAATAAATGTTTTCTGAGTTCTGAACTTTTGCTCGAATTTTTGTTAATCTGGTAAAAATAATTTGTTTTTCACTACAAAACGTCATTTTACTATACTAAAAAGTGTTTCTAATATACCGTGTACCGTACCCAATCAGTGTACCAAACCCAATCAGTGAACCGTACCCAGTCAGTATCGTACCCAATCAGTACCGTACCCAATCAGTGTACCGTACCCAATCAGTGTACCGTACCCACTCAGTGTACCGTACCCAATAAGTATACTTTAACCAATCAGTGTACCGTATCCAATCAGTGTACCGTACCCACTCAGTGTACCGTACCCACAGTGTACCGTACCCAATAAGTATATTTTAACCAATCAGTGTACCGTACCCACTCAGTGTACTGCACCCACTCAGAGTACCGTCCCCAATCAGTGTACTGTACCCAATCAGTGTACTGTACCCAATCAGTGTGCCTTACCCACTCAGTGTACCGTACCCAATCAGTGTACTGTATCCAATTAGTGTACTGTATCCAATTAGTGTACCGTACTCACTCAGTGTACCGTACTCACTCAGTGTACCGTACTCACTCAGTGTACCGTACCCACTCAGTGTATCGTACCTATCAGTGTTCTGTACCCAGTCAGTGTGTAATAAATACAGTCTGAACTTTCCTATATAAATTGCGTTGTACATTGTCTATAAATCTAACTGTGCTATTCCTTAAATGCGCAAAACTTGTAATGCGACTATACTATAAGCTACGTACTGTGATAAGCTTAACTACGATAATATATATCTGCGCAGTGCGCATATATTGTAGATACGTATAAAAACTTATTATACCTGAGGAAATGGTGGAGGAGATACGCCGTTCAAATCTCTTTCGTCGTCTTCCATCATATCATGGATATCAGGAGTGGATATAACACTAATTAAAAATTATTTAGGGATATAAGGCGTGGAAACTAATTAGGGATATTAGGAGTGAATATAAGAAGAAATGGAAAGGAAAAAAATCAAAATGAAAAGGAAGGAAAGGAGAGAAAGTGTAGTTGGATATTTAGATGTAATTATATGGAAAGCTATAGGAGTAGAGAGTTTAAGGGGAATTCAGGAGGTTTGGAGATAGGGATAGAGGAGTAGAGAGTATAGGGGGGATACAGAAGGTTTGGAGATAGTGATAGAGGAGTAGAGAGTATAGGGGGGATCCAGGAGTTTTGAAGAAAGGGATAGAGGAGTAGAGAGCAAAGGGGGAATTCAGGAGGTTTGGAAATAGGGATGTTGACGTTTTCATTTTTTTAAACGATCGTTTCGTTATAAAAACGACGACGAAAAAACGAAAACAAAACGATCTTTTATAAAAACGATCGCTTTTATAAAAAGTTCTTTTCTTTTAAAAAATTGTCGTTTTTATAAAACTCGTCGTTTCGTTAACGATCGTTAACGAAGACCGTTCGTTAACGATCGTTAATAAAGAGAGGAAACCGACCTAAAGGGCATCTGTACTGTATTGCATCATTGATTAGTTTTTAAGAAAATATCAAGAAGTTTTAGCTTCCCCACAACTGTTTAACTTCATGTAAGACGACATTCAATAAAATTGCATGTATTTTTTTTCGCAAAAACGATCGTTTAAAAAAAGACCGTTTTTATAAAGTTCGTCGTTTCGTTAAAGACAACCCTTCGTTAACGATCGTTAACGACGACCCTTTGTTAACGATCGTTAACATAATTGTTAATACATTTTTTTTCAAAACCGATCGTTTTTTAAAAGTGATCGTTTTTTAAAAAAACAATCGTATAAAAAAAGGGTCGCAAATCGTTTTCATGAAAGCGATCGTTTTAAAAACTATCGTTATTCGTTTTCTAAAAGTTGAAAACGAGTGGGTCGTTTTAAATAAAGATCATTTTTTCCGAAAACGAAACGATCGTTTTTAAAAGCGTTTGAAATACAAAACAAAAAATGATTGTTTAACGATCGTGTTCAAATACGATTAACAACACAACAGTAGAAACCTTTACTGTATAATGGAAGCCTAAACTGTATAGTGAAAACCTATATTGTATAGTGGAAACCTTTACAGTATAGTGGAACCTCTCCTGTATATTGGAAAGGGTATAGAGTAGAGAGTTTAAGGGAATACAGGTTTGGAGATAGGAATAGAGGAGTAGTGAGTAGAGGGGTTTGAAGATAGGGTAAAGATTAGAGACTAGAGGGGGGAAACAGGAGAGTTGATGATAGATAGAGCTAGATATGTATAGACTCAGAGAGTAGAGTATATATCTATCTATCTATCTATCTATATCTAAATACCTTGTTGGGTTTCCTGAATCTTGTTGTTCCTCTTCAGGATAGTTCGCCTTACAAGCTTCCCTGATCAAATCATTATTATTATTATTATTATTATTATTATTATTATCATTATTATTATTATTATTATTATTAATATTATTATTTTATAGTTATTATTATTATTATGATTATTATTACAAACCTATGAGCCGACATATCTGAGTGTGAATCTATTTTAGCCCAACAGATTACACATACAACTAAACTTTTTCCACCTTTACCAAGTTTCACAAAACAATTCTAAATAATATTTTTTTTAACATATTACGATGATTAATTGATGTCAGTTAGTAAGCTTTTTACCTTCGACCCCACTTTTATCCATTAAAGGTAATCTTTAATACTTTGAGATTAAGAGCTAAATGTATTGTATACCTTGAGATTAAGAGCAGAATGTATTGTATACCTTGAGATTAAGAGCAGAATGTATTGTATACCTTGAGATTAAGAGCAGAATGTATTGTATACCTTGAGATTAAGAGCTAAATGTATTGTATACCTTGAGATTAAGAGCAGAATTTATTGTATACCTTGAGATTAATATTGTATACCTTGAGATTAAGAGCAGAATGTCCTTGGAAAAGATGATCCTGAAGTTGAGATTCCTTCAAAGATTCTTCACAAACAGTGCAGAAATAATCAGCCTGCTCGGTTTCTCTAAATTTAAAAGAATTTAAAAAAGTAGTATATCAACTATCAACCCCCTTCCCAATTCTAGGTCTTAACATCTCAATAAGTAAAATTTACAATATTTATTATACACTGCAAAAAAATGTTATTGCTCAATAGATATCTAGTTTCTATAACAGTCAAAGGGAAAATTTGAGTTAGATATGAAGCCTGCACAGTATAATAATAGCTGCCTTCCTTGTAATAAATGATGTTTCCTTCAACGAACATGTTTTGTAACAGAGTGTGCGATGTATTTAAATGTAATTTTCCCGTTAAACGCGATATCGTTTATTTTGAAGTGTAAATGCATATATGCGGAAAAAAGTCATCGCGAAAAATAAATGATAAACAATCATAATTAAATTATAAACTGATCGTACTGTTTTATTTTTAAGCATTGTCCTCCAATGAAATTTAATAACAATTAAATTTTTTGGATAGAGAAGCAAAAGTTGTCCACCTCAAACAATTTACGACTTTATTTAAGGTAATCTTAACTTGATTTTGTGTTGTGTAGTTTTTTTTTGGGTGCCTTGGGTTTTGATTTGTTTATGAAGAGTTTAATGACTCTCGGTATTTATATTTATACTTGTTTATGATTAAAAAAGCTGACTTAACTCATGGATTTGTTTCAACGCGTTGTTGAAATCATTCTAAAATTAGTAATTTGAAAAGATGGATACCACCCAGCTGTCTGGAAAAAAAGATTAAAATTGGTTTCAAGGGCGTAGACAGAAAGAAATCTATAGGGGGGGGGGCGAAATATGAGCCAAGCGCAAATTTTTTTGGCTGTCTTCCTCCCCCCCCCCCTCTAGAAGCTACTAGGGATGGGGCAAAATTTAAGCTGTAAATTCAAAACATTTGGCTACTAGGATACTTTAAAGGTAAACATACAGTCCAATTACCTGACATATATACAAGTACTACTTTATCTACACAAAAACTAGCAGAAAAAAAACAGCAAAATATTTTTTTTTATGTTCTTCAGTCTTCAGTTTCAGATTTAAAAAGTTTGATAGCTCTACAGCTCTAAAGCTTTACAGGTGTGGGGGGGGGGGATTTCCCCCTTGCCCCCCTGTAAACGCCCTTGATTGGTTTCCTACTTTATCGGCGAAATATATCTAGGTTTTCTGACAGTATTGATAAAATCTTTCTATTTAACCCAACTAAGGAGCTGTATGATGTATCGATAGAATATATCTTTTTATCCCAAATGTGTTGATAAAATCTATCTAAAGGGTGTACATAAAAAAAGGTTCACACTTACAGTTTGAATTCTAGAGCTCTTAATATGCAAAAAAATTGTATTTGAATATGATTTAGAAGTTGTTTATTACTTATTTTTGACATTTGAACATGAGAGGAAATCTTTTTGATTTGTTTGGATTTTTCCTTGAATTGCATTGGGCCTTAAAATTTAAAATAAGCTTAGACAAATAGCGCCATATACTTCTTCTTTTGGCGAATATAAACTTATTTTTAAGGTTCTTCTGGTTGTGATTTTACAACCTGGCAATCTCTATTCGCCTTAACAAAACTTTTTGATACTTTCAGTTTCAGTACTCTTGCAAATGGAAACTACTGAACGAAGCCACCTCTTGAACTTGTTAACCCTATTCCTGCTGGGGGGGGGGGGGAAATTTAACCCCCCCCCCCCTGGAATTTTTTTTTACCTAACTCAAAAGTATTGGTCTAAGGCTGTTGAAATTTTCTGACTTTTCCTAAATATAAAACAAGGCTTTTAAACTAACTGCCTGAGTCCTCAGGCACACTGCCTTAATGACTACTTTTTCCTGTAAAAACTAAATCTTTCTTTTGACACACTCGGGTTCAGTAGTTGTCAGATTTTGATAATTTTTAACTTTTTTAGTTTTTCTTAATTACACATCATCATGAAATTTAAAATTTTGCAAAGTGAAACGGCATAGTCTAGGGCTTTTCAAAAATGTATATTTAATATTTTTACTTTTTAACTTAATTTTGCGCAAAAAAATAAAATTTTTGCAAATTTGCAAATATTTTTGCAGATTCTAAAAGTAAAGCATAAGAGCTTTCCAATGATGTATCATTTGTCTTATTTGACATAAAACACGGGATGTAAATGGGCGGGTCAAATTGCCCCCCCCCCCCTCCCAGCGCATCCTTGCTTTAAAGTACCCCAGCAGGGATAAGGTTAAGCCACTTTTTGATTCAAGATCCTTCTTTGGTCAATGCATCCTTATGTGTATGTATATGATTTAGAAAGTTGTCAGCTTAATTTTCGTAGATTTGCATAAAATTAGAGAAAAAATGGTAGGTGGAAACCTTTTTTAATGTGTAACCTCTATGTATCCCAACTGTAAAGCTAAAATTTATCAATGTATCCCAACTGTAAAAATAAAATCTATTTACGTATCCCAACTGTAAAAATAAAATCTATCAATATATCCCAACTGTAAAAATAAAATCTATTTACGTATCCCAACTGTAAAATTAAAACATATCTATGTATCTTAACTGTGACGAATAAATATATATATGTATCCCATCGTATGTTTGAAATCTATCTATGTATACCAACTGATGGATAAAATCTATCTATTTACCCAATGCAACTGTTAGGATGAAATCTATCTATGTATACCAACTGATGGATAAAATCTATCTATTTACCCAACTGTTCGGATGAAATCTATCTATGTATACCAACTGATGGATAAAATCTAACTATTTACCCAACTGTTCGGATGAAATCTATCTATGCACCCCAACTGTTTGACCGGTCACCCACCAAGTTAACCTTGTATTTACAATCTACATATTTAACATGTTTCTAATCAAACACTTTACTGTTTTAAACAATTCACTTGAGAAGAATAAAATATTATATCCTATTAATCTATCTGTCTATCTCCTACCTGACGAAGAGGTATGGATAAGCAGAGAGGTGTGAGGCTTCCTCCTGTGTTCCTGTGTTGACCAGCATCTCTCAACTAGAATATATTTCGGAGGTATTCCATGGAAAGCTAGTGAAGAGACCTAAGCTGTGCCGACCCCACTATATTATCTATCTATCCTCTGAACTCTCTATCTATCTATATATATCTCTACCTCCACCTATACATCTAACAGGAGAAACTAAGCAGAGCTTTCTCTGATTGGAGTCTTCACTCCGTCCCCCCTCCCCCCTCCCTCTTCACCGTGCAGGGATATTCCCTTCTCCAGGGAGGGCTGGATGATAAAACACATGTGATCTGCTCTGGATACGACCCAGTCCCAACCCTCCATATTCAGCACTCAACACAGGAAACTGGAATTCTTCCAGACTTTGCTCTCTCAGCTCTCTTCACAGAGAAACCCGAATCCCAGGCTTTATATAATAACAATTTGAGGAAAGGACAATAGGAGTAAGGGGACGTAGAATCAGAGGATAGAAACGGAGAATTGAAGGATAAAAACGGAGAATTGGAGGATTGGAGGAGAGGGACGGAGAATTGGAGGATATAAATGGAGAATTGGAGGATTGGAGAATAGAAAAGGAGAATTGGAGGATTGGAGGATAGGAATGGAGAACTGGAGTAGAGGACATTAAGAGAGGGACGGATAATTGAAGGATAGCACAATAGGAGAGGAGGAACGAAGTATGACAGATGAGAGGGACAGAGAACTGGAGGAATGGACAATAGATACAGAGAAACAGGTAGCTGGAGGATAGGACAATAGGAACAGAAGGACAGAGAACTGGAGGATGGGACAATAGGAGCAGAAGGACAGAGAACTGGAGGATAGGACAATAGGAACAGAAGGACAGAGAACTGGAGGATAGGACAATAGGAACAGAAGGACAGAGAACTGGAGGATAGGACAATAGGAACAGAAGGACAGAGAACTGGAGGATAGGACAATAGGAACAGAAGGACAGAGAACTGGAGGATAGGACAATAGGTACAGAGAAACAGGTAGCTGGAGGATAGGACAATAGGTACAGAGAAACAGGTAGCTGGAGGATAGGACAATAGGAACAGAAGGAAGCGAAAAAGAGAAAACGAGAAAAAAGAAGAACAGAAGGAAAAAGAGAAAGAAAGAAAGAGAAAGAGATAAAAAGAGAGGAAACATAGAAAGAGAGCTAGAGAAAGAAAGTGGAAAAGATAACAACAGATAAGAATGAATAAAAAATTAAAGTATGTGTACTACGTCTATAATAGTTTGAAACTTGAAACCTTTAGCCGGCCTGGAACTCTTAAACTATACATAATGCCAACTCAGCGCTAATACTTCTTCAAGCTTCAACTTTATATTCTTCGCGTCACGTGAAGAGATAGGGTTGGGTAGAATAGCAGGCATTAAAGGGACTGTAATCATAATATGGTGCGGTACAAAGGATGAGATTGTATAGACGACCTTAAAAACTTTTTGAAAATGGATTTCCAAGGTTAAATTAGTATTCTGCCATGAAAATAGTCTTTTGGTTGCCTTTCAATCATTGGGCAATTAAAGAACAAATTTACAGTTGTAGGGGAATCCTAAATATAAGGAAACAGACAGCGTTAACTCTGTACAATCGTCTCTGGAGTCCCATATTTTGTGTGAAACCCTGTGCTTCATTTAGCGAGTTGCCTTGAGATTTACAAACTCTAAATTTATTTTTTCGTAGAAATTTAAATCCAGTTTAATCCCATTAATCCAGCCTAATCCCATTTATCCAGTTTAATTCCATTTATCCAGTTTAATCCCATTTATCCAGTTTAATCCCATTTATCCATTTTATTCCCAATAATCCAGTTTAATTCAATTAATCCAGTTTAATTCAATTAATCCAGTTTATTCCCATTAATCTAGTTTAATCCCATTAATCCAGTTTAATGCCATTAATCTAGTTTAATCCCATGTACTTCATTTAACGAGTGGCCTTAGGATTTACAAACTTAAAATTTTTTTTCGTAGATATTTAAATCTAGTTTAACCCCATTTATCCAATGTAATCACATAAATCCAATTTAATCCCATTAATTCACTTTAATCCCATTAATCCAGCCTAATTTCATGAATCCGCTTTAGTCCCATTAATCCAGCTTAATCCAGTTAATCCATTTAATCCAGTTTAATCCCATTAATTCATTTTAATTTTAATAATCCAGTTAAATCCCATTCATCCAGTTTAATCCCATAAAACCAGTTTAATCCCATAAAACCAGTTTAATCCAATAAAACCAGTTTAATCCCGTAAATAGAGTTAAATTCATTAATCCAGTGTAATCCCATTAATCCAGATTAATCCCAGTTTTCCAGTTCAATCTCATTTACAATGTTTATTCCCGGTAATCCAGTTAAATCCTATTAATCCATTTTAATCTTATTAATCTAGCTTAATCCCAATAATCCAGCTTAATCCCAATATTCCAGTTTAATCCCATTAATCCAGTTTAATCCATGAATCCAGTTTAATCCATTAATCCAGTTTAATCTTATTAATTCAGTTTTATCTCATTAATCCAGTTTTATCTCATTCATCCAGTTTTATCTCATTCATCCAGTTTTAAGGTTTGTGGCCGAAAGGAACCGTGCCACACTTCAAATTTGAGAAGGTTCCATTTTGTATAAATTTTCTTTTATTAAACTTTACAATATTTTTTTCCTAAAAAAGAATATTGGGAAAACAAAACAAAAAATGTTAATCTTAATCTTTTTTAATATATTTTCTCCCAAGGTCAAAATGGTCAAAATAACCATATTGCAAAACTTCTCAGAATTTTGTGAAACCTTGTAATATTCCAAAAACCTTAAAAGTGTTTGGTTGAAGATGTTTACCCTTTCTAACATTTATTTTATAAAAAAATGATTTTTTAATATCTCAAAATACGACATCTGTCGAAAAAAAACTTTTCTCAAAAAAGAGCAAGCTCACGTGGTTATTCTATTCCAGTTTACGATTGCTAGGAATAAATAGTGGGATAAATTTACTTTTTTTAAAATCTTAGCTTTGCTCTCATCCTTATTTTTAAAGAAATTTAAAACTCATCAAATTCAAAATTAATTAAGTAACTGGTTTACATCCAAGGAGGAAAAAAAACAGAATAAAGAAGTAATTAATTTCAATGGAGTAATAAAATGAAACATAATTTTACTTTACAAAGCTCATTCATTGTTGGCAAGATTTTCTATTTCTTTTAGCTTTAAGCGGTGAATGTTCAAACCGCCATTTTTTCATTGTAATTCACTAAAATTGTCGCGGAATTGTCTCTTTAAATAACTTTAATTTTAAACATTCTATGAATATAAAGAATGAGGTGTGAGAAAATGTGTCTTTACATATTTAAACTTTATAAAACAAATCGTTACAAATAATATATATTACAAATGTTTCTTAAAGGGACTGTGAGCTAATTTCAAGTTATGCTCCATAGATAGATGGCAATGTCCGATCTTCAAAATGTAGAAGGATGAAGTCCTTTTCTAACTAGAAAAGTATTTGTTTCTGATAATGTCTCCCTTGTTACTTATATGCAAGAAATGCTCAAGCCTTTTTTGCATAGAAACTGAAAAATTAAAGAAACATAAAAACATGAATATCTAGTTCATGCTTGATCAATGCACTTTGTAAATCGGGCATTGCCATCTTTGCCATGAGACTGGAGAGTCACTTAAAATTTCGCTTACTGTCCCTTTGGCGACAAGAATTTTTTGTAATGTTGTGAAGAAATGTTTACTCTTTAAGTCCGTTACACTAAATACTTGTAAGATATATATGATAAAGAAAATTTAAACAACATATACCTCCTTCTTGATGAAGCTAGGACTTTGTTTTATTTTCATGTTTTATTATTCTACCCTTTGTGTTAGACAAGACAAAAAACTGTTTGATAAGAAACGATTGAATTAAATATGGAAATTTCTTTAATTGTTGATAATTTACGCCATCCCCCCTTTAAAAAACAACTCGAAAAATTTGCTTTTATAAATCTTGAATATTATAAAATTCTTCATAGTTTTGGATTATAATGGTAATACCGGATAATAATATTAATAAATTCAAGTTCTTCCTGTTCCAGAGATATCCTATCTATACCTATCTATCTATCTAGTTCTATCTATATATCTATCTTTCTTTCGGAGAGCTCCCTGTCTATCTGCACGTCTCTGAAGCTATCTATCTATCCATTCATGATTGAAATTTGTAAGGAGAATGACGTGTCTTGAAGTAGAGTATATATATATTTATATATATATATACATATATCCTGTCTTATCCTCACCACAAATGAATCATATCTGCAGAAACCTTATGTTTAATCATCCCTAACTCCTAAACACAACCCTGATATCCAACCCTACCTATGTTAAACTAACCTGGAGCAGGACCAGTGTTCACTTCCACCGTGTTTAGTTGAAGATGTTTAGGTAGCAGGAAGATACACAGGCAACTAGTCTCATTTCTCTCCACAGTTGATAATCCAGCCCGGAGTTAAACTCGTCCCACCAGTCCTCCACTCCACTATACTCCCGGAGCCTAGGAGAGTTGAAGGAAAGCTTTAGCTCCGGCCTGTGCAGTCATCAACACTCGCTCTTCAGTCTTCATTTCTATAGGTATCAGTGGAGGGAGCTGACCATAATCAGCCCGGAAGGTGTCTACCCAAATTCAGACCCGAGCTATATAATTTGTTAGATAAACATTTGGAGGTATCTGAAATTTCAGTCCATCAAAATAAATAATAAAATGTTTTTATTTAATGCGTGGATTAGAGGAAAGTATGTAGAATAAGAAAGACGATTAAAAATATGTGTGATATTGAATCGGCACTGTTCACAAATTTTTCGTTTATTTTCGTTCATGTTGACTTTTTTATTAAACATTGAAGATAAAGGAAGATCATAAATCTTTTATACAGGACTATATACACAATTCCAGCAGTGGAGGTGTCCTCACAATTTCAGCAGTGGAGGTGTCCTCACAATTTTACCAGTGGAGGTGTACACATAATTTTATCAGTTGAGGTATCTACCCAATTTCAGCAGTAGAGGTGCAGTCAACACAATTTCATCAGTGGAGGTGTCTACGCAATTTCAGCAGTGGAGGTGTCTACACAATTTCGCCAGTGTCGAGGTGCCTTCACAATTTCAGCAGTGGAAGTGTATACACAATTTCAGCAGTGGAGGTGTATATACAATTTCAGCAGTGTCGAGGTGCCTTCACAATTTCAGCAGTGGAGATGTATACAAAATTTCAGTAGTGTCGAGGTGCCTTCACAATTTCAGCAGTGGAAGTGTATACACAATTTCAGCAGTGGAGGAGTATAAACAATTTCAGCAGTGGAGGGGTATCACAATTTTAGCAGTGGAGGAGTATACACAATTTCAGCAGTGGAGGAGTATACACAATTTTAGTAGTGGATGAGTCTACACTATTCTAGTAGTGGAGGAGTCTACACAATTTCAGAACTTGTGGGGTCTACACTATTCTAGTAGTGGAGGAGTCTACACAATTTCAGAACTTGTGGGGTCTACACTATTCTAGTAGTGGAGGATTCTACACAATTTCAGAACTTGTGGGGTCTACACTATTCTAGTAGAGGAGGAGTCTACACAATTTCAGAACTTGTGGGGTCTACACTATTCTAGTAGTGGAGGAGTCTACACAATTTCAGAACTTGTGGGGTCTACACAACTTCAAAAAATGAAAGAAAAATCAGGGTTAGGATGAGACTTCAGAGGCGAACTAAACGAAATTCATTCTGTCTGTCTCCTTGCATTCATGATTTCCTGCAACTATAAACTTAAAATTGTCATATTTTAAGAGTTTCAGGTCGTCTTTACAGTCTCATTCTTTGTGGGTAACTCTGTCTCAAGGTATGATAGGTTTGTGGATTGTAGAACAATTTTGATTGGCGGATATCGTCATATTTTAAGATAAGCTTTAACAAAGATTTAACTGAATATACTTTTTTTAATGTCTGTAATTTGTTGGACTCGTAGAAGAGACTGGTACCAGAGAAGAAGAGAAATTAAATACTCTTCAAGTTTCGAGGTTATATACCTTCGACGATTTTCTCTCCTGGCAAGCATTCTAAAATGTCAAAAGTGTTTCAAAATTCCTCTAGAATATCATTTATGCAGTATAGTGTATTTGTTTTGTAACCATTATTCATTTGTTAAGTTCAAAAGGGCTTTAATTTGCTCGGCTAGATATTCCCTCTCCTCTACATACACAAGTTGCAAACATAAAAAAATCTGTATTTCAGGCCTAGGAACGAAACAGTTTAGTGACCAAAATACAAATATTGATATAAATCGTTATAATATTTGATTGAACAAAACGTTTTTTTTGGTAGGTAGGGAAAATGAGGCGTGGATAGGATCAGAAGTCAGTTTTGTGACTTCTGAAATCAAATACCCGGTTGGTTAAAAAAATAATTGTTTGCAACGATTATCACGAAATTTAAGCATTTCTATATTAAAAACGTGTTTTCATTTTTCACGGATTTAACGTCTATTAACGGAGGAGGTTGGGTTTGGTTTTGGCTCTGGGAGGGTAGTTTTGTTTTCAGGACGACATCTATTGGAGAAAGGTTTCAAGATAAGATTTATGGTCTACAACATTATCTACAACAAAGCTCTGTAGTTAATTTTGAGAAGCTATCATAGTAAATCGTTTTGAAACATCATTTTCTTTTTCTCTCTTTTTCTGAATTGTTGAACTTCAATAAAGAATTTTATTTTTAACGACATTTTCTAGTTTTAACATTATTGAATGTTCATATGTTCCCTTTTCTACCAAGCTCAAACAACTGAAATACACGAGAAAAAAATTAATGGGTCATTTCATGCCAAATCACCACACTTTGTCTTCGAAAAAATTTCATGTTACCCTTTTTAGGATATATTAATGGAAAAGTTATCCTGGAATTTTTAGCAAAATCGGAGACTACAAAGTGTGGTCTTTGCATGAAATAAACCTCATACAAATATTTGACTGATAATAATTGTACAAAATAAAATAAAGGTTTAATTTCGTTATTCAAATGTTTTACAAGACTTCTCTAAAGCTACTTGATTTATATGTTTATGCCAATTGCCAAGAGATGAGCTAGTATATATCAATAAAATGAACAAGAATTTTGATTTCATTTTTTTTCTTCAAAGCTTTTAAACAGCATGGATACACAGAAACATGGAATTAAAGAGAAGCTGTTTTCTAACAAGCTCTTAAATAGCATGGATACATATAAACATATGGAATCAAAGAGAAGCTTTTTTAGAACAGCATTTTTTCACATTACAAGAAAACAAAGAAAAGCTGCTGATTGACAGCTTATCTTTGTTAAATAACGACGACAAAAAATTTAACAACAATTCTACAGTAAACTATCTAGATGTTTAGGAACCAATTTCTCAATAGAAATTTGTCAATAAATCAATGTTAAAATCAATTATATCTTTTTCATTATTTTATTGTAATAATTCTTTACAAATTTGTTCGCCTAGATTTCCTCCAAATCTTTAAGTTTTGTCTTTTCAATAAACGCTCGAGGAAATCTAACAGAAAATGTTTGTGAACAATGAGACATCACAGAAACCAATAACTGAAAACGATTACTTCTCAACCTGTTCCTAAACAACTAGTTTATAGTTTACTGTAGAATCTTCTTACATTTCTTGTCGTAGTTATTGAATAATTTTTAAAAACTTATTCTCAAAATCATCCTTCTAAAGTGGGCAATCTATGAGGATTATAAAGATTGAATTTGCGCTATTGCTTAAAAAATATGAACTGTAAAAACGTCTGATATGAATGAATCCAAAAAAATTGCTCCACAATACTATATTCTCAGTTCAACTACAATACATACACCCTCTCCTATTTAGGCTGACGTTTGGTTTACCCAAATTTCAATTTTTTTTGCAATTTCTAGTAAAAAGTGCAAAAACAAAAATTGCGCAAAATTTGATTATTTATACATTTTGAAAAGTCCTTACCACGGCAAATTCAAATATGCAAAAATATTTGCAAAATTTTCAAAAATAAAATTTTATTCAAGGAAACCTTAAAATATGCAAATTCTCTTCAAAGGCATCTGTGCAAAAAAAACTGTTTAAAATTTCTTCGAAAAAATTGTGCAATCTGAATCCCTTTGATTGAGGCTTTCCAAGGTGCTATAAAAAGTAGAATCCAATGTCGGAAGTAGGTCTAAATATATATTTATTCGGGTGAAGGTAAAATAAGGCATGTATGCCTGAAGACTCAGGCAGTAGGTATAAAAGTCCCGCTTAGAGCCTAAAACGAGGGGCATCTGAAAAATTAAAAATCAACGCTCAGACCGACGTCAAAAACGTCACGTCCCCAACCGAAGTAGGGTTAAAGGAACAATAAATTAAAAAAAAAACATACATTTCATAAATTCGTGTCAAAAATATCATCCTGGTAGGTAACCCTGTATATTTAGAAAATATTAGCGTATTTAATAAAGTTACCTGAGTGCTTCTTCAAGAAGAATTAAATCTTCGTTAAAAATAGTTAAGCTGGTTCTAAACAAATAAAATTTAAACGAGAATATTAAAATATTAAACATTTTTTACAGAACTAGATTAAACAAAATAATCTTGATATAACTTCGTTTTTTATTTTTTATTTCCTAATAATAATCATTAACATTATTATAACTATATACACAATGATACTGGATGAATATTTTTGATTAATAAAATCTTAAAACAGAATTCTCGATAATGTTTAAAAATATAAAAATACTTCTTTCCACTAAACAGAGCATATATGGAGACATACAATTTTTTAGCCTTTTAAAGACTGAGGACAAAACTGTTGCGTGAAAAAGCGCTTATATACAACGCTTTGATCTAGATATCCACTCTGAAACTTTTAAATCTACGACTGAATTGATCTTTCAGAGTTAGTTTCATATCTTGGTACGACTCCCTCGGTATTCCAATCCGGGATTGCAAATGATATTTCCTGTCTCTAAGGCACAATTTTGTATAGGGTTCTATATACAGACATGTTTGTAATCGGATTTTTAAGCTTGAGGCCATTTTTAATAACCGGTTACAAACGAGTCTGTAGACCTTTATTCCCCTTTTTTCTTCTGTACATATTTCTTGTGATTTTATATACCACTGTACCTTGCAGGATCCCCTGGAGTAGAGTATTTTGCAAACGTTTTCTGATAGATTAGCACTCCACGTTCCTAGGTTAAACATGGTAAAAATCATGGAAAGATCCTGCTCCTTTAATAAACTCAGTTCTAAATATTAAAAATAATATTTTCCCTTAAAGGGACTGTTTGCAAAATTCCAGGTGATCCACCCTTTGAACCTTGAACTTCGCAACAATGTGCAGAAGATAATTTGACAGCTCCTTTAATTTTACAACAGCTCAACTTTAAAAAATTTAAAATGATTGTCTTTTATACCTTTCAAAATTCGAAAAATGTTACTTTTATACTTTTAATGGATTTCCAAATATAGTTAGTTTTTACCTTAGTTAGCCCCGGACAAATCTAAAACAAACTATGTATATTAAATATACTAATAAGAAATAAGCTAAATACAAATAATTTAATATTCTTTTAAGTTTTAATTATGCTTTTCTTTATTAATTTTTAATTTTACGTTGTTTAAGCTAAAATATTTTTTTTGGACTTTTGAAATAGTTTTTTTTTTGCCTCGTTTATAATTGGAAATATTTCCTCTACGTACTGTACAACAGTTGCTTGTTGTACATATAAAGAGTTGTACAGAGATATCAGATACCGCTTCACCTCTGAAAATAATCAAGAATAAAAAACTAGAACTAAATAAATGTATGAGAAACTGATTACCCGTCTCTAAATCTAATTTTACCATCCATGAATTTAAATAGTCCGACAAATAAGAGCCACAGCTATTGTGCAGTGTAAACAGACCCATTTTAAGTGATTTGATAACTTTCTGTAAAGCTTTTTCCTTTGTAACAATATCAAATGCACTTTGGTTTTGTATTAATGTCGTCTTTCTATTCTAATCAGTTTTCTGATTATCAATTATGACCTTTGATAATTTAAAATATGAATTCTGCTGATAAAATGCTGAACTATTAAAGGTTTACATAATTACAAAGTTTTAAGTTTTATATAGAGTTTGGTGCTAATGTTTAGTTCTTTTGATAAGCCCTTCTTTGATGCATGACTATTCATAACGCAGTGACACAACATCAATTTACAGTTTTGTTGGCTTTATTTGCCTTATAATTTACCAATTATGTATATATCTTCATATTGTAAAGCATAAACAGTAAAACGTAATTATTTGCTGCTGGCTGTTTTCAAAACAATATTCTGAAAGGAAGTCAATAGAATGTAACAAAATAAAAAAATGGATGAATATGGTGCATAAAAAAATTATTTTTAAACATTTTTTTATGAACATAAAAATGTGCAAGTTTAAAAATAAATTTGTTATACTTTTTCCCCTGAAATGTTTCATTGAAAGAGATAATTAAGTTCTTTAATAAAGTGGCCCCGATATTTTATAGACTGTTCTATATTTATATACAAACTCATGCTTATAGGCAACAGTATAGGGGCATCTTTTTCAAAGTTTAGTTCAAAGCAGGTTTTAACCCGAAGCAGATAGGTCAAAAAAGCTTCTTATTCAAGCTACATATATTTAAAACCTACATTTTGTAAAAATGATATTGAATTATAAGTGTCCCATCTTTTTATTTATCAAAGAAAATGTTAATTTTTTTTGACATTTTTTCCAACATTTTAAAAAACTTTTTTAAAAAACTTCCAAGCAGTGGTATTTTTTTTTGAGCTGGCTTTGAAACATCGTGCTATGATCAGGCCTTTTTTTAGTTGGGGTAGTCATTTCATAGGTTTATATTCCCTTAGTGGGGTAGTCATTTCATGGGTTCATATCCCCTTATTGGGGGTAGTCATTTCATGGGTTCATATTCCCTTTAGTGGGGGTAGTCATTTCATGGGTTCATAATCCCTTAGTGAGGGTAGTTATTTCATGGGTTCATATCCACTTATTGGGGGTAGTCATTTCATGGGTTCATATTCCCTTTAGTGGGGGTAGTCATTTCATGGGTTCATATTCCCTTCGTGAGGGTAGTCATTTCATGGGTTCATATCCCCAGACTTTAAAAGGGTTATAATATGTGGAATAGTATTTTTTAACACCCCCCTCATGCTATCATGATAACCCTATATCTTTTTTCTATAAATATCTAATGCTTTATTTATGTTTTTCCAAAAAATCTTAGAAACTATTTTTTCAAGTGTTTAACTTTTTTTTGCAAATTTTGACACACTTTCCAATTCTTTTTACTTTTTAGATATCCACCATTCAATTCATAATTTTATGACATTCGCATAATATTTGTTATTTTGTCCAACCCAGGCTTGGCATGTTTTGACTGATTTTATGTTCTAATTTGCCAGTAAACATCAAACCTTATCACAGTCCGCTACTTGGAAGTTTAACGTACTATATAGGCTTTTATGGTTCTAACAATTTTAGTTTTTAACTTTAGAAGTTGGCATGTTTCATCGTATACTCTGCAATAAATAAATGCTGGTTTCCTGTTTATATTGATGTATTTTCACAAGTAATAAATGTCGACTTTATTTTAGAGTCAATATTTTCAAATTTGACCCTCCATAAACCTTCTCTGGGGATATGTAAGATGCCACAAAAATGGGACATTATCGGTTCAGCCGTTTAGACTTCTAAAACCAAATATATATAAATAGGCTTACAGAGCGCTATGTAGAAATTGCAAAACAAAAATAAAAAAATTTAGTGAATCAAAAAATTTTCAAAAAATGGATTTTGGTAGATGCAAATTTTGAAAATTCAATCATCCATAAAACTTCCCTGGAGTCACGTTAGGTCCTAAAAAAAATTTGGGCCCGATCGGTTCAGCCGTTTTGACGATTATTGGAAAAAACAAACAGACACCCAAACAGAGAAGCAAAGTATGTATATAGAAGAGAGAGAGAGTTATCATGTTTACTGCCTTTTGACAATCATTCCGACCCAAATCCACCCACTTTTTAATACCATGCATATGACGGGATATTTACTTGCATTGTATTTCCGGGGGGGGGGATTTTTTAATGTAGTTGTTATTAACGTAATTTAGAGCTCATATATAAAAAAATAAACATAGCTTTTTCTCTTTTTGAAGAGTTGGGCAAGTGCAGTATAAATCTTCGTGCACACGGCGGTGGCAGCATGATGAAAACAATTTCTCGAAACTAATTAGACTTTTCTTAATTCAGAAAATTCAATTAGCATTTTTTTGGAACAACTAATTAGAACTCTTTAGAAATTATTTTTAGATAATGTACGTTTAAAAAAACAATGATTTTCCTGCAGGTGCTGTTGTATTGTTTGGATTTCAGTTCTGTGTTTGCAGGTCATAACTACATTATAAAGCCGTAATTTAAAATTAAAATTTTTGGTTTTATATTTTTAGAAAAAATGGCGACTTTTGAGAAGTTTGTTGATGAACCAACAAAAAACAAAAACACATTTTATTTAACACCGAAAGAACCCTTACTCCCGAGTGACACAAATGTACGTATGTACGTAGTTTAGATTTTGAAAATATCCGTCTAAAAATGTTGGTTGAAAAGCTAGAGAATTCTTGTTGAAGAAGACTGAAAACGTAATTTCAAGTGAACTTCCATCAGATATAGAGTGACATGTCTGATTCACAACATTACCCTTAAAAATTTTTGTTGGCCAAGTATGAATAAGATATCCATGTTTTGTTGTCATGGGAACTGATTAATTTCTATTTTATAGTTTCATGTGTCTAAAACAGCGCATTTCTTGCTAATATTGATCAGATTAATACTAACGTTGTGAATCCTGCATACCCCTCTTTAAATATACAGCAACAGGTTCTAATTTAAAATATTTAAAAAAAGTGATTGTTTATGGAGATTTTATCGTTTTTTGTCTGAACATACATCAAAAAGAAATCTTTGTGAAATATATTATTTGTTCCCGCGTTTTTTATAGTCAAGGGATTCATAGATTTTCCACAAAAAAAGCATAACTCTCAGCGAATTGATACGACTCTGTTAATACTTCATAATCAGGATTCTACCATGAAAGACGAGCTAGAAATTAGCTAAAATTTTGGCCATTACAGAACTCATTCTTGTCTTTATATTTTATCCAGTATATTGGCATTAAAAAAATATAAGGCCTTAACCATCGAGATATTAGTAACAGAGGGGGCATCTGGAATTTTAGACCTTAACTATTTGTCTTAAGATTTCTCTTGATTTAATCTATATTAAGATATCAGCTGTTGGCCTTTGTTTCCGGTTTTATTATTCAAGTTTTCTCGGAACATCAAACTTTAACTGGTTCTCTGCTCAACACACATCCACAGACGGACAATATGCTCTGTAAGTGTTGGAATCAAACGTAGTTTGCTGAGATATATGAAAACCCTAAAAGTTAGTCATCAATTTTTTTTGACAGCCTCGACTTTAAAGTGTTCCAACACCATAGCTTTTGGTTTTTCCTCACAAACTTATACTTTATTGTAGCCCTAAACATATACATTTTGTTTGAATATTCAGCGCGCTTGTTTATAGCTTATGTTTAAAAGGAGTAATTGGCACAATACAGCGAGATTTCTAATCCATTTATCTTTGCAACTTGATGGTGTAAAACTTTAATATTTTAAACTAAGATTATTTGATCTAACAGAATTCATAGTTTAAAATATCTAAGGTCTGCTACATTGGAGGGCAAAGATATAACAAATATAATTAATAATTTGTAATTTGAAAATAGTGAGATTTTATTTTTACTCCAATTTAGATAATGGAAAATGGTCAAAAGAACTTAACAATTACCCTAAATTGTAATTTAAAACCCTGTTGTCTTAGTAAAACTATGCCGTCAACCTTCAATATGTCAAACTTTAAATTCTGTAAGATATATCAAGTACAGTCCTAATTTTAAATATTTAAGGTTTTCATTATTGGGTTTCAAATATTAAGGAATTCGAAAATTATTATTTGTGGCCAGTGTTCAGTTTTTATATGCTAAGATTTTGGCACGACTTTTTGGTTTTTTTCCGCTAAGTATATATTATTGTAACGTAAAAACTGCTTGGATTTGGCGTATTTTAACCTGAGAACGTTTACTATTACTCATTTGATTTTAAACAAATGCAGATTTTCGCAGATTTTCTTTTACTTTAGCTTGACAATTTAAAAAAAAAAATCAGTTATTTTTTTTCTTTTAAACGAGAGCTGGAACTTTTGTGTTGGACTATAATAATCCCAATCGCTTGATCTTGATATTTATCGTGGGCACGTTTATCTCTTCCTCTTCGTTTCCGTTATTCCTACATTCATTCGATATATATCATTAATAAGGCATTTATCTTGATTTCCGGTGATCCCATTCCCAGCTCTAATGTGATATACATTATATGTGCATTGTGCAGTGTGTAGTTAAGAATGTGAATGTAATTAGGATTTTTTTTTAGATCTTGGGAAGTACTGGATTTGGGTCCGTATATCGGCAAGTTTTTGATTGATCAGAAACCGTTTATGATTTCCAAGACCCAAAGAATTGAAATCTTTAATGAAGGAAGCCGACCTCTCCGCTGGTTTTCTCGAGATACTAATCCTGTAGATTCAGGACAATCATATATTCTTTGGAGAAAAAAAACATGTTAAGATCATAGCCAAGAATCTTTGCAGAGATGGGCAGATTCGTTTTACCAAAACTTTTAAAAGGTTTTACGACAATATGAGAAGGTTCCAACAATTTAAGACTCTATTCTCTAGAAGTTTGCTTTTATCAAACATGCAAATTTGTTACCCTATAGAAGAAATAATAAGACAACATTTTTTTATGGTTTTAAAACGATATTTTTTGGCCTTATACCACATATGATAACAAAGGAAAATTGAGTCTTTGCCACAAACTCAAATTTTCTATTTCCTATATTTGTGCAACCTAATGGTGTAGGCCTTTATAATATTTCAATTATTTGATCCAACAGAATTCATAGTTTGAAATATCCAAGGTTTGGTTGCAAAGATATAGGGATTAGAAAATCAGAGTTTGTGGCAACGACTTAATTCTTTCACATGCTTGATAAAAGCAAATTTACATACAATTTTAAATCGTGGGACCCATTTTAGATTGTCGTAAAACCTTTTAAAAGTCTAAAAATAATAATGTTTCTGTAAAACGATTCTAGCTATTGCCCATCGCTATTTGCAGTTAAAGGGACTGTAAACGTGATTTCAAGTGACCCTCCATGCACAGATGACAATGTCCGAATTGCAACTGTACCATTAAAACCTTTATCTGATCAATAATATGGAAGATACAGACGTTTTTCTGACTCGCAATGTGTTTTTCTACGAGTTTCCTAGTGCCAGAAAATGAAAATAAACATGCTAAGAAACAAAAACATTAATATATAAATCATAATTGCATGTCCAGACAAAGCTTTTACAAAACCTTAAGAATCGGACATTGCCATCTTTTCATGGAATTGGAGGTTCTCTGGAGATTAAGTTTATGCAGTTATATAATGAAAAATAAAAATGTTTAAATTTTTTTTTATTTCTCTAACCAATAAAAACACAAATATTTCATATTATTTTTTTTTTGTTTTAACTGCGCTGGAATTAATTTTTGTATGTAAAACTTTTTTGCATTTAACCGCTGGAATCACATAATTTTATATTATTTTTTCCCCTTTCAATCGCCACAATATGAGATGATTTTACATAATTTTTTTGTCTACAGCCGCTGTGTATGTAATTTTTAAAGCAAACAAATTATCTAAAAATCCTAGCGGTTGAAAGAATAAAGTGTGAAATTCACCTTAAAATACGATTTCAGCGGTTGGACCAATTTTTGATTAGTAAACAATTCGTATTTCTTATTCTAAACTACGTTGTAGAGTCTTGGCTATGATCTCAACGTCAACCGCTCAATTCAAAGTATATATATCATTGGATTCAGGAACTTGGCACCATTTCTGCTCAACATATGATCATAATTCTATTCATCTACTGACTGTACTAAACAAGAATATGATTGACAACTATACATTTACGCCACTTGTTTCTAAACTCAAGGGTCCCACACCGCTAATGTTTAATCATTACAAACCAGGTAAGAAATAGAATGGGAAAGAGATCATCCACTGAAATTTAAATTTGTCTATAGGAACTATAGTCCAAACTCCGATTTTCTAATCCCAATATATCTGCAACCCGATGTTGTAGACCTTTGATATTTCAAAGTATGAATTCAGTCTGATAAAATAAGTTTGAAATATTAAAGATTTAAACCATCAGGTATTGTTAAGAGAGAGGGATTAGAAAATTTTAGCATGTGGCAAAAACTCAGTTCATTTGTGTGGAAATTGTCTCAGAAATCGAGCCTTCGCCACGAAATCTGATTTTCTATATTACATATTTGCAAACAATGAGTTATGCAAGATCAAATAATCTAAGGTTTACGCCACCAGGTTGCAAAAATAAGAAAATTTGAGTTTGCAGCGACGACTCAATAAACTCTAAGTAGTAATGAGAAACTGATTTTTCGAAGTTTTGAATTAGTTTTTATTTTCGACAAAAATTGAACAGGGGGACGTTATTAGTTAGCCTGCAATAAGAACTTTTGATTTGTGAATCTAGGGATTCAGCATTGATCTTCATATAAAGCACGTTCTGGATTATTTATAAAATTATTTCATATGGGGTCATATTTTTTTCAGAAAGTTCTGAAGGATTTCGGATGGCACTGGATAATAATGTGAAGGTGACAGATGTTCAAGTCTGGAATAGGTTTCTTACAGTTGAGGAAATGATCGCCTATACATCATGTGAATTTTCTATTAAAGGTTATTTTTCATTATTTACATTCTCTCATTCAGGATTCAGAACTGTACCCTTGAATTGTTTATCTGATCAATAATGTGGAAGATATTGTCATTTATTAAAGTGTTTAATTGAATCACTTTTGTAGAGAAATCATAATAATTCGTTTTAGATATTAAAAACATGTTAAGGGTACGGGTAGGAACCGGGTATCTTTTCATGCATGGAGGGTCATATGAAATTTACGCTCACAGTCCCTTTATTGAGAAGCTAGAATAAAGAGATTTAATAATATTTTGGAAAAGCAGAATGCAAAACGACTGTGTAAATTCCTTACACAGATCGTCTCTGAATTCTCATCTCATGTAAAATATAAATCTTTCGAAATATTTTTTTTTGCTACGTAAAAAAAATTGATTTTTTTTAAGGCAAGATTTAGCTGAATTTTAAGCAATTTTTAAAAATGTTTTTTTTCCAAAAAAAAACATTTTATTTTCGATTTTTTAGAAAAATCGTCATTGCAATTTTAGGTTCAGTTTATCAATGGAACAGCAGTGATTGGACCTTTGCTGGAACCAACGTGACTTTGCTGAAATCTCAAGAATCAACTGTTGAAACAACGCATCTTTGCTCCAAGGTTAGCTAGAATAATTAATTAACTGAGTTATTGTCACAATTGTCAATAATTTTTAAAAAAGTGTTGAACATCAGCTTGCAAAGACACAGGGATTCAAAAACTCAGCTTTTTTGTTATTTACAATGTTTGTGCTCTTTAAACTTATATTTCTATCGTTGTCAGGGTTTAAAGAGCTTTGTAATATAAAGAGTACGTAGGCATTGGAATTTATGCGCAAAACCAGACGCCTCAATTGGGTTCAATAAGAAGCCAAACAATGTCGTCGTTTCTAAAATTTAAAAAGATTTAAAGACTTTTTAAGCCTTTCCATCACCAAAAGCTTGCGTTTTTTAAGTAATTTGCCGTTAAAAATACATAACTTTATTATCTTTTTAGATAAACTTTATAATTAAACAGATTGCAATGTTATAGTTAATGGCCTAAAATTCTGCTTTAGACTATTACAAAACTATATTTGATGACATCTAACAAATTTTGTTTTAAAAGGAATTGAGTCATTGCCCTAAATTTGAATTTTCTAATTCATATATATGTGCAACCTGATGGTGTAAACTTTTAATATTTCAAACTCAGATTATTTGATCTATCAGAATTCATAGTTTGAAATATCTAAAGTCTACGAACTTGGGTTGCAAAGCTATAAGGTTTAGAAAATCAGAGCTTGTGACAAAGACTCAATTCCTTTGTGGTATTTTTCATACAAATGAGATGCGTAACAAAATCACAATTTTAGTTTTTTTTTATGGAAGGAGAGCATCCCATCCTATAACTGATTAAAACAAATTTAGAAGTTTATAACCAATGTCGTTATTTTCCCACCATTTTTAGCACCTACAATGATTGATTTATTTGATAACTGGAGTTTTAATGTTTATTGTTTGAATTTAAAACCAATACTGCAGCCAATGACGTCATATAAAAGAGTACAGCGCGTACACACTATTCGGTAGGGTTTCCATTTTTCCGGAAAAAAATTTCCATTTTGGAAATGGAATGATCCGGAAATTTGTTGCGTAAACCGGAATTCCGGGATAATTCCGGTATAAATGGAAACCGGAAAAATTTCCGTTTTACGGAATGGAAACCGTAAAATTTCCAGTTTCCATTTCGTAAACCGGAAAAATTTCCGGTTTCCATTCCGTAATCCATTCCGTAAACCGGAACTTAAAGAATTTTTCTTATTTTAATTAAATTCATAATTACAAAGTTTGAAAATTTGAAGAAAAAAATCGAGGATCATTGCCCCCCCCCCGCTAGCTACTGCCCTGCTAGTGGTATAGTCCCCCCCCCTCGGTTTATCAGTTACATTTCACACTTAGTAACTTTGAATATTGATTATTGAGTATAACTTTTTCTACCGTCCGGCATCCATCCATATATTGTTAGTGTTACTAACTGGTGTTGTATTTACATATGTAAGACTTTAATGTAATTCTGGTACCAAATGTCCCGGAAACCGGAAATTTCCGGAACGATATTCCGGAAAATTACCGGAACGATATTCCGGAACGTTCCGGAATTCCGTAACGATCCGTAATTCCGGAACAACGTTCCGGAAATTTCCGTTTTACGAAAAAAGAATTGTTCCGGAAATCGTTCCGGAATTCCGGTTTTCCGGAACCTTTTCCAAAATGAAAATGGAAAAAATTTCCGGATCATTTCCGTACGTAAACCGTAACCCGGAATTCCGGTGGAAATCCTACTATTCGGATAAATTCCTAATTCTTCTAAACGTCTTTGGTTAGAATTAAAACTATTTTGTAAGTTGTTACATTTTCCCGAAAAAAGCAAGATAATTTTCCAAATCGGAATTCTGCAATTTAGAAGAAATATGAAGAACTTGAAGTATGGAAGAGATAATCAAATGCATGATATATAGTTTGGAGAACAAGAAACAAGTAAAATGAGTTGTTAAAACCTAGCCTAGGCTGTACGCAGTTTAAAAATAAGATTATATGGAAATGGAACAAAAACAAAACTGTTTAGTCTGAGTTTTTAGACCTTTGATTGTTCAAACTTTATTCAAATAGTCAAACTTTCTAAAATCAAAAATTTACTTATTCAGCTTGCAAAGCGCCTCGATATTTGAAAATCTGAATTTTTAGGAAAAACTTTTCTTGGTCCCTGATATGCTTAAGCATCAAGAAGCTTTAGATCAATGCAAACTTTTTGGAGGCGAAATGGCATTCATGGAAACAGCTCAGGTGTGTTTTTGAGTAATTGGAAAAATACATGAATACTAAATGGAGGTATTTTTTTTTAGGAAATTTCAGAAATATCCATTTTTACATCTATAAATATAAAAAGGATGGCATTGTCTTTTTCAAGAATTTGGATGAGGTAATTTTTTTTCTAAAAAGATATATTTTTTTTTGTTAGATAATTTCACCTTGTTAATTGATAGATTTACTGATGTTGAAGAAAATGATAACTTTATTGATGTGATAACAAAACAACCATCGAAAGGTAATTTAATGATGTTACATAGGAAGGTTCCTAAATGGTCTTTCACTTTGGCCCCTCTCCGATTTTTTCTCTTTTATTAGGCTCATGTTAACATTTTATACTTTTTCAAGGGTAAATAAACCTTCCCTGGGCCGGGGTAATGTTAGTGGCTCAGCTACATTTTGTCTAGTAACACCTTGCCTAGTTCACTTTTGCCTAGATAACATTTTACCCCGGTAACAATCCGCCGTTTCAAGTTTGCCTAGTAACATTTTGCCTAGGGTAACATTTTGCCTAGGGTAACATTTTACCTAGGTAATGCAAGAGCATTTTTTTTGCCTATTGCTTTTTTAAAAACAAATTTTGCCAAAAATGGAACATTTTTTAAAAAAGCTGAACCAGTTCAATTTTAATGAATTAAATGTTATAGGACAATTGAATTGTATCTTGTACAGGTTATATCTTTATTTATCATTATTTATCTTATTTTCTGCACACATAGTCTTCAGCAGCTTGCTGGTAAGGCCATGTGTATTCTTATCCCTGTAGTTGGGCTTACCCCGCATGGTAAGCCTTGCAGTTATCATGGGAGCCATTTTCAATGTGTCTCTTGATCTGATTGGTTTATATAAAATTGAATTATTAAAAAAAATTGCCAAATTTTTGCCAAAAAATTTGCAGATTTTTAAAAAAAAATTCTCGGATTGTTGAAAATTTCTTTGTGAAAAAATTAATGACTAGGCAAAAAATTCGCTCTTTTGTTACTCTAGGCAAAATGTTACCCTTGGGCAAAATTAATTAGGCAAAATGTTACCTGGGCAAACTGTTACCTAGGCAAAATGTGACTAGGCAAGTTGTAACTAGACAAGTTGTGACTAGGCAAATTGTGACGAGGCAAAATGCAGCTGAGCCATGTTAGTTACCTCAAAAACATTGGCCTTCTTGGTAAGAGCGAGTGACAGTTTCTAGTTTAACATTACATAAAACAAGAAACTTGTGATAATATAAGATCTTACAATTTATAATTACTTATTTTTTACAACTTTACAAGAAAGTAAAGGGATCTCTATTTCTCAAAATTGGTCGAAAGAACCCCTGGTAAAGTACAAATTTGAATTTCCTGAAAAAGTAGTTGTACACAATTTTATCGTCTTTTAAGATGGAAATGCCAGATTTTTGTCACGAAAACTTCGCAGAGCGGGTCGTTTGAAAATCATAGGTAAGTTATGTTGGTAAAAAGGCGGTAACAAATATTAATTTAGAACCAATACCGTGGAAGGTTGAGGAACCGAATGGAAACTATTTTGAAAGCTGTACAATACTGGATACTTCAATAGGAAAAGTATCAGACTTTGGCTGCACCTCTCAACTAGCCTTTGTGTGTCAACACGTCACATACAACTACAAACTAAAGTATTAACAACATTTATAAAGAGTGAAGAAAAAAATCTAACCTATAATTGTTGTAGAGGACTTTGTGTTGAATCTGCCATTGATAGAAAATTTCGGATTGCTGAAACACTGATGAACGATAAAAGATTTTTTATCAGTAATTACGGCTGGATTATATATTGGAATGGAAAAAACTGGTGCATTAAAAACATAGCTAAAGTAAGTGAATCTGTATATGAATAAAGTAGTAATCTCTGTTTGTCTGTTTGTATGTCCGATCATAACTAATAATGAATCCTTGGACCGACCGATTTGCCTCAAATTTTGATTTAGGGAATTCGGTAGAACCGCAAGAAAGTTCATATATCCTGGTTTAAATCTTTAAGATTCTGTGTTGAGTGTGTCAACTGTTCATGGGAAAACTCCCGGAAACTGGGTTTATAAAATTTGTGATAATTGTATGTTATAGCTTTTAAATATTTTTAACTACATACTTTATTTTTCTCACACATTATAAAAAGTAGCAGTTTTCATTCGTAGATATCCAAAGATGTGTTATAAATCGAAATTTTCCACGGCAACATTTTTTAATTGATAAATGATTTGTTTCAGTCCTCTAATTATATTCTGGGATATTGATATCCTCTTCAGTATTACAAATTTTCAGTAGAAAGATTAATTATATCCTCTACAGTAATATATCCAGTATGAAGATTAACTATTTGTTTCAGTCATCTAATTTCTGGGATATTGATATCCTCTACAGCTTACAAATATCCAGTAGAAAGATTAACTTTTTGTGTCAGTCCTCTAATTCTATTGGAATATTGATATCCTCTACAGCTTACAAATATCCAGTAGAAAGATTAACTTTTTGTGTCAGTCCTCTAATTCTACTGGAATATTGATATCCTCTACAGCTTACAAATATCCAGTAGAAAGATTAACTTTTTGTGTCAGTCCTCTAATTCTACTGGAATATTGATATCCTCTACAGCTTACAAATATCCAGTAGAAAGATTAACTTTTTGTGTCAGTCCTCTAATTCTACTGGAATATTGATATCCTCTACAGCTTACAAATATCCAGTAGAAAGATTAACTATTTGTGTCAGTCCTCTAATTCTACTGGAATATTGATATCCTCTACAGCTTACAAATATCCAGTAGAAAGATTAACTATTTGTGTCAGTCCTCTAATTCTACTGGAATATTGATATCCTCTACAGCTTACAAATATCCAGTAGAAAGATTAACTATTTGTGTCAGTCCTCTAATTCTACTGGAATATTGATATCCTCTTTTGTCACCTATCCAGTAGAAAGATTAACTATTTGTTACAGTTATCTTATTCTACTGAAATATTGAAATTCTCTACATTCACTGATCCAGTAGAAAGATTAACTATTTGTTTCAGTTATCTAATTCTACTGGAATATTGATATTCTCTACAGCTTACAAATATCCAGTAGAAAGATTAACTATTTGTTTCAGTTATCTAATTCTACTGGAATATTGATATTCTCTACAGCTTACAAATATCCAGTAGAAATATTAACTATTTGTTTCAGTTATCTAATTCTACTGGAATATTGATATTCTCTACAGCTTACAAATATCCAGTAGAAATATTAACTATTTGTTTCAGTCCTCTAATTCTACTGGTATATTGATATCCTCTACAGTAATACAAATATCCAGTAGAAAGATTAACTATTTGTTTCAGTCCTCTAATTCTACTGGTATATTGATATCCTCTACTGTCACCTATCCAGTAGAAAGATAACTATTTGTTTCAGTCCTCTAATTCTACTGGTATATTAATATCCTCTTCAGTCACCTATCCAGTTGGAAGATTTACCTGGAATATTGAAAATGATGCCTGCACAATAAACAAGGGTATTTTTCCCTAATAATAAATACTTCAAAATCTTTTTAAAAATGAAATAAAATGAAAAATAGTGATATTGAAATAGACATCGCACATCGTTTACGAAGATTAGACGTTAAATTATTACCATCCCGTGGACCATTTCTCCAGAGAACAAAACTAGGGTAGTTTTAGGTTTTTAGATCCGCGGAAGATAATTTACATCCGATTCCCTCTCCAGAAACATTTTTTTAGAAAATTAAATTAACTTCAGACAAATTGTGTCAAAAGGAATTGAGTTTTGGACACAAACTCTAATTTTCTAATCCTCTTATTTTTGCAATCCTATGTCGTATATACCTGTTTTGTGAGATCAAATTGTTTAATGTTGCAAAGATATAGGGGCAATAAAATTGGAGTTTGTGGCAAAGACTCAGCTCGTTTTGGTTCTTCCTTTACCCAACTTTCGTTATTAGCCCACACTCCCTTCATCCTTAATCTTAATCTTAATCCTGTTAAGATGCTGCCCTCACCCTAACCCTCACAAACTGCGCTGAGGATGAGTTTACTTGTGACAATGGGAACTGTGTGTCTATGGAGAAAAGATGCGATCTAGTCTCAGACTGTTTGGATATCAGGTCAGGACAAACAAACATGGTTAAAGATAAGCGTAATTTGAAGTGAACCTCCATGTAGAGATGGGAATTACAACGGTATCCTTGAAACCTTAAAGGGAGTGTTCGCGAAAAATGAAAGGGGGTATAGGCTTAATGCGATAAAAAAGCGCTTTTGATCGCTACTAATCTTACTTCTATCTGTTACGTCTATAGGGAGAAAACTGATAAAGATGTCTCATACCGAAAAGCATAGCGCCCATACAAATTGAGGAAGTTGGAACATACGACTTAGACCGTAAAAAAATCAAATTAATACCAAACAAATCATTCAGATATTACAACCAATAGTCACCGATTATCTTTCGCCACATTTGTATATATTCAATATTTCATACTAGTTTTGATTTTGTTTTTTTAAATAATAATTAGCTTACAACTTGTTTTCGAACATTCCTGGAAAATATAAAAATGTCGTCTTCATTACCAAAAATTCTCGAAACAGGAATAAACGTTTTTATAAGTAACTCTCAGATCATAACAATTAAAACATATTATGAAAAATCAACTAATATATATAAATGTGGCGAAAGATAATCGATGACTATAGGTTGTAATATCTGAATGATTTGTTTGAAATTATATTGATTTTTTTACGGTCTAAGTCGTATGCTGCAATTTTCTCAATTTGTATGGACACTAAGTTATTCAGTATGAGACGTCTTTAACAATTTTCTTATTATAGACGCAATAGATAGAAGTAAGATTAGTAGTGATCAAAAGCGCTTTTTTATCGCATTAAGCCTATACCCCTTTCATTTTTCGCGAACACTCCCTTTAATCTGATCAGAAATGTAGAAGATACCAACGTTGTCCTGATTATAAACGTGTGTGTTAACTTCTTATGATTTCTCATTTTCTTCTTAAGCAAGAAATGAGCCAGTCACTTTAGAAGAGAAACCGTAAATGAAAAAAGTTTAATTAACGAACTTACGTAATTAATTAATACACCGAATTGTAAATTGGACATTGCCACATATTTTTCGGAGGATAACTTGAGATTACAATAACAGTCCCAAGAATTTATGCTTGGTATGAAACATGAAAATGGAATATTGTCAAAAACATGTAAGCTTCTGATAAACATTCTCCCAAAACTGTAAAATAAATGCTTCATGCTCTTGATACGAACTTCTTTCATAAAATTGTCAGAAACATAAAATGATCAGTTTTTTTAAAATGTTGATATATAATTCATACTTTATAAGACAAAAGCTTTTAAATGGACCATAGTGAATCGGGCATTGCTATCTTTGCATAGAGGACCACTTGATAATGCACGTACAGTCCCTTTAAAAACCCATTATTTTCAGTGATGAAAAGAATTGTAAGATTGTTGTAATGGATGCCACAAAGTATCTACAAGATAAACCTCCAGAAGTAATATAAAAGATAACAAAATAAAAATTATAATTTGTAAATAAATAAATGTTGAAATGTGAAAAAAAATTAGAAACTATCCAAAAAAAATGATGAAATATCTAAAAAAAAGAATGAAATATCCAGAATAAATATTAAATTATCCAAAAAAATAAAGAAATTAAAAGTGAAAAATATGCAAAAGTAAATGATATAAACTTTCCGAAAAATATAAAAAACATTCCAAAATTAAAAATAAAATCTCCTAACATAGATTAAAAACATCCAAAAGTAAATAACAAAATCTTCCAAAATAAATAAAAAATTAAATGATAAAGTCTCCCGAAATGAAAAACTCAAAATATGATTTAATATTAATTTTTCTTTTAGGCTGCCCCTGGGGAAAAAACTGTAACTGTTTCAGTATCTGTAAACGTATTTGAGATACTGAAAGTAGATGAGGTCACAGAAAATGATAGTTTTCAAAAATAAATTGTTATCATATTTTTTTGGGAAAAGAAGATATTTATAAGTTTAAAAATAAGGAAGAAAACTAAAGTAAATCGGATTTTAGTAATTATGATTTATACAGTGATGACCAGAAAACAGTGGAAGAGGAAAACGACTTTGTAGCAAAATTATAGTATTCTTTGTTGATACAAAGCAAATTGTTTTACTAGGCACTATTTAAATCACTAATTTAGTAAAACGGGTCTGTTTACATTCCGCAATTCCTATTTCTCATGCTCATTGGACTATTAAAAGTTATAACTTGATTCTAACAGTCGTCTTCCTATTTTAGAGTTTTCTGGTTATCACTGTAAGACCTGACGTTTTGTAAGATTCTCATAGAATCTCTATCTGTAAATATAAAGTGCTATCCACAAAGGATAATACTTCAGAGAAGACTGTTTCCTTATAGCATCTGTTTCCTTATCACATCTTTTTCCTTATCTTATATGTTTCCTTATATCATCTGTTTCCTTATCTCATATGTTTCCTTATATCATCTGTTTCCTTATATCATCTGTTTCCTTATCTCATATGTTTCCTTATATCATCTGTTTCCTTATATCATATGTTTCCTTATATCATCTGTTTCCTTGTTTCCTTATATCATCTGTTTCCTTATATCATCTGTTTCCTTTTATTATATGTTTCCTTATCTCATATGTTTCCTTATCTCATATGTTTCCTTATCTCATATGTTTCCTTATCTCATATGTTTCCTAATATCATCTGTTTCCTTATATCATCTGTTTCCTTTTATCATCTGTTTCCTTATCTCATCTGTTTCCTTATCTCATATGTTTCCTTATATCATCTGTTTCCTTATATCATCTGTTTCCTTTTATCATCTGTTTCCTTATCTCATCTGTTTCCTTATCTCATCCTTATATTCACGAATTCTTGCAATGTATAAATTTGTTTATTTTTGACCAAAAAGGCAATTTGGAGACCATATTAAGAGCAGAAGACTCAATTAAACCTTTAGACCGTCATATTTTAAGAGTTTCATATCTCTACAGCCTCATATTTTGTGGGTAGCCCTGTATCCAACATATTACATATCACACAAGTTATTTAATCTTAGATAGACCATTCTTCATTATTTATTTGATATTTGGTGATATTGTAGAGGATGAAATCCCCGGAAGAGGATTATAAATCTACCAGAGAAGACCTACTCATCTTCCTCTCCTTTTACATCCTTATATTCAATGTTTATTATATCTAGAAGCACTAAAGGAATTGAGTCTTTGTCACAAACTCTGATTTTCTAATACCTATATCTTTGCCATCCAATTTCGTAGACGTTAGATATTTCAAACTATGAATTCTGTCAGATCAAATAGCCTAAGTTTGAAATATGAAGGGTTTCCACCATTAGGTTGCCAAGATATAAGGATTAGAAAATTTGAGTTTATGGAAAAAACTCAATTCCTTTACTTCATGAGAAAGATGAAGATATTAAAGTATTAATTCTAGATTATTCATAGGTTGGAGGAATATTTGAGACACAGCATGAAATTCAGCTGAGTTGGAGAGATTCAAGATTAAGTTTTTATAATTTAAAACAAGAATCATTCATGAATAAACTTGTTAGTCAGGTACTCAAGACAATTTGATTTGAAGAAGTTTACAGGTATTGGAAGCGTAATCTTAAGTCATCCTCTATGCAAAGATGGCAATGCCCGATTTACAACGGTACCGTCAAAAGCGTTGAGATATGTAAGCTTTTGTTACTTTAACCTGTTTATTTTCATTTGCGGTTTCTCTGCAAAAGTGAATTGTGCATTTCTTACTTGGAGCAAATTCACAGAAAAAAACAATAACTTCGGCATATTTTTGGTCGGATTAAGGTTCCAATCTGGTACCATTGTAAATCGGGTATTTCCATTTTTGCACCGAGGGTTCTTAAAATCACGGTTTCAGTACATTTAAAAAAAATGTCCTAACTTCTTAGAATAAAATAAAACTTTTAGAAAGATTCCTGTAAAATCCTTTGAGAAATGTAAAAAAAAATTATATTTAAAAATTACAATTTTTAAGGCAAATGACAATTAAGAATGACACGCGCATAATAAAAATTAAAATTGATAAAAAGGACAAAATTTCGAAATCTAACCAAAATAAGTTTAGAGTTTTAGAGTTTTTGTTTTTGCCACAGAGCTAGTTTTTGTTTGTTTAGTGTTTTTTGAATATTCCAAACCTAAAGCATAAAGTCCGCATACATAAGATTCATTTTATTAAAAAAGTATTAATCCTTTTTTAGAGATTATATTAAATATTTCATCAATATTAAAAAACTAATTATGTTTAGTTATCCTATTTAGAATGTATAAACTATTTTGTATATGCATAAATGTAAATTCTTTGATTATATTATTACAACTTCAATTAACTTATTCATTTATTTATTAACTTATTTATTCATCAATTTGGCATAAACATTAAATGCACTGTTTGAGTGGTTTTTAATTTGTCAGGGGAAAAAAATTAACATAAAATATTTCAAAGGAATTGAGTCTTTGTAACAAACTTTGATTTTCTAATACCTATATTTTTTCCACCTGATGGTGTAAACTTAGTTTCTTTCATCTAACCGAATTCATAGTTTGAAATATCTAAGGTCTACGGCATTGGATTATAGAGATTAGAAAATCGTAGTTTGTGACAAAGACTCAATTCCTTTAGGAGAAGAATTCCATATGGGTTCCATCAGTGACATTCTTGAACACTGCATCCCAAGACTTCACACTAAATGATATCTCCTCGTATGTCAAAGTGCTGCGTAAGAGTAACCTAACCCAAGTATCTGATATATCGCATGAAAACGCGTATATCTACGATGGAGATTCCAACCCCTTGGTTTTGGGTCGAGTATATAAAACATCATGGATTTGTCAGTACGATACTCTCTGGTACCCCTTTGATACACAGGTACACAAATACAATAATAACCCGAAAATAAGAAGACGACTTTTAAAATCAAGATAATTGTGCAGTGTAAACAGACCCAATTTACTAAACTAAAGTAATAGACTGACATAACATCAACATATACACACATTTAAAGAAGTATTATTTGTTTAGACGTGTAAACTTCAGTTTGTGATTGATTCTGATGCTTTATTTTTCATGAATCTAAGGTTGGCAGAAGTAATGATTTTTAAAACTAAATATTTTTAGAAGAATGTTTACTCTTATTTTGTCAAAAATATTACATTAAAACATTCTCTTGTAATGAGTCAGAAAATTAGACATACGTTCACATAACTTGTTTAAAGGGACTGTAAACGTAATTTTAAGTGACCCTCCATTGATAGAGGATCAAATCTTTGTCTAATATCAAGTATAAACTATAGCTGACTATGCTTTTGTCATTTTTTTGGTTTCTCTTCAACAGTGACATGTGCATACCTTGCCTTAAAAACAATGGAGAAATTAATAGAATTCAACACGTGGTTAAGCTAATAAAAGGATGATTGACCTGACCTGATTAATTGTATTCAAGAGGACTGTTGTGAATTTTTAATTTTTAAATAATTTTAATTTTTAAATAAAGGGCCACTTAAAATTACAAGAACAGTCCCTTTAAGTTTTAACGCCTGCTCTACACCACAGTAAAAGGTAGTAGATGTCTTTGTCACTAACTCAAATTTAGTAACCCTTATATTTTTGCAATCTGATGGTGTACACCTTTGATATTTCAAACTTAGATTGTTTGATCTGACAGAATAAATAGTATAAAATATCAAAGGTATCCAACATTGAGTTGCAAAGATATAGGGATTAAAAATGTTTGGCAAAGACTCAATTCCTTTGTATTGTATTATTTGTATTTTCAAGAAATGCTACGTATAACTACACTGGACCCATGGAGCTCACCCAATACTTTATCAGATCCTATGCTTTCAAAAAAGAAAGTGAACAGATATCTATTTATGAGGTAAAAAAATCATGGTTTTTTCCGGCGATATTATCCATCCAAAGGCCAAAATTTAAAAAGCTAAAAACTCCAAACAAAATGTTATCCCATTTTTAGAGTAAATCTTATAAAGTTTTTGAAGTAAAATATTATAATAATAATATTTTCGTAAAAATTTGCTGTTTCCACAATGACAAGTTTGAAATGGTCGGAAGGGAACCCAAAGAAAAACGGACTAGCTGACCCCAAGATATGAATGAGCCAGAAAAAAATGACTTTCGAGTCTATTTTGTTTTAAAAACTCCAGAGGCCGAATTTAAAGAATTTGAGCCGTGGTTTAAATTTAAGCCGCGGCCTAAATGTGCTTGGTTCCACTTAAAATTGTATCAAATGTTTCAAGATTTAAGTCGGCGCTTCATTTAATCTGGGTTTTGGTGGATTTAAGCTGCGGCTCAAATTCTTTAAATTCGGCCTCAGGAGAATTTTTAATTCATTCAAGTCAATATCCCCTTCTTCATAATTAGTAATTGCTCCCCTTTAACTATTATATAACTATTTTAGTTTGTTCTGGGAAGGAGACTGTTGGTTCACTTCCTAACAATCTACCTACCCACCTTGCTCCTAAACCTAATCGGTCACGCTACAAACTATTATATAACTATTTTAGTTTGTTCTGGGAAGGAGACTGTTGGTTCACTTCCTAACAATCTACCTACCCACCTTGCTCCTAAACCTAATCGGTCACGCTACGAACTATTATATTACTATTTTAGTTTGTTCTGGGAAGGAGACTGTTGGTTCACTTCCTAACAATCTACCTACCCACCTTGCTCCTAAACCTAATCGGTCACGCTACGAACTATTATGTAACTATTTTAGTTTGTTCTGGGAAGGAGACTGTTGGTTCACTTCCTAACAATCTACCTACCCACCTTGCTCCTAAACCTAATCGGTCACGCTACGAACTATTTTGATCATGAACATTTTGATGCCATTGTCACTGTCAATCTAACTGTAAGTTATTTTTATATCACGTCTAGCTTATGAAAAGTTTAAAGTTCTGACACTAAAAGGACCATTTTTAAGTAAAACCACTCCAGCATTAAGCAATGACCAAGTGTGCGCCGAGTTAGAGATGGGAAGTAATTGTTTCTTTGCCACAAAATTAAATTTTCTAATCCCTATATCTTTGCAACCTTATGCTGTGGACCATTTACATTTTAAACTTAGATTATTTGATGTAACAAGATTTATACAACATGCAGAACTCAACTTCTTTGAGAATGTAAGATATGTTGAACTGGATACTATAATATACTACTTTTTCTTAGTGTCGTTTAATCTGAAGATTAATGCAAATACAGTTCTGAAACGTTCTGAGTTTGTCACAAATAAAATTGTCTAAATCCAGTATCTTGCAACCTGATGGTGTAGACCCTTTTTTCAAACTTAGATTACTTAATCTAATAGAACTCAGAGTTTGAAATATAAAAAAGTATATTGGGTTGCAAAGATAAAGGGATTAGAAACAAATATGTTCATGGCAAGAACTTAGGTTGTTTCGAAGAAAATTCATCTGCAAAAGATACATGCGATCGAAATCAAAAAGCCAAAACTAACGTTCGAACAAAAGGCGTCCAGCGTCCACATTTCCACAATTTTCTTGTTGTCAGGTGATGCTTGTGTTGGTAACCATGTTTGTAAATATAAACAGTAATCTACCGAAGACAAGTTATATGAAGATGGTTGAATTATGGTTAATTGTTACACTCATTATTCCTTACGTGGAGGTTCTTATATTCACATACAAGGTAATTCCAGGGAAAGGAATTGAGTCTTTGCCACAAATTTTCTAATATCTATATTTCTAAAACCAAATGATGTAAACCTTTGATATTTCAAACTTATATTGTTTGATATAACAGAAGTCATAGTTTGAAATATATCAGGTCTATATCATTGGGTTGTTGAGATATAGGATTTAAAATTCAAGGTTTGTGGGTAATTGTATTCCCTGTAACGTAAAAAACGGCAGTACCAAGTACGATCCAATTGGGAAGATTTATTGGATCAAGGTCTAAATTTAGCAAAATAGAAAATCCACGAAACTATTTAGTTTCATAATGTACTTATGAAAAAATATGGCTTCGACAGTAACATTAAAAGCATAAATTACCAATTGAAAAGGCCTACAGTAGTATTCAGAAAACAACTGTGAAGATATTTTTGTATGAAATGTCTCTTCATAGATTCCGACCCCCAGCCTTTATAGGGCTTACAATTTTTACAAAGGATGTAGCTCACAAATGTTTAGGTGTATTTAGATATGAAGGAATTCTTTTTTGAAATTAAATTTAGCTTTTTTATAGCGTCATTTTTAACAGTTTTGGGTTTTAAATCTTTTTAATGTTTTTTTTCTACAGGAAATTTTAAGAATGAGAGAGGATGAGGAAAAGAAAAAGAAGAAACAGAAAGAAATTCAAGAATTGAATGTAACAAATCAACCTGCCTTTTACAGGTTTAAAGGGACTGTCAGCATAATTTCAAGTGACTCTCATCATGCAAAAATGGCAAAACACGATTCACAACGGTATCTTTAAAAAGCCTTGTCTTATCAAGTATTGACGGAACATCTATGTTTACTATTTGGAAAACTGTTTATTTCAATTTTTAATTGGGGTTTTTCTTTAAAAGTGACTGGCGATTTTCTTCTGCAGGAAAACAATGTAGGAATTATCAGAATCTAACACTATTCAAGTTAGAAAAACTACAAAATCTGACAAGTTATTAATCATATGTAGGTGTCAAGGATTCCCTTGTGAATCGAACATTGCCATTTTTGTACGGAGGTCCTAATTAAAATTACGCTTACGACTAATTTAGCAAAATCAATACAAGAAAAACTTTTTTTCATTTTTTTTCAGGAGACCAAGTATTGGAACTGGTTATAAAAATGCGAAAAATATAAGCTTTGTTGGTCTGCAAATGAGAAAAGAACTTTTTCCAGTTGCTCACTTAGATGTTGAAGAAGTGAGTTAGTTTAAGTCAGTAAACAGAAAAGTCAGAAATAATGCAAAATCATTTTAAGAATCATTCTGGATACGGAAAACAAATTATTTAAATTCTTAAGTGTTAAATTTTTTTCTTAATTTTTAGAAAAATCAGTTTCAATTGCGATGGGATAGTATTACTACCAGTTCTAAGATTAAGGTAGCTGAAGAATTACATGTTTTGTCAAGGGAAGGAGGTATAGGGCAGGGGGTAGAAAAATAGGGACTGTTTCATCACATTTTGGGCATAAAACATGATGGTTCGACTACTCACCGAGAGGTCTAGTCAGTAGTTACAATGCAACAGTGTCCGGTACAAGTAAATGCACATAACAAACAATTACACTAGACCGGTAAACAGGCGCGCAACTAGACATTTGGTTAGGGGGGGGCTAGGGTGAAATTTTTTGGCCCCCCCTAAACATTTTTAGGGGGGGGGGGCAATAAAAATGTGTGTTATACTTAAACAATAAAAAGCTAACTTTACCAACCGGATATTCAGTGAGTCAACACATCTGATATGAAATAAAAAAAATCTTTTCTGGTATAAATCACAAAAATAATTAATTTACAATTATTACATATATATATATAAATTTTCATTAGTTATACATAAATCAAATATGTACATTGTACTCAGAAACTGACAAGAAATGCCTTTCATTAAAAATACTTGATTTTACATGAAAAATATTTTTTTTTAATATGACACATCACACAATATTAGCGGTGAACATGTAGGATTAATTTAATAGTTGTACTACAGTATTAAAGCAATATCATAATAAGTGGCAGAACTGATAGTGAAAATATCTAAAAAATACTTAATAAACCCCCTTTCCCATTCCCAGGAAAAAACAGCATAATGAAAAAAACAAAGATTTTAAGGCACCTTGGAACCTTGTCAACCTGTTTTGATCTACGGCAGTAGTTAGGCTCGGAGACGAAGTGGGTCTGTGTGTGTGTATATGGTGTATTAAATGTTATATCGATTGAACTATAAGCTCAATAAACAAACGTTCAATTATCTTTTTTTTATTTTACGATAAGAGCTCTTAAATTTCCTCAGGGTCTGGATTGATGAATCGTTAAATTGCAAAACAGGGTGGACTTCGTCACTTTTTCGCCCCCCCCCTTACAGGGGGGGGGCAAGATTTCTTAAGGGAGGGGCATGCCCCCACCCTTAATCAGGCTAGGGGGGGCCTGGCCCCCCTGCCCCCCCCCTAGTTGCGCGCCTGCCGGGCGGTAAAACCTAATACTGCAGCTCGGATCATGAAATGACTGGACCGAGGAGTACTTTCTACATGACTAATTAGGACAGCGCCAGTACTAGTAAACAAACAACATCTAAGCATAAAATTGATCAAGCCCGGTCCTCCTTCCCTGATAAAGAGTATTAAGCCTTGTTTAAAGTATTTTTTATGGTTTACAATAAAATATAAGCTACCCAAAAACTGCAAAGTAAAATATAAACATTGAACAAACCATGTCAAAATCTCTTATTAGTTCTATCCTATTGAACATTGAACCAAGGTACACTAGATTTTTTAACATTCTTATTAAAGCAAATATTGTTGTTCCAGAATTGCAGAATTTTAAAATACTGCATCTACATATACATTAAAATATATTTAAATTAATTACTGGCTTCTTTTAGAGTGCGTTCTATACATGATTATTTCTTTTACATTCTATGTACGGCGATTTGCCGTGGATTTTGTGATAATGAACCTGGTCTTTACAATTTAGTTTTTATTTCATTGCAACCCTATGATCTGTGTATTTTGATAGAATCGAGGATCAATAATTTCGATATTTTATTTTCATAATATTTTCACTTTTTGAATTGTTAATAGCTTTCTTTTTTAGATGCTGGATATGATTGTATATTGGATTATACCTTTACTAGCAGTGCTGTTTGTTATGATATACTGGGGGGCTGGTATAGCAGTTTACTTTGATCCTAAACTAGCTGCTATACTCCTCTAAGTGGAACTATATATAGCTCTAAACTAGGGGATAATACAACAATATACTTTGACCCTAAACTAGATTCTATACTACTCTAACTTGAACTATAGCTCTATACTAGGGGATAGTATAGCAGTATGCTTTGATCCTAAACTAGCTTCTATACTACTCTAACTTGAACTATAGCTCCATACTAGGGGATAGTATAGCAGTATGCTTTGATCCTAAACTAGCTTCTATACTACTCTAACTTGAACTATAGCTCGGGGATAATACAACAATATACTTTGACCCTAAACTAGATTCTATACTACTCTAACTTGAACTATAGCTCCATACTAGGGGATAGTATAGCAGTATGCTTTGATCCTAAACTAGCTTCTATACTACTCTAACTTGAACTATAGCTCTATACTAGGGGAAGGGGATAGTTCAGCAGTATGCTTTGATCCAAAACTACAATTAGACCCATAAACTACTGAATAGGAAGAAGAGATTTTTTAAAAGTTAAAATATATGAGAGGATGTATGCACCATCGCTAACTTTAATACTTATCAATTAGCTTAGCTATCATATTACTATACTTAGCTATCACAATTTTTGTATTTAATGTGATTTATCAAGGAAATCCCAACTAAAAAAATCAAGAAAATACTCAGAAAAGATTAAAAACTGAAATTACTCAAGAAAATACTCAAAAAAGATCATCTATTTAAAGTATATAAGTTATCCAATGTAGTATTTGTGAGTAAGTAAAACTAATAGTATTACCTATAATAATAGCATGGGATGGATGCAGAATTTGGAGACAGTTATCTAATAGCTTTTCTAATCCATCTACAATAATTAAAAATTAGAAAAAATTTGATCCGGAAATGTAAAATTTTTATGTTAAATAAATATTTTATGAAATATAATTGTTTAAAGTAACTCTGGAAAGTGATTGGATGAGTTTTTAATCTTTTTTTTGAGGCTTTTTAGATTTTTAAAAGGTTCCTCAAAACCTGAGAAGTTTTAAAATTAAAAAAATTCTGAACATTTGCTTTTATCTCACATTTTTGACCCTGAGAGAAAGTATTTGCAAAAAAAGAACCAATATTCGTTTTCCCTTTTTGCTTATGTTAAAAATATTGAAAATTCTAATATAAGCAAATTTTAACAGAGTACAGTTTTGAAATGATGAAAATTTTACTAAAAGTTTTTAAAAAACGAACCATGATAAATAATAATCCAACCTATGGATGACTTGTCTGTGATTTGCAGAGAAGATTCAAGTTCTTGTAAAACTTCATCAATTACATTCCAATTTTCCAGTTTCATACATCCAGTACACTGATAGTCTAGGATACACTTTTATAAAGGAATTGAATTTTTTACCCAAATACCTTTGCAAGCCATGATGGTATTAAACCCTTGATATTTTTAAACTTTGACTATCTTTTTTAGCAGAATTTTTTCTCCGAGAACCAAAAAACTATAAAATAGGAGGAACACTTTAGACTTAATTTATGACTTTAAATATACAAAGGAATATGATCAGGGGTCATTATGATTCCCAAATAAGCTGATTTTCTCGATCCCAAAATAATTTTTAGCCCCAAATTTTGAAAAAAAATGCCCCCTGTTAAAATTTTTTTTTCAAATTCCACTAACACATTTGCCCCATTGCCCCCAATTTGAAAAAAATGCCCCCAATTTAAAAAAAAATGCCCCCAATTTTTTTTAAAATTATCATTTCAAAAAAATTTGCCCCCAATTAAAGAATTTGGCCCCATTTCATTCAAATTTGTTAATCCCAAATGGGATTGAAAAAGGAATTATATTGACCCCTGAATATGATACATACTAATTGTGTAGTCTTAGAAGGCCCATTTTCTAATTAAGTAAATTAAAAAGTTTCTGGTAAAACTATTTGCAATTGTAACAACATCTAATTTATTTCATTAATGCTTTAATGTTATTTCCCTATTTCTCAGAAGACCATGTCTTTTATCGGACTCAAAAAGTGTTATTTTCTGAGAATTTCTCCATTGTTTTTAAAAAACAAAAATTGTGCAAGTACATGTTTGTAGAGAAACCACAAAACAAAACAAAATGTAAATTGTACATATATATATATATATAATTCATGCTTGATCATACAAGACTAATTAGGGTACCATCGGCCATTGTCATCTGAAGCGAAACAAATATTTGGTTTGGTTTGGTTTACCAGAGTTGAATTGTAGAGGATACTGGGGTAGAAGAACTCCGGAGCAAGAATTTCTGGCAAATGTTAAAAAATAAAAATAAAATAAAATATATATTAGATTACGGTATACAGGTTCATTACATGTTCAAATTCCATTTTAAGGCCAGCAAAAAGTGGTTTAATGGTTTGTGTGCTAGGTAGAGACGGACGCGTTTGGCTTTTTGCATTTTTTTCGTAAATCGTTCGTGAACGACCCATTTCGTTTTTTTTTCAATTGACAATTTTTTTTTATTTAATTTGTTCTCAAAATTCTCAAAATTCGTTTTACATTTTTTTGTCCGTTATTTCAATGAACGATCGTTTAATACAATCTTTCGTTTAATTATAAATCGATGTTTTTTTTCAAAAGTTTTTTTTTTAAATCATTAGTTGAGTAGAAAAAACGATCGTTTTTTCAAATTTAAAAAAAATTAGTTCGCTCAGCAAAAAACTGTCGTTTTTTCAAGTTGGATTGAATGATTTTAAATCCTTCGTTTTTTTATCGGTCATCTTAAGAAAACGATAATTTTTTCATTTCTCTGAACGATCCATTTCGTTCATCCATTGTTTTTTTTTATAATGACACCCTTATTCACGAGAAATTTCTGTCGTTCTCAAAAATTGTGTTCGTTCTAAAAACGATGCTTATCTTTAGTGCCAAGGAGGTTTAAAAATGAGGGGCAAAAAGAGGTTGGAAAAGTGTAATAAATAAAAAAATTCGTTTTTAAAAAATATGAAACATGCATTAAACAATTGTAAAAGTTTTTAAATTTTATGGTTAACATTGCAGTTTTCACACATAGGGGACTCATACCTTTTACACTGTATGCCTCCAATATACGTGTTAAGCTCTGTAGAATCTGCACACCTAAAGTATAATATAAAGTAAGTTTGTTTAATTTTAGAAGTTAAAGGGACAGGAACTATTTTTTAAAATCTTTCATTACTTTTTTTTAGTTTGTTTCTGTAAATTGTCAATGAGAAACTACTAATTTTTTTTCATTAAAAGTAATTTTATATTTTTTTTCATTAAAGGTAATTTTATATTTTTTTTCATTAAAGGTAATTTTATATTTTTTTTCATTAAAGGTAATTTATATTTTTTTTCATTAAAGGTAATTTATATTTTTTTTCATTAAAGGTAATTTTATATTTTTTTTCATTAAAGGTTACTTTATACTTTTTTCATGTAAACCATTTTTTATAATTTCGCATTGCCTAGAAACAACAGAAACAACTCTCTGCAAAAATATATATAATATTGAAAGATTTTGAAATCATTGTTCAATGTTCATCCTCTGTAACTTTTAACTTTCGCGAACACGCCCTTTATATGAGTGCTAAAAAAAGTGTTTCAATACATTCATAGAAGGGTTTTTGATAAACAATTCACAATTCTCAATTTTTTGAAAACTAGAGTTTAGATGGACATATGACACTAATATAAAAATAAAAATTGAATATTTCACAAAAAATCTTAATTTTTTATTTACCTTGAACAACTGCAGTCAAAATACCATCCATTCCTACACAGTTCACATTGATTTCATAATATATTCATTTCATACAACTATTTCATTTTCTTAGAAAAGTTTTCAACGGATTCGAAAATTGTTAGTGTTGTGAGGCATTCTTAGATAGTTGCGCAAGCGACAAGAGAAATAAACAAATCAATTAAAAAATATTATAAAATATAAACTATATACAAATGTGGCGAAAGATAATCGATGACTATAGGTTTGTCAACCATTAACATTAAGACCCCTCCCTCCATGTAATGTCGTCTTCAACCTAAAAGCTCCTCTCGGAGACGAGAAACCAAACCAAACAATTTCAGCCCGCTTTTCTTCTTTGTTCTCCGACAACGGAGTATAAACGTTTATTAATTGTGAACCACTTCAAAGTTAAGCAAGAATATTTTCATATAAAGAATTAGTGACTTTCCTCAACATTTAATTGTTACTCTTTTCAGAAGTTTTAATGTATAAAAAGCGTCTTAGGACTTTTCGACAGTTAACCCACAAATAAGCAAATAGATCGTAAGAATCTTTTCATTATAAATTTGTAAACCCTTGTAATAATTATTTATCATTATTCATTTCATTTTTTTTAGGAAATAAAGAGTTTTCTGCATTATCGATTTTGATTTGAGGGTTATTCCTTGTCTATCTGTTCATCGTCAGAATCTTGTTCCTTTGCGACAACAAGGTTGTACTATCTGAATGATTTCTTTGAAATTAAATTGATTTTTTACGGTCTAAGTAGTATATTGCAATTTTCTGAATTTGTATGGCCGCTAAGTTATTCGGTATAAGACGTCTTTAACAATTTTCTCCTTATAGACGCAACAGATAGAAGTAAGATTAGCAGCGATCAAAAGCGCTTTTTTATCGCATTAAGCCTATACCCCCTTTCATTTTTCGCGAACACTCCCTTTAAAAGAATAAAAGATGGGCGCAAAGCACCCTGATTGCCTAGTTTTAAATAAAAGAATTAAAGTTTATATTAATAATGTGTGCCTTAGAAACTGCCGTCTTCTAATTGTACTCTCTATACGTAATTTTCAATATTTTCAATTCTTAGTATTGAAAACTATATAATTTAGTACTGAAAACTATATAGTTTTCAGATGTTTTATTTCAGATTTTATGATTGAAAACTATATTTAGTACTGAAAACTATATAGTTTTCAGATGTTTTATTTTAGATTTTATGATTGAAAACTATATTTAGTACAAGATACAAGGCAGCTGGGGATTAAATGAGATAGAGAATATAACTCGATCTGGTTTCTCCTTTTTCTCCACTTTCTTTAAAGCAACTTCTCTAGGTTTAGCTTTAGCTGAGATGTTTTATTTCAGATTTTAGGTTTATTACCTAACGTTTTGTCCGTAAGTCGAACTTACCGATTGCTTCTCAAAATTACAAATATTCTGGTAAACATTAACAGTATGTTATGGTATGTACATAGAAGTCTTTGCCTCAAAATCAGATTTTCTAATTCCTATATCTTTGCAACCTGATAGGTTAAACCTTTGTTATTTGATATTTTAAATTCATAGTTTGAAGTAATTAAGGTCTACACCATTGGGTTGCAAAGATATTGGAATGAGCAAATCAGTTTGTTTGGAAATTTCTTTATGTGGTTCTTACTGATCAAGTTTAATAGTTTTTGCATTTTAATTTTAACTACTCAAATTAAGAATTGTATATTTAATCCAAAAACAAAAATATTTCTTATAAAAGTGAAAATTTCCTAGATTTGAAATATAATGGTCCAATAGCTCTTCACCTTCTCTACAAGAAAACACAAAATTTTAAATTTTTTTTCAAATATTATTTTTTTAAGAAAGTATTTGGGTTAAAATGTGCATTAGTAGAAATGGTGCCAGCATGTTTCAAACATTTTTCAGGGCCAAAACATGATTAAAGGAATTGAGTCTTTGCCATAAACTCTGATTTTAACCCTATATTATGCACTGCTCTAACTAAATCTTTTTTCTTTGCATCCTTATTGATAAAAATGTTACTTTACTTTAGAACCATCTTTTTAAAAAAACATTTTGAACATTTTTTTCGTTTTTTTTTATTTTTTCTTGACAATTCAGTTGTCTGAATAAACAAAATACATGACAACTTCAGTAAAATCAAAAACGACTATAACATTCTGACTTAAGAAGATGTTTATACTTCTAAAAAGTTGGAGGGCAATATAGTTGTTATTCACTACTATTAGTGAACTCAGACTATTTTAAGATATTCCTGAGGAACTCTTTAGAAAATATTGGGAATAGTTCCCAGGAAATTACCAGGAATTGGTTCTGAAGAATTATTCACTGGAAATTCTCAAGAATTTCCACAAATTTTGTCGAAATTTTCTCCGGTTTTTCTGCAGAATTGGTAACAAGAAATGCCCGGAATTGGTTACAAGAAATTCCTTGGATATAGTTATGAGAATTTCCTCGGAATGGGTTACAAGAAATTCCTCAGACCTGAGCTGAAAACTTTAGAATGGTGGATATCGAGATTAATGATTGATCATCTCTTTTTTCATAATATCGAGACTAACCTAATTATGTACTTGTATCCTGAAAAGTGTATAAAATTCAACCAATCAGAGTCGCGTATATGAAGCCGATAAATTTGAAATTTTGCGCGCCATTTAAAATTATATACAGAAATAGGAGAAACACTCTAATTTAGAAAAACCGGCTTTTGATTTTGCCCTACTAAATCCAAGAAAGAACTGTTTAAGAAGAAAATCAAAAGTTTGTCCATTGGATACTGTGATTAAGTAATCTGGATTAAGGATATTTCATTCTAAAGTTTTCAGCTCTGGTTCCTCGGAATGGTTTACGAGAAATTCCTCGGAATAGCTGTCGACATTTTCACCGGATTTTCCTGTGAAAGATTCCTGGGAATTTCCGCGGATTCCCAGGAAAGATTCCCGGGAATTACTGCGGATTGTCCACAAAATTGTTACTTCGGATATCTTTGCTAACCCATGTCGTAGATATTACACTTAGATCAAACAATCTGAGTTTGAAATATCAAAAGTTTAACCCTCAGGTTGAAAAATATAGGAATTAGAAAATTTTAGTATATTGCAAAGAAATTTTTAAATCTAAATGTGACAACCACAAAAATAGGAAAGATTAAGATTAATTGAAAAAATAATATTCTCAAAAGCAAAAGAAGAATTAAACCAAGAAAAATGATCTGCGCGAAGTTTACCTAATTAGAACAGTTGCTGCGCAGGTCATCCATCCTCCATCTTCTGTATCCTCATACACGTACTAAACAAATATTTACATTAAAAGTTTAAACTTTTTATTTTAAGCATTTTTATTTTTTGTAAATTTTACCTTGACATTTGAGACACATGAATGTGAAAGCAGGGCTAGGAGAGGAAAGACGCCTCTTCCTCTTCCACCCTTTACAAGGTTAATTTCAAAGGAATTAACCTCTAAACATCCTGAAAAAAACATAAATTAATTAAGATTGTATGTCCTATACACGATAGCCCTTTATCTTATAGATGACTTCAATTGAAAATAAACAATTTTTAGTGATACCGTCACTTTTACTTGAACTAAGGTTTACAGCTGGTACCATTGCGAATCGAACATGGAAAACTTACAATTTACTTATGGATAAATATGTTAAATTAGCTTGGGAACCCAGCTTTCCCTGGATATTTAAAGAATTTATAAAAGCATGTTAAAAAAATTTGCACAGTTTTACTAAGTTTCCCCATTAAATTGAGGCAAATCGGAAAAAAGAATTATATTTTGACATACAAACAAACAGACAAACAAACGAACAGAGATACATATTACCTATTACATGATTTATTTCGTTTCTTGAAAAATCCAGCTTCCAACTCTTTATCAAATAGTCTACTGAAAAACAATAAATTCTAAGAAAGAGTTTAGGTAAAATGTACAGTTTTTGAATTCCTATATTTGTTTAAAATGTACAGTTTTTGAATACCAATATTTGTTTAAAATGTACAGTTTTTGAATACCAATATTTGTTTGGCAGATACTCCAATGTTCTCCAACTTCTGCCTTTTCTCTATGTGCCTCCTGACCCTAGAGTTTTGTCATATTTAATTCATTTCATACTTTCACTAACACATTTCTCTGCATACGACTTTATTGAAAAATGAATCAGCTAAATGAGTGAAAGAATAAATATTATCTACATATGAAATAGAAACAAAAACGCTTTCTTTATCAAATAATGTTTAAAGGGTACAGTTTCTAATCGGAGATGTTCCTTTTTAAATGGAATGTAACTTGAAAATTTACCTTGATTTTTATATACTTTTCAGGCCAATTATCCCTTGTCAGTAAGCACCTTAATTGTTTCCAATTTCAAACAAATTTCTTTAAAAATACATAAATTTTTGTTGTTTCTATAAAGTTTTTTTTTAAGCTCTGATTAAAAGGATTTCTTCTAAATTGACCATGTTAACAAATAGTTTTTTTTAAATTTTTACGATCTTTAAATTGTTAACTGAATTGAATCAACAAAAATTAATAATATTAAGTTCAATTTTTTTAATTAATAGTTTTATAAAATGTTTACCTCAAAGGTGTAATACACTGGTATAAAGGACAAGCTGGAGTGAAATCAGATATATCAATCTTATTTCTGAATATTTTATTGATCTTATTTCTTAAAATATTAAATTCATTTTATTTCTAACATTTAAATATTTAAATTTTTTCTTTGACTGAAAAAAATATTTTATCCTGGTTGTTGAGTCACTGGAGGACTAGGGTCAATTTGAATTCGAACCGGACCGGCCCCTTGTACCGGATTTAGTGACGCGCGGCAAGGACCGTCCCGACCCTATCCTATCCCGGCTCAGATTCAACTTTGATGGCGCGGCCAGACTTTTTACAGAACCCGGCCTATTAGACCTAACCAAACCCACTAGCTTAGTTTAGTGTAGAGAAAGATGTTATATTCTTCTTATTTAAAGGGACTGTCTTTGTATTTTCAGGTGACCCTACATTTAAATCTTTTTATTCTGATGTACAAAATGCATAATTGACACTTGATAGAGAAATCACAAACAACCAAAAAACTTTTTCAGAAAAGATGATGATAAATATCGTGCATCAGACAAATTTTAAAAGTTACTATGTGAAACGGAGATGCCTCTCTCTAAATGAAGAATCACAGAAAATTACGTCTCTTTGAAATGTTTGTCCTTTTAATAAAATCATAAACAGAAGATCGTAGTTAATGATCTATTCCTAACACCTTCCCGAAATTCGCATGATTAGAACTCCAAAGAAAAACTGAATTTTTAAACTCATTTTTCATTGAAATGTGAATTTTTGAAATGTGCTGCAGCTAATAAAATATGTCTCATTGCTTAGACAAATTGAGCTCTTGCCACACACTTAATTTGCTAATCCCTTTATCTCAGATTTTTCAAACAATGAATTATGTTAGATTAAATAATACAAGGTTGCAAAACATAGGGATTAAAAAAAAATTGGAGTTTATGACACAGACTCAATTCCTTTTCCTTTTTCTTCCATCCTTTAAAAATATGAGAAATAGACAGGGTTCAAGTTTAACTCTCGACCCCTTAATCCTTGAAGTTTTACAAGTTCAAAAGTTCACTGCTCTGACAATAAAATATTTTAAAAAATTTAACAAAAGAATTGAGTACTTGCCACAAACTCTGATGTTCAAATTCATACTTTTTTCAGCCAAGTAGTATCACAAACCTCTAATATTTCAAACTATGAATTCCGATAGATCAAACAATCTAAGTTTGAAATATCTAAGGTCTATACTATCAGTTTGCAAAGAAATAAAGATTAGAAAATTTGAGTTTGTGGTAAAAACTCAATTTCTTACTTTGCAAGCTGGAAGAGATTGCACTCAAAAGTTTGATGATCTCCTTTGCACTCAGGTTTACAGAGTGGTAGATAACAGTCAGAGCACTTATACTCTCCAGAAACCTAAACCGAACAAACCAACAGATTATCATTAGAATTGGAATAATTGCAGAATTAAACATTTGACTCGATTCCTAATTTTCAAACCCTTTTATCTTTGCCAAATGGTATATTTTTGATATTTCAGAATTAGACTATTTAATCTTCATATAGCTGAATTCATATACTTTGAAATATCAAATATCAAAGATATAAGCAAATTAGAATTTCCTTTCTCAAAGTTTTTTTTTCAAAACTGCCAAAAAATCAAAAAGTCAACAACTTTTTTGGAATCTTTTTCTTTAATTTCTATAAACAAGATTGATGTAATAAAAAATATGCGTTTTGAAATATTACCTTACTAAGGCAGTTTAGACAGACTGGTGAAGTATTATGTAGTGGGCCTTTTACAACACATTTTTCCCTGTAATAAAATACTTAACATTTTCTGCATAATGGAACTGATCAAAGTTATTTCAAACAATCCTACGTTGTAAAGTGTGGTACTGGTATGCCCGATTCTCAATGGTAAACTTTAAACCTTTGTTTGATCAAAAATGGACTATATTTTCATTGTGTTTTCTTTTACAGTGCGGATTTTTGCTGTGAAGACAACGAAGGAAATAGTCTGATAAATCACTTTTGATGTAGCAAATCGGCGAAATCTTCCTCATTGTTGCTATAAAGCACTTGTTGTTAGCTTTGGTTTTAAAGAAGTAATTGGCAAAATTCTCATCGTTCTTTGCTTGAGATTAATTCACAGTGATTACGGGACTACAGTAGTAACCTTAAGACGACAATAATTCCACTTTTTCAGGTTTCCGTTGTAGAACCAGCTAAAAGTCGAGTACTATGAGTACTTAATTTTTATTACAGGAAAAGATTTTATTGAAAAGAAAGTTTTAGACACAAACTCAAGTTATCTAATCCCTATATCTTTGTTATATGATTGTGTAAACTTTGACATTTCAAACGTTTACTTATTTATAACAGAATTTATAGTTTGAAATATCTAGGATCTACAGCATCGGGTTGCAAAGATATTGGGATAAAACTTAGAGTTGGCAAAAAAATAATTTCTAAAAATGAAAATTTTGAAACCTGCCTGAATATTATTTGTCCAGGTTGGATGGTGGTGGTTGCAACAAGACATCTACCTCGACCCTCCTTCCACTCTATCCTGTACAGTGTACAGTTTACATGTCAGTGTTTAGGATCTTGATAACAGATATTTGGGCTCTCTGAAGCCGGATTCACAAAAATACCGGATCACAATGGTAAATTATTAATCTTAAATATCTCAATTGGTAAATCATGTTTCAGCACAGAACTTGGAGGAAAGGTAGCAATGTTATTTATGATCTTTACGACATAGAACCGCATCCTCTTATTTTTCTATTTCGCACCAAGAATGTCTGCAGGTGAGCCCCCCCCCCTTCAGTGGCGATCTTAAACGTATTATTATGACGATCTGAAGTGATTAAAGTTAGCTTTCTGACACGAATATATTTTGTGAACTGTATATTCAATGATTTGGTAAAGAAAAAGAGAAAAATCAATTAACAAGCAAAAACTCAACAAATTCTGACTGAATTGTCTCTTACGTCTAATCCTTCCTATAATACGACTGGTTTCACGTCACATAAAAGACAAAGAAAATGTGGAAACCCTAAAACCAAATAAAAATTAAGTTTCGTACTTGACCTGAAATTTACATCTCCTGGAGTTTCAACAGAATCCATCAATAAATTAAAATATTCATCCATTTTCCTTTGAAGATAAAAAATTTATGAAAAAAATGAGATTTTTTCCCCCGTAAAATATTGACCGTATACAGAAATACAATCTTGTTTACCAAATTAAAACTTTAAAAAATGGGATTTATTAAACTTTATGAAAATCCGCTAAAAGGGGTGTGCACGTAATTTCAAATCATTTTGAGGTTTAAATGTCTGATCACACCCTTTGCTAATGATGGATGTCAAAGTCTACTATACAGTCATTGAGAATACATTGCTACTTTTGCTGAATCAATATGTTTAAAAGATGCATTCCTGAAATTATTTAAGTGCTGACTAAGTATCTACTTGTAAATGCACAATTTAATGTATATTCATTTGAGATTTCGATATGTTGTTTCAACAAAACCGATCAGAACAAAATTATCAAATATTATATTTTTAATTGGCTCATATTACATTTTCTTTTGTGTTTTATTTTTAGCTAAACCATGCTTACATTATTATTTTGTATTTTTTGTTTGAAAATAAATACTTTAAAAATTGAATATCAATATTTCTATGGATTGGTATTCTACAAAGGTCACTTTCACATTTTTACTGTGAACCGGGTTCAATAAATAGTGGATCACTTGAAATTATGTTTACAGTCTCTTAAATATTTATTCTAAATGAATTTTAAAAATCTTAAAAGGATTGTCTAACACAGGGTTTGTGATACTTTTGCTGAAGACGACTTTCTGTAGTTTCTATATTACAAACAATATGTTTAAATCCATTTTTCAAAATAGTGGAATGAGTATAAATTTATCTATGCCTGTTTTAATGAATTATCGAAGACGACATCAATTACCAAAATTATCACGTTAAGAATGAATAACACAGAATTATCTATAGATGTTACAGTTTAGATACTTTCTTTAGACTTTGTAAGCTACTACTGAACAGTTACGATAAGATTCGATACTATAGATGAATACTGAGTCAGCAGAATCATGTCAATATGGAGGGTGTGGGGCGGGGGTCAGAAACATATGTAGAGGGGAAAAAGGTTTGAAAGTGAAAGTCTTTCACCCCTTTCGTATAAATGTATGACGAGGGGAGGAAAGTCAACCACATCAATCTTTAGTCCGACCACATTCTCATCATTTTCTCGTCCGAACCACATCGAAATCCTCGTCCTTTCAATATTATTTTTTTTTACGTGTTTAATCCTTCCATATCAAACTATTTCTGAAGAATCAAGCCACGTTAGGACATAAATGACGTATCAAATTTCCGTAATCAAAGTAAAAAGTTTCAATTGAATGAAAGATTTCAAGTTTAATGTCCTTAATAATGTACTCCTTTTTTACGCGCATTTTCAGATATTCCTGGTGTAGAATGCCGCAAATAATTCCAAGTTAATAGAACTTTAATCTTTTTTGTTAACTATAGTGAAAACCATAGAATTTTTACGGGTGGTTCCATGGGGAAAATTATAGGCAGAGGTATGCTGAATATTTTTCTTTTTATTTTATATCACCAAGGTTAGCCATTATGGAGGCAGAAGAGATTTAAGTTTTACCTAAATAATGTATGACATCATTCTTGTGGATTTGAAGATTCCAACATCCCAAAATCCTTGGAAAACTTTATTCTAGTCATGTTTTATGCCCTAATGTCGCCATATTTTTAAAAAATATATTTATTTTCAAGGATCGGACACTTAAATGAAATAATATTGAAAGGACGAGGATTTCGAGGTGGTTCGGACGAGAAAATGAGGAGAATGTGGTTCGGACTAGAGATTGATGTGGTTGGCCTTCCTCCCCTCGTATGATCCTTATTCCTACTAAGTAGAAAAATTTGAATTATTTAAAAACGAAATTGTCTAAACACCCTTTAAACACGGAGATTTCTAATTGAACGTATTTATAAAAGGTTGTAAATATTATAACTATTGTATCAAATGTAGATTTTCTCGTTTTTTAATTCCTGAGTGAACTTTTTTAAAGAATTTCCTATTAAAATTACTACTATGATACAGTGAAACCCTTAATAAAGAATACATCGGAAGAATTTATCAAATGTCGTCTTGACAATTTTTCAATAAGTTTTATACTATATTACGTAAATTTCAGTATTTGCGAAAATAAATAAATAGCCATGAATATGCGAGAACAGTTTTAAAGAGTTCCATATAATCATTCAATTAAAAAACTAAATATCTGCAGCATTCCATTATCAGAAAGTGAAAAATACGACATTTGATGAATTCTTTCGATGTATTCGTTATTAAGGGTTTCACTGTAATAAATATTTTTTAATGTATTTACGATCGATCTTTGTTTGAAAAATAAAACGTAAAATAAAAAATGAAACATCTTTAATTACAGCTGTAGGATTAAAAATAGGATCGACTGAAGATTTTTATGATAATTTAGATAATTTTAAAAACAGTTGAATTTTGTTATAATTTTAAAATTTTGTTTTTATAATCACATATTTATTCATTGACTTTTACAAATTTTTTTCCATCTCACATTTGCTTTTTACGGTTTTTACAGAACTTTAAAACTTTCATTACTTTTAGCTTTTCCTTGAAGAGAACAAATAGAGTATAGACATTTTACAGATATTCAATAGCGCAGGTAGGATAAAAAAGATATTATAAATATAAGAAATTGTGTATTTTGGAAGAAAATACACATCAAATATTGGTCTTCCCGCTTTATCATAAATATAAGTACTATTCATTCTTAAACAGTATCTGATTCAAGTCAAACAAAAGTAGTTGTGCGTAAGATGAAAAATGCGTTTAACTATAACTCTTTCAATAAAGAACAATTGAGAAAAAACGTATTTTTTAATTTCAAAAATGTTACTGGAAAACTTTTTATTTTACTAGTGCTTGTAATCATTAATAGAGGAGCCACGTGGGCACAAAGTCGTAACATTAATATCGCAAAAATTTAACCGTAACTTCTTATATTATCCAATACAGTGTCGATTTAATTAAATATTCCTTTTCGCAGAGACTCTCTACGGTAAAGTTTGAAATAAACTCAATTTTACCAAATCTTCATTTTTACTTATTTACTTCAAAATATAACTCAATTGAACACCAAACAAATACTTTATTGATTAAATAGGAATAAAAATCAAACGGTGTATATCAACACAGCGATGGTAGGATTCATCATGATTACGAACCGCTTTGCCGTGTTCCTCGAGAGCTCGTACTCCACTGCCCTAAGCCTAGCCTCCTGCTCCTATCTTCCCGATTCAGATCGATGAACCCACGCCATCGGTAACATGGGGACGCCGTCGGTAACAAGGTTTGGCTTGGTTCTTTTAATAGAATATTTACCAGCGACAAGGAAAGCCCAACCCGACCAGGGTATTTATTTTCTGCTTATTGTCAATTTATCAAAAAAACATCCTTCTGGCTCGGGTTACACTACAACTCTAAGGGAAAACTTTGCAGTAAAATAAGAACTATCTTAGAATTTTATTTCTTTAATAAACTATATTAAATTTAAACGATATTCTAATCGGATTTTAGAAACATGCTCTGCTTGATATAATTTTTGTCATCTTCATTCAATGTTTCCTTCAAAGATGACAACGAGAATGCGTATCCTTGTCCTTGGTCGCATTTTCAGACAGATTTTATAGATGTTTCATATCAGTTCCCATTTTTCTATTGAGCAGAATAGTTTCCTTAATGCAAGGCATTTTGTTCCCATTTTGTCCAGAAAAAAATAATCAAATGTTTTAATGTTTTACATATTCAAAGGTCAGGCATCAAGAATGGATTTACATATAAAAAAAATAGAAGATTTATACTTTCTTCAGTTTACGATATTGAGCCAGCTTAAAGCCGATATATAATGTGATAATTTATAATTTTATAAGTTTGACAAGTTGTCCAGGTGACACGGGCAGTTCAAGCGCCGGTCAACCGGCCAGAATTGACCGGCAAGGAACTGCAGCTTGGCCAAAGCTGTCAGCCTGTAACAGCGGGACAAAATGTCTGGAACAGCTGTTTGTGTTAGTAGATGATGGAATGCTCGGGTGTGTCCCTGTGGGACACCTGAGAAATAAAAGCAAGGTAAAAAATCTAGATTTTTTTTTGTGATTTGTGATTAAGAAAATATTTATTCCGGGAAAGGAATTGAGTCTTTGTCACAAACTCTGATTGTCTAATTCCTATACAGAGCGTCACATATCATACTAGATTATCTCCAATCTTTAACGACAAAATAAATCCTTAATACTCGAAAAACTTATTATTTTCCGCAAGAAAATTCTAATATAAGCCTTATGTTATTTTTCAAAATGATTAATTCTAATTAAATTTTCTGATTAGTCCCGAAAATCGTAATTCAGAGCCGTTCTCGGTCTAATATGATGTGGGACACCCTGCATCTTTACAATCCAATGTTGCAGACATTTGACATTTCAAACTATGACTTCTGTTCAAATAATATAAGTTTGAAATATCAAAGGTTTACGACATTGGGTTCAAAAGATATAGGGAACAGAATTTGTGGCAAGGACTCAATTCCTTTGAAACTAAAATTAAATTTGAAACTATTGTTTTTTATCTACCAGAATTCATAATTAAAAATATCAAAATTTTCAACTTTTTGTTGCAAAGACAAAAGAAGTTTAAATCAGAGTTTGTGAATAAAAATTCAAATAATTGCACCAGCCACTTTGAAGTGGGTTTTAAAAACTTTCAATTAGTGTAAGATATTTTAAGACTTTGCTTTCCTAGATTAAGATATAATATAACTGACTCCTGGGTTTCCAGGAGCAGCAATATGTGTACACAGATTGCTATTGAGGTACCGATCTATTGGGTGTATCACAGATCCCAAATCATCTATATATATCTACTTAAACAGCTTGCTGGCATAATACCTAGAAAAATAATAGGTCAGTTTTGTTTGTTTGAGATGATAATCAATTGATGATTTACCATAATCTGAAGAAGTATTCATCTCTTCTTAAAACAGATGTTTTGGTATAACACTGGATATCTGCATCCATGTGAGACTCTCTCATCCAGGAGGATAATGTCTCAGTATTGGAGAAGGAGAGGGATGGGGTCTCATCCCGACGGGATCTTTCATTTTCAGGTTCTTCAGTGTAGTCTTAAAACATCAAAATTAGTTAAAGCTATTTTTTTTTTAGTTTTATTATGTTTTACCTGGAGGTCTGACAACTTTGAATGGTTCTTCATTCTCCAGAGGATCACTGAATCCAACTTCATTCTTGGCAAAGATCCTGACAAAGTATTCATGTCCTTCTGCCAAGTCTTGTACCTTCAGCTTCTGAACATCAGCTGTAACACGACCAACTTCCATCCACATCTGTCTACGTGCATCACGAACAGCAATTTTGTATCCTTCAAGGGGTGCTCCACCATCAGACTCCGGTGCGCCCCATTCAACTGTAAGAGCATGAGGTCCAACAGGAGTTATCTCAAGAGGAGCAGTGGGAGGAGAAGGAACCCCAGCATGGGTCTTGAGGACAACCTTCTCTGTCATATGAGCTTCACCTGCTCCAACCTCATTCTCAGCAGATACTCTGAAATAATATTCGCTCTTCTCCTTCAGGTTCTGAACAGTGAAGATCCTGCAAGAAGACTCCACAGTCTCTACTCGTTCCCAGCTCTCCGAGGTTGATATTCTCTTCTCTATGATGTACCCGATAAGATGTACTCCACCAAGATCGGATGGAGGAGACCAGGTTAATGTTGCAGAACGGCTGGTTACATCCTTTACACTTACAGTAGGCATTCCAGGTAAACCTTAACACATACAATTAAAGTAAAAAACATTTTAGATTTTTTAATTTTTAATTCATACTTTTAGGAATATCTGCTTTAGCTGCTGTAAAGGTCTCTTCAATGATGAAGGGTTCACTGCAGCCAACTGAGTTCTTTGCAATCACCCTGAAGTTGTATGAAGAGTCTTTTTTGAGTCCCCGGATTTCAATGGTGGTATGACTGGATGTAGCAACCTGCTTCCAGGACTTCTTACCAACCTCCTTCCTTTCAACTATATACTCATCAACCTAATCAATTCATTACATTATGAATCGCCCAAAGTTCTTTAAAATCTGATATTTTATTTTCAATTTCATACTTTTGCTCCTCCGTCATTCTCCGGGATGAGCCAGGTTAGTTGAAGAGTATCTTGGGTTTTCCATTCTACTCCAGCTGGTCCACGTGGGGAAGAAGGTTTATCTAATTAAAAATATTCTAAATATAAACAAAATTATAAATGGATTTTAGCGGGGTTTAAGCCCTACAGTGCTTTTGGCAGTATCAAGAACTGAAATTTTGCTAAAGATTTAATTTGAGGTAAGGAGGTTTGAAAAGTTCTGATAATGAAATTTTTAACTCTTTCAAAATAGAAGCTGAACTATTCATTTTAAAGCTAGACAATTAAAATTTTTTTTATTTATCTACAATTTCGTATTCACATTTTAACAGATCAATGGATGTCAAGATTTTCATTAATTGACACTGTCTTCTTATAAGAAAACAAATCACTGAAAGAAAAAAGACAAAAGTGGCAAAAGAAAATTGATTTAATTCATTAAAAAATAAACAAAAAAGAACTTTTTAAAGATTTACCAGTTGAATATCTCCTGCATATTTCAAAAATACAAGATATAATATTGAAGATTATATTTCCCAGACTACGAAATGCTTGCTGTATACACATCTTTCAAAAGTTTAGACCGACTGGCATGTTTTACAGGGCTCTCAGTCTTTAAAGGGATCTTAGAGCCTATCTGGACAGGATGTTTAGGAATATTGCTATCAGTTGTCAGTCAAAAAAGGATGAAGGGAAAATTTACAATACTTTCAGAAAATTTTAGAAAACAGAATTTTTTTTCCAGTGATATAATCAAAATATTCTGTCCCTGCATATTTGATGGAATGTTTATTTAGACATTTGTAACATAATCAAATCATATTTTTGAAAAAAAAGAGTTAAAAAAGGGAGGAATAAAGTTGATTAAAACAGAATCGGCTAGACATATTAAAAAGGCTTGATCTTACCTTTCACAGTAAGCATAAAGTCAACAGAAACTTGGGAGATGGAGTTGCTAAGTTTGCAAGAATATGTTCCACAGTCCATGTTTTCTACTTGTCTCACTGTTAAGGAGGCAAACTTCTTAGTAATGCTGATCAAAATCTGAAGATTTGAATATAAGATATTGGTATCTCATCCGAATAAAAAACAAGACTTAAATGTTTCAAAATTCTTAGATGAATCCAGTTATGCCAAAGCCAAAATTGGTATTTTCAGCTCTTTAATTTTCAAACATGTGGCCTGAATTGCCTTTTACAAATCTAAAATTGTTAATTGCGTGATCTGAATTGCCTGTTTTTAATCTTATATCCCCAAAATTTCATTATCAAAAATACATATTTTGAAAATATCTTACATTAAAACGTTTTAAAGAAAGAACACAGAAATAAAACAAACAAAAAACAGTTTAAAATGTTACCCTTTCTGATGACTTCATTTCAGTCCTATTGTAAAACCACTGCATGCTTGGTTTCTTAGCCATAGTGTTTGAGAAGGGCAGAACAAATGTAACTTCTTCACCCTTCTTGATTGTTATATCTGTCTTAATCTCAGAAGATTTGAACTCAATCCTCTCCTCCTGACCTTCCAGTTCAAGCTCAGTGCTAGTTCTAACATTCTCAGCAACACAAGTATACTCAGCAACATCGTCCAATGTAGCATTCTTGATTATGATTGTTCTGGTTTCTCCTTCAGTTACAAATGAGAATTTTCCTTCATCGGTGATTACATTACCATCCCTAAAATTACCATAATGATAAGTACAAAATCAGAGAAAGGGTTAAATCATTTCAAATTTATCTTGATTTCCAGTGTTTTGAAATTAATTCAAAAAAAGGCTGGAGATTGAAAATCTATGTTTAACCTTATAAATCATACAGTCTAATGAATAGAATAAAAACTTTGTAGCCAAAGTATGGACTATGGAGGTGAAAAGCATGTAACCAGCTCAAGATTTCAAAGCCATTAAATTGTTTAAAAACTTTTTTTTATATTTTATGGTTAGGTTACTAAGGAGTGTTTCATTAAAATCTCAAAAAGAATATTGGTACTTACTTAAGCCATTTTACGTTACAAACAGAGCTGGTAAGCTGAACAGTGATCTTGACATCTTGTCCAAAAGTTCCAGTTGTGGCACTTGGTAGTTTGGCAACAAAGTTAACCTTTGGTTCCTCTACTTCAAGTTTGCCTGAGCATTCAGTGTCTCCCAAAGAGCAAGAGATTTGACCAGCATCAATGATCTCAACATTGTATATTTCCAGGCGCTGTTTCTTTCCATCAATGATAAGTTGAATGTGTTCATTGAATTCGATCTCTGCTCCATCTTTAAACCATCTGGTTTTAGCATCTCCTTTGCTGATTTCAATTTCAAATACTGCCTTTTCTCCGCAAGTTACTTTAAGCTCAGATATTTTCTTTGTGAACTCTGGTGGAAGTTCTACAACTGAAACTTCACAAGAGCATTCTTGATCACCAACAGTGGCAACATATTCACCTTCATCATGAACACTTGCCTTCTGGATAATAAGAGAGTGCTTCTTACCAATGCGCTCAATTTTGTAGGTTGAGGTGTCTTGTTCAGTAAGTACTTCTCCATTCTTGTGCCATTTTACATCAGTGCTGTCAGAGCTAACTTCTACTTCAAGTTTAACAGTCTCCTTCTCTTTAACTTCCTTATCATTGAGTGTATTCAAGAACTCTACAACCTCTCCTTGAACACAAAGGTTTGCACTAGTCTGAGCACTTCCTGCTTCATTCTCCGCCCTAACAATGTAGTCTCCATCATGCTTCATCTCGGCCTTATTAATGATAAGGCAGTAGACATTATCACTCTCTTTGATACTGACATTCTTGCTGATCTTGAAATGCTTGTTGTTATGATACCATTTCAGTTTGGGCTTTGGACTACCAGTAATGACCGTTTCCATCTTGACTGTGTCTCCAACTTTACACACTGTAGGAGTCAAAGCTTTCACAATAACAGGAGCTTCTGCCTTCTTAGCAACCACTTCTTGCTTAGCCTCAGAAGAATTGACATTAAGCTGTAATGTATTGGTTGCCTCGCCCTCTCTATTTTTGGCAATGACCTCATAAGTTCCTTCATCAGACTTAGAAACCTTGCTAATCTTGAGGAAGCTGCAGTACATATGCATATCAGCTTGGTATTGAATGGAGATTCTTTCAGTGTTTTTAATTTCAACCTTGTTGTAATACCACTTCACCTCAGCTTCTGGAATAGCAACAAATCTGCACTCAAGTTCAACATTGGTTCCTGCATCAGCAGTTTTAGTTTGAGGCCTCTGAGCAAAGGTTGGAGGAATTCCTTCAACAATATCTGCCAGAGAGGATTCTCTGGATAAACTTCTTCTGTCATGCTTCTCAGTTCCATGATCAGACAACGGGTGTTCTACAATAAGTTCAGCAGAGGATGATGCAAAACCAACACAGTTCTTAGCTACACAGGTGAAAGTACCAGCATCCTCAGGGAATACCTCTTTGATAACTAAGGTTGCCATATTGTTGTCATCATAGTAGATTTGGAAGTCTGGAGATGGCTTGATGATTGCAGTTTGCCTAAACCAGGTTATCTGTGGCCTTGGATGTCCCTCAACTTTACAGACAAATTCTACTTGAGCTCCGTCTGGAGATCTTTGAGACTTGACTTTCTCTGTTATCTTTGGAGCAAATGCTTGCTCATTTCCTTTGGGTTCTAAAAGCAAAAAATATATATTTATCATGATGTTTATTTTTATAAATTTTGTTTCAACATAAAGAATAGCTTACTTTCAAACACTGGAAGCTTTTCAATTTTCTCTACCAATTTTCTCTGAACATACATAGTGTAGGTTTCTTCATCCTTCAGATACTGAGCTGGAACCCATCCCGTTTCTTCAGTAAGATGCTTCCTTACGTACCACCTGAACAAAAACAAAGGCTTATCAAGTAAATCAGAAACGATGTTTTTCTTTAAAAAAATGATGAATATGTTCAAATCCCTAACCTCTTGTACATCTATAAGGTTTAACTTTTAAAAAAATTAGAAAACTGTTTAAACAACGATTTACCAATCAGCATTATTCCATTCCAGAACATAGACTCTTTCTCCTTCAACCAGGTTCATGGCTTCCCCAGTTTCTGACACAAAGGTTGCCAGAGCATAGAAAGCATCTCCCTCTTTAACTTCAAAGGCTTGAACTGTTTCTAAAAACATGTCATGAATGCACACTAATAATTATTGTATGAATAATACCCCAAATTGTATTTTAGTTTTTCTTGATTAAAAATCAGGTTATTTAAAATTTTGCAAAATTTTTTGCATATTTGAAATGACATGGTCAAGGGCTTTTCAAAAATGTGTAATTTTTCATTTTTTGGAGAAATTTATTTTTGCAAACATTTTTACTATATAACTGGATTTTGCGATAAAAAATTCAATTTTTGCAAATTTGCAATTTTTTTGCAGATTCTAAAAGTAGAGCACAAGAGTTTTCCTATGATGTATCATTTGTAATATTTGGACATCAAACATGGGATATAGAGGGGGGTCAAATTGACCCCCCCCCCCTAGCATATCCTGGTTTTCAAGTACCCCAGCAGAGATAGGGTTAAGAGCTATGCACTGGCAGTTAACCCACATTTTATATGAATGATTAATATTCATATATTTTCTGAGGGAGTTTAAATGGCGTTTTATAGCTTTTGTAGCTTTAATAGCTTTAATACCTTTAATAGTATTGCTACAGTGCTATTACACATGTTGTAAACAAAAGCAAGAGTGATTTCTATTTGAATGAAAAGTTCCTTTAAGAATGAAAAGCATTTTGTTATATTGCAGATTACAAATAATTAAAGATTAAAAGCAACTGCAAAGTAATGTACATAATCCCTATATAATTTATTATTTACCTAGGGAAGCTTGGGACTCTGATAACTCTTGAACCTGAGTCTCCTGTCTCTGGATAGATGCTGACATCATGTTAGAATTTTCAGTTTTCACAACAACTTCTTGCTGCATAAAACTGACTTTTCTCTGTTGGAACATTTCAGTTTCCTAGGAAAATTTAAATTATAGTTTCAAAAAATGATGTGGTCAAATTAAATGTTTAGGGATATTTCTGCATTTTTTTCTTTAAATGGTTATCATGCAGAAATTATCCTTCATTGGGTTTTAGGTTCTAACTATTATATACGTGGACACATGAATAAGTTTGCAATGTTTGTTAATATCCTGGTGGTTTAGGTTCTTTCACCTGATGGACAGTGACCTGATCAGCGGTAGACAGAGCAACTTGTTCTGTTGATTGAGCCACATCCAGGTTTTGAGCCTCTGTTACAAGTTGAGCAAGGCGAGCCTGAACAGCTTCTTCTTCAAAGTCATCTTCATGGAATTGAGTGATGATTTCATCAACCCTAAAGCTTTCTTTGGCAAGAGTTGATATCAATGCCTTAAATCCTACATTCTGTAGATCAACTTCATCTTTTCCAGTGCACTCTTGAGAAAGGACTTCCTGAACAATAGCAGAATGTCCAACCTTCTCCACTACCTTGATCATGGCCATTTGGGCTTCTACCTTCTCCAGTTCAGGGAACTGATGAGATTCATAAGCAGCATTCACTTCCTTGACAGAGGCTCCATGTTCAATTCTTAACCTTATGTCAGCAATTGCTTTCATTGGGCCTTCAACATTTTGAATTGATACCTTCTTTGTTTCCTAAAAATATTTGAATATTTTACTGGAAATATTATTGGTTAAAAGCAGAGAGAATACACCAAAAATTAATGAAATTTTTAATTAGAAATATTTTAATTAAATGGTATATTCTCTCTTTATATTTCAATGTCTAACTACATATATATATGTACACATATATACTGCAAACTAAGTGCAAATAATATTGACCAGCTTTGTTAGTTGGCTAACTACTAGAAATAACTAAAATTACATTCAACTGATGCAAATAATAAGTCGAACTAATAATGAAATTATGCACAAGATCTTGACCCACAGTCTTGATGGCATTTCATCAAATTGTTTCTAACAATTTTTAGGCACGCCATTCTCCATATATTATAATCCTGTAAAATAGAAGATGTTGAAATCAACAAGTTATAATCCTTAATGTGTTAACATCCATTTTAACATCCACAGAAAAGCATTCAGCTATACAACATGCTTGATTATGAATTAATTACATTGTTGGTTGTATGTGGAAAAGATCTGATTCAATATTCCTCTGGTGAGAGATGAATCAGAAATTTTAGATTTAAAACCGTAGATGTGTTACGCATTCCAAGTGCAGTTATGATTCTGGAGCTGTTAATTAATTCTAGGATGTCTTTTTCCAGTTCTTGTATTATAACATATAACATTCATGGTTAGGTTTCATCAGGTCTTCTACCTGGGCCATGTTGACCTGCAGAGCAAGGTTCAATATTTCAGCAACTTTTTCTTGAACATTTTCTAGTTTGAAATCTTCCGCATTAAATACTTCTAAAACTTGATCAGCAGATAGTGCAGTTTGTTCTAAGAGTCCTACCATAGCTTTAGATCCTATAGTGTTCATCAGTCCCATCCTTTCAGATTTTAGCTGTTCGAGAACAAGATCTTTGGTGATATTTTCACGTCCAAGCTTCTCCACAACCGACATTATGGCCATTTGTGCTTCAATGCATTGCAAGTCCTCCATTTCTTCAGGATTGGTATTAGAGACTATTTCCTGAACAGTTTTTCCAATGTTTAGCTCATCAACAAGATTTTTTATTGCGTTCAAAGATTTTTCTGCTTGAAATGTTGTCTCATGACTATCTTCCTGTTATTTGTCAACAATTTTTGATAACAGTAAAATAAGTTAACTTAAATTTTTGAATTTTTCTTATAATAATTTTAAAAAAATACATTATTTTTTAGATTTGACTTTTCTAGAATGAATTTATACTGTGTCAGTTTGTAATTTTAACAATAAATATTGCGTTTGATCTTATAGGTATTTTATATTTATCTTATTAGTTTATTTTCTGTTTATTATCATTGTATTGTTTGAGCCTGAAGGGGGTGGCTGGAGATCACATAATGCTGACTTTGATGTTTCTTGAAAAGTGCTTGCTGTTCCTTGTCCTCATTTGTATCAAAATGTGTAGCATGTTCTGTTTCTACTACTTTACCATCTAATTCTTTTTCTGACAAATCAGCAGCTTTAGGAACAAATCCTGGCATTTTCTTCTCCTTTTGATTTTTCCCCACTCTTTCCAGTTGATCTTTATCATGTTTTTGTTTTACAACTCCAGAGGGTTCATATTGAGGTTGAAGAGGTCTGACTTTATCAACCTTGGAGGAAATTGCTTTACCTTTTTCTATTGTTATTGTTCCTGTTTCCGGATTTTCCAAAGGCTTAATTTTTGTTTCTTTCCCAAAAATATCAGTTGTTTCTTTAACTATTGAAGAACATTGCTCCAGAAGTGGGACACCAGTGGAAATCATTTGTTTATTAGGGTGCATATTTTTTATCAGCCCACTTGATTGAGAAGAACTTTCAGAAATAGCTTCTTGAGTTTTGATCATGGGTTTGGCAACATCTGTCTTAGGAATTGTAATAGTATAATCTGATGATCCTTCATCTGTTATAGACATTTCATGAGTTAAGACACTCTTGCTGTCAAGAAGAGTGGTTGATTGTTCAGGTGTAATTAAGTTAATGTCTTCTAGATTTTTATCTTTTTCAATTGCAAGAGATATGGTTTTAAGCAGAGGCTTTAATTCCTCCAACTGAAGTTTTGCCAAATCAGAGTCTGGATTGGAATCTCTGATTTCTGATGCACTTGTTTCACTTACTGTCTCAGTTACAAAAAGTAATGAAGATTGCCTTTTGTCAATGAACACTTCAGCACTTTTCTCATTATTCATTTGTTGAGTACCTGAGTTTGGAAGGCTGGAGTTATTTCTCAGTGATTCCATGGCTAGGACATTTTCAATATTGACTGAAAACAAGGGAATTTTCTCAGAAAGAACCTGTTCAGAATCTGCTTTTACTGTTTTAGCATTACCCATAATTTCACCAGTATCACTTTTCTTGACTTCTAAAGCTTTATGAGGAACTTGAGTAACAGTAACATTTTCTATGGATGGGTTCACAGACTTATTAATGTTGCTGATATTGGCATCTATTACAGCACTGGATACTTCATGGTGAGAGGTTGACTCCAAATTTGGAATAGTTTTAGAAGCATCTTGGAAATCAGTAAACTTCTGAGTGCTTTCAACAACAATTGGTTTCTCTTGATTGTATTTTTGACTACTAGCTTTAATATGCTTAGAAGTATTAACAAAATGTTCTTCATTCTTCCACATATCAATTTGAGATGTTACTTCAATTGGTTCAACAACGGTGATTTGATTGAGAATTGAACCGTCTGTATGTAATTCCTGGGCAGCCTGATCTGACTTAGAGGAAAGATAGTTTTTCATACAAGCAACTTCCTTCTCATCCTAAATTAGTAATGTAACTACTCTAAGAAAAATGTACATACCTTGTAATGTAGAGAACATTTCGTTGCAAAGATGTTTCCATTTACCTTATGGGAGACTGTTTCTGCTATATTCAAACACAGAGACAGCTTTTCAGCATAACAATTGGGATCAAACATACAGGACAAACTAGTCAAAGCAATTTGTGTCTCTACATCAATTGCATGATTTTTAGCAGTGTCTAAAAAAGCTGTAATGCCAATATTAGAAATCCAACTGTCTTGTTTTGTTGTGATTTCTTGAACAATTGTATCAAAAGTTGAAGCTGCACTGCCTAGTTTTTCTGACAAAGACAGGAGTGCAACCTGCAACTGTTCATTATTAACAGACAACAGACCACAAGATGACAGCAAGTTTTGAAATTCTTGGGTGGGTGCATCATTAGCTTTAAGGAGAAGTCCCCGTAAAGCTATCTCTGTTTCTATCTTGCTGCATGGTGGTAGATTGATCAAGAATCCATTCTCCTAATATGAAGGCAAATTAGTATTTTTGATAACACAAAAGGACTAAATAAAAAAATATTCGGTAAAATGCAATTATTTGATTTCATTCCTGGGATGTTTTTACTATTCTTGCGGTTGATTGACACATGCTCAAGTATTTCTTGACAGTATCTGAATCAAAGAGTTCAGCCTCTAGCACTGTTTGTATATCTTTTTGATTGACATGAACCTTCTCCAAAACTTTGGCTAGAGCAATAAATCCTGGATTTTTTGGTACTCTACTTTCTTTTAAAGATTCTGTGGTTATGATTTGTTTCACAACTAATCCACTAGACAGTTTCTCAGCTAGGGAGTAAAGACAAGATTGTCCTTGAACATTATTAAAAATATCATGCTTCATACTTTCATCATAAATATTTTTGCTTTGCATAGTTAATGGAAGCTGTAATTTAAGAACAACTTCAACAACAGCATTCTTCAGGTCATTCTGATAGTTTAAACATTCCTTATTAGAAAGTTTAACCAGTTCTTGTAAGTTTTCAACTTGAGATACCACTTGTATACAATTTGAGACAGCTGATCTCTCCTTGTTGATGTTCTCTTGCAGTAAATCGGATGGGAAAATATAATCTTCAATATTTTTGACTTCATATGGTAATTTCTCTATTACAGCTAGTAGAACTTTGAATCCCAGGAAAGGAATAATGTTCATGCTTTTATTGACTTCTTCAGCCAAAATAGTATTTACTAAAACTGGATTTGAAATCCTTCTTGCCACTGTCAGCAGAGGCATCTTTACTGTAATGTCATCAAACGTACAAACTGACCGGCTGGATAAATAATCAAATACTTTTTCTACTGTAGATCCATATCTCTTGCAGATTGCAATATTTTTCACAGCTTTCATACCAACCTCTATGGCCACATAGTTTTTTAGAGTGGGCATTTCAAACTTCAGAAGACTGGTTTTAAGATTTTCTGATAGAAGTTCTACCATCACCTTTTGTCTATTTATGTTTTCTATGCTAAAGTTTTCAGCTGACAGCTCATGAATTAAGCTGTGTACAACAAGATGATCCTTTTCTATAAGACTTGCCATCACAGAGGTTCCAATATTTGCAATAAAAGTATCCTGTCCAGTCAGACTTTCAGGGATAACATGATGAAGAACTGAGAGAGGAAACAGGGAGTTTGTGATCTTCAACAAACCCATTTGTGTCTCTTCATCTGAACTTATTTTTGCTTTAAGAGCATCATAAATGGTCTCAACACTTTTTGAGCTTATATTTGCTGCAGCATTCTCTATCACTAGCAGTGCCTTTTTTACCTTTCCCAAAATAGAATTTGCTACTGACACATTTTCAGAGACATCAATAACAAAGTTATCCATGGGAATTTTCAAAGAAAGTACATATTCAGTTCTTCGACTGTTTGGTATAAAATCTGATGGCAAGAAGAGGCTTGATATAACTTCAATATTGCAAGGAAGTAAATCTGAGAGAATTTGCTTTCCATGCCTTAGATCAGTTAGTGAAGCATTTGTTTCTTCTTTTTCTAAAAGTTGATTTTGCTCCACTAGGTAAGAATTGTTTAATCTGTGAAGACAACATGTAAGTGCTGCATTGTTAACATCTTGAGATTTCATTTCATCTGTCAAAATAGTTTCTAGGACATTTGTGTAGTGAACATTTATCATCTTTTTTTCTCTGATTTTTTTCATAACTTTTTCTCTTGTTGATTCATTGTTGAAAACTTCACACGTAACCACTTCATCTAAGATTAAACAAAATTTAGAAAAATTTCATAAAGATATGTTTAAATTTTCATACAAATTGGGTTTTACCTAAAGTTGTTGTTTTTCTATTTTCATCATTCAGTATTTTTAAACATTTTTGAAAAATACTGATAAGCTCTGTTGACTTGAAATTTGTAGATTGCAATGCTGACTGAACTTCCTCAATTTGAAGATGATTTGCTAGTATATGGTTGGCATAAAGTCTGAGTCCAAGACTATAAAAATGATAGATTATTTTTATAATAACTAAAAATGATATTATAATAATAATTGAAAAAAAATAAACTCTAAAACTGTTTACCTTAAAAATCTTCCATTTTTTGCAACTTCCAAAATAGTTGGAGCTTCCACAAGAGTGTGTCCAAGCAATGTTTCAGTCAGCTTTATCAAGGCCATCTGTTGATAAATATCTCCACTATCAGGAAGAACTCCAAGATCATAATCTGTGATAATGTCTTCAATATTTCCTGAGTTCAGAATTTGTTCAGTTAGTCCTAGAATACCAGCTTTAGTTTGCTCATTAAGATCATTGTTTACTATACTTTCAGTGGCATCAACCTGAAATGAAATAATTTGGAAAAAAATATAAATTTATTCCAAATTAAGATTTCAAATAAAATATTAAAACCAACCTTTTGCCTAATCAATGCTTGATCGCACAGTACAGCAAACTGATCAATAATTCCTTCTGCACCATATTCATTTTTAGTCTGCTCCAGAATATCAACAACACTCTTGTTCAAGGACAAGCTTTCTTTGCTCAATATTTCCAGGGCTTTCATTCTTATATTTTTAAACTCAGATTCTCCATGCCTGATTGCTACATTTTCAAATATTTCAAGGTTTGTTTGTACAGGGCTCAGCTTTATTGCTGAAACTGCTATAACAGCAGTTGCAGCATCAATATGGGGTTTGGGTATGATGATATTTTGTAGATTTTCGGTTTCATCGGTTTTCCATACTTCTTTAGTGAGAAATAAAAATGCCCTCTCTACATCACCAGTTTTAATTCTATCTTTGACTGTTTCCAGCTCATGTTTTGATTTTGAGTTTTCTACAGTAATTTCTTCCGGTGTAAAATCTTGAAATTTTAAAATTTCATCATTAATTGATTCTTTGGATTTCTTTTTCTTCTTTTTGACAAGCTTGGAACCTCTGCTAGTTGTTTCTTGATGAGTTATTTCCTTGACTGTACTTGTTCCAGAACTAGGCTTGACAGAGAGATCTATTTCATCCTTAACATCTTTATTAATGATGTTCTTTTTCTTCGGTAAAGTTGTATTCTGGTCAATAAATGAATCTGCACTAAAAGTAACATGTTTTTTGGCAAATCCAATTTCTTCTGAGGCTTCATTTTCATTTTTCTTTATGGACTTTTTGTCTTCCACATCATTTTCTTTTACAGGTTGTTCATTTACTTTCACTAACATTTGTTTTTTATTTAATGTTAATCGGGCAGTTTCTTGTTCTTTATGTATAACCTCCTTTTTTACAAGTTGGGTTTGTGATTTTACATCTTTTGGAAGCATTAGTACATTATCATTTTGTAACTTGGTAAGTTCTTCTTTCAAATTGCTCTTGCTTATATTTTCTTTCTTCTCTACTAATCTTTCATGTTCATCCTCTGCCATTTTAGATTCATCCTTTGTCCTCAGTTGCTCACCTAGATTCATTATGTGTTCATTATCTACTTTGTTCAGTCCAGCAGTTGATTGTTTTATTTTGTTTAATTTTTTTTCTGCAAGTTTCTTAGTTTCATCTTTCCTGCTCTGAGGGTTAGGTTCTGCTTGAAAAGAGATGTGTTCTGAATCTGGTGATTCAATGCTTTCAGTAACAATTGTATCAGCTTTCAATTGAGGTTGTTCATCTTTAATTGAAGTATCTTTGTTGGACTTCTTTTCTTTTACAAGTTTTATAGATAACTTATTGACGCTTACTTTAGCATCTGATTCGACCATTAGATCAAGATTGGTCTCCTGGGAATTACTTGACTTTAAGGGCTCAGAGCTGTCTTTTAATCTCTGAGTTTTGTCAAGTTTAGACAAGGTTTCCTAAATAATATATGCTAATCTACAACATAAACTCTATGGTTGATCTTGCTTTTTATATTTTCTAAAGAACTTAGGCTCCACAAATACGTCCTATATATCTGTATGCTTAAAGCTATGTATTTATAAATTATAAAACATACAAACCGCCAAATATGATACAAACTGATTCTTATTTTTGGCTTTACCTGACAAGCAGCAATGTTTTTCTACAAAATGAACTATTTAGAATTAAATTGGAAAAATGAAAGGTTTGTCATGTTTAACCTTGAAAGGTAAAAATAAAAATATTGTAAAAATTTCCTAAAATACTTAGAGATAAATTATGATTTAAAGCATGGGCATTGATGATTACATCATGGTTGAATCATCAATCTCAATGCTTTGTAAAAATAAAAAATAAATTACAACTAAAAAAAACTCTTACCTTTTGTTCAACCTCCTTCTTTTTTATTTTTTTAATGTTAGCATCATTGATGCTTTCTGTAGGCGCTGCTTTTCTAGGTGCATCTTTTTTAACCTCGGCAGTTGGCTGAAAAAATAAATTGTTAATTATGTGACTTTGAAAATAATAACCAGACATAAATTAAAGGTGTTAACCTGATCTAAATTCCTCTTATTGTGAAAGAAAATAAATAAACTTACTGCAAGTTGTTGTAACTTTTGTCAAGTGTAGTTCAATAATTTTAATCTTCTAATTTTAACTGTATCGGGTTGAAATTTCTTTTAAATATTAAAAGTAAATTACTTAAACCAAAAATGTCTCTTGCCAATTATCATTCCTTAAAGTAGGTTAAATTAATTATATGAAGTAGTTATTCCTTTTTGTTAATTCTTGTTAAATTTTAGAATTGTAATTAATTATTAAAGGATTATTTCTTGAGTAACCTAAAACATTTTCTATGTTAAACCTCTAAGATACTCTAATTCACTCTATATTTTTGTTTTCAAAACCAAGTCATTGCAGAATCTGAATAGAGAACACACTACATAGTACTAAAACTTCTCATTAAACTGAAGTAACTGTATTAAAACAAAGATATTGGGTTTGCTGGTTTATCTTCCATTCTGAAAAGATCAAGTTGAAGAGTAAATCACTTTCAGAGCAAATTAATTTTGTTTAATAAACGTGCAATTGTTATTCTCCAGATAACCTAAAAATATGTTAGTATTTATATACAGATGTTTATGTGCAAATGTTTATGTTCAGTGTTAGTGATTATTAGCTAGTATCATGCTGACACTGATACCTCTGGTGTTTCTTTATGTTTAGATTGTGTAAGCTTATCCTGGCTTTCAACAGTTTTGTGTTTCTGTACAGCTTTCAAAGAAACTACTTCCATGGTGGTAGTATCCTCAGCTACCTTTTGTCTGGTTCTAACTGGTTTCAAAGATACCTTCTCACTATCATTTGATGTTTTGACTTTGTCTTCCAGAACCACTGGTCTCAAGGTTGCATTTCCCAAAGGTACAGGCATGGATGGTATTGTTTCAGATTCATCCTCCATTTCAAGTATCTCAATAATTGTGTCAGTTTGCTTCAGCTCAGATGGTTTGTTGAAAGTAAATGCTTTGATCTTAACATTGGTCTCAGGTGACAATACTTCTTCAACAATGCCAGCACTACTTTCGCTTACAGAAGCATTGGACTGTTGGTCGTCAATACCAAGCTCTTGGAAGTTGATAGCATCATTCTCTGGAGCCACTTTGGTTTTCTTCTTCTTTTTCTTTATAAGTTTAGTCTTCATTTCTTTGGTTTCAGTGTTGGTAGTTTCCTCATGAGCTGCTTCTACAGGTTGATCCTGATCATCAGTTTCAAAGTTATCTTTAGGTTGAAGTTTGTCAGTCTGGGAAGGTTTTTTAAACACAATTTCACTAGCAGAATCTGCATCATCTTTCTGTCTAGTTGCTTCATTTTTCTCAAAAGAAATTCTTCTTTGAATTTTTTTATTTGATGTTGTTATGTTCTTTTCCTCAGAACTCACACTTCTTAGAAGTTCTTTTTCTGGCTCAGTTGGTTTTTCCCCAGCATCGTTCTGTGTCTCCAAATCTTGGTTATCTTCTTCAAGCTCAGTTTGTCTTGATGGCTCAGTCTCCTCTACTGTGTTTGCTTCTTCTTTGCTTACCAAAATGGATCTATTCTCCTGCTCAATAGCAGCCTCTGATTTGGCCACTTCTTTTACTACAGTAACCGCTTTAGCCACTTTCTTTGGTGCAGTAGTTTCCTTAGCCACTTCCTTTGGTGCAATGACTGGTTTAGCCACTTCTTCTGGTGTCATAACTGGTTTAGCAACTTCTTTGGAAACTACTTTAGCCAATTCCGTTGGTGTAGCATCTGGTTTAGCAGCTTCCTTTGATGTGGTGACTGGTTTAGTCACTTCCCTTGGATCAGTGACTGGTTTAGCCACTTCTTCTGGTGTCATAACTGGTTTAGCCACTTCCTTGGAAACAATGACGGATTTAGCTTGCTTAGTAACTTCATTTGATGCAGTTACTGGTTTAGCCACTTCTTCCAGTGCAGTGACTGGTTTAGCCATTTCCTTTGTTGCAGTGACTGGTCTAGCCACTTCTTCCGGTGCCATAACTGGTTTAGCCACTTCCTTAGAAGCAGTGACAGGTTTAGCCACTTCCTTGGAAGCAGTGACAGGTTTAGCCACTTCCTTTGGAATAGTAGCTGGTTTAGCCACTTTCTTTGGTGCATTAACTGATTTGTCTTCTTCCGTTAGTTCTGTTCTTGTTTTGGAATCTTCCTTATGTTCAGTGGTTAGGTTAGCATCCGGTTTTACTTCAATAATTGGTTTGGTTTCTTGTTGTACAATTACTTCAGTGTCTTTTTTCGTCTCAAGCTTTTTTGCAGTTTTAGAACTTATCTCTGGTTTATCTTCAGAGCTAGTTTCCGGCTCAGTCTCAATAATTTGTTTTTGCATGTTTATGGTCTTTTTAATTCTTTTAGTCTCAGGCTTCAAAACGGGGACTTCTTTAGTCTCAGGCTCAGTAACAGAAACTTCCTTAGTCTGGTTAGTCTCTGACTTAGAAGCATGAACTTCCTTTGTCTCTGGCTTAGATACAGGAACTTCCTTAGCCATAGGCGTAGAAACAGGAACTTCATTATCCTTAGGCTTAGAAACAGGGACTTCTTTAGTCTCTGAATTAAAAACAGGGACTTCCTTGGTCTCTGGCTTAGAAACAGGGACTTCCTTAGTCTCTGGCTTAGAAACAAGTACTTCCTTAGTCTCTAGCTTAGAAACAGGGACTTTCTTAGTCTCTGGCTTAGAAACAAGGACTTCCTTAGTCTCTGGCTTAGAAACAGGAACTTCCTTAGTATCTGGTTTAGAAACAGGAACTTCCTTAGCCTTAGGCTTGGAAACAGGGACTTTCTCAGTCTCTGGCTTAGAAACAAGGACTTCCTTAGTCTGTGGCTCAGAAACAGGGACTTCCTTAGTCTCTGTCCTAGAAACAGGGACTTCCATGGCCTCTGGCTTAGAAACAAGGACTTTATTAGTCTCTGGCTCAGAAACAGGGACTTCCTTAGTCTCTGGCTTAGAAACAGGAACGTCCTTATTGCCAGACTTAGAAACAGGGACTTCTTTAGTCTTTGGCTTAGATACGGGGATATTTTTAGTCTCAGCTTTTGATTCACTGACCTCTCCAGATGCTAGCTTAGTAACATGAACATTTTTAACTCCAGAAACTTCTTCAAATCTCACAGATTTGGTCACCTTTTCATCTTTCTCCTCTTCAGATGTATTAATGACATTATCTGTAACATCAGGAGTTATCACATCAGCAGCTTTATCAGTTGGCTCAGACCAAGAAGATTTTTCTATGGCCTTGGATTGTTTTTTCCTCTTCTCGTTGATTTTGTGATCAGAATCTGACTCAGTTTGCTCTTCCACAAGTTCTGATGAGGATGCATTATCTACTTGATCTGATTTTTCTATTTGATCCTTAACATCATCTTGAGACTTCAGCTCCTGATCACCAGTACTTTTTGTCTCCTCTTTATTAGGCCTAACTGGCTCAATAAAGTAATGCTCTTGGTCGGCAGTTTTAAAATCTGTTTCTTTTTTCAATGTTTGTTTACTAAGAGCTAATTTAGGCTTGGTTTCCTAAATAAAAATCATGTTTTGTGTGTAAAATGTGTAATTTGTAAATACTAAGCATATAATGTTGAAAAGATGTTTTAAAAAAATGTATTTCTAACAAAAATGAAGATTGAGTAACTATTTAAAAAACTTCATTCTTGTTTAAGCTTATTTCTCTTTTTTTAAAAATGTGTATGTAATGAAAATTTAGACTATTTAATTAAAAGCAATTTTGCTTTCACAAATGTTTAAGTTTTCCGTCTTACCTCGTCAGGTTTCTGCTTCGGGAGGACAGGTTTCAGTTTAATCTCATCCTTGGTGTCAGGTTCCTTTTCAGGTTTTCCAGGAGTAGGTTTCAACTGGATTTCAGGTTTAGGCTCCTCCTTAGGTTTATCCACCACTTTAGGTTTCTTTAGTTGAACCTTCTCCTGTTTAGGCTCCTCCACCACCTCCTTCTTATCAACCTTCTTCACAGACTTCTTCCAGTCGTAGATCTTCTGCTCCTTTTTTTCCTCCACCTTCTTCACGACCCTGAGACAAGACAAGTAAGTAGAGATCGTTAACACTTTTTATTTTCCCAAATGAAAATTTTTCTAATGATAATCTTTTTATTTAAAACCCCTTCTGTGGTAAAGCCCATTCTTAACGAAATCTAATAGTTAGTAAAACCCTAAAGAAAGTGAAAACACGCCACAAATTCTGATTTATTTATCCTTATATGTTTACAACATCAGGCTGCAGAGGCACAGGGATTATGAAATTAGAGTTTGTGGCGAGCGTTTTGTTCCGGTAAAAATTTAAATTTAGAAAATAGTAATTTGGGAAGGTCACAGACGTGTACATTAAAGTTAATATTAGTGGCTGTTAAAATAAAGTTATGATTACTAGTGAATTTGATTAGAATTATTAAGAAAAATTTTCATTATGAGATTTTTTTTAGTTTTTTAAAGATTTTATAAATTAGACCTAACTATTACTCTGTAATCTTTGGTTAAAAAACATAATTTACGAAATAAAATGTGCAAAAAATACAATTGAGTCATGCAAAAATTTACAAAAAAAATGTTACAAAAACTGAAAAAAGTTTATAACTATTTATGCAAAAATGAAGAAAGTATTGAACTGCCAATCCAAACAGTTTAAAGTATTTACAGCTATTAGGTTTAGTAAATAGTAAATACAAACTCTTTGTAAAAAAAGAAAGAATATAATCACATGAAAACTAAAAATTTCCCCTAAATTATGGAGAAAAAAATCAAATGTTTATGTTTGAATTTTCTAGATTTGAATTGTAAAAATACAGGGACTTTAAAAAATTCAGTCTTCAAAGTCATCATATTCTTAATATTTTTTTCTTAGAGATTATCTACCTCGAGACACAAAGTATGCATAGAGTCAGTATGGTTAAGGGTGATTATCACGGATTAAATATATCCTGGAGAAAAACTAAAGTTTTAATTAATTTAAAAATCAATATTTTATCCATGATCTGAGTTGACACCAACTTACCATGATATATTTGTCCATAGATAGATTGGGAGAAACGTAAAAATTCTAATTTCTAAAGTAGGCAAAAAAAATCTAGTTTTTTATCATAAATATTTATTATTTTGTGATTATTCAGATATTACTTTTACATTACTAAATATATGTTGTTTTGACTGGCAGTTCAGTACATTATTTGCTCCCAACTTTCGGTGATTGTTTTCTTACATTTTGTGATTCAACTTAAACCTTTTTTTGGAATCAATTATTTAAAGTTTAATTTTTCACTCATCACCGTAAGTTTTACAGTATTTTTTACCGAATGTTTATTTGAATTTAAATATGCATAATGCACATGCATAAACTAATGCTCTAGTTTACAGCAAGTTCAGATTTAGGTTTCTAAAAAACTCTTTAGTTTTATAGAGTCGTGAAGAATTTAAATATTTATTTCTAATGATCTTTACTTTAAAAAGACAGAAGATGTAATATCAAGTGACCCAACATTTAGAAAGTAGCATGCCCGATTAATGAGTACCCTTAAACAGTGGCATGTCCGATTAATGAGTACTCTTAAACAGTGGCATGCCCGATTAATGAGTACCCTTAAACAGTAGCATGCCCGATTAATGAATATACTTAAATAGTGGCATGCCCGATTAATGAGTACCCTTAAACAGTGGCATGTCCGATTAATGAATATCCTTAAACAGTGGCATGTCCGATTAAGGATTACCCTTAAACAGTGGCATGTCCGATTAATGAGTACCCTTAAACAGTGGCATGTCCGATTAATGAGTATCCTTAAACAGTGGCATGTCCGATTAATGAATATCCTTAAACAGTGGCATGTCCGATTAAGGATTACCCTTAAACAGTGGCATGTCCGATTAATGAGTACCCTTAAACAGTGTCATGTCCGATTAATGAGTATCCTTAAACAGTGGCATGTCCGATTAAGGATTACCCTTAAACAGTGGCATGTCCGATTAATGAATATCCTTAAACAGTGGCATGTCCGATTAATGAGTACCCTTAAACAGTGGCATGTCCGATTAATGAGTACCCTTAAACAGTGGCATGTCCGATTAATGAGTATCCTTAAACAGTGGCATGTCCGATTAAGGATTACCCTTAAACAGTGGCATGTCCGATTAATGAATATCCTTAAACAGTGGCATGTCCGATTAATGAGTACCCTTAAACAGTAGCATGTCCGATTAATGAGTCCCATTAAACAGTGGCATGTCCGATTAATGAGTACCCTTAAACAGTGGCATATCCGATTAATGAGTATCCTTAAACAGTGGCATGCCCGATTAATGAGTACCCTTAAACAGTGGCATGTCCGATTAATGAGTCCCATTAAACAGTGGCATGTCCGATTAATGAGTACCCTTAAACAGTGGCATATCCGATTAATGAGTATCCTTAAACAGTGGCATGCCCGATTAATGAGTACCCTTAAACAGTGGCATGTCCGATTAATGAGTATCCTTAAACAGTGGCATGTCAGATTAATTAGTATCCTTAAACAGTGGCATGTCCGATTAATAAGTATCCTTAAACAGTGGCATGTCCGATTAATGAGTACCCTTAAACAGTGGCATGTCCGATTAATGAGTATCCTTAAAATCTTTGTGTGATCAAGAATGCATGTCATAACCATCGTCGATCTTCTCTTTGAAAGTTTCACGTAGAAGTGACTGTCGAATTTCTTTTTTGCTTCAAAAACAATGAGGAAAATGATCAGCATTGATCAGATAAAAGTCTAAATTAAAGGTCACTTAAAATTACAACGAAATTCCCTTTTTGAATCAGAAATAAGAAACCTGAGATTTAGAAATTTCAGAAATAAAATCCTTCGGATGATTTAATAATTCTGCAGAATTCAAGATTTAGATTTAAATCTTTAAATCCTCAAGGTCATTTAGAATTTAAAAAGTTTTAAACTAAGAAGCTACGTATAATAATTATAATAATCGTCTCAGTTGAAAAATCCTTAAATTTCAGAATCCCTTGAATTTAAAAATGTTTAAGCTTATTTTAGTTTTAAGATTTCTTTAAGTACTTTTTGATACAAACAAAAATCAAGAGCTCAGAAAAATATAAAGTTTAGGTGACCAAATAAATAATATAAAAAACTAATACTAATTGTTAGTGTTTATGTCTTTTAACAGGTTACATTCAAATACTAATTAAGTTATTAAAGACGACCAAGAATCATCAATAAAAAGTTTAAAATTCACTTTCCAAGCCTCAACTTGTTAATTTAAGTCAAGTAAATATCTAACATGATACAAACGTAGATTAGCTGAATTAAAAATCTGTTTCGAGGAAAAAGTTAAAAATTATATTTTTTAATTCAGCGAATCTTTTTCAATCAATATAAACATTTGTTGTATTCTAAACTGTCTGGGCAGAACTGGAAAATAGCGCCAAAAGTCACGCAGTCTTACTTTTTCTCTTCCTTCTTCTCCACCTTCTTCTCTGTTATCAGCGGAGCTTGTTTTACCAGAGCAATTTTTTCTTTCTCCTCAGCTGTTGCCTCTACAATATAAAAATGTACACAAATGTAACGTTTAAAGTTGAAGTTGAAGTCTACAAAAGACATTTAAAAAAATTAAAAATACGAAATTTCCAAAGCAACAACTTCCCAAAGTTTCCTAAAAGGCAATTTTCCTAGCCTCTGGATCTAAACCTTACCCACACTACTGCGGTCCAATGGTTACAAGCTCTCATCCTAAACCCGATGAAAATCTTTCCAATTACTTTTTATAAACTAAAACTAAAAACAAGTGCTTTATGATTCTGAATTGTGCATGTCTATAGGACTCTAGGTCACCTGCAAAAAGTATAAGCAAAATAGTGAGGAAATAGGGCGCTGTAAACTTGTGACACTGTAGTCAAGAAAATTGATGCAACTTATTAAAGGAAATCTATGTGAACAGCATAAACCCTTGGCTTACAGCCTAAAATTTAATTTTGAAAGGTGTTTTTTGGGATGCACCGTTTAGAAAATGGACATTTGGGAAAGTATTTTAATTGAAACTTTGAAATCGAAGACTGACTTTTGAAAAAACTTAAACTTCACAACAAACAATGGGGGAGTTACGATTCGACAAGATCATCCGAGGTCAGAATGGAATCGGAACACCAAAAAACCTATGATTTGATACCTAACATGACCCATGTACATTGATTTAATATTTTGACTTTTTGACAACTTCTTCAATAAAATTTTTGCTTGAAAACATGTTTAAAAAATAACTTACTGTTTACTGTTAAGCTTGCTTTAGTTTTATCTTGTCCCAGATCACTGATAGCCTTGCACTCGTAGTGACCTGCCATCTCCATTGTACAGTTCAATAGAGTTAAACTAGTTGTATCATCGTGTACCTAGGTATAGTTTATATACTATACATTGTACATAGTTAAACTAGTGGTATCATCGTGTACCTAGGTATAGTTTCTTGTACATAGTTAAACTAGTGGTATCATCGTGTACCTAGGTATAGTTTCCATACTATACATTGTACATAGTTAAACTAGTGGTATCATCGTGTACCTAGGTATAGTTTCTATACTATACATATTACATAGTTAAACTAGTGGTATCATCGTGTACCTAGGAATAGTTTCTATACTATACATATTACATAGTTAAATTTAAAAGAACCGAGTCTTTGTAACAAACTCTGATTTTCTATAACCTATATTCTTTCCACCTGATGGTGTAAACCTTTGATATTTCAAACTTAGATTCTTTCATCTAACATATTTCATAGTTTAAAATATCTAAGATCAACGGCATTTGGTTGCAAAGATATAGAGATTAGAAAATCATAGTTTGTGACAAAGACTTAATTCCTTTAAAGAAGTTATGGTATGATTGGGTTGATTAAAAATATTCCCGGAAACATCCTTTTTGCCTATTTGTTATTTTTTAAGAATTTTAAATTTTAAATATTTGAGTTCGTTCAGATGATTTCAATTTTAAAAACGCCTTGAGTAAAGTTTTCTCAAATTAGACTTTTTAATTTTTGAAATTGTGAAATTTTAACCTTTGACCAAACTATTTGTTTGTTTAAAATTGTTTATTCAGTTCAGAATATATGTTGAAGGGACTGAAATCTCGCCACAGCCCACAATATGTATTGGAAAATTATAAATTTACGGCGAGTGGTCAATTCCCTTGTCATTTAAACTTGCTGGTCTTTCTGTAGCTCTTACCTTGATCTGAATATTATCAGTCTCCTGTAGTTGGACCCCCTTGTAGTACCAGGTTATCTCAGGTTTAGGGTTTCCAGCGAATACTGCCTCAAACCTACACCTCATCCCCTCCTTTATTCTAGACTCCTTGATCTCACGAACAAACTTAGGAGCTTGCTCAGTTGCTGAATAAACATATCATTGTTATTATTATTGTTATTGTTATTATTATTATTATTATTATTGTTATTATTATTATTATTATTATTATTACCAATATTATTATTTTTGTATTTATCATTATTATTATTATTATTATTATGATTAACTTTATTATTATTAACATTATTCTTATTATCATAATCATTATCCTGATAATCATCGTTAGTATTAGATTTTACATCCCATATGAATAAAAAGTCTTCCCTCTAATTCTGCCTGTAAAAGTATTCCCCTGTCTGTAAAATTCCCCTTCTACATATTTTAAGTTTAACCTTTCCCCAGTGCCTGTAAGCTAAAGCTTAAAATAGAAATGATGTGTTGAACATACAATTTACATACTCTTAACTTTGTTTGTTTGTGTATTTTTATTTTTGTGGATATTTTTTTTTATTTCAACAAAAAAATGTTCCTATTACTGTTCTAGTAATCGTATGAATCGGTCGATTGATTGACTCATTGATAAATTGATTGAATAATTTATTGATTGATTGATTGATTTGTTATTGATTAATTGATTGATAGGTTGATTACCTGCCAATCTCTCCTTGATTTCCTCCATCTTGATTAACCAATCAGGTTTCCTGTACTCCTTGCTGTTTATATAGTCCCCTGTACATGATATATTTACAGTACAGTTCCTGCATATTCTTTGCTATTTATGTACTCCCCTGTACATAATATATTTACTGTAAAGTTCCTGTACTCCATGCTGTTTATATATTCCCTTGTACATAATATATTTACATTACAGTTCCTGTATTCTTTGCTGTTTATGTACTCCCTTGTACATAATATATTTACAGCACAGTTCCTGTACTCCTTGCTGTTTATTTAGTCCCCTTACATAATAAATTTACAGCACAGTTCCTGTACTCCTTGCTTTTATTTAGTCCCCTGTACATAATATATTTACTGTACAGTTCCTGTACTCTTTCCTGTTTATGTTGTCCCCAGTACATAATATATTTACAGCACAGTTATTCCTGTTTCTGTTTATTTAGTCCCCTGTGCATAATATATTTATAGTACAATTCCCGTACTCGATACACATAAATTGGAAGACAACATTCTATTTGATGTTGTTATGAAGCACAACGTTTTACCAAGCTTCAAAATCAACTTGTTAAGTAAAATGGGTTCGAGTACACTGCACAATTAATGTGCTTTTAAATTCTAATTTGTGTCCAGCTATGCAGCAATCGGTTCAAGAATAAACGTATTTTCACACTCAGTAGGAGGAATAATTGTAAAAACTATAATTAGAAAACAGCTAGGATTTTATTCCTCTATAAAGTCAAAATATATATTTGTTTCAATTTTTGCTATTATTATGTCGAAATTTTATCGACAAATGTTACACATCAACAAAAAATCAAATTATGGATTCACTTCAGCACTTCACTTTATTCGGAGAATAAAGCTTACAAAGATGGCAATGCCATATTCACATGGGTACCCTTAAAAGCTTTGACTGATCAAATAGGAATTATATATCAATGTTTGTAATTTTGAAATTACAAAAGTGACTTGCCGCAGGAAAGCATATAGAACCGACATTTTAAACCTCAAAAACCGACTTCATTAATCTTGCAATCTTTGCAGGAGAAACACTTAAAATTACGTGAGAAGTTCCTTGAAATAATTAAACGAACAAAGTATCTTCAAAAGTTTTTCAAGAAGTATCAATCTTATGATTTACATCGATAACGGAGCCTTCAAAACTTTTCTAAATATAACAACCATATTTTTATTATTATTTTTTTAATTGTGGTATTTCTATAGTTCCTGTTTTACAGTGCAGAAATAATGGCGTAAATTGTGAAAGTTTGCTGATTAGATGAAGGTTTGAAGGGTGCGTTAGTGAATTAGACATGCCCCTCTTACATGTGGCAGTAAAGATTTAGTTTACGAAAAATAGTTTTTTATTATTTTTTTGACACAGTCGACACCTGTGTTGTAAGTAGGGGAAATTGTACGAAGTGGGCTCAAGCCAAAAACAATTAAGTCTATACTTTTGAAAATTATCAGTTTATATGCAATATATAAAGAAAAATAGTGGTTTTTGGAATTAGAAATATTTCCTTGTATGAGGGTCAAAGATTTTTAATATTAATGTATTGGACAAATCATTCTTAGATTATTAGTTGATCAGTATCAGTGATACATATAAACAATTCAAAAAATAAATAAATCTTTAACAAGTATTTATGGGAACTGTAGACGAAATGTCAAGTGACTTTCCATTTATAAAGTGACATGACCTATTTACATCGCCACGCTTAAAAGGGTTTGTCTGATACAAAGTTGTTATTTAAAGTTTCTAACTCTCGATGTGCTCCTGCAGCTATGTCCTTTCCCAAGCAATGGACAGTCAAATCCGTAAATGATGTCACTTATTATAGAGGTGAGTAGGGATCAGGATTATGGATTGATTAGAAGACGCTATTTTCCGTATATTGGAGCTCATCGAGAGCAAGCAGCCTTACCGAACATTACAACTTTGTTCTGATCAAGTATAAATTAGATATCCATTTTTTAGTTTTAAAAACTGATTATTTTTAATAGTGGTTTCTCTGTCAAAGTGATTTGCAGATTTCTTGCTATAGAAACAATGGAGGAAATTGTAAGAATTAAATAGTTTTTTAACTAGGATAACAACTACATCTTTCAAATGATTAATCGTTTAAAAAATGAAAAGGTTGTGAATCGGGCAAAGCCCTCTTTAAATGGAAGTTGACTTGATATTACAACGAAAGTTCCTTATTAAGTTTAACCTAGGACATTTCTAAGGAACTGTTCAGTGTCCACAAATTTGAGATTATTAACTATGCTACTTTTCTACAGAAAGTATAGTTTTATTTTGATTTTGTTTCAATTTTTCTAAAATGAGTAATAATGCTACTGTGATAATGAGGACACTGCCCGATTAACATTGGTACCATTGAAACCTTTATCTGATTAATAATGTGGAAGATATTGTTGTTTTTCAATAGGTTTAAACATATGTATTTCGATCATTTCTAAATGTTTTTCTCTGGTAGAAATTGGCACTTTTGTAGAAAACCCATATTTGAAAATAATCAGCTTGCTAAACATCAATCATTCTGATCATTCATAATTGATCAGACAAAGCTGTTAAGGGTACTATTGTGAATCAGCTTGCTAAACATCAATCATTCTGATCATTCATAATTGATCAGACAAAGCTGTTAAGGGTACTATTGTGATTCAGGCGTTGAAATTATGCATTTAGATTTACTTAAAATTAAGCTTACAGTCCCTTTAAGAAATAATATGACTGATAAAACCTCGGATTTAATTAAGTTTCGTGCATTTTCCGTGTAACAAGAGAATTCGATCAAATGTTTAATTGTTTTGAAAAATGCAAGATTAGCTTTTAAGTGTAAAGTTTAACACCCTTTTGGTTTAAATTTTTAGGTCAAATGCGCAGTTATAAACGTTGATAAATCCACGAAATTTACAACAAATCCTTCTATAAGCAAAATCTTTAATAATCTTAACAGAGCTGAAAACTTTAGAATGCGATATCCTTCATCCCGATCGGTTCATTAATCTGGAGATTAATAACAAGAGGAGAACAAGCTATATTTATTCTGGAGATTAAGAAAAAAAGTGGATCAAGCCTTAATCCCGATATCCACCAATCTAAGTTCCCAGCTCGGAAAAGGAGTCTGACTTTTAGACACAAAAAGGTAAAAAATTCCTTTATAAAGTGCTTCTAACAATAATGACACACCATATACAGGTATAAACACAAAGAATAAGACTACAAAGACGACTTTAACTATTTAAATATGCCGAACCCACGTTTAAATTAAGCATTAAATGGATTATTTAATGATTTGAAAAAAAGAAGCTGATAGTTGCAGGGAATCAGGAATATAAGGAAACACGCAGTATAATTCTATACAATCGTCTCTGAAGTATTATCCCTTGTGGTAAACCCTGTATATGTGAATCTAAAAACTATTTTAATCAACACTAGAAGACGACCTTCAGGTCTTTACGCGATATCGCCTCTATTACAATATAATTTAACTTTATCTATATATATATAAATTATTATATGAATCATGGTACCCATACTATAGTAAAGTATATATATAAATGTAATTAAAATTAAATTTATTCTTGATTAATATAAATGTATAAATCCAGTGTTTTAAATAGATGCTTAATACTAGTACGTTAATGGTTAATGCAGAGAGATTTAAATATTTGGTAAAATTTACAGTTTTTAGGATTAATCACAATGTGGACGCAAAATGACGCATTCAATTTTGCGTCACTGTGCATCGAACTTGACAGCTTGCTTGTCCGCCGTCAGTTTTCATGACGCACTCGTAGAGGCCGGTGTGCTCAGGTCTAGCGTTCTCAATGATGAGACTGGCAACGTCCTTCTCCACCTGTATCCTCACTCCGTCTTCCTCCTTTATCAGGTTCCCGTTCTGGGAGAAGGACAGGTTATCCTTGGTTCCTCCGGAGAACCCAATATCGAACCTTATACTGTCTCCGCAGCTAACGGTCATCTCCTTCAAGGTTCGTGTACTCCGGGTAGACGCCTAAACCGGTTGTATCTTATTATTTGTTTATCTTTTTGTGTTTATATTTGTGTTGGTTTCTTATTTTTTGTCATTAAAGTAAATTGATAACACTAAATCAAAATGCATATTTCAAAACTAAATCATTAAGGAATTTAGTCTCTGATTTTCTAATCCCTATATCTCTGAAACCGAAAGTCATATACCTTAGATATAACAAACTATGAATTATGTTAGATAAAATCGTGTAAGTTTGAAATATCTAAGGTACTAGCAGGTTGAAAAGAAATAGGAATTAGTTGATTTTGTGGCAAAGATTAATTTTCTTTATCAGTTAATCTATGTGTGTTTATGATTTTATACCTGCATAACATATTCCTGTCCTGCTTCCATAACGTTCAGGTTGCTACTGCTCTTAGCAGCTCCAACAATATTCTCTAGTAGACATGTAAATACTCCGCTATCATCGGCACACGTCGCAGCTATCGTCAGGGAGCTTTCGGTGTCCGTTGTGAGGATCGTGAAGTCCTTAGAGTTGTGAACAGGGAACGAATATCTGAACCATTTGACCGCAGGGTTGGGTTGACCGGTGAATTGAACCTTGAAAACTGCTGGAGATCCCTCATTAACGGTCACCGGCTCCATAGAGTGGGAGAACATGGGAGCACTCATGTTTTGCTGAACAAGAGGCTCGGTCAAAGATTAAAGTAAAAAAGAGATTTCTTCACAAGATTTAAATCAAAGGCTCATTTAAACTATGCAAAGATTGCATTCATCATCAAGAGAAAACCGAATTGTGAAAAATTTCTTTAAAATAAATTAAGACTTTGCCACAAACTCAAATTTTCCAATCCCTATATCTTTACAACCTGATGGTGTGAACCTTTGATATTTTAACCTTGTATTATTTGATCTTAACAGGTCATTGTTTGAAATATCAAGGCCTGTAACAATGGGCTGTAAAGATATACGGATTAGTAATTCAGAGTTTTGTGGCAATTCTCCTTGTTTAGAAAATTTACGGATATAATTGTGGTGTTTAAAATTTGGCGTACCATGCTGAAATGGCTTGATTCCGCATACTCGACATAATGCTTCTCCCTCCTGGCCATCTCCTGCCACTCCTGGGTCTCCTGGGACACGTGGGACACATGCTCTTCCCTCATCTCATGGTGATGGAGTTGGGACACCTGGGAGGTCATGTTCTCCTTCCTCTCCTCCGTGTACATCTCCTGCCTTCTCAGCAACAACATCATCAACATGTTCATCAACGAGAAGATGTAAATCATAAGCAAAAACAAAAAATTATAATTTTTACATTTTCCTGCCTTTTTTGACATTTTTTTAAAACCTCCTTAGCACCCAAACTATTAAAGGAATTGAGTTTTTGTCACAACCTCAAATTTTCTAATTTCTATATCTCTGCAACCAGTGGGTATAAACCTTTGATATTTCAAACTTAGATTATTTGATCTTACAGAATTAATAGTTTAAAATATCTAAGGTCTACGACTTTGGGTTGCCAAGATATAGGGATAAGAATATTTGAGTTTGTGTGACTAATTTTTTTCAGTACACTGGCCTTAAACAATTGGGCTATGCACATACCTTAAAAGTTGCAGCAATATACTTTATCTCTGANAAATCTTATCGAATTCAGATAATTCTTTTTAGAAGCAAAATACTTAAATAATGAGACTATTTTCTTTTAAAAAGAATTTGCCATGAATCATGCATGATTCCAACAAAATTTTAAAAGTTACTCTGGAATAGGAAGACGACTTTCAGACTCCAGTTATTATGGATGTCCAAGGAACATCAGACATATAATTTATGCAGTGTATACAGATTAATTTCACTAAGTTACTAGTAAAACCATTTGCTTTGTAACAACATGAATTACACCAAATGTATCAAATACATCAAAGATTAAAAAATGATAAAAAATTACTTGCTTAATGAATTGTGTATACTATATATATCTGCAGTATATCTTTAAAAAAATCTGTAATGTTGTTTATAATGTTGTTAGGTTCCTGTGTTGTTGTGAATGTTGTTGTTTACGAACGACTTCCTCTTCGTCACAAAAAGCTGAACAAACAAACAATTAAACAAACAACAAACCAAAAAATGCAAACACACAAATACTAATAAAAATGCGCAAAACCAAGCATGAATACAGGGCTTTCTATGATTTTGGTTTACCAAAACTTTCCTATCTTCTCTTCCACACTTTCTCATTAGCCTTCAAACTTTTAGAAAAAGTTCCTGACATTGCCTAAAGTCTATCCTTTCTTTATTTCCACTAAATATCTTTTAATCAATCAAAATTTCTTTAAATTTCCTCCGATTTTTTGTCTTTTCTCCAATCATCTTCAAATTTCCTCCAATTGTCTCTTTATTCCTCCCAACCTCTGCATATTTTCTCCAATTGTCTATCCACCCCGTTATTTCTCTTAAACCCCCCCACCCACCACCTATTGTCTTTTTATCCCTCCAATTCTCTGTCTATCCCTTTAATTATCTTTAAACCCCCTCCTATTGTCTCGTTATCCCTAAACAGGCTAGGGGGGGGGGGCGTTTGGCGTTCACTCCCTGTTGGTTTTTTTGTCCTAGCACTCTCAGTTTGACACTATCACCGTGAAATTTTGTGACATTTAATGAATTGTAATTTAAAGGATTTTTGTCATTTTTTTTTTAATTTAAAGGGTAGGGTACAGGGTGGAAAAAAAGTCCGGTATGTGAAAAACAAATCTAAAATAGTTCATAACTTTTTTGTGACTAAAGCTACAAATCTAAAAGCTATATTTTTAAAAAAGCCCTTGAAAAATGCATTTATAACATGGGTCACACTTGTTTAGAACAAAAAAAAATTTTTGACCCTTTTTTAGGCATTTTCTTTTCATTTTCCCTAGCGCCCAAACTATTAAAGTTATCGGTCTAATTTTTTTTTCTATGATCTGACCTTGAAAATTGGGCTATGAACATGCATTTCAACCCTATACCTATTCTCTAAGGCCTTTTTCTAGGGGGGGGCAGACGCCCAGCCTTTATAGGGTTAAGATTCCCTCCAATTCTCTGTTTATCCCTTCAATCCTTTTCAAACTCCCTCCAACTGCCTCTTTTTCAAATCTACTACTCCTCATTATTTCCCTAAAAGTCGTCCAAAACTCGTAATATTTCTTAAATTTTGTCCATCCCTTTAACTTTCATTAATTCATCTAATTTCAAAACATTCTTCCTCTATCTATCCCTCCAACATGTATCTATTCCTCTCCAACATGTTTTTATTCGCGTCTCCAATATTTTTACTTCATTTCTCATCTGTTCTTCCCATTTCCTTTTTTGGCATTTACTCTAAAAAATGTCAAAGTTTCATCTGAAATTTTGTGTTGGAGCATCGAAGCCAAATTTCAACTTAGTAGCAGCATTCGCAAAATTTTTTAAATGATTTTTTTTTCATTCACTTTTAAAGAATCGAGAAGCGAGCACTAAGTTTACTTTGGCGCAGGTGCTCCAACAAATTTTTTTAAATGAAAGTTTGAAATTTCTTAGAGTGTTTGTTAATCCCCCTAAGGGCCTTCCATAACCCTGTATTCACCCCTGATAAAAGCGAACAAAAAGCATAAAGAAATATATTTTCTCTAACTGATTGATGAAAAACCGACAGTGGTAAAAAAGTTTTTAAAATAATTGCTTTATTTTTGTTTTATTTAGAATGAATTGTTAGGTTCCAAACTAATTGTCTAATATAAAATTAAACCGTGTTTAAATCTTCTGATTAATACTTGAGTTTAAATCTTAGATATGTCTAGATCTCGTGTTTAAATCTTAAACATAATTATAAATCTTGTGTTTATTCAAAATGATTTTGTGCTTTTATCTTGCGTTCAATTCTTTTGCTTAATCTTATGCTTGATTTTGTGTTTGAATTGTGTATTTAAATCTAATTTTTAAATCTTGTCTAAATCTTTTCTTTAAATCTTGTCTATGAATCTTGTGTATAAATCTTGTGTCTAAATCTTGTGTCATAAATCGTGTCTTCAAATCTTGTGTCTTAAACTTGTGTTTAAACCTTGTATCTAAATCTTGTGTCTAAATCTTGTGTTTAAATCTTGTGTTTAAATCTTGTGTCTAAACCTTGTGTCTAAACCTTGTGTCTCAATCTAGTGTCTTAATCTTGTGTCTTAATCTTGTGTCTTAATCTTGTGTTTAAATCTTGTGTCTAAATATTGTGTCTACATCTTGTGTCTAAATTTTGTGTCTTAATCGTTTCTACAAAACGTGTGTGTTCAAATCTTGCCTATAAATTTTGTGTCAAAATCTTGTGTCTAAATCTTGTTTCTAAATTTTGTCTATAATACTTGTGTCTAAACTTTGTATTTAAATCGTGTGTCTTAATCTTGTGTTTAAATTTTGTGTTTAAATCTTGTGAATAAATCTTGTGTTTAAAATTTGTCTTTACTTGTGTTCAAATATTATGTTTAAACCAAATATTAAAATTTTGTGTTGCAATCGTGTGTTTAAATTTTGTGTTAAAATCGTGTGTTTAAATCCTGTCTATAAATCGTTTCTGTGAATATTGACTATAAATCTTGTCTTCAAATCTTGTGTATAAATCTTGTCTTCAAATCTTGTGTATTAATCTTGTCTATAAATCTTGTGTCTAAATCTTGAAATCTTGTGTATTAATCTTGTCTATAAATCTTGTGTCTAAATCTTGTCTATAAATCTTTTGTATTAATCTTGTCTATAAATCTTGTGTCTAAATCTTGTCTATAAATCTTGTCTTCAAATCTTGTGTATTAATCTTGTCTATAAATCTTGTGTATTAATCTTGTCTATAAATCTTGTGTCTAAATCTTGTGTCTAAATCTTGTGTCTAAATCTTGTGTCTAAATCTTGTATATAAATCTTGTGTCTAAATCTTGTATATAAATCGTATAACCTTTGTAGATAAAGATTCCAGAAGCTAGGGAGGAATGTTCCTAAAGGTTGTTTATAGAATAAACAAGGCCAAATGCATTGGACTTTTTACAGAAATAAATCTCTTGCGTTCATATCTGAAGTTTAACTGATATTAAAGAGATTGTAGACGTCAAGTGACCTTTTATTTATGGAGTGGAATGTCCAAAACAAATCGGTACCCTTAATAAACTGATTATTTTGGGATGTTTTTACAAAAGTTAGCCTGCGCATTTCTAATGCAGGAACACGTGAAAGAAAATGATAAAATTAACTTTTTTTAAAGATTAGAACTACGACATCATCTTCCACATAATTGATCAGATAAAGATGATAAGGGTACCTTTGTATATGGCGTCCCCTTTAAGAAACCTTATGGAATGGAGAGGGTTTAAGTTTTTAAAAACTTAAATTAAAAGGCCCGCAAGTAATTTATAATTAATTTTTATCATGAATTAAATTATAACACACTAATATTTGTTAATTAAAAACATATTAATTCAAACAAAAGCAGATTTTTCCACACCAAAAAATAAAAAAAATAGTTTTTTGCCATGCATTGAATATAATGTTGAAAAATCTTTGTTAATTTGAATAAAAAATAATAGACGAACAACATTTAAAAAAAAGGTAGAGAAGAATATAAAGTATAAGGGTTAGCGGGTTAGTTTACAATAATTTTCCCACCTTTTTTCATCCATCATTCAATCTCCTTCATCTTCATTCACTTTCACTTTTTTAGCTCTTTTTTAGTTTACATTGCGGATATATACATACACAATTATAGGTACCATGATTCATATTTATATTCATATTCATATATATATATATATGCACTAAAGATAGATAGAGAAAGAGAGAATAAAAACACCGTGTGTTGTCCGTCTATCCAGTGTTGATTATTTGCTTGGTGAAAAAGGTACATAGAAAACTATGTTTTTTTCAACTTTCATTAGTATTAGTATTTTTTACGATGTTTTTATTGTTAGAAACTAGCTTTTAGGAGCAGTTAGGGTACTTACGTTTGACGTTGTGCTTTAACACTGATCTGTAGTCATCCTTCCGCCGCTTGACGGTGAGGGTGGTGGTGGAGTAGGCCTCCCCGCACTGGTTTCTAGCGATCACTTCGATCTTTCCATGATCTCTCTCCTGACACTTAGGGATGTCAAGGTGCCACATACCATCATAGATCAGCTTATGGCGGCTACCCTGATATTTTTAATAATTAAATCTTTGTGCTTTTTTGTGTGTGCTTTTTCTAAGAAATAATTATTGAAAAGGAATTGATTTTTTATTCTTTTTATCTTTGCAACCCAATGACGTAGACCTTTAAATTGCAATTTTTGTTATACGCTTTCAAAGTAGGAACACTAATCAAACCCCCCCCCTTCCATACTTTTTAGGTTAAAAACTACTTACATTGATAACAGTGTGGCCATTGATAAGCCACATGACTCTCGGTTTAGGATACCCAGTGACCCTGCAACAGAACCTTGCACTACCCCCCTCTGTAGTTGTAACAGCTTCAGGTTTAGTCACGAAACAAGGTTTAAACTTCTCCGTCTCTTGTTCAATAAGCTCAGGAGCACGCTGCCATCCTGATTCCATCTCACGGATTTTCTCAATAGACATCATTCCCTTGGGCAGTTGGGACTCATAGATGATACCAGTCTTACCAGAGCACTTGATGATAGCTCTTGTCTCATCTGATCCGTAGAGATTTGTTGCTCTGCAAATATACTCTCCAGAATCTTCAGGATAAACCCAGCCAAAGTTCATGGCAACATAGCCAAAATCATAGATTGGAGTGAATCTGGTTTCTAAATAATATTGGCGGTTAATTAGTTATCAAAATACAGAGATAACCACAAAGAATGAGACTAATGACTACCTAAAGCCCTTTGAAGATAACACTCAAAAAGTTAATATTTTTCTTTTAAATGTAAAAAAAATTAGGAAAGTCTAAAGTCTACTTCTTTGTACAGTGGGATGAGAGTTTAAAAAGTTAACATTTCAACCAGTAGATTGAGAATAAACCTATTATGTAAATTGGTTTGTATACACTGCATAATTCCCTACGCTTTCTTTTCATTCATTGTACTTGGTCTACCAGACTTCCTATAGTTTTATGGGTAACATTGTAAATAACTTTAAAATGATTGAATTGTTTACTTACTGAATGAGAGAGGTTTTCCGTTGAAGAACCATTCCACCTTCATGTTAGGATCTCCTACTGGAGCAAGCTGGCATTCAAACTTGGTAGCGTGCATTTCCTCCAGGCTTGTCACACTCTGAATCTGAGTAACAAAGCGTGGAGGCTGTCTCTTCTCAGAATCATAAACATCCTCCTCTGTAAGAAACATCTCTTGAGAGTACTTCTTCATGGCAGCCTCCATTTGGACAATGTACTCAGAGTTCTTCATTCCCTTGGGGACTTGATTTTCCAGCTGGATTGCAGGAAGCTCTTTGCATCTTAGTTCAGCTTTTGTTATATCTTCACCAAGCTCATTTATAGCTTTGCAAACATACTCTCCCTCATCCTCAGGGTAGGTGTACAAAATGTCAAGAGCAACATATCCAAACTCAAAAGTAAGTCTGAACCTGTGTCCGAAATCCACTTCTTTGCCATTGTGGAACCACTTGACTTGAAGTTTGGGGTCATTCTTGGGTTCAACTCTACACTCAAAGTGGGCAGGCTCTCCTTCAGCAACCATTCTTGGTTTGATCTGTGTGATGAATTTAGGAGCTGTAATGGGAGAATCCACATCACTCTTAGATTCTTGTTTTCTAGCTTCAAGCTCCTTCAACCTATCCATAGACATACCATTGGGCAGTTGAGAGTCCATAATGATATCCTTTTTACTCTTGCAAATGAGATTTACAGTAGTTTCAGCACTTCCGCATTTATTAATGGCGACACATTTGTAAGTACCAGAGTCCCTCTTGAAGGTCCAGTCGATGTCTAGGACAACAAATCCAAAATCATTGATTGTATGGATTCTGGAACCAATCTGAATAGGACTGTTGTTGTGGTACCATTCTACTCTCATTGACCCATCTCCAATAGGTTCAATTCTGCAATCAAAATGAGCGGGTTGGCCTTCATAACAGGTGACATCATGAGGCTTAGTAACAAATACAGGGGCTTTGGTTTCCAGCTCTTCATGAGAGATATCCTCCCTCTTCCACATTCTCTCCTCAAGGTTATGAATGGATTCTGTTCCACTCTGGAAGCTCTTGGGGAGCTGAGGATTTGTATCTATTCCTTGTTTGCTCTTGATCTGAACCTGACAGGATACACTGGATTCTCCATGTCTGTTGGTAGCTTTGCAAGTATAGTTTCCGGTATCTCTTGTCAAGACATTTGCAACCTCAAGAATGACAAATCCAAAATCATTAATGGTTTTGATTCTAGATCCAGCACTGAGCTGTTTTCCATTGTGGTACCATTCAACCCTCATGCTGGGATCATTGATAGGAGTTAACCTTGTCTCAAAGTGGGCAAGAGCATTCTCTCCCAAGAGTAGATCCTGGAGCTGGCTCAAAAACTCTGGAGGCTGATTGAGATCTTCCTCAGATTGTGTTTCTCCACGGGCTCTTCCAAGCCCTTCAAGTTGAGCAATTCTTTCCATGGCTCCTTCCATTCCTGATGGAAGCTGAGAGTCAAGAATGATATTTCTTTTCCCAGAGCAGGACAGTGTTGCTGTTGTCACAGCTTCTCCAAGAGCATTCTTAGCTCTGCATGTGTACTCTCCCGCATCTTCTGGGTACACTGGAGAAATTTCTAGAATCACAAAACCAAAATCGCAGAAAGTCCTAATACGAGATCCAGCCTTTAGTGCCTTGCCATTCCAGAACCATTCCACAGTCATGTTGGGATCATCTGTAGGTAGAAGACGTCCTTCAAAGTGAGCATTTTCCCCTTCTTTCAAACTGCTGATGTTGGCAATGGGCGAGGTGAATCTAGGAGCTGTTGCAGATGCAGATTGGCTCTCAGAGCTAAACTTCATCTTGTGGGACTCCAGGTGCTGAATTCTCTCCAGAGTTTGCTCCTTCATGTCTCCGGGAACCTGTGGAGTTAAAATCAGCCCAGACTTCTCACTGCAGGTCACACTGCCCTTGGTGGAGTCAGAACCCAGCTTGTTGGTTGCACGGCATTCATAAGTTCCAGAATCTTCTCCATAACAGTAGAGAATATCAAGGATGACAATACCAAAGTCATGGAAGGTTCTGAATCTGTGACCAGTTGGAAGTGGAGTTCCATTTTTAAACCACTCAACCTAGTAATAAATAAGATAATAAGATGAGATAAAATAGATAATAATAATATTTGCTTTCTTATTTTTATCTATTTGTCTTACCTTCATGTTAGGATCTTCAGTGGGAGTAAGACGGGCCTCAAAATGAGCACTCTGTCCCTCAGATATTTCAATACTGGAGGCTACTTGGGTTAGGAACTTAGGAGGACCAATTTCAGCTGCTCCGGGAATATTGCTGGGACCCTCATCTTAAAAATATATAATATAATTTAAAGGTCATCAAAAATATATAAGCAAACACGGCACACAAGGAAAGGATCTGATTAGTATGGATAAACAAAAACACTGAATGGTTTTGTGAGACTCCAACTACAGGTGGTGTTTGAGATTTACCAGTCTCAAGGGAACGTAATTTATCCAGAGCCTCTGGACGAAGTGATTGTGTAAACACTCCGGATGATCCCTCGCAACCCAAAACTGCTCTTGTTGTATCACTGCCAAACCTTCATAAAACTTTGGGTATAAAAAGATCAATAATAAGAGTTTCTTTTCGGTTTTATCTAACTTACTTATTTATTGCAGTGCAAATATACTCCCCACTATCCCTGGAATCTACCCCAGCTATATCCAACATTACAAATCCAAAATCAGAAACAGTCTGGAGAAAACAATAATTCAACAATCATAACTATTTACCAAAATTATGTTTCTAAATGCTAAAATAAGAATTAGGTTTCAAAACGTATTCTGATTGGTTCAATTAATGTTTCCTTTATTCTACTGGAGGAGTTTAATGGAGTTCCATTAAATTTCCATTCAATCCTCAGATTTGGATCATTAGCAGGTGTAACTCGGCATTCAAAGTGTGCTGACATACCATCTTTCAACTTGAGAACGTCCTTAGATAAAATGTTGTTTTTAGTATTGATTTAATTTCATCAACCAATCATTCAATGAACAGTTTACCTTTAGTTGTGTTGTAAAGGTTGGAGCAAGTTTCTCCTTCTCATTGGAATATTTAAGATCAAATGACGATTCAGCTTTTCCAGCTTTGTTCTGTGCACTGCAGGTGTATTTACCCTGATCTTTTTTTCTTATTCCCATTATTTCAAAAATAACCAAACCAAAAGCATGAACTGACTTAAACCTTGAACCTAAAATACGACATAGTTTTTTCATTTTATTTGAATTTGGTCAGTTTTTCAAAGTTATTGTATGTCTTACTTTCTTTTAATGGTTTCCCGTCTAAGAACCATTCCAGTGTCATGTTTTCATTTCTTGGTTCTAGTTGTGCTTCAAAGTGTCCCACAGAACCTTGCCCAAGTTCAGCATTCTCAAAGTTAGTCACAAATCTCGGAGGTATTATTTCATCCACCTTTTCCTCTTCATCGCGCAGAATACCCTTAGCTTCAACTCCTGTAAATGAGTTCAAAGCCTCAGAACCTCTGGGATGTTGGCTTGAAAAATCAACCCCAAAAGCAGTTTCTTGAACATTCACTTTGGTAAATGTGACAGCTTCTCCAAGCTTGTTGGTTGCTTTGCATGTATACAGACCAGCATCTCTTGAAGTCATACCATTTATTGAGAGGTTGACAAAACCAAAATCTGATGTGGCTCTAATTCGTGTTCCTGTACTCAGTGGTAACCCATTATGATACCAGTCAATCTTTAGTGTTGAATCATTTTTAGGTTCTATGCAACATTCCAGGTTCAAATCCATCTCAGATTGCAAGTTAACTTCTGCGGGTAGATCGGTGGTAAATCGGGGAGCATGTAAGTCTTCCTCTTCCACTGCTTTATCTCCAGCCAGCTTTAGAGAAGCTTCAAGCTCCATTTTCTGAATGGCATCAAGTCCAGCTTTTCCTGATGGATGAAGTCCTTCTGAAGCTACTCCGCTACCTCCTTCAGTCTGAACTTTAAGAGTTCCAGAGGTGGAAGCAATACCCTTGTTATTAGTTGCTGTACACTTAAACATTCCAGCATCTTTCAACAGTGCATCTTCTATCACCAATTTAACAACTCCAAATTCAAAGGAAGGAATAAACTTGGTTCCACTAGGTAGAGGACCACCATTAAGCATCCAATCTAGGATTTATTAAATATGTTTTATTGCGTAAAAATATTTTTGGGGAAGTTTTGGTAACAAGATATTTTCTTTGTAATTTTAAGTGACTATCTTATCCAAATTGTAGAAAATACCGTCGTTTTTCTATTAAAAATTGTCTAATTTGGACAATTTCTTCTATTGTTTCTGCAGTATGAATCCAAAAGTCTTTGCATAAAGAAACCACAATTGAAATTAATCAGTTTGAATATCGCTTTTGTTCTTGATAAAACAAAGCTTTCAAAAAATGTCCTAGGACATGCCACTCTTGAAATTACGTCTACAGTCTCTATAATTCAAATCTCCAAGAATCAATTAAAGAAGGGGTATAGATAGAACATCGTTTATGAATACCTATTTTTATTGTAGGATCCTGAGCGGGTTCAACTTTACATTGGAAAACTACATTTCCACTCTCCTGAACTACTATGTTGTTTAGATGCTCCGTAAAGGTTGGATGATCGTATTTAACAGGTTCAGGTTCGGAGAGTTTAGGTCGAGGGTTCTCCAGGTCTCTAATCTTATCCAGAGCTCCTTGATGGTGGGTTCCACCTTGGAGCCAACCACCTTCTGTATTGGGAGGTTAAGTGAAATTAGAACTGTGTCTTAAATCAGTTCTTTACAAATTAAGGTTTAATAATCAAACAGATAAGTCGAGTTTTGTACAGTACTTTTTAAAATTTTTAATTGATGAGTTTTCATTTAAATAACTCAGAAAGGACTGATTACTTGCGGCTAACTCTAATTTTCTATTCATTACAGCTATAATGAAATATTTTTGTATTAATGATCTGTTCTTGGTTCCCACCCATTGAATCAACACATTTGAATGGGTGGGTCGTCAAAACAGAAAAGTGAAAAGTTAAAAAAAGAATTCCACAAACTTTCTTTCTATCAAATTGATTATTAAATCTTGGATCTAATTCAGTGTGTCGTATAAACTGATTTTCAAAATTAAAATAACTAAAAAACACAAATTTAATGAGAAATAAACTAAATAAATTGATTTAATAAAATAAATCTAATCTTTATTTACATTTGGTCACTTTAGGTAAACCCTAATTAAACAAAAAAAAATTTCATTAAAATTCAAATATGCCATAGGAACTGAACAATCAACTATAATCAAACATTCAATTTCTCAAATTCCTTTATTTTTACAACCTAATGGTGTAAACCTTTGATATTTTAAACTTTGACTATTAGATCATAATTTAGCTCTAAAGGTTTACAAAATCTAGTTGCAAAGATATTAGGTTCGGAATATTTGAGTTGGAGAAAAGAATTCAGTTCCTTTTTTAAAGGGAGTATTCGCGAAAAATGAATATTGCGTATATAAGGGAAATATGGTTAAACACGTCTTACACCCTTGTGCGTATCTTGCAATATTCCACTCAGATCGTAAATAATTAAATCAAATATATTGTTTGTCGCTAACACTCCCTTTAACATTTTACCCTTTCTGATAGTCTTGATGTAGGAATAATTGAATATAAACCCCTGGATGTGGCAACACTCCCTACCTTTAACTTTGATGCTGGTGGTTGATGTTGCTTCACCATTTAGATTGATTGCTTTACAGGTGTAGATACCAATATCACTGCTTCTAATGGAGTCAATATCCAGTGTAACCACACCAAACTCATGGGAGGTCTTAATACGAGATCCTAAATATATAAATTATGAGTGAAGTCTTTTTGATTTTCTTAAATTCAATTTTATACTAAAGAAAATATTTCAAATTTTGGATTTTTTTCTTAAATTCTTGCGTAAATTGCATTGTAAAGTAGAAATTATTTGGATTTACACAAAACAAAATCGAAACCAATTTAAAAAATCATCATATTTAGGTAAAAAACGAATTGCTTTGCTAATTGTTTGGTACTTTTTTTAGAATAATAAAATATTATAGTTTTCTTGGGTTTTAGTTTAAGAATAGTGAAGTGTTAATTGTATTCTTATTTTAAAAAATCATCAATTGTATACAAAACAAAATCTTGAAATGCTTACAGGGATTTTTATTAAATATGCAAGATTTAAAACTTGTTTTTATTAAATATCCCAGTTGTTAGATTTGATTTTAAATTGTAGATATATTAGAAATTATTGCAACTATAGATATACAGTTTTAAATAATTAATAAAAACTTTTTTGTATAAATAACACTAAATTGAACCTCCAAAAATGTCAGGAGTTATTTTTAGCAATTAATTGTCTTACATTAGCGTTTAGACAAATTAAAAAAGTTTTATTCTTATTAAATGATAATTCCTTTTTTTCAGAGGTTCATATTTCTAAAGTAATAGATTTGAAATAACTATGATGAAAAGTCAAATTCATGTTTATTATATTTTCAGGCATGCACTAAATTGTGTTTAGAAATAGCTACATAGACATAATTAGGTTTAATCTCACATGTGTAAACCTACCTTTCTTCTAGTTCACCATGTTAGGTTAAAAGAACGGTTGACGGTATTTCAAGTGACCCTTCATTGATAGATTGTCGTGTCAGATTTACAACAGTACCATTTAAACTTTTATCTGAGTAAAAATGAGGAAAATATCGTCGTTGTTCTATCTTGAAAAGTGTTGAATAATGACCGTTTCAGATCACCGCTGCATACATCCGTAAACCACTTTTGAAGAAAAACCACGTTTTTAAAATGAATAATTCACCGCTAGAAAAATTAGAATATCTCATTCATTTATTATATAGACAAAGGTTGGGTAAAGTTATGTAAACCAAAATTTCCAATCTAAAAAATGGGGCCACTTGAAATTGCGTTCATAGTCCCCTTAAAGGGACAGACCGGCTATGTAAGGTAGTTAAACTGAGTATGCAGTGTTGTGGACAAATTCTTTAGGATTCAATAAGACATATGAAACGTTTAAAAGATCTATATTTTCTAAAGTCGAGGTTCAAAATCGTACTTTTGGGAGGATACATTTCAGAATTGCTTTTTAAAAATTATTTAATAACGACGACAAAAAAATATAAAATTCTACGGTAAAGCAATTAGTTGTTCAGGAACAGGTTGAGAAAATAAAAATTAATCTTATCATCGAAAATAAGTAATCTTATTCAATTATTATAGTTTCTATGTTCTCTGATTATTCACAAATATTTTCTTCAGATTTTCAGGAATTTTTATTGATAAGACGACATTTGAAGAATTAGTAGAAATCTGCGGACATATTCCTAGAAAATAAGAAATTCAATATAATGATACAAACGAAATAATTGATTCTAGCATTGATTTATTGACAAATTTATTTTAAGAAATATGTTCCTAAACATCTAATTGGTTTACTGTATAATTTTACTTTATTTTTCGTCGTCGTAATTTAACAATTAAAAAAAAACGATTCTGAAAACGTACCCACCCAACTTAATGATTTTAAACGTCGACTATGCACTCAAACTCAGTAATTATACATCTCAAATGAATCCTAAAGAATTTGTACACAACATTGCATACTCAGTTTAACAGCCTTACATAGCCGGTTTGTCCCTTTAATGCAGATTATGTATGTTAAAAAGCAGTATAAGTTGATTATTTCATCTATTATGCTCTAAAAATTTTTATTTGTTGGATTATTTCAGGTTATTAAGAAAAGTTGCACTTGAGAGATGGATTTTCTTTGGTACATTCATGCAGTGCAACCTTGCTGGTATAACCTTGGTATTACTACAGTTATAATTGCTCCAAAAAAGATTGCTATTTAACAGAAACCGAAATAGTGATTTTTTGGCTTATTTATAAACTGGGACATCCTTTAATAGTGTGGAGGGGGGGGATGGGGGTGGTTTGTCTTGCATAAGATTGATGTTGATTAATTTTGGGGAGGGGTTTTCTAGTAAATGCGTTTCTACCAATTCTGTTTTGAGCAATCATATTTCCGCCTTTAATTACTGGATGCATTTATAGTTCCGTCCATGCTTCTTCTACCTGTAGATAAAACCTTGCCATTCAGCTCCCATTCAATCCTTAGTTTAGGATCATTCTTGGGCTCAACTTTAGCCTCAACATGTACTTTTTGTCCTTCAGGCACAAGACCAACGTCCTCGAGTGGAACCATAAAGACCGGAGGTTGGTTCGGCCCAGCCTCGGTGATTTCAATGTGAGGTTGATCCTTCATTTTCTCAAGAGCAACAAGCTTCTTATAGGACTCCGGGTGCATTGTTTCCGCCATGATACCGTGCTGGTTACCAACATGGAGGGCAAAGGAAGAAGATGAATCTCCTGCAAAGTTCTTTGCCGTTACAACATACATTCCAGAATCCTCCGGAACACATTTCATAATGTCCAGGGTTACAAATCCAAAATCATGAGAGGCCTGAACTCTTGATCCCATGTTCAGGCTTTCTCCGTTCTTAGTCCACTCAAATATCATGTCTGGATCTCCTACTGGCACTACTCGGCACTCCATGTGTGCGTTCTTCCCTTCTTCAACATCAGCTGATCCGAAGAGCGGACTTGTAAAAACCGGTTTTCCAAACCCTTCTCCAATCTCAGACTCCTGGCGTTGTACCTTAGCAGACTCTAGAGCTGTGATTTTCTGCATTCCCTTGGGATGTTGGGAGTCAAGGATCAAGGAACCTTTGCTGTGAACAGTTATAGAAGCTGTTGTAATTGCATTCCCTAAGCTGTTGTTAGCGCGGCATTCATACACGCCATTATCAGATTCTCTCAAACCAGTTATATCCAGAGATATGTGACCAAAGTCATTTACATAGTTTATTCTCGATCCTGTTCAATAAAACATGTAAAGGGATAAAAACTAAAATTCAAAACTGTTCTGTTCAAACCTTTACAGGGAAATATCTTGAATTTTACAAGGAGATTAGAGTAAAGTTATTTATATTTACATAATGAAATTGAATTTACCAATGTAGATATTACCCTTACAGTTCATAAAAGTTACAGAAACAAAACAGTGTAGAACAAAACAAGGACAAAAAAATGTGTTTTCTCTTTAAAAAGTGTAAAAGTGTATCAAAGTGATAATTCAATGAAGGTTCTGTACTCCATATTATTACTCTGATTAAAGATATTGTGTTTTCCATTCTGTTTCAAATTCAGACTAGACACAATTGTAAGTTGTAAAAGAACAAAAAATATTTATCTGAACTAAAATGTTTGAAAAATTTAAATTTTTTTCAGCTAACAAAAAAGAAGAAAAATACTTACCAGTCTCCAAAATCTTGCCATCCTTGTACCATTCCACTGTGAGAGAAGTATCTCCAACTGGGATGAGACGAGCTGCAAGGTGTGCGGACTGATTTTCAGATTTAACCACGTTCTGAAGAGCAGTTGTGAAAACAGGCTTCTGAAAGGTTGTGATCTCTTCCTCTTTAGCATTCCTACCCCTGCTCTCTAGCTGCTTGATCTTGTCTAATCCCTCAGGTCTCTGGGACGAGAGATCAAGTGAGCCCTTGGCAGCAATGCTGACATTGACAACAGATCTTGCCTCTCCAAGAGCATTGAAGGCTTTACAGACATATTCGCCACTATCAGCAGACACAAGCTTTCCAATATCCAGAGCGACATATCCAAAGTCACAGACTGTATGGATTCTAGATGCTTGTTGCAAAGCTTTTCCATTGTGGAAGAATTCAACTCTAAGTGTAGGATCATGAAGAGGTTCAATCTTAGCTTCAAAATGAGCAGATTGTCCCTCCTCTAATGTAGTTATACCCTGGAGTTGGGTTAAAAACTTAGGAGCTGTGATTTCAGGTTCTTCCACCTCCAGTCTTGCAACACGGCGTCTAGATTCCAGTTCTCTCATCTTCTCCCAACCCTCGGGATGCTGAGAATCCAATAAGAGTCCTTTACGAGCTGAAACATAAAACTTTTTAGATTTTACCTCCATACAAATAGTTTTTTAACCCTATAAAGCCAGGCTGGAGGGTCTGGATCTAGGTATAAGTCTGAGAGGGAGGGTGTCCCAGGCCTCCCCTAGAAAACGGCCTTGGAGAATAGGTATAGGGTTGAAATGCACGTTCAATTTTTTAAGGCCAGTTCGTTGAAAAAAATTAGACCGATAACTTTGATAGTTTTGGTGCTATGAAGGGTTGAAAAAGACCAAAAAAAAGTTTAGAAATGTTAAAAATTATATTTTTGTTTTTAACAATATCAAGATGTGACACATGTTTCTACATCCATTTTTAAAGAGTTTTTCAAAAATAAAGGTTTAGATATCTTAGCATCAGGCTTTTAACGTCTATGCATTAAAAAAAATATATTTAAATTTCTATTCACAGTGATAGTGTGAAAAATGAATGCGCTAAGGTTAAAAACTAGAGGGGGGAAAGGGCGTCAAACCGCCCCCCCCCCCCCGCCTGTTTAGGGTTAATAACATTTTTAACAAACATGTAACAAAGTAAATGTATTGTAAACCAAAACACAAGGACTTGATAACTACTCTTATGCTACTATTGGAGTAAACTTAAACTTAAATATCAATACCATGGAACTCTGACGATGAAAATGTGAGTGGGGTATCATCAAACTCTATTTCAGACAGTTTAGTTTGAGACCAGGATCTACCAGGAACATGACCAAGGGGAACATCGGATAAAGTAACCCCGCCTTGTCTTGGTACTCTCAGCTGCCCCATGCTGCTCAGGGATCCCATTTCAATGGACTGGTGTGCAAGTGTCCGACCAAGGGTCTGTTTCACATCTGGAACTGGATGAATCACATCAGCCAGTTCCAAATTTTATTATCATTTCTCAAGGGTTAATTTATCTTACCTGAAACTGTTACGGATCCAGTGTTGACTGCTTCTCCCAACTTGTTGGTTGCCTTGCACATATAGGTTCCAGAGTCTTCAGCATATGCCCCAAGGATATCCAGCGCGACAAACCCAAAGTCATGAGTGGTTCTGAACCTATGTCCAGTCTTTACTGCTTTTTCATTGATGAACCATTCAACTCTAAGGTTTGGATCATTGACTGGTTCAAGTCTGCACTCTAGGTGAACATGTCCACTCTCAACAGCATTGTCCACGTTATTCAGAGGTGTAGTGAACACAGGCTTGCTAATAGGAGCGTCAATTTCATCAACTCTATGCCTTTCCTTATGCTCAAGGTTTCTCAGTTGGTTTAGTCTGTCTCTATCCATAGTATCCAGGAGAAGTCCAGACTTTCCAGATACTTCCAGAGTACACTGAGTCTGTGTAGTACCAAGAACATTCTTGGCAACACAAGTATAAGTACCACTGTCCTCAGGGTAGGCATATAGAATGTCAAGTGCAACAAATCCAAAATCATAAGTTGTTCTGAACCTGTGGCCTTGTGCTACAGGTTTACCATTGAATAGCCACTCAACTTTCATGGAGGCATCATTGACCGGGGTAAGTGTAGTTTCAAAATGGGCCGGTTGTCCCTCATCCAAGTGAATGTTCTTCAAGGGATGTCCAAACTGAGGTGGTTCTGGAGCAGCAAGCTCTTCTTCAGCAGTTCTCTGGTGCTTGGATTCAAGGTACTTGATCTTGCTCAAAGCTTCGGAGTGTTCACTCTCTAGAAGAAGTCCTTTACCAGCTGAAAATAAAGAAATAAGTTACTAAATATTTAAATTTTAATGTGTGACTTACTTGCAATTGTGACATTAACACTAGACTCCGCTGTCCCAAGAGCATTGGTAGCTCTGATGGTGTAAGTTCCTGAATCTTGGGCATAGCAACCAATGATATCAAGGGCGGCAAATCCAAAATCATAGCTAGTTCTCCATCTGTTGCCATAGGGAAGAGATTTACCATTGAACAGCCATTCCACCTTTAATGAAGGATCTGGGTAAGGGTCAATTCTGCACTCAAAGTGAGCATTTTGCCCTTCCAGCAGCTGTGTTTTGCCCTGAAGCTTAGCAGTAAAGCTCGGCGCTGAAATAACAACTTCATCTTCATTAAGGGCAGCTCTTGCCTTGTTTCTCTCCAGATAAGCAATTTTGGAGAGAGCATCTCCATGCAGGCTCTCCATATCAGCTCCGTTCTTTGAAGAGAGAACAGCCAGATTAGCAGAAATTGTTGCTTCTCCAAGACTGTTAACAGCCCGGATGGAATATCTGCCAGAATCGGATGGCCTGGTATACTTGAGATCCATTGCAACAAATCCAAAATCATGAAGAGTAGACATTCTATTAGAGGCTTCAATAGGTTTACCATCCAACAACCATTCTACTCTAAGTTTAGGATCTCCAATGGGAACAAGTTTGGCCTCAAAGTGAGCAGGAGCTCCTTCAATGACTTGGACATCTCTCATCTGTACGGTAAAGACAGGAGCCTGGGTGGTAAGACCCTCCTCCTGTGTCTGGGTAGTCCTCTGAGACTCCAGGTAGTTAATCTGCTGCAGAGCAGACTCATGAATAGTCTCCTTTACAATAGTTTCCCTGGCCTTCACATTGAGGTTGCAGGAGCAGACTGCTTGTCCTAGACCATTGGTTGCCCGGCAGCTGTACTGGCCGGCATCCTCAGGCAGAACATGAGATATATCAAGGGAAACAAAACCGAAATCATGTCCTTCGCGGAACCTGGACCCTGAAATATCAAGGTTTAACTTGTATCTAGGTTCCAACAATTTTTTAAATTTTTTGATAGAATTTGTTTACCTTGTTTGATGGGCTGACCATTCAAGAACCATTCAACCTTAAGGGTTGGGTCAGAGACAGGAATGATTCTTGCCTCAAAATGGGCTTTCTGTCCTTCTTTCACTTCGCTAGATTTAGGAGAAGTTGTGAAAACAGGAGCTTGAGCTGTTGTCTCTTCTTCTGTCTGAATCCTACAAAAATTAAATAAACCATAATTTTTTATCTTTTACTTGATAATTTTTAAAACAGTTTGCTCACCTTGTTGCTGATTTCTTCTCCAGGTATTGGAACTGTGACATCTCAGTTCTTGACTCAGCAACTACCTGGGACTGACCTAAACCAAAAATAAAGTTAGTACGGTCATCTTACGTACACATTGCGTTGGTTACTGCATCATGGTAGGCAATAGGCAATTCTATCCAAATCTATCTTTTCAAACAACTTACTAATGAAACTAGAAAACAGAAACTCTGAGACAACAACATTAGGTTGCAGAAATATACTAAGTATTAGCAAAATAAATATCTACGTTAATAATGAGTTCCTTGGTAAGTTTAAGCTTATGAATATAAACAACTAGAGGCCAAAGCTCTATTAACAGAAGTTTACATCAAGAACTGTAAACAAAAGAAAGTCTTCAAACTAAATCTTTTTGTAATACAAAGGAATTGAGTCTTTGTCACAAACTCTGATTTTCTAATCCCTATATGTTTTCAACTCAATGAAGAAGACTTAAGATATTTCAAACTATGAGTTCTGTTATATCAAATAATCTAAGTTTGAAATGTCAAAGGTGTACACCATTTGGTTGCAAAGATATAGGCATTGGAATATTTGATTTTGTGGCAAAGACTCAGTTCCTTTGGAAAAACCAATCGGAAGGTTTTAAAACCTTAAAACGAATTGAATCTTTGCCACAAACTCTGATATTCTAATCCCAATGTCTTTGGAAACCAATTGTTGTGGACCTTAAATATTACAAACTATGAATTCCGTTAGATCAAATAATCAAGTTTAAAAAAAATTGATGGTGTACACCATCAGGTCACAAAGATATAGGAATTAGAAAATTTGAGTTTTTGGCGAGGACTTAATTTCTTTCTCCCTCCATGTTTGAACTTACAATAATTTACAAATCAAATTCTCTGTCTCTAGTCTATATTATCTAAGTGTTGCTAAACTAAACTTTAAACCTCAGTAATTCAAAGTCTGTGTATTCACAAAACTAATATTTTATATCAACTTTGTCTTCACTTGGCTAAAATTGGTAATAATTTAATGAAAAAAGAAATTGAGTTTTGACCACAAACTAAAATTTTCTAATCTGTTTATCTTGAAACTTGATAGTGGACAGCTTTGATATTTCAAACAAAGATGATTTAATCTCCAAGAATTTATCATTTGAAATATCAAAGTTCTATGACAAACTGTCTATAAAAGACAAAGTTCACACCCTCTTACTTGACATCTTTGTAGTTGTAATATTGCCTGAATAATCAAAAAAGTAAATAGTAAAGTAAATAAAAAGAATAAAAGGATAAATAAAAAAATAAAAAAATAAAAGGATATATAACAATATATAACTTTTAAAAAACTTACTTTTACAGTTCAGGGTGACCTGACATTCACAGGATCCAACATTATTAGTTGCCCTGCAGGTGTAGGTTCCGGAATCTTCGGAAATAAGCCCAACAATGTCTAGGGCTACGTATCCGAAATCATGGATCGGCCGGAACCTATGTCCTATGGTGACCGGCCTTCCGTCCAGAAACCACTCCACACGAAGGTTGGGATCAGCAATGGGTTCAAGCTTGGCCTCGAAATGGGCATTTTGTCCCTCAATGAGGTTGTCGAGGCTACGAGGTTTATGGATGAATTGAGGACTAACAAATTGTTCAATATCCTCCTCAAATGCTAGTTTATGACTCTGTGAGTTGGCAGATCTATGGATCAAACATTTCAAGTAAAAAAACTTTAGTTTAAAACTTTGCGACAAAAAATCTGTTTTAAAATAAGTTGATAGCCCAAAATCAACCCCAAAGGTACAAACCACCTTTTACCATATTAGCGTCCTAGATAAAAAAAAACATATTTTGTGATACAAAACTTTTCAGGGACTGTCGACCAAATTTTATGTACTCTTCAATTTACAATTTATCGTTAAACCCTTCATGAAAAATATTAATAATAAGAAAATTTTTGTCGATTTTATTTCTTGAAAAGTGATAAATTCTGATTTCCTTCATTGTCTCTGAATTTTAAATCCAAAAATCACTTCTTTAGATAAAACACATTTGGAAATAACTAATTCATAGCTAAAAAACAAACATATTTCATTTATCCTTGATCAGAGAAAGGATTGAAGAGTACTGTTGTAAATCGGTCATGATATTTAATAAAATTAAGCTTGGTCTTTTTAATGTCATGTGTGTGTGTACTGTGTGCTTCAAAAATAAAATAAAAAAGTAAAATTTGTCTGAAATGTTTGAATTTCCTTGCTTCTACGGCTTCAAGTTGGTTCATACTAGAGTAGGCCAGGCTGTCCATTTTCAACTGGCTCAACTCTGTCATCAAAAATCAGGGTCAGGAAAAAATTGGGATTTTGGAAAAATAGGTTTAAGAGAAAAGTAAACATTTTCAAAGACGGACAATTGAAACCTCAAACTGTTTGAGTCCTAACCTGTTTCTTTTCAAAATATTGGAATTGTTGTTTTGCTTAGAAAATCAATATAATATTGCAATTTTAAAAGAAATTTTGCAAGTTGATATTGAATATTGATAAAATTTCTTGCCTTTGTTCTTTTAAAAGCCAGTTAAAAGAATATTTGGAAAAAATTAAAGTTTCACCACCTATAAAACCAGAAACACTGATTTAACTCAGGGAAAAAAGGATAAATCTAGCGCTGTACTTTTGCGTAGATAGTTAATCAAAAACTTGGTAAAACTTACCAAAAATCTTGATAGTGGCAGAGGAGACGGCTTCTCCGTAGGCGTTCCTGGCGTGGCAGGTGTACACGCCAGAGTCCTCCGGGTAAACGCTCAACAGGTCCAGGGCAACATAGTCGAAATCATAGGCAGGACGGAAACGATGTCCTACACAATACAAATCATTATTTTTTTTCATTAATGATTTGAAACAGATTTTAATATTTTGTGTAATGTTTATAATAAAAGATGTCTGTGCATACAAATCTACAAAAAAAAAATATTTTAAAGTTGAAATTAATTATTTCTGTAATCCTGCTAAAGGAATTTAATTTTTGCAACATACTCAAATGTTCTAATATCTACAACCCAATGGTTTTAGCCCTTGATATTTCAAACAAAGATTATTTGAACTGATAGAATTAATCAATAGTTTGAAATATCAAAGGCCTATCACCTTCAGTTGCAAAGATTATAAATCAGAGTTTGTCATAAGAACTCAATTTCTTTTTTTCAAAATTTTGACTCAATATCTATTTTTTCTAAAAGAATCTTACCAGTTTTAAGTGGTTTCCCATTTACTGTCCATTCCACCCTCATAGTAGAATCTCCGGTTGGAGTCAGCCTAGCCTCCAGGTGAATATTCTGTCCTTCTGGGGCCTCCACGTTCTTCAAAGGCTTAGTAAAGGTAGGCGCAGCTTTTACAGCCTCCTCTTCGGATCTCAGAGTAACCTTTTCAGTTTCAAGATAGTTAATTTGTTGCATTGCAGTCTCATTCTCAGTTTCTGTAATCACGCTGCTCTTCACCATCACGTTTACATTGGCACTGGTGGCGCATTCGCCAAGCTTGTTGGTGGCACGGCAAACATACTGTCCTTGATCTAGTCCAGTTACACCAAGGATATCAAGCGCAATGAATCCAAAGTCGTTGTAGGTCTTGAATCGGGATCCAATGGTCAATGGTCGTCCGTTGAAGAACCACTCCACCTTCATGGATGGGTCTCCGATGGGTTCAAGTCTAGCCTCTAGATGAATGTTTTTACCTTCGCTAACGGTTCCAGGATCTACTAGGGTGGTCTTGAACACAGGAGGTCCAGTGGAGGTGACCTCTTGGATCTCATGCCTGACCTCCTGTTTCATCTCAAACCTTTGGGTCTCATGAACAGCCTTGGAGTGCAGAGAAGTGTAGTCTACTGTAGCATGTGCATCAACACGGAGCTCTACAGTTGCCTTTTCTGTTCCAAGCACATTTGTAGCAACAAGAGTATAAGAACCAGAGTCTTCCTTTTTAACGTTATTGATGTCAAGGGCAACATAACCAAAATCATGGAAGGTCTGAATTCTGCTAGAAGCAGAGAGAACCTGACCATTGAAGTACCACTGAATTTGAAGCTTGGGATCATTCTGGGGTTCGATCCTACATTCAAAATGTGCCTTTTGACCTTCAAGGATGACGTTGGTTCCCTTGAGAGTGGAAACAAATCTAGGAGAAGATGTGACCTCCTGTTGGAACTCCATTTTAGTCTCCATTTGTCTAGTTTCCAGTTTCTGAACACTTTCCCAGGATTTGCTCTGGAATTCAGATTCTGCTTTGGTGACGGTTCTAAGCTTGGCTTGAGTTTCTGCTCTACCAAGGCAGTTGGTTGCAATACAGGTATAGGTTCCTTGATCATGCATAGCAACCTGTTTTACAGTCAGAGCAACATATCCAAAGTTAAAAAAAGATGTTATTCTTGAGCTGGCTTCAACAGGTTTTCCATCCTTAAACCATTCAACCTTCATAGAGTGATCTCCCATTGGCTCCAGTCTTGCCTCAAAGTGGGCAAAACCACCTTCTTTAACCTCAACCTGATCTTTTATGTTAGTTTTAAACTCAGGAGCTTGTGTTGGTTGCTCATAGATAACTTCAGTCTTGGAGAGCTTAGAGGCTTGATACTGTTCAAGCTGTTCTGTCTTCTGAATATATGCATACTGCTCCTCCAGTCCAGTGGAGGCTGTCAGGGTAGTGGAGGCTCTGATCTCTACCGTGGCTTGGGTCATATCTTCTCCAGCCTTGTTGGTAGCACGGCAGGTGTAGGTTCCACTGTCTTCCGCCCTCAGATCGGAGATTGTGAGTGAGACATATCCGAAGCTAAAGATAGTTCCAATTCTTGAGCTAGCGGTGATAGGACGTCCATCCTTGAACCAGTCAATTTTCATGGAGCTGTCTGAGGTTGGATTTACCTGAGCCTCCAGTTTAATTGCTGATCCCTCCTGTTTATCCTTGATATTCTGCAGTTTTCTGGTAAATTTAGGAGCAGATACGACCTCTTCTTCAATAACAACCTAAACAATGGGACAGCTACAATAAATACAAGATGTCCCACGAAAATTGCAAGTAGAAAGACCTTTAAATGGTCGTCTTAAATCTTTGAAATTATTTGCAGCATTCATTTTTCAGCCTACATTTACTTTCTGATTCTTTAAACCCCCAACAGCTCTTTTATATTCCTATCCCATAACGACCACCTACCTGTTGTGTTTGAACTGTCTCCTGAACCATCCTAAGACTTGAACTATGACTCTCACTCTCTATCTCCTTACGAGCACTGACATTAAGCCTGCAGCTGCACTTGACGGACCCAGAGTCAGTCTTGATAATGCAGGTGTACTCCCCGCTATCAGATACAGTAGAGTTTAACATGTCCATAGAGACGTATCCAAACTGACAAGCAGTGTTTACTCGTGAACCTAGAATTAAACTCTTAAAATCCTACTTCTCTAGAACATTTATTTTATTTACGAAAACGAAGAAAAAGACTTAAATATGGTAACATTTTTGAATCCTTAAAACTTCGAAATTTTGTAGTTCTTGCTGTAGTAAATTTATACATTTAAGTAAAATAAAAAGTAAGAAATTTCTCATCCATTAAGTTTTAGACAACTTTTTCTAGAATTTCTAACGAAAAGAAAATTTGAACGGATTTCTTTTCTGTGTATTTTTGGTCCTCAAAATGTTTAAACACACATTTAAATATCTAAAATTTACTTTTCTCAGTTAGATGCGTGTAAATAATGTGTTTTACATCAGTTTTTAGTTCAAAAAGCTGGAAATATCGTAATTCCAATGAGTTTGTTTTATACAGAGCAGTTTTTACAGAAAAGTAAAAAGAGCGGAAAAAAGGTTATTTTTACATAATTTAGCTCATTTAGCCTAATTCTTTATAAATGTAACACAACACTTCTGAAATAAGAACTGGAATGTAAAAAGTAAACAGTATTTTTGAAATTACATGATCTTTTTTTAAGCCACAAAAATGTAAACACAAAATTTCTTATTTATTTATTGCAATTATTTTTAAGAAACTACCATGCAAAAACTTGTCATCAGGTGGTATATGTTGTGATTAGATGAGCAAAAACGTAATTGTTACGATTTTGTTGAACTAATCAGGATATTGTGTATCCCAGATAATGATATCCAAACCTATATCCAGGCAGGGACAGTCTCGACTGGGATATCTCCTCATTTGTATTTAATATTTACAAAACATTGATTAAATCAGGATTTTTTTTTCTGAAAGAGACTGTCGACGTAATTTTAAGAATGTTAGGTACTTTCCCAAAGGATTTTTCCAAAGTGGCAACTTCCAAAGAATATTTTCCAAAGTGGCAACTTCCCAAGAGTATTTTCCCAAGTGGCAACTTCCCAAGTCTGTCCTAGCCGCGGCGCTTGGCCCCTTAGCCGATCCTAGCCGCAGCACTCGGCCCTCCATTTCAGCCTGAGGCGCCTCAGAGGCCCTAACCTAACCGTAGCCATTTGGGAAATTACCCTTGGGAAGTTACCACTTGGGAAAATACCTTTGGGAAAGTACTTAACACCATTTCAAGTTACCCTATATTTAAAGGGTTACCCTTCAAACGATTGTTTTGGCAAGAAAGGGATATTTGAAAATTTATTTCCTTCAATTGCAGGTTTTCGGATTAAGGAAGTATAGAAAAACATTTTCTTCAGTGTTAGTCAAGTAAAGGCTAAATGGAATCGTTTCATAGCAAATGTCCTCTTTAATTGGGTTACGTGAAATTAAGTAAAAGGGTCTCGGAGGGTACATTGGACTAAATTCAAGGCCATGCTAAAAATATGGTCAACGTCTTAATTAAATTAAATTTAATGAGATTTGGGCCGAGTCATGATTTTTTATTTTCTTAGCATTTTTGTAGAGAAGTACAAGAAACTTACTAGCAGTGATGATAGAACCGTTGAAATACCACTCCACAACCATGCTAGGGTCACCCACGGGGCCGACCTTGGCCTCGAAATGGGCTCTCTCCCCTTCGTTGACGTTCACGTCCCTCAAACCAGACATAACCGTAGGGGCAGGATACCTGTATAATACACGTACAACTAACTACAACAAAATGCATAATGCCTGTTTCCGAAAATTTTTTAAAATTTTATCTCTCATTAAAAATCCGTAATAGGCCATATTTTCTTAAATATTGAAATGCATAGCCAAACAAAAAAGTATAAAAGAGCAAGCTCAAATAATCTGAATGCAATGGGTGAAAATGGTTTCTAAAGTTAAAATTTACTGGACTTTTTAGCAGGACCTCTAGTTTTCCGTGAATAATAATAATAATAATAATAATAATAATAATAATAATGATAATAATAATAATAATAATAATAATAATAAAATGATAATAATGAGATGAATATTAGATAATAATGAAAAATATCTACATAATGATAATACTAATAATATGATAACAATAATAACAATGATAACGATAATAATAATGATACTGGACCTATTGATAACCTCCTCCTTTCTCTCCTGCTGGTTTTGACGTTCAACATGTTTAAGATAGATCACCTCCTGTTCAGGCTCCTTCCTGTACATATAGGTTTAGGTGTAAACGCTGTACATTTACATGTACATAATATACTGTATGTACTTTATACAAGATTACCCACAAAAGACAAGACTTCCCGTATGTTTAATAAAGTCTAATATCACTGAATACATTTTGTCTCTGAAGTCTCAAACTTTTGTATATTACGTAACCCTATGGAAATGTATTTATAGATATAGAATAGAATACAGTGAAAACCAGAAAACCCTGGAATAGGAAGTCGACTTTTAGACTCAGGTTATGACTTTAAAAGTTCAATAAACATAAGACTCAGCAATTGTGCAGTGTAAACAGACCCAATTGACTTAGACAGTGATTTAATAACTAAAGCTATATGTTTTGAAACAACATCAAATGCAGTATTGCTGTAATGTCGTCTTCATGTTCCACAGTTTGCTGGTTATCACTGTAGAATTTAATAGAAAAGTTTACTCAGGCAAAATAGTTCTTGAATGAGCGGGGAGAATAATCTTAGGTTGTTGAGCCACGCCCATTGGCGGGATAGGAGGCGGGTCCACCACTACTCTAGCTCTGGTTGCACAGCTACCCGCCGTATTGTAGGCGGTGCATTGATACCAGCCAGAGGAGGCGGGACAGAGCTCTACCCAGCCCCGTCCCTCCCCATCCTCGGATATAGTTACTCCAGGACCATGTCGGAGTGTGTATCCGTCCTGTAATACACATAAAAATAGCACAAAAAAGACTTTTAAAACTGACATTTTCGAGTTAAAAAGAACTAATTACTAACCTAAAACTCTGATTTGCTAGTCTTTATATCTTTGCACCCTAAATCAAACTTTATTTTTGGCCAGATCAAAATAGTTCTCTGTTAGGTTGCAAAGATATATAGATTGGAAAATTAGAAATTTTTAAGGAATTGTTTACGTAGACAAAAATACCTCTGTCAGTTTAAAAACAATCTGTTACTCACGCGTCTGAGCGTTTTATTTTCACATTACACAAGCAAACTTGGCAAAACTTTGTAAAGAATTATTTTTTAGGAAAAAAATAATTCTCAATTTGTTCAGAGAAAAAATCACTCATCATGAAATAAAGAAGTTTTGTATTCTCTTTCTGTAAGACAGGCTCCATAATGTTTAAGATAAAAGATTTTTTGAAATGCAAAATTTTGGAGCCCATCGTTCTCTTACCTTCTGCCAAGCTAGGCCAGGAATAGGTTGACCTGTAGCTGCGACCCTAAGCACAACCTTTTCTCCTGAGCTGACCCTGGAGCTCGCTAGCTTCTCACTAAAGTTAGGCGCAATGCGTGCTTCCCGTGCATTTACTTTCAGTGAGCACTGGAAACAAGTTGATAGATTTTTACGTTTAATAATCTGTTTCTCAAATATTAAAAACCAAAAAACAATCAATAAAAATATTTTCATATTTTAGTTCAATTGAACTCTCATGTAAACTTCAACTGTCCTTACATTTAAAGAATGTCATATTCCGATTCCCATCAATACCACCTTAAACCTTTTCCTAAGCCTTAATTTGGAGAAAACCATCGTTTTTGAAGCTAAAGCTCACTCTTTAAAGTTAAATGCATTACTATTTAATTCGTTTTGAACTTCCTACCCATATAAAGTTTTTAAGGGTACCATGCATTGTGAATCGGCCATGTCATTTTACAAATGGAAGGTCGGAAATAATTATAAAAATTGTCTTGGTAAAATATTGAAGAGGAGGTACCGTAAAGGACGCTTCTCCGCTCCTGTTTCTAGCGATACAAGCAACTTCTCCTGCGTCCTGCAGGGTAGCAGAGCAAAGCAGGAGAGCATGATACCCCTGTTCGTTTATTATCACCTAATCAGATCATTCACCAACATATTCCACTTTCTCAACAATAATCAGCAAAGGAATTGAGTCTTTGCCACAAACTTAAATTTTCTAATTCCTATATCTTTGCAATATGATAGCGTAAACATTTGATATTACAAACTTAGATTATCTGATCTAACAGAATTCATAGTTTGAAATATCTAAGGTCTATGACATTAGGTTTTAAAGATATAGTTATTAGAAAATAAGAGTTTGTGGCAAAGACTCAATTCCTTTGGAAATTTTTCTTCCTTGGAATAATAATGAAGGTTGTAAAATCCTAGTTTTGGTAAAGATCTTTAAAAAGTGTTATTGAAGTTTTTCTTTATTGTATGTAGTAATAAAAAATGTTTTAACTTTAAAAAACCTAATTTTGTTGAAATTCTTAAAAAACACTGCATCACAATTGTAAACGTTTCTTAATTAGATTAATAAATAGGTGCTAAATACTAAAAGCCTAATTTTGGCAAAATTTTTAAAAATACATAGTATCAAAATGGGAAATTCTTCTTTATTGGAATAACAAAAATGTGTAAACTTAAAAACCTAATTTTGGTGAAAATTTGAAAGATCTTAGGATTTATGATGTAAATATACTTATTAAGAATTGAGTAAGTCGACATTTATAAATAAGAGTATTCTCACTGCACGATTTTGGCTTTCTGCCAGGTGTTGAATAACAAGCATTATGCAAGTTTTCTCAAATACTAGAAATTATTGTAATAATTGTCACCGTGCCAGAATAGATAAATCTTTGGCCATGGAGGAGGAGGGGGGTGGGGGGTATAAGAATTGATCACTTGCCACAAACTCTACTTTAAAATACCAAAGGTGTCCACTTTTGAATTACAAAGATATACAGTGAGAACCAGAAAAATGAGGAATAGGAAGACGTCTTTTGGACTCCAGTTTGACTTTAAATAGTACAATGATTGTAAGACACTGCAGTTGTGCAGTGTGAACAGACTTATTTCCCTTACTAAGTGATTTAATAATTTTCTAATATAATTATATACTTTGTGACAACATCATAATTGTTACTGGTCTTCCTATTCCACGGTATTATGGTCCTTGCTGTAAACTTTTTCTTTTAGAGATTTTGTCGAAAAATCATTTTCTTTATCAGAAATGCTGGTGTAATTCAATAACCTTGTGTCTGGTATCCTGGGTTATAAGCTGACCCGCCTTATACCAGAATATCTCTGGGTCTGGCCGTCCAGCTACTCGGCAGGTCAAACGGACCTGACATCAAACCTCGGTGTTACTTTGTTATCCGGTTTCTTTGTTTTATGTTAAATACTTTCCTAAAGTCATTTTTAAGAGGTCTTTTTCCAACATTGCAAATTTTTCAAAGTGTCAATTTAGACTTATGAGCGAAAAATTTAGGCATCAGTTAGTTAAGTTACATGCGTCGTATTACAATTGTAAAAGAGCTACTTCAGAAATTGCACTTTGATGAAATGTTCTCGTGTAAAATATGTATTTTGGAAATTACATCTTAAAATTATTTCATTTGGAAAGTTTCTATTCAGGACATTTTCCTTTGAAAGTTGCAACTTGGATTTCAACTTGAAAAATGTTACCACTTGTAAATACTTCATTTGAGAAAGTTTTTATTTGAGAAAGTAAAAGTTTGCAAAGTTGCATCTTAGCCACTTTTTCATTTGGAATGTTGTCATTTGGAGAAAGTATCATTTTGAAATGCCTTTCAGAAAGTATTATTAACTCATCCCTTATACCTGGTCCCCTTCCGAACACGAGATGTCAGCAGCTGTTGACAGGAATTTAGGAGCCAAGGCTTGATCCTCTGGATCATCACTAGTTCTAGTGTACACAAACACACATAAATTTAGCGGATATCTGCTAAGTCGTCTTTGATTTAAAATTTGAAAAATATTCTCGCCATTTGTGCATTTTGGAAAAATGACGAAATTTGACACACACATCTGCTAAATGAACAGCACAAAACAAAAAGATATACATTAAGAGGACTGAATAGGGATATAATCTTTTTTATATTTTTTTAGTCATCTAAATATATCTCTTTTCGAGAAAAAAATCATTTTCATTTGTTCTAAATTATGAAAATGAGATAGAATAAACAATATTAGGTTCTGTCCTGAGAAACCTTGAATTAAAACATAAACAAACAAAGTGGGACTGTAGGCTGACCGGTATAATAGCTTGCAGTGGACCGGCCTCGTAATTTAGTGCTGGCTAGAGAATAGGCAGTTATACAGAGTTTTAAATGTACAGTGACATCAAGAATTTAAATTCATCCAATAAAGGAATCATTTCGAAATAACAAAATTGTTGTTTAAAAAAACGAACGCAATGAAGAATGAACCAACTGCTATGATTTTTCAGTTCAGTGATTCAAATCTTCTAAACCTTATATTTGTCCAACCAGATGGTGTAAAACTTTGATATTTCAAACAATTAGATTATTTGATCTTACAGAATTTATATTGCTAAGATGTTGGGATTTGTGACAAAGACTTTAAATCGCTGAACTGAAATGATTTCTATAGTAGATATAGCGATTTAAATTTTAACAGTGTCCAGACTCCAGGGTCCGAATTTAATGAATTGGAGCTACTGCCGGTTCAAATGCCGGTTCAATGATAAAAATTCAGGAAGGATTTAAATTTGAACCGGCAGCAGGCTGTTGAGCCACCCAACAAATTCATTAAATTCGGTCTCAGTAAAGTTAATAATTTTACTTACAGCATAGATTGTTGTTGTTGTTGTTTGACTGCTGATGATTGAAAGCTGGATGATTGTTGAACACTAGATGATTGCTGAAAGCTAGAAGCTTGTTGGAAGCTAGAGGCCTGCTGGATGCTAGAGGCTTGTTGAACGCTAGAAGATTGCTGGAAACTAGAAGCTTTTTGAAAAGATTGTTGGACGCTAGAGGATTGTTGGAAAGATTGTTGTTGTGAGCTGGATTGTTGAAATGATTGTTGAGCAGAAGAGCTGGATTCTAAAAATGCAATGTTATTGTCTTATCTCAATTTAATCTGTGAAGTGCAAGATAGTAGAATAGATTCCGAAAACAGAAAAAAAATTAAGTATTTCTCAAATATTGGTTTAAATTAAGTATTTCTTAAATATTGGTTTAAATTAGATATTTCTCAAATATTGGTTCAAATTAGATATTTCTCAAATATTGGTTCAAATTAAATATTTCTCAAATATTGGTTCAAATTAAATATTTCTCAAATATTGGTTCAAATTAAATATTTCTCAAATATTGGTTCAAATTAAATATTTCTCAAATATTGGTTCAAATTAAATATTTCTCAAATATTGGTTCAAATTAAGTATATATTTATGATTTTTTATTTACTCACGTTGGAAAGATTGTTGGACAGCTTGTTGTGAGAATTGTTGTTGTTGTTGCACTTGCATTTGCTGATGTTGCATTTGTTGTTGTTGCTGTTGCTGCAGTACCATTTGTTGGTCATGTCCAGATTTGCTTTTATGCAGCTTATGCCCAGATCGGCTTTTCTTGACCTTTAAACAGTTTTTAATTTTATTCTGACATGTCAAGATGGCAACCTTGTTTACTATACATTAAACAACAGTTAGCGAATCTAAAAGAAAATTAAATGGCTATGTCTAGACAACTTTTTGCATCTTAATTATGTAGATGCTTATAGTGTTGTTAATCTTTTTGGAGCGTTTAGAAAAAATTTAATAAAACTTTCAAGATTTCAAAACTGTGTTTTGTTAAAGGTTGATTTTATTAAACTTTGCAATATCTTTATCCTAAAAAATAAAGATTGAAATAACGATCCTAAAACGATGGTTACCACTCGTTTTTGGATCGTTTTGGATCGTTTTTTGCATTTTTCTTCTGCCAGGGTCAAAATTTGACAAATTGAAAAAAGGCAACTCTTACAAAAAAAAAATGTTGAAAACATTTGCTACTGTTACATTTGCTACTGTTACATTTGCTAGTGTTAAATTTGCTACTGTTACATTTGGTACTGTTACATTTGCTACTATTACATTTGCTACTGTTACATTTGCTAGTGTTAAATTTGCTACTGTTACATTTGCTACTGTTACATTTGCTACTATTACATTTGCTACTGTTACATTTGCTAGTGTTACATTTGCTACTGTTACATTTGCTACTGTTACATTATGCCACATTTTGACCCTTTAAGAAAATATAGTCAATAAAAACGAGCAAAAACGACCCAACTGAAAACACAACACTAGCTTCAATGCAAAAGCAAAGAAACTGAGTTTTTGCCACAAACTCAAATTTTATAATCCCTATGTAACTTTTGATATGTAAAACTCAGGCTATATTTGACCTCATAGAATTTATAGTGTAATATATCGAAAGTTTACGACAAAGAAATACGGATTTAAAAATCAGATTTTGTGGCAAGAACTTAATTCCTAATAAAATTTTTTTTTTAAACATTAAATATGTGATGTTTAAACTGGTGTCACCTGTTTAGTTGCCTCTGGTGAGATGTAAACAGTGCAGATCGCCTAAATAAATTGTTTTATTAAAGGGACTGTTAAGGTAAAATGAAAGGGGATATAGGCTAAAGCGACCAATATTAGTTCTATCTGATGTCCCTCTCTCTTTAGACTTTGCAAAACAAAAAATGGAATTTTTGACCCCGTTTTAATTTTTCGCGAAACTACTTTTCAATATTTTTTACCTCTCCGTAGGGGTTTAATGCAGTGCAAGTATATTCTCCTTCATCCCCCGGTCCAATACTTTTTATCAGCAGCGATACCTTAATCAAATCAATCAATCAATCAATCAACTAATTAGTATCTTTCGCATTCCTTGGGTCAAATACGTTTTGGCATCAGAAAAACCTAAACCTCAATTAGTCATATATTTGATTTCATCCCTTGGTAGGCAATTAATAAATCGCCAATCAATCAATTGTCCATCAATCATTTCGCTATCAAGCAATCGTCAATCAATAAATTTTCAATTAATCAAGTGTCATTCAATCTTTTCGCATTAAAAAAAAACAATCAATCAATTTTCAATTAATCAATTGCCAATCTGTCAAGTGTCAATCAATCAATTGGCAATCAGTCAAGTTTCATTAAATCAATTAGCAATCAATCAATTGTCAATCAACCAATTCTCCATTTAATAGTCGTTAATCAATTAATTGTCAATCGATCATTCGTCAATCAATCAATCAATCAAGTATTTATACCAATAAAAAATAATTTTAGAAAGAAAATCTGAATTTGATGATAAATAATATATATAAATATATGAAACCTCTATATTTAATTACCAATGTACAATTTAATGCATGAATTATCAAAAAGTTAAATACTAATCAAAGTTTAATATAAATATTTAATTGAATTAAATGCTGTCACCTTTCCTGTAGTTTCTTCGTAGGCCATTTGATGCTTCTCATTCCCTGTCATCTGAAGACCTTGGCGTGTCCAGACAACCTGTAGAAAAACAGGGTGTTTTCTAAACAAATCTCAAAAATAAGGGACTGTTGACGTAATTTCAAGTGAACCTTAATGACAAGACTGCACATTGTCCATTCAAAACAGCACCGATTAAACCTTTCTCTGAGCAATGAATGAGATGTCCGTATTGTAGAAGCTGAAAATAGATTCTTATCAATTGTGGTTTCTCTACAAAAGTGACTTTCGGTTTTAAGCTGCAGAAACAATGTAGAAAACTACAAAGATCTACACTTTAAGATTTCAAAACTACTTAACTTAACAAAATTTACTCAGATAGAGGCTGAAAGGGTACAATTGTAAATTGGACATATCAAACTACCTAAAACATAATGAACATTTTGTTCGATTTTACGAACAGAATTTTAGGGATATCTCACATATTTAGTTCATTCTATTAGTATTTTTGAACAAAATGGTGTAAGCATTAAAACCCAAAAGTTTTTTTACTAATCTGTAAAGAATTATGCTTTACAATTTAATATTATAAAAACTCAAATTTTGCAATTTATCAGAGTTTTAAGTAGAGTTTCAGTTTACCTGAGGCCTAGGAGAGCCAGCAACTTTGCCCTCGAAAAGTGCGTTGCCGCCCTGCGCGAAGCGCGCATTCCGGAAAATTTGCTCGAAAACGGGCGGCGAGGCGCCTTCCATCTTTACAGCCATCTGAACAAAACCAAAAAAATAAACTTTTTTAAAATCTTTAGTATTTTTTTTTATAAAAACTTCTCATATAAATATTAAATGAATTCTGAAAAGTTCCTTTACAATACTGTACTCTAAGCTCAACTACTATATCTAGCCAGTCTCTCCCTTTATTTTATCATATCTTACACTGTTGTTTGTCTCATTATTGTTCAACTTAAAGCTTTAGGGTTGAATCAGATTTATTTTTATTTCAAGAAAGCAAAAAATGCCTTGTAATCACATTACTTGAGGTGAAAAACCTAAAAGATTTCAGACATTTTAATGATAAATTAAATACTTTTGAATTGGATAAATATCAGAATGTGTCAATTTTGAATCCTAAAATTTAATAAAAATACAGTTTTTAGTTTATATTAGTCAAACGTCATTGGTCAGTGTTACTGTATCCTAAGACGATTTAGATGTTATAAGCTTGGTCAGTGAGTCGTTACTTTCGAACCCATTTTTACAAATGTTCTTTGTGACTAAGGGAGTGGTAAAATAAAATCAAGACTTCAAAATTGTCCCCGTCTTATAAATTGATGCATAATATTCCTAGCTGCGTAAATCGTTGTGGCTTGCACTGTTATATCTGCAAGGTATCAAGTATCTGTATAGAGATGTAGTGACGCGTAGCGTATACTTTACACTTTATCAGAAAATGGAAACATTTAAAACTAGGAATTCAAGACGCTCCGTGCCACAATTGTATCTGTAAAGAAATTTATTACACGGAGCGTATATTTTATTTATATTTTAAAATATTTTATCTATCAGAGCATAAGAAGCTTTATACAAACTAGGAATTCAAGGTACTGCGTCCACTTGTTCGACTTCGATTATCTGCATATAACGATGGATCGTTTTTTAAACAAATCACAACCCTACTCTCTCTCAATATATTTCGCCAAAAACTTTGGCATTATCAGGAGTTCGTCTAAACGATATAACGTATGGCGATGTATTGACACGAAGCGTGTATTTTAAACTTTATCTATCAGAAAACTTAAATAATACAGACTATAGTAATTAAAGGCCCTGCGGGCCAGTTATACAGAGTTTAGGATGTATTGCAATTTATATATGTGCTGTACATGATTATAGTTTCTTAGTTAATTTTGTTGCGCTATAAACATGAACAGTTAAACCCAAAATTTATTAAATGTCGTCTTGTCAATTTTTTCAATGGGTTTTATATTATTTTACGTAAATTCCTATTTGCAAAAGTAAATAAATAGCCATGAATATCCGGGAACAGTCATATTCCATATAATCATTTAATTAAAAAATTAATTATCTGCAACATTCCATTAAAGAAAGTGAAGAATACGACATTTGATGAATTTTTTCGATGTATGGCTTATTTAGGGTTTTACTGTATGTTAGTTTTAAACATGTTTGCACAAACTACATTAGTGTAAACTAAATAAATGATATAGAATGTAAATCTAGTATATTTAATATTTAATATTTAGAAGAAAGGTTTATGATCGTTTTGCTCAATATTTATGTTTTACATTTAGAAATAAATAAATAAAATTTCCATTGGAGGTTAAAGTGCGGGCATTGACAATAATTCATTGTTATTTTTTGTAAGGGAATTAGGGGGAAAATGACCGTGTAGTATTTCACAGTTTAAAAGCGTGAAATAAGGGGGGCATTTGGGGAAGAGGCGAATTGTTAAACAACTATAAAAATACGTTAAGTGTAAAAGTAAGAAAATTTAAATTATTCATGATGAATGATGTTAAAAATATGGGGGGGGGGGAAAAAAGAGGGAAATGCAAAAATGGGAAGAAAGTATGAATGTTTATTTAAACTTTCCGTAATATTTATTTGTTTAAATCAGCGGCACCTTTAGATTTTCTACAGTGATTAAATATATTTTCATATCCTTAAACCTATACCATGTATAATTTTTGTCATTGATAAATCGACCCCCCCCCCCCCTTACTCCCGTCAGGACCTCTGTACCTCTTTTAAAAGAGGGTCAATCTTGAAATCGTGTTCTAAAATTGAGTCTAAATCTTGTTATTATGACTGTAAACTCTAACAGTTCTTAGAGAAGATAAATAGGCATAAATATACATGTTACAACTGAAAAGGGAATCCCCCCCACACACAATTCATCTATTCCGTGCATGATTTAGGGAGCGGGGGGGGGGGAGTAAAAATAGCAAAGTTTTAAGAAATATAACTGGCCGGGCAGAACGGCCTTACCGACAGATAAAAGGGATTTGGGGAATGATAATGGGATTGAATAAAGATCAGGGGGAATTTAGTAGGTCTGAGGGAATTTAGTAGGTCTGGGGGAATTTAGTAGGTCGGGGGAATTCAAGTGAGTGTAAGAGGGATTTAGGCCTTTAGGACGATATGAGAAAAGGTTAATTAACGAATTTTATTTATAAGTAATTCAATTGTAGGTAGGGTTTCCACCGAAAAGGGTAAATTGTTTAGCCGAAAATTTCGCATTTTTTTGCATTTCGTTCGCTCGAGAAAAATGCAAAAATCTTCGGGTTTTTTTCGCGAAGTTTCGCTTTAATCTGTTTCGCGAAAAAAAGCGACAATTTCGATGAAAAAAAAATGGAAAACTTTCGCGAAAAATACGAACATTTTCGTTCGTATTTCGCATTTTTTCGCGAAAATGAATTAAGCGGAAAAAAATTTCCGCGAAAAACTATAGCTCTTATAGCTTGAAATATATTAAAAGTCTACGACCATGGGTTGCAAAGATATTGAAAAATAGGGGGGGGGGGGGGGGTTAAAATCGTTTCGATAAGAGACGAAAATGATGGATTCAAGGGGCTTTTCAGACGTCCCAGGCTTACAATAATTGTAGAATCTTAAAACTTTTAATATTCAAAAGGTTAACACATGAATTTTCCTAATTTCTTTAATACATTTTTTAAACAAATTTTATTACATTTTGATTAAAAAAGCCTTTTTACAAATTTTAAAAATCTTTCTTAAAACAAAATTAAACATTTTCTTAGCGATGCAATTGTTTGTTTTTTTTTTGGTTTGTTACTACACATTTTAATTGAAAGCTTTAAATCGGCGCTTCGACAATTGCTCTATGGCAATTTGCTCTAGTTCCATTTGCTCTATTAACCATTTGACTATAGCTCATAGATCACGACGTTTGCTCTATATGTCATCTGCGCTATACGTCAATTGATCTATGACATAAGACGTCATTTGCTCTATAAACATTTTTATGACTGTGATGGTCCAATTGCTCTACTCAAAATTTGCTCTATGAGTAAACACGTCATTTGCTCTATAAACATGTTTTACAAATATCTAATATTAAAATTATATTTTCCATTAATTCGGCCTTGTATATTCAAGACATCTCTAGTACTGATAGACACCCTGTTTGTTTAGAGTAGAATAAATATCGGTTTTTTTTACCCCTCTTATTATTGAGTAGTCTCTCCGTCATGATGAACTTTGAAAAACTGATTAAAACTGCAATTTTCGAATTTTCCAAAAAATTCTCGCATTTCATAGTCAAGTTACGCTCAAGAATTCTACTAAAAGCTATTATATAGTGTATTTTTAGGTTATATGACGTGTTTAATCATAGAGCAAATGAGGTATAGAGAAGATTGAATATAGAGCAAATGACGTATAGAGGAAATGAATGGATAGAGCAAATGGAACTAGAGCAAATGGCCATAGAGCAAATGGAAATAGAGCAGATGACGTAGCGCCATATGACGTGTTTAGTCATAGAGCAAATGAGGTATAGAGAAGATTGAATGTAGAGCAAATGACGTATAGAGTAAATGACTTGATAGAGCAAATGGAACTAGAGAAAATGGCCATAGAGCAAATGGAAATAGAGCAGATGACGTAGCGCCATATGACGTGTTTAGTCATAGAGCAAATGAGGTATAGAGAAGATTGAATATAGAGCAAATGACGTATAGAGGAAATGACTTGATAGAGCAAATGGAACTAGAGCAAATGGCCATAGAGCAAATGGAAATAGAGCAGATGACGTAGCGCCATTTAAATCTCTGAATCTAAAAATCTTTAGGTGTCTGTCTGTCTATTTGTTTGTTTGTTTGGGTGCCCGATCCATAACTAATAATATATCAGTTTAGCACTTGTGTTAGCAGTGGTCCCAAAATAAACTCATCAATGATTTTCTTAATTTAAAGAGACAATTGTTGAGAATAGATGAACAGAGTGTTTTAATTTGATAATTTTAAATCTAGACATTATTTACTTGGTGATACAACGATCGATTTGGACTTAAATTTTAGGGCTTTCTGTCGCTTCATTTATGTCTTTTTCATGTCTATTTTTAAATGAAGAATTTCCGTACAAATTGTTTCTTCTCATATCGAAACAAGGTTTATGTTAATTTCCTCCAATATGTTTGTTAAATTTATTAAATAGATCTGCGTTCATAATTATAATACACTTACCTCTATATGTGTCTATCTATGTACTAACTATTAATCACTTTATAATGTACCGCTGCTGCTTGGGGATGAACTCTCACAACTGCCTTAAATTTGCCTGAATCTGCCTCAAAAACTTTCCTACTTGGACCCTCTCCAGGTTATAGGAACAGCTTATTGGGCTGGACCTGGGGGGAGGGAGGGGGGATTTAGTAATAAACTCGAACCTTCTCTTGTAAAGATGACTTTATAAACCATTCTTAATTTCGTAGTCAAATTATTCCTTTTTAAAACAAGAGTTGTGTTGACTAACGGGGTTCTTTGATTTGTATTGAATATGATTAATTCTTTAATTTTTCATCTTTTGTTTCTTTTCCTAGAATCTTGATGTTTTTTGTCAAATTCATTTACAATTATTAAAATCCTCCTGGGGCCGAATTTTAAGAATTTGGGCTGCGGCTTAAATTTGAGACGCGGCATATAAAATAAGCTTTGTTCCACTTAAAATTGTATTCAATGTTTCAAGATTTAAGCCGGCGCTCAAGTGAAACCCGTTTTTTTCGGATATGAGACGCGGCTCAAAATTAAATTCGAACTCTGTATTCTGTTTAATGAATCTTTTAAAGAAATTTTGAAAAAAAACTTGGTGAAAAACTTGGGAAAAAAGTCCCAATTTCTTCTAGAATCCAGAAAAGATGTCATTAGAGAAAGAAAGCCCTGGTTTTTGAATTCCTGTGAGTTTTTGCAGCCACGCATTTTCTAACCCCTATTTTTTAAATCCAATGTCGTAGATCTTAGATATTTCCAACTAGGAATTCTGTTAGATCAAATAGTTTGAATTATCAAGTGTTCATCACCAACAGGTTTCAAAGATAAAGGGATTAAAAAAATTTAGTTTGTGGTAAAAACTCCTTTTAGGACATTTTTACAAAACTTTCTAAGAAGGTTACCGGTTACAATATGTTCCGTCTATATTTTTACAAAACTTTCTTAGAGGTTACAAGTTACAATACGTTCCGTCTCTATTTTTACAAAAATTTCTTAGAGGTTACCAGTTACAATGCTTTCCGTCTCTATTTTTACAAAACTTTCTGAGAGGTTACCAGTAACAATGCGTTCCGTCTCTATTTTTACAAAACCTTCTTAGAGGTTGTCGGTTACTATGAGTTCCGTCTCTACTTTTACAAAACTTTCTTGGAAGGTAACTGGTTCCAATACGTTCCGTCTCTATAATTCTTATGTTCGACTTTTTAATCTTCTATCCTTTTCGTGGCACAGAATTTATCTTAGTGTTTTTAATTCCTGTGTGTTTGACTTTAAATTTTTATGCTAGTTTTTATTCCTAAATAAATCAATTTATTCGATATTAATTTCTTTTTTTAATCCGTTTTTTATTGTTATCTATAAAATGTAAATTTTGTAGCGTTTTCTCTCATATCATTTCTTCAATCGTTACCTATAACATTTTTTATTTTAATTTCAACAAATAAAAAAACATATTTTATATTTTTTCCATTTGTGCATGATCCCTGTCAGCTGCAGGTGTACTACACTCCTTGTACGCCAGCAGTACAGTGCTATCATCCTCCACGTCTATGTACCCGAGCACAAAATCCGCTATCTCCTGAAATATTCGCGGATTTCAAAAGTTTGCAGCATTGACTTCCCTTTCCTAATCAATATTTTCCTTTCCCGTCTTTCCTGTCCTTATCTTCCTAAACTTCCTGTTTGTAAGCTTTTGAACATTTACAGAGAGCTTCATAAACATTTCGACGAAATAATAGTTGTAAATGAAAATTAAGAAATAATAGCTGAAGCAAAAAACTATTAATTTTGAGTTAAATTCAATTTTTGACACATCCCTTACCAACTTCGCTTCATTTCAAGTACCGGGCCGAATTTCAAGCAGCTAGAGAAAGCTGCACAGTACAAATACAGACTATTTATAGAGCATTTCTAGTTTTTTTGCAAACGTTCACTTTAAATAGTATTTTAAGACATTGAATAATTTTGTTTTAAAGATATTTTAATTGACCTATATACTTTTTATGTATGTAATTAATATCTGTAACCTTACACCGTCTAATTAGAAGGTTAACGAGAGTTTTAAACTTTGTATCTGACAGATTCCTACATTCATGGACGTTTAATGTCTATATTTTATTTAGGTTATAAATACCGAGTTTACGTTATTTTTGTGTTATCTAAGTTTTTCCTGTATTTCATATGGTGCTAAGTCATTTGTCCTACAATCATGTGTCCTACAAATCATTTCTGCTACACATCATTTGTGCTACACATCATTTGTCCTACAGATCATTTGTCCTACAGAGAGGTTAAAAAACATCACTTGTCCTACACATAATTTGTCCTACACATCATTTGTCCTACACATCATTTGTCCGACACATCATTTGTCCTACACACCATTTGTCCTACAGAGAGGGTAAAACATCACTGGTCCTACATATAAGTTGTCCGACACATCATTTGCTTTATAGATCATTTGTCCTTCACACCATTTGTCCAACAGAGAGGGTAAAAAATCACTGGTCCTACATAAAAGTTGTCCGACACATCCTTTGCTCTATAGATCATTTGTCCTACACACCATTTGTTCTACAGAGAGGGTAAAACATCACTGGTCCTACATATAGTTTGTCCGACACATCATTTGTTCTATAGATCATTTGTCCTACAGAGTGGAAAAAATCATTTGTCTTACACATCATTTGTCCTACAAATCATTTGTCCTGCACACCATTTGTCCAACAAATCATTTGTCCTATACACACTATTTGACCTACAGAGCGAAAAAAATCATTTGTCCTACATACACATCATAAAATCTATACAATATACATTCTGTTACATTATATTTATATTGAATATATTTACTAACAACTAAGGGTAAAACTCATTGTTTGAAATATTTAAGGTCTAAGACATTGAAGAAACCAGAATACCAGAGATTCTGGCAAAGACTCAATTCTTTTATAAACAGACAATTATTTAAACTTAAAATATGTATCTATTAACCTGTGATATATTTCCTGTGTTCAGGAAACTGATGACGTCACAGATTATTTGTGCTCTGGAGAAAGGGTGAATAATGTCGCGTTCAATTCTCAAAACTTCACCGATTATTCTCCAGTTCTCAGAATCATAGTTTACTCTAAAATTTTATGAAATTATAAAAAATAATGAGTCTTTGTCACATACTCAAATTGTCCAATCTCTATGTTGTAAACTTGTGATATTTCAAACGTAGATAACTTTATCTATCAGAATTCATAGTTTGAAATATCTAAGGTTTCCGACATAGGGTTGCAAAGATATACGAATTAGAAAATCATAGTTTGTGGCCAAGACTCAATTCCTTTGTGAAAAAAAAGTTCACGCAAAAAAACATTTATGCTTATTATAGGATGGATCCGAAATGTTTACCTAAAGAACCCTGCAGCTTGATGGTTAAGAATATAAGTATATCCTATAGGAACATCAATCTCAAAGTTAGAGTCTGTATTCTTCAACCAGAGAGAATAATCTGTATCCGGACCAACTCGGATAGAGATAGGAATCGGCCAAATTTTGGACGAATCAGTTGCTCCGTCTGTGTTATACCACTTCTGCTTGAGATTAAGAATACCTGTCTCCTGGGTCAAAAATATTATTTTTCTTTCCAGATTTAGATCAGAATATTACATACAGTACATGCCTTTAGATCAGAATATTACATACAGTACATGCCTTTAGTTCAGAATATTACATACAGTACATGCCTTTAGATCAGAATATTACAGTACCTGCCTTTAGATCAGAATATTACAGTACCTGCCTTTAGATCAGAATATTACAGTACATGCCTTTAGATCAGAATATTACAGTACATGCCTTTAGATCAGAATATTACAGTACATGCCTTTAGATCAGAATATTACATACAGTACATGCCTTTAGATCAGAATATTACAGTACCTGCCTTTAGATAAGAATATTACAGTACCTGCCTTTAGATCAGAATATTACAGTACATGCCTTTAGATCAGAATATTACATACAGTACCTGCCTTTAGATCAGAATATTACAGTACCTGCCTTTAGATCAGAATATTACAGTACATGCCTTTTGCCGACTTATTTCTATACCGCCCTATAGTATCTATCTATATATATATATGTTGTTCAAAGAATTGTAACTACTGAGAATCGTCATGACAGACGTGAAACATTATGTTTGGTATAATTCTTTTTTTAATAAAAATGTGAAGTTAAAAACTGAAATATACATATATATATATATATATAAAGTAGGAATCTCTGTTTGTCTTTTGTTTGTATGTCGGCAATAATAACTCAGAAACCCCGATTTGCCTCAAATTTTACACGTGCCAAGGTTATAATGCAAGGAAAGTCATTTCAGAGGTATGAATCTTTTTTACTGCAGTGTACTGTCTCTGGGCGGTAATGTAAACACAAGACGGATGTTGAAGCCTGACATGGGATCCATCTTTCACAAAAAAATGAAAATGAAATATTCTGGTCATAGGAAACTATTATGTGAATTATCAATATAATCATAATTTAATGGTTTTAACCTCCTCGGATACTAAACGAACACTGATGCATCTAAACTTGTTTACAAATTCCGACCAGAGCGAACTGGTTTCAATACGTACGCAGAGTGTACACAATTGCATTTAACTTTCCTTGAATTATAACCTTGGCACGTCCTAGATATGTGAAAATTTAACATGTTAAAGAATGTTAAAATTTTGTTCTTTTTAGAAAATCTGAGAATTACTATGATATGAGCTCGGAAAAAGATCAGTAAAAAACAAGCAAACTGAAAGAGTGAAAGTTTTTATAATATACTTACCTGGAAACTTATTGCTTGTTAATCCACAAATAAATTTAACCAACAGTGGAATTGTTTCTTAATTTGATAAATGAAATGAAAAAGATTAAGCATTAATCCTCAAATTTAAATTGTCCACTGTACATATCGAGATTCATCGATCGGAATTTTAAGTAATCAAAAGTTTCCAGCTCAGACCAATTAAGCTTTGATAAAAGATATGGTTCTACAAGAAATGTTTTAGTTTTTGTTTTTCCATTGATCTTTCCAGGCTTCATGTTACAGAAAATTTGCTTGGTCTACTCTACACTTTTATAGTTCAGTCTGGACAGTACGACAGTGTGACAAATCGCATATACAGTACATGTTGTACAGGCTCGGATCATGCAATAATCTGTAAAAAACACACAATATTTTCCTGGTTGTATTCAGCAGTAACCAGAGGAAACCCGGCAGTATTTGTCCAGGACTTCATAACCTCCGTAAAAGAGGATAACCCAGCTTGAGGCCAGGTACCGTCCTCCAAACCAGCAGCCTATTGGGGTAGAATACAGCCTTTAAATGGAATGTTGGCGTTATGGAGGAGGATATTTTTCAATGGTCGTATCTTTAAAAAGTTAAATGTAAGATTTATGTATCAGCACAGCCAATTAAAGAATAAAATTTTTGTTTTGATACAGGGTTAAGAATACCTATTGCAGGGTCACTTTATATACTTTAAAAGTCTAAAAAAGCAAAAAACATTTTTATATGCTAAATCATAACACAAATTTAGATATTCCCATTTACGTTTAATTTTAACTTTAATAATTTATTTTAATAAAAGTTTACAATATCTTTAAATATCAATGTGATATCAGATGGAAACATTTTGAGACTTCTATATTTCTTGTTTTTCATTCTTTCTTCTTGATCGTCCATTACTCATTAATACTTCAATCATACTTTGGCTAATTTTGATAATAAAAATAAATGAATTTTTTGGATGTTTCTGCAGCTAGCCAAATTGTAGAAAAAGAACTATTTGTTCTAGCCCTGTATCTGTATTCTGAGAGTGGCAAAGTTACCCTCTCCCCTTGTTTTGTTTTAAATTTTGCTTGAGTCATGTTACTGTTTCAGTTCCTGCATGCATACACACTTTCAATGGAATTTTTTTGGTGGAAGGGAGGGGGACGGGGCGTTTTACACATTTTTTATCTTGATTAGGACATAGAAGGGGGATGGGACGTCTACCATCCTGTGTATTTGTCTTCATTCGCTATAGGTGAAAAAAATTAGACAGTGTAAAGCTCAAATCCCCTTCTAAATTTTCCTGTTTAAAGTTTTCTTCTTCTTTCTTCTTTCTTGTTTATCTTGTTTTAGGCCCCCATCTCTACTGTCAAGAGATTTTCCTTCCCCTCTTTTTCTCTTCAATTTATTTTTTCTTCTTGCTTCTTGTTTCTTTTTTTACACTTTAAGGCCTTTCGAAATAGTTCTTTTGACATCGAGTTGTGAAGCAGGTAAGAGAGAGATAAGGAGGTTTGTAGGAGCTGAAGATGAAGTTTTGTTTTATCCCATTTCAAAGCTCAACTAAATATCATCATAACTAACTTTCGAGATGGGAAATATTGATCCTCTTCTCATGAGCTGATTATAAACAATCTGCAGAGGGATTTCTGATTGAAGACTGGACTAATTAAATATTGGTTAATCCATTCGTTCAAATAGAAAAAGTTTAGCTGATTCTATTCATTTAAAGTTATAGCACTTCAAGAAAATTATCAAATTTTGTTCATTTATTTGCATTTTATAATCCCATTTTTATATTTCTGTTGCCCAATTATTTTGTAATATTTAACTGTTTTGTTTATCTTATATTTTGGTATCTCAAACTCTTAACTGAAGTTTCTCCTTCTAGATCATGATAAACATCGTACGAAAGTATATTTTGCATCAGAGGAATTCAAAAACTTCTAACTTGAATAAAATGAGCTGGATTTGGTAACAAGCTCTCATCACTATATATTTTCAACTTGTTGTCATAGACCTTTAATATTTTAAACTGTCAATTCAATTAGATTTAAGATAAAAATAACAAAGGTTTACACCAGATAAGGTGCAAAAGATATGGGGTTTGGAAAATTTGAGAGTGAGGCTAAAACTTAGCTCCTTTGCTTTAAGATGGCTAGTTTATACTATTCAATCATAAATTTGGTGTATACAGTCATAACCGGAAAGACCCGGAATTAATTGACAGTTAATCAGACGACTTTACATAAATATCTATGCTAATTTTAAGCGCACAAGAAAGACAGACCACATTTTGAAATTGCCAGGACTATTTATTTATTATTATTGCTTCATTAATCATATTTGTAAAATTAGATTGTAAAGTTGTCTGTTTAATTATGATAAACTCTGCAACATTACTAGATCACATATTTAGTAATTCAGATCCTGAGTCAAAAGAATGTGGAATCATCTACTCAAGTTTATCTGACCATTTACCAGTTTTTTCATTGTCTAAATGTACACAACATGAAGATAATATTGATAGCAAACCAGTTCTAATTAGAAACACTTCAATCGAAAATAAAACCAAGTTTAAGGAAAAATTGTTACTCAATGACTGGACTCATGTTTTGATAAATGAAGATCCTTCTACAGCCTTTTCTGAATTTTCTAACACTTTAAATAATATTTATGAAGAAAGCTTTCCATTTATCAAATATAAACCAAACAAAAATAAAAATTCTGTTAACCCTTGGTTCACTTCCGCCTTGCTAGTGTCAAGAAAACAAAAAGAAAAATTATTTAAGAAAAAAATCCTGAATCCAACTACAAACAATTTAGAAACTTTTAGAAAATATAATTCTGTTTATCGCACAACAATAAAAAAGGCCAAGACTAGTTATTTTTCTTCAAAATTTACAGAATACTCAAAAGACATCAAAAAGACCTGGTCTTTACTGAACTCTATTATATCTTCTAAGAAAAAAAGTCATTCAGTTCCTGATATTTTCACTGATGATGAAAAAAGTTTTGTGGGATCTGCTGAAATAGCAGAGGGTTTTAATGACTTTTTTGTGAACATTGGACCCAGATTGTCTAGTTATATTCCGGATTCTAATGTTAATTTTGAAACATATCTGAAGGAGCCATCCAAGGAAAATTTTGTGTTTGCAAATATTACACCAGAAATTATTCTTGAAACAGTGAGTAAACTTAAACCTAAAAACAGTTCAGGTAAGGACAATATTTCTACCAAGCTACTGAAGGAAATAATTGAAAGTATTGTCTATCCTATAGCGCATTTGTTTAACCTTTCTNAAATGTACAATGTACATTGTTTTTATCTGCAATTCTCATTCGTTTATAGTGGGCCAACCAATTAAAACAACCTACTCTGGTTAGGCGGGTCCAAACTACATAGTAAATTGTGATTTTTTTATTTGTATTATCTCGTGCTTTGTAGTTGAATAAAAATATGAAAATATGAAATGAACTCCGGGTCTTCCTGCAGTTATGACTGTATGTAATAAATTTCCAAACTTTAGGCTCTTCCTGCCATTACTACGTTTTTTTGGGGCACCATGTATAAATATAAATATACGGACAATATACATGATGAAGTATTATTTACATATATGTTATATATAGGGTACCTGAAATCTATAAAAAATAAGATTAACAGCTAGCCTAGTAGATTGATATTTATGATGACATTTATGTTTATGTAAGTAATAAAATAATTTTTCCTATGGCTTCGCCTAAAGTGAAGGATGGATTTCATATGTTAATAAATCAGATATTAAAGGGACTGTAGACTTAATTTCAAGTAATCTTTTATTTAAAAAGGGGCATTTTTGAGACATAACCGGGTGTGAATCATACATGCCACTCTTTAAACGGAGAGTAAGTTAAAATTACTTCTACACTCTTCACTCCCTAACTCTTCTCTTTAGAACAAAGAACAAAGAAACTGAGTTCTTGCCACGAATTCAAATTTTGTAATCCCTATATCTAATGATATACAGTATGCACCTTTGATATTTAAAACTTAGACCATTTGATCTAACAGAATTCATATTTTACATATCATAAGTCTTCGACATCTGGTTGTAAAGATATAAGGATAAGAAAACCAGTGTTTGTGGCAAAGACTCAATTATTTAGCAAATCATTACAATTGTTTTCATTGTCTTCTTACCTCTAAAGATGAGAATAGATCTTCCTCAATTGAATTCTTGAACGCCATCTTCCCAAGGTAATCAGAAAGTCCTTTTATCAGCGTATCTCGGGTTAAAATAAACTCCATCATTCTAATTATACTTCCTCCTTTGTGATAAGTTATTCCTCCAAACTTGCGTTGAATATCCCCCCTGGAACCAGATTTAATGAAGTTGAGCTAGGTCAGAGACGGTTCAACCACGTTTATTGAATCGTTGATTAAGTATTTGTTCATGTTCCATAGATGATAACTACAGATAAGTATTTATATGAATCTACTTTAGGTAGTTGAGCGACCTAGCTCAAATTCATTAAATTCGGTCCCTAGAGACATAATCGTCGGATAGAGCCCAGCTTAACTCCGGGTTCTCATCTTCTTGCATAACAACCAGCATCCTTCATAGAGATGGACATCATTTTTGTGAACGAACAAAATTTTTTAGAACAAATGAAATTTTTCGTAAACAAAAACGAACAATGAATAAACGACTTGGATCGTTCAGAGAAATGAAAAACGAAAGAATAAAAAACCAAACAAAAACAAACGATTTTAAACGATCGTGTTTTCACTGAATGAACGATTTTACTGAATTAACGATAACGATCTTTCTAAGTGCGATCATTCGATGAGAAAACGAGCAAAATTAACGATAATTTTGAGAACGAACTAAATGAAAAAAGCAGAACGCGCCCATCTCTAAATTCCTATGCGCTACAAATCTACCCCAGGAGTTTAAATCAGGGGTAAGTATATCTCCTCCTAGATGGGAAACATAGGTTGCAAACCCTTCATTTAACCAGGTCTGACTCCAGGACTTCATTGTGACCAGGTTCCCAAACCATTGATGCGCTAACTCATGGAGAACTACTTCTGTTACTCTCCAATGTCTCTCAAGGTCTGCTTCCTCTTGATCATACAGGATAGTATCAGGACTAAAGGGTGTTTTTTTAACATTTATAGGAATTATTTTTCAAAACAATACATTTTTTAATTTGAAAGTTCTATAGCCATAAACTAAAGGATCTAGCAGTACCATCAAGTTGTAATTTTCTCTTTTTATATATCTGCCACTTTTTATATTTTATATTTCAAACCATTGATTATGCTGGATCAAATATTCAAAGTAAAGTTTGACAAATGTATTAACTTGGAAGTGAGGAAAGTGTTCAGTTCCTTAGTTTGGTATCCAAAATATGTAATTGACATGGCATGATGATCTCTAGCTTCGCGCCTTGCTCTCAATATATATAAAAATTTTATAAAAATGAAAGAAATCGAGTTTTTGACACAATAATCTCAAATTTGATATTTCAAAGATATAAGAATTAGAAAATCAGAGTTTGTGAGAACTCAATTCCTTTACATCATTGGAAATTTTTTTAATGGATGCCACAATGATTTTCAATTTCACCTGTACAAAACCAAACCCCAGTTTTCCATAGCACCACCCTTAAACAATAAAAAAATGTTTTTCAAATGTATTTTTATTTCATTTTGTGATGAGCAGTTACCTTCCCAGGGACAGAAACCATATCCATCTGAGAAGAAATTATTTCTTAGTTGATTTTTAAGTAATAGATTTAGATGAAAAAATGTTCGATGGAATTAAACTGTTTTTTCTCTTTGGATTATTTTGAATTTTACCCATTTCAGCTAACACAATAAATGTCTTTAGAGCAAACATTTGTAAAAAAATATGGAACTATGTTTTGCTTTTTTTTAAACAAAATTTGTACCCCGGGCGTAGGATAAAAAAAAAGAATAATTTCCTTAGGTAATGGATAAAATGAATTGAACAAGTTTTCATAAAGTTCCAAAGCTTGCATCCCAAGGTCAGCAGAGTAATTTCCCAGACCCTTCTCTATATCCTGGCGGTCAGACCATACTGTTAGAAATCTGTCATCATTGCTAGAGATTCCAATAAAATCTGAAATATTACATTTTAATATAATTCCACAACTTCAAAAACTGAGTAAGCAACTTAATTTCCTATTTTCTAATTTTTATATCGTTGCAACATGATGCATGGGCCATGGTGGTATAAAGTTTGATATTTAAATTGAGATCGGTATTTTGTGTGAAGTTTCGTTAATCTTAAACTTATTGTATCTCGATATCCAATGTAAGCGCTTTAAAATTTGAGGATAATAAAAGTTATCAACGGAATATCGATAAGGAATTAAATTATTCCGTTGGTCTGCTTCCAGGATTCACATCAAAAAAGTTCTGATCTATCGCAGTATATACTGCTTAAAATATTACAGGTGTATGCCATCAGGTGCAATTTTAACATTAAAGGTACTGGAAGCGTAATTTCGAGTCACCCTCCATGAAAAAATGGCGATGCTCGATGCACAACGGTACCCTTGAAACTTTATTCTGATTAAAATGTGAAAGATACCCTCGGTTTTCTGACTCAAAAAGTGTTATATTTATGAGTTTCTCAATTGCTTCTTCAAAACAAGAAATGTTAAAGTCACTTTCGCAGATAAACCGCAAATGAAAATAAATAGTTTAAAGAAACAAAACATCGAGCATTGACATCTTTGCATAGAAGGTCCCTTCCAGTTCCTTTAAGAATTAGAAAATTTAAGAATGTTAAAAGGAATCAGGGTTTTACCTGAAATTGAGAATGCAATTAAGTAGGTTGACATTGGAACCGTTGTTTGGAATATCTCTCTTTTCCAATCCTCATCAACATCAACTGGAAAAATAATATTCTTGAAAAACAACATCAATTATAGTTGAGTGTTTTGGGTCAAAAGTTTATAATGTATCACGCTAGAGTTCGTTAAAATGTATCAAAAGGGTGATACAGTCGGGCCCATAAAACTCTGAAAAAGTAGGACGACATTTTGACAATCCTATGGGTATTTGATGAGGTTATAAAGCAAATAGTAGCAATTTCTTTAAAATAAACTAAATAAGTGACATGAGTCTGTGTACACTGTACACTGTACAATTGCCATGTTTCATGTTTATTGGACTGATGAGTCTAACAGTCGTCTTCCTAATCCGCAGTTTTATTCGTCTCACTTCGCTCAAATATAGCTGGCTAAACGGCTGGACCAAATTGACATTTTTTTAGAGAACTTTTGGGTACTCTGGGGGTAACAAAGGGTAAAAAATCAAAATAGTTTTTCAACAATCTATATTTTTCAAAAAAACAACTAATTATTTTTAATTACACAGGCAACACCAGGCACTTTCAGCTTGTCTTGTATAAGCGATAAAATTCTAAAAACAAATCACAGTTGTCCTACCCGTTCCTAAGCTAGGCATATTTGAAAGCACATTCCATCCTTCCAGGAAATCCACCGAAATGTCAAAAGTTGCCTAAACAGTAAACATGAGAAACATAAAAATGTAGTTAGCAAATGCCAATTATCTGATAAAAGGGCTGTTTTCCAGAGAATTTCTGATAAATATTGGCATCAAAAAGATCAAACATTTTATTTTGTTTAGTGATAATTTATTATCACTAAAGCAATACAATGTTTTTCTCATAAATTAACTATAGACTTTCTTTTTAAACAATTTAAAAAATTTGGTTAAAAAGAAAAAAAAATTGTTTAAAAATGCAGGACAGTAATTAACTAATATTAAAAAGATATTTATAGGCTTTATAATTTCTTTAACGTTTTACAAAATCCAAAAGTTGATTTTTTGTGAATTTTCCCTTTAAATACCTTGTAATCAGGATTATCTATGCATGGAAATGCATTTCTTGCGGATGTTGATTCAAACTAAAAAATAATTCTTGTGAATTAAAACGATCAGAACGACATTTAAAAGTCTTTGTTTACAAAAGTTTTAAAATTGATTTAGGTGATTATTGAACTAAGTTTTTGCCACAAACTCTAATTTTCGAATACCAATTATTTTGCAACCCAATGACGTAGACCTGAGATATGCTAAACTATGAATTTTTTTAAATTAAATAATCTAAGTTTGAAATATAAAATATTGACACCACCAAGTGGCAAAGATATCTATAAAATAAAGCTCTTCGTTCATATACATATATGTTAGCTATAGATGGCCAAACGGCTGAACGGAATTGGCTTAAATGTCTTGAGGAAACCCATGGGTACCCTGAGAGTAACAAAGGCTAAAAAAGCTAGATTTTTTTCAAAATCGATATATTTTCTAATTCGATTATATTTGAGTAGATTTTAAAATTTTCTGTTACCTGGGTAAACCAGCAATACTTCTCTTCTCCTTCTCTACACTTTGTTTTATACAAACCATACGCTGAATAATCTAAACAGCAAACATTTAAATTATAGCTTTTTTCAAGTTTTTCTTATAGATACCTCCTCTTGAGAGATTTGCAAAGAAATTCATTTGAAGGCTGTACTCTGCTGATTTAAGCAAAATCCTTAAACATATTTTTATGAATTATTTAAATGTTAAAGTAAAATATGATTGATAATGGTTCACCTGTCTGATTTTACACCAGCTGTACTTTTTTGGAAGTCAAATAGAAGGGTGTCAATTGACAGATCTTCATCTCCATCTGAATCCATGTTGCTTTTTCAATATTGCTTTAATCCTGGCTTTTAATAGGATATTAATTAACAAAAAATTTATTAAAATCATAAAAAATATCAGATATTTACAAATAAAAACATTAGGAGCTGCACAAAAATCATTTATTTTTATCCATTTCTGATAACATCAGTTGAGCTTTTTCTTCCCACAGATTCTTCTGAAGTTCCAATTCCCTGTTTAAAAATTACCTTAGAGTATATATTTTTAAAAATAAATTCTCAGAATTTGAAAGAAAAAGTTTGTAACAAGTTTTCATTGGATTTTAAAAACAAAAATGTTTTTTTTAAGAACAGTTACTTTTGTCATATTTAAAGAAAAATGGCTCCTGTTTTAAAAATAAGATCAAATTTTCTAAAAGGGACTGTAAGTGTAATTTCAAGTGACCCTCCATGCAAAGACGGCAATGCCAATTATTTGATTGATAATCTGAAAGATATTGCCATTTTCTAGGTGTAAAAGTGTTTGATTCTGCTAATTCCTAAATTTTTACTTGCCATAAAAATGCGCAAGTTTTGTAGAGAAAGCACAAAATAAAAATAAATAGTGTTCAAAATTGACATCTAATTCAAACATGATCAAACAAAGGTTTTTAAGAGTAAAAGTTAAGAGTTAATCGCAAATTGCCTTCTTCACATGGATGGACTCTTAAAATGGCAATTACAGTCCCTTTACTGGAGATAACCTTGTTATGTTCTGAACTTCAACATCAGGTTCACCAAAGACTGGTGGATTTTCTAACGGATCATAACCAAGGTGGGGCAGCATTGGTGCAATCAATGGCATTCTATCCAGGATATCCTGGGAGTAGTAACCAACCCATTTTGTCAAAGCCCCGATATTTATAGGTTGGATAATTTGATCCGATGATCTTTCTCTGTTTGATACTCGGATACCATGTTCTCCTCCCTGAAGTTAACAATTGTGAAAGGTTATTTGGTTTAACGATGTTCTGCTTAGTTCACCTTGTTAACAAATAATTCATGATGTAGAACAGTTTCATCCCAGGGCAAATTTAAGAATTTGAGTATTTTTTCCATGCTGCTTCGAGGATGAAGAACTGTATTAAAGGGTTTCATGAGATATCACCATGGTTTATATCTAGATGATTCCGTTTGCTGTTTTGCATTAATTTTTTCTGATTGATTGAATTTAAATAAAGAAAAAGTTGGATAGTGATTGTGTCTACAATCTCTATTGAGTCTACAATCTCTATTGGTTCTGAATTTACGCCAAAAGCGTCACTGAGACCTGATTGGATTTTATTCTACTTTAGAATTGTGGATATCGAGATCAATGATTGATCTTCTCTTTTTTTAATTTCAAGATTAATTTAATCTCAAGTTTGTATTAACAAGTGTTTATAACTTTACCAATCTCGAGTTACGTTTGGAGAAACCAGAACAGTCAATCACAGAAGCCGGGAAATTTGAAATTTTGCACGCCATATCGACTAAACTTTTATTGGTTGGAAACTGACAAGGAGAGAAGAAGAGAGAAACAGTACCCACATCGGATATTCAGATTAAGCAATTAGAACTTGAAGTATTCAAATCTAAAGTTCCCATCACGGACGCCATAAGAAAATACTAGCCTTTTTTGTTCATAAAATACTTTCCTAGTTGTTCATACTGCACTTTCATACATCTACTATGACCGACTAGTTCACATTGATTGTCCATTTTTGAAACAGCAGCATTCCAACTCTCTAAAGCCTGAAAGACTTTTTTTTATAAATATTTTATAACAGATTTTGTAAAATTTGTATCACCTCCTCAGGGTTGTCATTGCTATACCCACTTATTGTTATTTTTCTTGTGACTATAGAGTGTACAACAGCTCTACCATCTCTAACCATGAACAACCACTTAGATTTAGGGAATAGCTTTGACACATACTCTCCATTGTTTAACAAAAGAGGATCCTTGTTGCATAGAACTTTAGGAGGTGGTCCATGCTGAGCTATTGTCTCAAGGGTAAAAGCAGCCATTGCTCGATGGATTATTCTATCTGATATCCCTCCTTGTATTAATCTTGGTCGCTCCCCTGGCTCCTCGAATATTCTCCGCAACTAGATTTGTAACAAGGGTATATATTTTACACAAATGAGAGATTTTAATCTTAGAAATTTAATCATTTACAACTAGTTTACATGGGAGTTAAGGGAACTTTACTTTACCAAGGGTTTCCAAGACCAATCTTGCCTACAAAACAACCAGAGCAGAGCTAGGGATGTTTTGTAGTCAAAATTGGTCGAGGAAACCCGTGGTTAAGTATAATTTTTAATTTCCCAATAAAGTAGTTATCTACATTTTTATTGTCTTCTGAGATGCAAATGCGCAAAATTTTCACAAAAACTTTTCAGAGCAAGTTCTTATTTTACTTTATTGTCCCAAGGAATGTTAAGTAACTTAACGTTCTTCTGTTGGGGGGAATCATAGGTAAGTAATGTTTGTGTAAAGGTGGTAAAAATTATGATTAGATGATTTTTGTAAAAATCAAATCTGTGAAACACCCTTACAGATATAAGATGGGGTAGAATTCTTGTTTCTTCACCACATCTAACAAATTCATGGGCATCTAACATAGCTCTCATTAGTGTAGTCCCTGATCGAGGATGTCCACCTGGTAGAAGTACTTTTTTCTTTAAGATCATTTATTGAATTTATAATTGTTTTTCTGATGTTTGGGCCCATACAATGTTTCCGACTTTCAACCCCTGAATTTGCAAAAATATGATAATCAAGCAATAGAGTTCAAATGTGAAGACACATTTTTAATACAAGTACTTTTCCTATGAAGATTAATGGATGCGTCTGGCTATCATAAACATGCTTGACATTGTTTTGATCAATCACTATTGCTACAGGTCCATCACTTTCTCTAACTTTGTCTGTTATAGCTTGTTTTTCACGTAGTTTATACAAAAGAACAAGAATCACTGCAATAACCATAATTAATCTTAATGCATATCTAACTTTGACTGAATTAAGTGAGTTTTGTAATCTTGCTCGAGAAATAGAGGACTTCATTTTTTAACAATCCTTCATTGAATGGAACCTGTATTGTAATTTTTTCAGTCGGATTGGAGGACAAGCTTCTTATTCTTCTAGAAATAACAATCACAATTTTAAGACCATATTCCGGCTCAGCTGTGGGAATCTAACTGAAACCTGAACCCTTCAAGTATAAAGTGTTGTAATCCTAAGTGAATGATTGGCTTTCTATTATAATAAAGTTTCAATCGTTCACAATAAATTGAATAGCAGCTGTACTTCTGAGTAGAGTTTTATGCCATAGGATGTACAATACATGTACAATATAACTAGATTGAAGCCAAGTACAATTGTCATTGTTCAATATTTTATTTATAAATATTACTAAGGATTTAATTATTTCTCTGAAAATGAACTATTCAGAGATAAATAAATCATAACAGCATAAATTACAACATATTTGGTGACAAGACTAATTCAATTAAAGATTGAAAGAAAATACTTTTATTCTGATCTCATTGTATTTATCTCTTAAATGATGTGTAAATAGTAGGGTTTGCAGCAAAACTGAAAAATAGTTTCGCGAAAATTTCGCATTTTTTGAAAAATAACAATTTTCAATTTTTTCGCGAATTTTCGCTTCAATCGGTTTTGCGAAAAAACGAGAAATTTTCATGGAATAAGAAAAGCTAAAATTTCGCGAAAATAAGAATGAAAAATTAAAATGTTAATAAGACAAAGAAGGATGATGGTTTGATGGTTGGTCTTTTTTATATCAAGAAAATGTCTGTTTATATTCAACATGGATTTCCTGAGTTGGTAATGGTGGCAGAAGTTAGGTCTAGACCATCCACGTGGAAATATATAAATTCAGATCTATCCTCCTCACTGTTAAAAATATAAAAATCAAGATCAATTCCGCTTACTGTTAAAATATATAAATCAAGATCTATCCGCTCACTGTTAAAAATATATAAATCCTGATATATCCTGCTCAATGTTGAAAATATATAAATCCTGATCTATCCTCCTCACTTTTAAAAATAAATAAATCAAGATCTATCCCGCTCACTGTTAAAAATATATAAATCATGATATATCCCGCTCACTGTTAAAAATATATGAATCAAGATATTCAGATATTACAACCTATAGTCATCGATTAATTTTCGACGCATTCGTAGATAGTTATATTTCATAATATTTTTTATTCGTTTTGTATACAATGCATTTCAACGCCAAAATAGTTGGCCACCAAATGTCTCTGCTCTCGATGCTTTGACAGCTAGCGGTTTTTAAGTGCATTGTGTAAAAAACAAATAACAATTTTATGGACGCAACAGATAGAAGTAAAATTAGTAGCGATCAGAAGCGATTATTTTTCGCCGTAAGTCTATACCCCCATTCATTTTTCGCAAACGCTCCCTAAAACCATTCTTTATTTTTTTACAAGGTCTGTAATTTTTCTTCATTTTGAATTAAAGTTGGCTTGGCTTTTTTAAACAACTTACATGTAATATTTTTAAATTTAGTTAATGTGAAAAATATCAATATTTATACAATAAAACTAAACAGAAACACCCTTTTATCGGAGGATGATCCTTTGACAAATAATTATTCCACTATTAAGTTTTTATTTATTAAAACTTACTAAAAGTAGTTTGATAATAAGAGGGTTGTGTTTAAAACTATTTTTAGAGGAATTTTATATTTTTAAATAAATTTAAAGTCGAGCAAGATTTGATTCATTAAAAATGTACGATGTTTTCTTTAATTTCAAATAATAATATAATATTAATCTATTTTCTTTATTCTGTTTTAAAATGTGCCGAAATATTTATGAAAATCCACACAAAAAAAAACAAGTTTTGTGGGAAGAGAAAAAACTTTCATTCCAGATCCTGCGATATAAAAAATTCGGGAAAATAAGATTCAGGTCCAATCAGTCACAGAGCTGATTTAAGATTTGAGTTTTCGGATTTAAGTTGAAACTTATTTTTGAATTGGGTTTTATAAACCAGTTTAATATTGTATTTGGCGGATTTTGATAGTTGGAATTGCGAAATCAAGAGGTTTGATTAGAGTAACACTCATGTTAAGACTGTTTATAATTTCTCCACTAAAACCATCCAAGGTCGGTTTTATTTTCATTGGGACTACCTCCTTAAGTTAAGTTTAAGAGCTGGCTGGCAGTTGTTGATCACGTGCACAAGCTGTCATCAGCTGATTCAGAAGTTGTGTTTTATATATTGAGCCTTAAATTTGGGTCTATGGAATTAAGACTCGAGCCAAAGCTTTTAAATCGAGGACTCAGGGATCGTGAAATTGAGCTGAGAGTAAGATAACAATTTTACTCACTTTATAAAATCCATTGTGATTGCTCCAGTATACTCTATGTTTGATAAGGTAGATAAATAATCAGGACGTAAACTGAAAAAAATTGCTTTATAAAAACGTGTTTACTTAATGCAGAGCCTTAAACTAATAGTCTTTAATTTTTATTGTGTCACTTGTTGCAAGATATTTATCTTCTCAGTTATTAATTGATGAAAATAAAAGAATCAATTACTTGCAACATAATCTTAGTTTGTAACCCCTATATATGTGCGCAGCTCAACGTGTTAGAACTAAGAGTTGTCATAATATAAACTCTGTTTAACCAAATAATCCAAGTTCAAAATGTGAAATATTCAGAGCATCAGGTTGCATAGAATTTGCAAAAACTTGAAAGCGTAGTGGATTGGCACACCATTTAGGTCAAATATAGATACTATAACATCTGAGAGTGTAGTGGGGTGGGACAATATCAAGGTCCTATTTTACTATAAAACCTGAAAGAGGTGGGGTGGGACAATATCAAGGTCCCATTTTACTATAAAACCTGAAAGAGGTGGGGTGGGACAATATCAAGGTCCTATTTTACTATAAAACCTGAAAGAGGTGGGGTGGGACAATATCAAGGTCCTATTTTACTATAAAACCTGAAAGAGGTGGGGTGGGACAATATCAAGGTCCTATTTTACTATAAAACCTGAAAGAGGTGGGGTGGGACAATATCAAGGTCCTATTTTACTATAAAACCTGAAAGAGGTGGGGTGGGACAATATCAAGGTCCTATTTTACTATAAAACCTGAAAGAGGTGGGGTGGGACAATATCAAGGTCCTATTTTACTATAAAACCTGAAAGAGGTGGGGTGGGACAATATCAAGGTCCTATTTTACTATAAAANTGGTACTATATCTAGGTCCTATGATAAGGTTAAACCTAAGAGTGAGGTGGGTTGGTACTATATCTAGGTCCTAAGATAATGTTAAAACTAAGAGTAAATTCGGTTGGTACTATATCTATAGGTCCTTTTATAAACTGCAGATAAACCTGAGAGTGTAGTGGGTTGGAACTATTTCTTGCTCCAGGTCTGTTCTCAAATCATCCTCAAGGTGCAGTACCCCTAAAAAATATTTTACAGTGTGACCCACTAAGCAATAATAGTTATTATTATATTATTATAGTAATAGTTATTTAATCAATTTAGTTGTTTACACTATAATATAAACTAGTAATCCATCATAATTCATGAACCAAATAAAGAGAATGAATAAATACCTTGAATGTGTGTAGATAAAGGTTGATTTTCAAAAATAGGATTTGAAAACTTGAGTAGACAGTTCCACTCCTCTCCGAATAACTCTGATGGACAAAAACATACACTTTTATTGTCAAGCTTTGAAAAATTGATTAAAAATATCAAAAAAATCGTCTTTGATATTCGATATCTGATAAAAAAAGAATAAGTGTGCACCTTCTGAGCTTTCCAAAATGTTATCTTTCGTCGTTGAATCTTAAAAATGAACATTTAAACTTTTTTATTTTTATAAATAGAAAGCAGGACAATTTTCTCCTCAGCACATATGTTAAAGGTGCAGTGAACACAAGAAAATTCTGAAATTCAAACACGACTTTTAGAATCAAGTTACAAATGTAAACAATTTACTTTGAAAAAACATCAAATAAACTTGTTTATTGCAAAAATGTCGTCTTCATATTCCATAGTTTTCTGGTTATCATAGAACAAAAACAGTTGACCACACGATTAAGAACTGGTCAATTTGATTATCATGTTTATTGGTAGAACCGGAATTAAACCCTAAAATGGTCGGAACCTTGAGAATTTGTTTTATTTTCCTAATTGAAAGTTTTGAATTTGGATTGCACAAGTAGAATTCCATTTTTCTAGATCATATCCTTGTACAGACTCCACCAGTTCTCCTAAACACAAGTAGAATTCCATTTTTCTAGACCATATCCTTGGTGCGGAATTCGAAGGTTACAAAGTTTTAGCCTCGCCATGAAGGTCACTTACACTCTATTCAAACAGTCATAGCGTTTTTGTTTATTAAGATCTTGACTTGATTTTAACGCCAATTTATAGAACATATACAGAGCTATTTCCAATTGCAAAACATAAAAGTTGGTAGGGGGTCGATTTTTTTCAAATTTATATAATTTGGTATACCAAAGCATATTTTGGTATGAAAATTCCTATTTTTTAATATATATATGTCTTTGCAACCTGATGTCCCCGAACCTTAATATTTTAAACTATAAATTCTTCTTGACGTTTGAAATTCAACCAAATTATGGAAAATATGGTTGTTATTAGTATAACATGGAAGATGATGAACTTACCATCCTGGAAAACGGAACCATTAGGAAAGGTTGTGTAGGTGGCTACAGAGTTATCAGATAGTGTGACGGTCCAATCACAGCTCTCCCTGACGAAAACATCTGATATTTACAAATCACAATTGACTTTGTCCATTCAGTTCCCGACATATAGCTTAAAGTTTGAAGTAGTTTATTCTGTTTGAAACAGTGCTCCTTTAAAGAAGACATTTGGCGAAACATAAAAATAAAACTTTCTCTTGCATTAAAATTTTGATGAACAAATAAACTACAGAAAAGAGTTCAAATAAACCTTTAAGTACATTTAAAAATAATAATAATTTCTTTAATAAAAATGCACATTATTAAAGTTGGCATGATTTTATACAGTGAAACCCTTAGTAACGAATACGTCGGAAGAATTTATCAAATGTCGTCTTGACAATTTTTTAATGAGTTTTATACTATATTACGTAAATTTCAGTATTTGCGAAAATAAATAAATAGCCATGAATATGCGGGAACAGTTTTAAAGAGTTCCATATAATCATTTAATTAAAAAACCAAATATCTGCAACATTCCATTATCAGAAAGTGAAGAATACGACATTTGATAAATTCTTTCGATGTATTCTTTATTAAGGGTTTCACTGTATGAAAAAAGATTAAAATTATCAAGTGTACATTAAAAAAAGAACATTTTTAAAATATTACTAATGCCCTTTTTTTAATTAACGGATTATATCATTGATACTTAAATAACTTATAAAATGTTTAAATCTTAATTTTAAATTTTAATTTCCTTTCATTACATATTACGTATTCTACCTCATCAACCATTCCTGCAAACATAAAAATAAAATATTTAACGACTTTTTTGCAGATCATATAGGTCCACCTGTACAGTCTGTAAAGAATTGAATTATTAATAAAGAAGACTATTAAAACAGTACAAGTTACAAGTACAGTGAGAACCACAAATATGAGGAATCGGAAGACGACATTATTTGCAATAATCATTGATGCTGTTACAGCGAAAAAAGTTTTACTAGCAGCTTAGTAAATCATTTATTTAGTTAAATTGGTCGGTTTACACTACAACTTATTAAATCCTTTATTTAGTTAAATTGGTCGGTTTACACTGCAGCTTATTAAATTCTTTATTTAGTTAAATTGATCGGTTTACACTGCAGTTTATTAAATCCTTTATTTAGATAAATTGGTCGGTTTACACTGCAGCTTATTAAATCATTTATTTAGTTAAATTGGTCAGTTTATACTGCAGCTTATTAAATCCTTTATTTAGTTAAATTGGTCAGTTTATACTGTAGCTTATTAAATCCTTTATTTAGTTAAATTGGTCGGTTTACACTGCAGCTTATTAAATCCTTTATTTAGTTAAATTGGTCGGTTTACACTCCAGCTTATTAAATCCTTTATTTAGTTAAATTGGTCGGTTTACACTGCACAATTGATGTGCCTTAGTTAAAGTCCTAATTTAAATCTAAAATTCATCTTTCAATCCCAGAGTTTTCTGGTTCATACTCAATTTATTTACTAATCGTAACTTTGTAAAACAAAATAAAAAAATAAAAAATTACCAAATATAATTTCAGAATTGTCAAATTCTTTTGTGTAAACTTCGTTTTAATTAATTTTACAAAATATTTAAAGGGAGTGTTCGCGAAAAATGAAAAGGGGTATAGGCTTAATGCGATAAAAAAGCGCTTTTTATCGCTACTAATCTTACTTCTAACTGTTGCGTCTATAAGGAGAAAATTGTTAAAGACGTCTCATACCGAATAACATGGCGTCCATACAAATTGAGAAATTTGCAACATACGACTTAGACCGTAAAAAAATCCATTTAATTTCAAACAAATCATTCAGATATTACAACCTATAGTCATCGATTATCTTTCGCCACATTTGTATATATTTGGTATTTCATACTAGTTTTGATTTTGTTTTTTAAAATAATATTTAGCTTACAACTTGTTTTCGAACATTCCTGGAAAATATGAAAATGTCGTCTTCATTACCAAAAATCCTCGAAACAGGAAATAAATCATAACAATCAAAACATATTATGAAAAATCAACTATGTATAAATGTGGCGAAAAATAATCGATGAGTATAGGTTGTAATATCTGAATGATTTGTTTGAAATTAAATTGATTTTTTTACGGTCTAAGTCGTTTGTTGCAATTTTCTCAATTTGTATGGACACTGCGTTCTTCGGTATGAGACGTCTTTAACAATTTTCTCCTTACAGACGCAACAGATAGACGTAAGATTAGTAGCGATCAAAAGCGCTTTTTTATCGCATTAAGCCTATACCCCCTTTCATTTTTCGCGAACACTCCCTTTAATAAAACAATTTTAATTTATTTTATTTTTCTCCCTGATGAATGCAGCCAAGGATTAAATTGTCCCCATCCTGCCATGTTTTTGTCCTGTAAACTTCGAAACCATGGTTTCCCCACGATGCTGGATAATGTTCGTAAAACAAATATATTAAAAATTATAGAAAATATTAAACAAAAAACGGTTTAGCTACAAGCATTGTTTTCTTTTCATGAAGTTGTCTTAATCTTTATTTTAAATTTGAAATTTTATTTAACAAATAGAACAATTCTTTTCTAGAATATGAGATTGTATATGTTTTTCATAGATTTATTGATTAAACTGTATCCTTCATATAAACAGTATTTATCAGGGAATAAGGAAACTCATTACTTGACTCAAACTCAAATTTGCTAGTTCCTTATATTTTTAAACCCAAAGGTGTATAATACTTTTTATTTCAAACTTTATTATTTTATTTGATGTGACAGAATTCATAGTTTGCAATATCTAAAATAAATCCCATACTTGGTATAAACGTTTTTTAACGAATAAGTTCCTAAATCGTCTTGAGCTGACCCTGCTGCCACCTGGAGTACAATTATCAATAGTATTCCTCTCATCTTCGGACACTGAGAGATAATATAAACATACAATTCTTATCTGACACTGAACTATTTACTTCTTATCTTTTTCAAAAGTTTGATAACATCTAAAATTTACACAATCTGCAGACTAGCTAATTAGAACAGACAGACTTTTAAGCAATGCTATAGCACGGATTTAGATAGATATTTTTTTCTTTCCCTTACAAGCTATTGCAAAGCTTTGCATCAAAACAAAATTTGCCCTTTTAACTGGAAGAATCTTAGAATAATGAGTCATATTCATAAATAGATATTATAGTTGAGATTTCATTTAAAGACTGGAAACCATAAATAGATGTAACAATAAAATAATTTGCTTGCACGAATGGCTATAAATTGTTTTAACTATAAGAGGAAAATGACGTTAAAAAAAAATTCTTGTAAGAGCGCTTCAGGATTAAAGCTTGGCGCTCAACCTGAAATCAATTCTTAAAATATAATTTAAGAATCTACATTCTACATTTAGAAGCTACCCCCAATTTTCTAGGATTGTTTGTATCCCCCCCCTTTATGCCTGCCTCTTAGCTGTCTTAAAACTGTTTTATTTTCTAACAAGACTTTAAACTTAGCAATCATGAATTAGATTGTATAAATAGGTCCCACTCCCACTGAATAAAGGTTATCAAATTGAAATTAGATAGTTAATAACCTTACCTTCCTCATTCTCAGTTTTGATGTTTTGGTATCTTAAGTATTTTAAAAATATTGGTTTACTACTTGATTACCTCAAATTAAGAAATATGTTTTATTTTTATACCAAAAAAAGGAAATTAGTTTTTTTTAGAAGCTTATGCTGAGATGTACTCGGAAAACCCGTGTTGTCAGAGAATTGATTTGGGGAAAATTAAATAATTTCAGAAAACTTTTTTCTATAAAAAGATGTTCCACTTCCAGGGCCCAAAAGGTTTTTTAGCACAAGTATCTGAAGTAACACCTGCAGTACGAAAACAGTACAATAAAATGGCGGTTTTACACTTTTTTCGAGTTAATTCCTCTCTATTCTCTTTTGTTGCTAGGCCCCGGCTTGCTACAAAATCGGGTCACAAGGAAAGTCAGATTTTGTTAAAAGCTTAATTCCTTTATTTCATAAGAGGAGTTATAATAGAAACAATGTAAGATTTTCATCATAGCTTTTCCATTAATTTAACAGGATACTTTTTTATCACCCTGATATATATCATAACGATTAATTTTATATAAACCGAATAAGTGTTAAAACTGATGAAAACGTTCAAAAGTTTGCGGTGGTACTGCAGTGACACTTTTTTTTGAACACTTTACACTATATAATTCAATTAGGGCAGCGTCGGTTAATACGCACTATTAAATCCATAATATGCCATGCACATTTAAAACATTCTACAACTTCAGTTTTAATCTAGACATCTAGTCCAACCTCACACATCCTTGTTAAATACATCTTATATTTTTTAATTTTATATTTGTCATTTTGAAGATGTTTGTGATTGTGTTCATCTTTTAATTGTTTTAGGACTGATGATGAAGATATTTTTATCGAAACATATATCCTGAACTGGCAGTCTGTATTTTTCGAAGTTTGTTTGAGATTGCTTTAAAAACCTGTTTTAACATTTAAAAACTATGAAATAATTAATCGTAAAATGTAAAAGAATGTATTAAAATATTTAAAATTCGATGTTAAATAACAAAGTACAGTAGTCCAACCATTTTATCATAATTTATTAACATTACGCCATTTTTTTTTTCTCCATCTTCCTCTGGTCAACTGTTGATTTGGTGTATCTTCTAGATTTTATTAGGCATCAAAACGGATATACTTTACAGATAAAACGGTCTGTTTAAAATTGTTAACATTTTTTTTAATTGTTAAAAATTAGTTGAAAATTGATAAAAATTGATGAATATTGGTGAAAATTTCTGAAAATTGTGGTAAATTGTTAAAAATGTTGAAAATTGTTGAAAAAGGTTAAAAATTGTTAAAACTAATAGGATTACCTAAATTTACAACTCATATCATAAATAATATCCTCCGACCTCCACCAAGCGTCCTGTAGCCTCGAGTTGAGCGCTAAACTTCACGCTCAAACCGTAGACACAGTTCACTCTGGTAACATCTCGCAAATCTTTCAGGGACTCCTAAGCGTAGTGACCCACCATGCAAAGACAATGCCTGATTCACAACGGTACCCATGAACCTTTATCTTATCAATAATGTAGATGACATTTTCTAGGGTAAAACTGTTTATTTATGGTATTAACATTTGTTTTCCTGCAGTTTAAATACTCTCGAGTGACTTTTGAAGCGAAAACCACAGTTGAAATTGAAATAAGGAGATACTGTTGATTGATTGATTGATTAATTTACGTTTATTTCTATATGCATCAAAGGGCGAGCATCTTGAATATAGAAAATTACAATCACATAAATATAGAATAGAATAAAACATTTTGAATCTATCCTGCTGCCTGCTGCTAGGCCAAGTTGACCTTCCTGCTTCATAGGATTTCCAGCGAACGAAAACTTTCGCGAAAATGTGACAACTTTTAGTAAAAAATTGCAAAGATTTTCGCCTTTTTTGTCGAATTTTGTATTTTTTTCTCTTAAATTATTGCTTTTTTCTACGAACAGATTGCGAAAAAATAATGTTCGCGAAACCATTTCCTTATTTCGATGGAAAGCCTACCTGCACCTTCTGTGGTGTTTTTACCAGTTTATAAAAATTATCGGTCTACGACTGTTAAGATCTACATAATAGTACTGTAACTTTAAGCTCCCTTAGTGGCATGTCTGATTCACCAATGGTACGCATGCATATTAACTGATTAAGAATGAAAGAGATGTCTATGATTTTTCTGTAACAAATTGGTCACATTTAATTGTGACTTGCGTGTTACTTTCTACGGACCAAGGAAGAAACTTGTGCGAATTAAACAATTTTAAAGCTATAAAAACGACGGTATATTCCACATTATTGATCAGATAACGGTTTAATAGGCCGGTTGTTCATATATCATGTGCATTGCATAAATAAATTGTGTATTTCATAGATTTTTGTAGTTCATAGATCTTGTGTAGTTCATTGATCTTGTGCAGTTCATAGATTTTTATAATTCATAGATATTGTGTATTTCGTAGAATTTGTGTAGTTCATAGATCTAGTGCAGTTCATAGATCTAGTGCAGTTCATAGATCTTGTGTATTTCATAAATATTTTGTAGTTTATATGACTTGTGTACTTTATAGATCTTGTGTAGTTCAAATATATTTTGTAGTTAATAGATCGTGTATAGTTCATAGATCTTGTGTAGTTCATAGATCTTTTGTAGTTCAAAGATCTTGTGAAGTTCATAGATCTTGTGTAATTCATAGATCTTGTCTAGTTCACAGATCTTGTGTTGTTCATAGATCTTGCGTAGTTAATAGATCGTGTGTAGTTCATAAATCTTGTGTAGTTCATAGATCCTGTGAATTCATAGATCCTGTTTTGTTCATAGATCTTGTGTAGTTAAAAGATCTCGTGTAGTTAATAGATCTTTTGTAGTTCATAGATTCTGTGCAGTTTAAAGATCTTTTATAGTTCACATATCTTGGGTAATTCATAGATCCTGTGAAGTTTAAAGATGTTGTGTAGTTCATGCATTTTGTTTAGTTCATAGAGCTTGTGTAATTCACAGATGCTATGTAGTTCATAGATGCAGTTCATAGATCTTGATTAGTTCAGAGATCTTGTTAATAGATCTTCTACGTTTTGCATAAGCCTTGTGTAGTTCATATATCCTGTGAGTATCATAGATCTTGTGTAGTTCATAGATCTTTTATACCTTCTATCGTATCTTTTCATAACAAAAAACCACTGTTAACAATTGTACGTAATAACAATATCTAATTTTCAGAAATAAAATGTTATTTTTATTGATATTTTCAACTGTTTTCTCGGTGGGGTATTGTCAAACATCAATCATCACAGGTTTTTATATTATTTAGCAAACTAGATATGTTGTGACATTGTTTTTTGATCAGTCGTTTTGCCATTTTTAAAGTATAATACTTGTATTCATAGAGAAAGAAAAGGAAGATCATAGAGAATAGAATATATATTAGAGTGGAATTTACTAGAAAAAAGTGTAAAACGGCCATTTTGTTGTACTTTTTCCATACTGCAGGTGTACTTCACTTGGGCCCTGGAATATCATTTTATAGAAAATATAAAATTAATATTAAAAGAAAACCAAATTATGAAATAGGCTGGTTTCATAATTGACCAATGATCATTTCACATAGACTCTATGCCTTTCACTTTACAAACGATGATTTTCCGTTATAACCATAAATCAAATGATGTTTTTTATTCACTTAATTCATTATAAAGTTTATGAAATGGATAGTCTAGGGAACATACTGTATTAATATACTCCACTGCTATAATTTGTGAACATTTACATGATTTTTACACTTTGAACTCCCTTTCAGGCTGAATGGGACTAAGAAAATTTATACCGAGGGATTGTTTAAATTTCAATCTAATATATATTCTAATCTCTTTGGCTTTAACTCTTCTTATTCTTTCTGTAGGTTCGTATATGTATGTATATTTAAACCCTTGAGGTTTAAAGTAACTGAGTCTTTGCCTGCACATCATCTTTTTTTTAATCCTTATGATTTCAACCCAATGTTAAAACAGTAGCTATTAACTTAGCTAAACTAGTAGCTTAACTATTAATTCTGTTAGAATAAATAATCTAGTTTAAAAAAATTAAAGGTTCACACCATCAGATGCACAGATAAGAGATTAGGAAATTTGAGTTTTTTGACAAATTCCTTTCCATTACATTGATAAATGATAAATGATAAATGATAATGATAAATGATATTACTGTGTGTAGAGCTGGTTCTAACTTGGACCTGCAAAACTTGTTCTTAGATTACCAAGATTCAATGAAAATTGTTGCATACAAAAAAATTAGCTTGTTAACCATATCCCTGCTGGGGTATTTTAAAACCAGGATACGATGGGGGGGGGGGTCACTCTAAATCCCATGTTTGATGTCCAAATATGACAAACTAGCCTTAGAGGGCGCTTTGAGCCCATCTTCTAAATTAATTGTAAACATGTTCTCTTTGTGTACATCGTAAAAAAAAACAAAAATAATTCGCGGATTTTCACAAAAAATTTCGTGGATTTTAAAAATTTTCAAAAATTTAATGAAGATCGAATTTTGATGGAGACAAATATATGAAATTTTGATTATTCATAAACCTTCCCTGGGGTCCCTAGATGTCCCACAAAAAATTTGGGCCCGATCGGTTCAGCCGTTTTGACGTTTATTGGATACAAACAAACAAACAGACAGACAGACAGACAGACAAGCCAAATTTATATATAGATGATACATAATTGGAAAGCTCTCATGCTCTACTTTTAGAATCTGCAAATAAAGGAACTGAGTTTTTGCCACAAACTTTAATTTTCTAATTCCTAAATCTTTGCAAACTGATGAGTGACGTAAGCCTTCGATATTTCAAACTATGAATTCTATCAGACCCAATTATCCAAGTTTGAAATATAATAGGTTTACACTATCAGGATGAAAAGATATAGGAATTAAAAAATTTAAGTTTGTGACAAAAACTCCTTTCCTTTGCAAATTTGAAAAAATTGATATTTTTTTTCAAAATCTAGTTATGTAGTCAAAATGATTGCAAAAAAAATGTCCACAAGTGATTAAATATAAATTTTTGAAAAGCCCTTGACCATGCCATTTAAAATATGCAAAAATGTCTGCATAAATTTAAATAACATGATGTGTAAATAAGAAAAACTAAAAATGTGCAAATTTTTTTGACGGGTTGTGTGAAAAAATTTGCAAAACTTGTGAAATCTGTTTCTTCATGTCATAGGCTTTCCAAAACCTAAAAATTATGAAAATCTGACAACTTCAAAAGGGTCAAAACAAAGATTTAGTTTGTTATAAGAAAACGTAGTCATTCAGGCATTGTGCTAGAGGACTCAGGAAGTTAGGAAGTCCGGGTTTAGACCTAATGGGAGGGCTATGGATATTTAGGAAAAGTCAGAAAATTTCAACAGTCTCAGACCAATACTTTTTGAGTTATGTAAAAAAAAAACTTCAGGGGGTATTCAACTTGAACCCCCCCCCCCCCCTCCAGCAGGAATAGGGTTAAAAGAAAATATTGTGCGGATGAAAATTTAGAATAATATGATCCAGAATAATGCAATATTTCTTCTTTCTACCATGGTTAAATTAATATCGCTAAAATGCAAATTAATAATTAATTTAATTTTAACAATACTTTGCCAATATTATCCTGTGGTGTTCTGCTGCAATATGGGCATACAAGCTGGTTGGGTGGTATTGGAAAGTAATTTTTTCAAGAATCAATACAGTTTGTCTAGTTTTGTTAAAAAATAGAATAATTTTTTTTCCCTTTTTCTCTTTTTAACTTCCACTTTTCAAAAATAAACTTCATAACGGTCGTAAATATATAGTGCAGATAGTGTTCTAAATCGTTTTGAAACTAAAAGCGTTCAAGAAAAACTTTCAACATTTCAGAATTTTTTTTAACTTTGCAATATTTTTAACCTAAAAAACGATCCAAAAACAATAGTTTTAACACGTGGATTTTTGGTTTTCGTTTTTTTAACATATTTTCTCTCGGGGACAAATTTGGCATCGAAAAACAAAGAAACAATTTTGAAATAAACATTTACTTATCTTACAATAAGCTAAATTTTGACCAGGGAGAAAATAAATTAAAGAAAACTTTACTAAAACGAAAAACCCGAAATTAACAATACATACGAGGAAAACATCGTTACTTTCATGACAAATTTTCATTAAAAAAAAAAAATTTCTTGGGTTTTATATCTTTAAAGAAGTTAAATTTTGGAATTGAGTTTTTGCCACAAATCCCAATTTTATAATACCTAAATCTTAACAACCAGATGACGCATACCTTTCATATTTCAAACTTACACTTTTTGATCCACCAGAATTCATAGTTTAAAAATCTGAGTTTGTGGCAAAGACTCATTTCCTTTGTCCCAGGTTTCTTTTTTGTTATTAACAACCTGCCATTTTTAGAAATAAGTCAAAACTTACAAAAGTATTTCACAATTCGTAATGTCAACAAATATTTAGACAATTTTCAGTTATAAAGACTTTTAAAGGGACAGTAAAGGAAAAATAAAAGGGGGTACAGGCTAAAAGCTAATTACTTTAGCTCTTGATCGCGACCCATGAAAGTTTTATCTGATGTTACTATCTCGAGAAATTGATATAAAACTGTGTTAAAATCATACGAAAGTTCATATATGTAAAATTTAGAAAAAAACTTTTATGGGTCGCGATCAAGAGCTAGAGTGATTAGCTTTCAGCCTATACCCCCTTTCATTTTTCCTTTACTGTCCNCCCCCCCAACACAAATAACAAGTTGAATACTAAAGTCACAATACGTAATTTTTTTTGAGAATTGCTCAATTCTGTTAATAGAAAAACATTGATTTGAAAAGGTTAAATTGTGAAATAGCATGTATAGCTTTATATTTCAGTTGTCTGAATTCAAGAATATAGCTGCAGGTCCTCAATGGAGTCAGTGAACTCATATTTGTTTAGTGGTTGAAAAGGATGAACTTGCTGTTTTGAAATCTGATATAGCTAAAAATATCGCTACAGTAGAGGTATCAACCAGCCAAACTATCGTACTGAAGGTAAGGTTTAAGCTATGTTTCAAATTTCAATTCGTTTGTTCATCGTTCATTAACGATCCATTTTGTACATTTTTTCAGTCATTCAGTACAAATTTGAATTAATTTGTCTTCAGAATAAATGTTCAGCTTTCATCTATTTTGTTAATTTTCTATCTAAGCGATCAGTCATATAAAACTTTTATTCAGTGAGATTGTTCGTTTAGTAAGTATCTAGCTTGATTTACAAGAAAGCAAAGTATTAGGTTGCGCGTGTTTGCTTGAAATAACAATATGCTACAAAGGATATTTTATAATTCCAGGGATTTAAATTATTTAAATCTGTGAAAATACTTTGAAATTCCGAACCTCTTATTGTCATTGGTTGACGCCCTGAAAATTGCCAAAAACAGAGAAGGGTTAAACATGTTTTTTCTTGACATTTGTTCAATAATTTATATCTTATATAATCTTATATAATAATTTCTATCTTATAATTTGACGAATTTGACACAAATCTGTCGATGTTAGGTACATTGCCAGCGGCAAGTTGCTAGTTTAAGATTGATTAGTATCAACTTGCCAGGCTGGTCTTTGACATGTAATAACTTTTTCATGTGACAAAGTTGCTAAGCAACACTTTGCCAGTTGACACTATGCCATGTGACAAAGTTGCCAGGTAAACTTTACCAGGTGACTATTTTTCCAGTTGACAAAATTGTCATAGACAAAATTGTCGACTGAGAAAACTGGTAAATGATCAACTGGCAAAATTGTCGACAGGTAATTTTCAATTGGCAAAATAATCACTTGGCAAAATGGTTAGATGGCAAACTTGTTACCTGGCAAATTGTAACTGATAAGGCATCTTTGTCAAATGGTAAACTTTTTACATGGCAAAGGGTAAAGTGCTGCCTGGCAAATTGGAAACTAAGTATCTGGAAACTTGCCGAAGGCTAAATTCATTAGGTTTTTAATGACTTGTTTCTTATCATTTCATGCATTTTGTAAATGAAGACGATCGAGTTTACTCGGAGTGAGAGCATGGCACTGAATAAGACGATGTGTAATCAGCTGACAGCAGAACCGTATTCAGCTGTTCTTGATCTCACGTGGGGTGGCTGGATCAGGTCAAAACCAAACCAAATATTGCTGAGCTCTCTTTTTTGTATTTCAAATTTATGTTTGAATGGGGAAGTTAATAATAACAAAGAAATTAAGGGCTTTTTAAGTGTAAGGATATATATATCCAGTTAGAAATATCATGCTTGGAGAATGATGCAGAAAACTAAATTGGCATTAGAGTTTTGATTTATTTGTGGATAAATTTTGTTTCTGAAAAAAAGTTTACAGAATAAGCAGTCCACACAATTAAGATCCAAAAGTTTTTAATGGTTTATCATTCTTAACTGTTTCGGGAAAGGTTCCGCAATGTCTTTATGGAACCAAATTGATCTGCAAGAAACCCTAATTGGCATTGCAACTGAATTATCTAAAGAACAACCTTATACAAATGTTGTCCTGTTATCTAAAATCTATTTTTGTCTTAGGGGACGACAAAATGCAGATATGATAGGACTCCCATACTATAGGGTCGATATAACCAACCATCCATATGTAATGGCAGTGGCTGCATTATTTAATCAAAGCCAGGTATTAAGATTAAGTTTCATATAATAATAATTTTGATAATTTGCGATCCTAATCAGTACTGTTGTCATGAACATTTCAGTATATTAAAATTTACATTTTGAGGAAAACAATAATTTGAAAATTTAAAAAATTTCCAGGTCGTTGACAGCGTTTTTGTATTTGAGAGCAAACAAGAATTGGACATGTGCATGTACTATATCATAATGTACTCAGAACTCAGGTGCATGTACTATATCATAATTTACTCAGAACTGAGGTACATGTACGATATCATAATGTACTCAGAACTCAGGTACATGTACTATATCATAATGTACTCAGAACTCAGGTACCTGTACTATATCATAATGTACTCAGAACTCAGGTACATGTACTATATCATATTTATAATGTAATCAGAACTCAGGTACATATACTATATAAAAATGTACTCAGAACTCAGGTACATGTACTTTATGATAATGTACTCAGAATTCAGGTTCATGTACTATATCAAAATGTACTCAGAATTCAGGTTCATGTACTATATCACAATGTACTTAGAGCTCAGGTACATGTACTATATCCTCATGTACTCAGATGACAGGTAGGATAACTTGTACATTGCGTACTTAGGTTTACCTACAGAAGTTTATTAGAAGTGAAGTGTACGTGGCATGTCAGGAAGTTGAAAAAAATATTATGCTTAAAAATCTTCTCAACCCATCTTTTTCTGGAAACAAACTTTCTCAAAAAAAAGTCGAATCACTCCACTAAACATTTCTTAAACCAAGCTGAGATCATTTCCATATGCTTCTGTCAAAATTACAAGTGTTATAATCCGACATGAAAACAGACTAACAGAAATTACCACTTTATAATTTTTCTTAAACATCTCATGAATTTTTCAATTTATTTACTTTAAAAAACATAAAAAGATATTTTTTCTTTTTTTCTTTTGTTTCTTCGATGAGTGTTTAGAGATCATATAAAGGCTCAATTACTGTTGAATAATCTACAAAGTTTGTTATATATTTAAGTAATGACATGAGAATTGAATAAAAATAATAATTTCTATTGTCCATTATGTGAAACATTTAATATAAGGTTTGGGGGAAAACATGTTATTGAATATTCAAAGTAACGACTACTTTTTGTCATTCAATGTTAAACAGGTTGTCACAAAATTTAAAAATTGCCAACATTTTTTTTGTAAAGAATTTGGTTTTAATGTTTTAAAAAATTTGGTTTCTCTGAGACTCTGAGACCTATAATAAATAATTTTAAAGTAATACAAAAGGTATTAAATGAAGAATAAATATATTGAGATGAATAGCGTTTAATTCAATACAATATTATAGAAAATATCATAACAAAATAAGTAAAAACGATCAAGTACATTCACGCACCGATTTTTAAACTTAGAAATTTCTTACAGAGATACGTGAAATGATCAGAGTTAGACAAGTAAGATGATATTAAAATGATATTTTGCGGATTTTTCAACTCTGCTTGAAAAAAAAATAGCTTTGCAATATTTTCGAACAAAGTTGGCGTGTAAAACAAACAGTTAAAAATAATTGAGAAAAGGCTAAAATGATACAACGATACAACGAAGTAATTACTTTATATTATTTAAATTAAATTTTAAAGGGAGCGATAAAAAAGCGCTTTTGATCGCTTCTAATCTTGCTTCTATCTGTTGCGTCTATAAGGAGAAAATTGTTAAAGATGTCTCATACCGAAGAACGTAGCGCCCATACAAATTGAGAAAATTGCAACATACGACTTAGACCGTAAAAAAATCAATTTAATTTCAAACAAAACATTTAGATATTACAACCTATAGTCATCGATTATCTTTCGCCACATTTGTATATATAGTTTATATTTCATAATATTTTTTATATAAATATTATAAAATAAAAAGAAAATTATTACTCCAGTTAATATTAATTTTTTCTATGATAAAAGCATTTTTTTCAAATATTAAAAAAAAAAAATTAGATTTGTTTTTCATATAGTCTGCAACTGTTCGAAAAAAAATTAAAACTTAACTATTTTCGGCAAGTTTTGTTGGATTTTTATTTTTATTTTATTTTAATATGTCTCAGTATACAAGTATTTTAGTAGATAAGTTGGCTTGAAGGCTAATTAATTATTTTGGTATAGTGAAACTTATTGGTAGGAGAAATGCACATTTACTTTATTTACCTTGTATCTTTTAAACCTTCAAAGAAGTAATTGGATACCGAATACTGCAATGTACTCACCCTGTTTAGCAAAAAAAAAGTGCAATCTACAACTAAAAAAGGCAATACCCCCTTTTCCACTAGGAAGCGTTGCAAAACCCCACCCCCTCTCTCCTCCCTATAGGTCCTAGTATACTACTGCTAAAAATAGTGCAATAAACCTCTCCATCCCTTTATTATATAGAAGAATGAAATGTACTCTTCTCTTGAAATGTTCAAGGTTTTAATAATCAAAAATAGGACGAAATACAGCAAAAAGTTGACCAAACCAAAGTCTTAATAGAAGAAAAACTGAAAATGTGCAAATTAAACGGTGTCTGTGCAAAAAAAAACTGAGCAAAATTTTATTACGAAACATGTGCAATCTGCTTTCTAGCTTTCCAAATAGCTATTGCCTGTTGAAATTAAATGACTGGATATGGCAAACGCCTGAGAGGCGGAGAGCTCATGGTTTAGTAATTTTTATCTTGCGACGGACTATAGTGCAGTTAAATATAAAAAATTGAACAGATTCAATACTTTTTCAGTTTTGTCCAAAACACTCACCTCACCCTCCCCCCCCTTTGTAGGATAACATTAGCAAAATGTATATTTCAGGATTACGGGAGCTTGGTTGGCCGGGGATAAAGCTTCTCTGAACAAACTTAGGTATAATATATAGTTTAAATAAATAGTTTAACTATATAGTTTAAACACAAAGTTTAAGTATATAGTTTTAATGTATAGTTTAAATACATTAAAACTATATTTTATATAGTTTAAAAATATAGTTTAAACAACAAATTAGTTTAAAGAAGAATTTTTGTTACGTTTTCTTTCGGATTTTTAAAGAATTCCTTGTTCTTGAGTGCAAACCTCCAAAATCGGGATTTTTAACATCGAATTTGCGCTCTTAAACAGCAATTTTACACAACATAAAAACTGTCTAATTATGGGTATTAAATAAATTTTTAAAGGGAATAAAGTCTTTGCTACAAACTCCAATTTTTTAATCTCTTTATTTTTGCAACACAATGTCGTGGATCTTAGATATTTCATACAATAGAATTCTGTTGGATAAATTGGAATAAGTTTAAAATATCAAAGGTTTACATAATACCATACCTAGCCAACCAATTCATCTAAGCAAATAGATATCAAGTACAATAGGAGGCAACAGAGAAATGGACCTATTATACATGACGTCACAAGTGTCAAATATAACAAGGAAAAGGAAATTTTCTTGCATTAGTTGATATGTTTTCCAAGATAAAGTAAAAAAGTGATACAATAGATGGCAAGGTAGAATTTGTACGCTCTCAGTACACCTGTATTCTTACGTCACAAGTGTCAACTAAGTTTTTGTGTCCGTCAAAATTATGAATGATAGTGATAATTTTAGAATAAAGTTCTTATAGTAAAATAAGTAGAATTTTGGTGTTCTTTATTTTCTGTTTTTACACATCTAAGGATATATCATGACATGATACAATCTATATTTTTCAAATGTTTGTGATAATATATTTAAACCAGGGATATGAAGCCTAGACCCTCTAACATTGTTGTGATTGGATCAAAAACTGCAGTAAGGTAAATAAACTCTCAACAAACAAATTCGAAAATGAATTAAAATAAATGAAAAATTTAAGTAAAAAATTACTATTAATTAATGAAGAAAAATAATGAACAAATTATCAACTTTAAAATTATATATAAAAACAAATTTTGAATACACAAATAAACCAATTAACAACTTAACAAATTCCAAAACTCAAATATTTATTAAAAACACGTCTCTAGCAATTAGTAAATAACAAATTAATGGCTTCATATTTAAAGGGAGTGTTCGCGAAAAATAAAAGGGGGTATAGGCTTAATGCGATAAAAAAGCGCTTTTGATCGCTACTAATCTTAGTTATATCTGTTGCGTCAATAAGGAGAAACTTGTTGAAGACGTCTCATACTGAATAACTTAGCGCCCATACAAATTGAGAAAATTGTAACATACGACTTAGACCGTAAAAAAATCAATTTAATTTCAAACAAATCATTCAGATATTACAACCTATAGTCATCGATTATCTTTCGCCACATTTGTATGTTGCAATTTTCTCAATTTGTATGGGTGCTAAGTTTTTCGGTATGAGACGTCTTTAACAAGCTTCTCCTTATTGACGCAACAGATATAACTAAGATTAGTAGCGATCAAATTTTAAGATAAAAACATGAAAAGTTTGAAATAAAAGGAAAAAAATACCTTTTTAGTGATATTTTGGCTGCACTCGATGTCAGGGAGCTTATTAAACGAGATTCTTTCTACAGTCTAATCTATACAGGAATACTATTTGATTCTTATATTTAAACATTAAATCACTAAATATCTAAACTTAACAAAATTTGTTTGTCAACAAGAGTTAAATTCCCATTTTTATCTCAGCTAATTTTTGATTTTACGTGTTTATGAATTACAATTTTTAGAATTTTTTGATGCTATAAATTATGGAAACATAGAGAATGCAAACACAAGTCTTCATACATTTTTTGTTTTTTAAACACTCTTTTAATCAATTACTTCTTTCAGTTTAGATTGTAGACGTACTTTCATGTGATCCTCCTTTTAAGAAATGGAATATCCGATATATAACGGTACCCTTAAACTATCATCTCAGAATGTTTGAGATATTCATCATTTCTCTTTAACGAACTATCTTTTTTAAATTATGGCTTGTCTATGAAAGTTACAATTAAAATAATACTTTTTAGTCTTGAAAAACAATGATATCTTCAGATAAAGTTTGCAGGGTACCATTGAGAATCAGGTGTGGTACTCGTTTACACTTGATGTCACAACGACAGTTCCTTTCTGTTTATAAAATCAGATTTTGAAACTGTTAGATTTGAGTACTCCGGCATCTGTAACAGAAGATATTTCTCAATACTTCCAGAGTAACATGAGTGTTCGTCTTTTTACTCCGCAGCAGTCCACCTGCTGCCAGCTCATTGGAAGGTCAATCATCATCCAATCAATGGGTCGAATTTAAAGTGTCGTAACGCCATGTCCTTTGATTTCATTTTATTGACACTTTTTTGTAGTTCTAAGCTTAAAAATTTAAAAAAAAAAATTTAAGTCAGCAAATTTCTCAACATTTTCGTCGAGGATGCTTGCAATCTTTTGATCATTGTTAAATTCTACCAAATTGTGCAATATTTCAAACTATTCCCAACACAGTTTGATAATTATAATGTTGAAGTTTCTTTAATTTAATTTTTGTCAGATTTACCAAAGAATCTTTAAAAGAAAAAACCCAATATGATCCAAGCCAACAAGATTTAACAATGATTTGAAAACCATGATTTAATGAGGCTTTATTTGATGCCCAATCTTTTTTGCCCGTTTTATATCGTATTTTTAAAAATCGAACATTTAATTTTCTTATTTGTTTGTTAACAGAAATAAGTTTTATTTAAATATATTTCAGTTCTGAGCCAGATTGTGTTTGTGATAAAACTATCACTAGACTTTTTCTAAATATATTTCAGTTCTGAACCAGATTGTGTTTGTGATAAAACTATCCCTAGACTGTTTCTAAATGCTGCTCTTGAGGTTACCATACTTATATTATGTGCATAGACCCTGTACATTGTACATATGTCGTATGTTGTATATTGTTTTGGTTTGTGCAGTACACCGTACTTTAAAGGAATGGTCGTCATCGTTATGGCCTTTAAAAAAACGGCATGTCAGATTCCCAACAGTGTCCTTGAAACCTGTATCTGATCATTAATCTGGAAAAAAGAGTCAATCTGGAAAAAAATTCTTTTGCAAAGAACTTACAAATAAAAATAAGTGTTAAAAAATCATAGATATATAATTAGTACTTCATCAGAAAAATATTCTAAGGGTACCGTTGTGATTCAGATCGACAGATGGTCACTTTAATTTACTTTACTGTACCTTTAACAATATCATTTTAATTGACACTTAAATATTATTATTATATAAAAAGAAAAATAGATTCTTTTAAGTTTGGCTAATATTTTTAAACCATATTTAATAATAGTGCAAAGGAAAACATCTCTTCTTAAAATAGGCAAAACTTTGAAGAAAAAAGTAGACTTATATTTAAAAACATTTTTTTTTGGTGGGGGGGGGCTTATACTTTTAATAAGAGAAGGGGAGGGGTGTCTCTATTCATCCCAGTCCCCCATGTAATTGTATTCTTTTATTCCGCACATTATTTATTTCAAATATACTCGTTTGACCTTTCTTCAATTTTAAACTAAACATTTTGTTTAATGAATTGCAGGTTGTAGGTAAAGCAACAAAAGTGTTAAACTCTGTTCAAACCATAAATCAGAAATGGGTTTGTGGTTCTAACACTTCAATACCAACCAGAACTAAACTTAACACGGAGATTGCAACGCAAGCAAAAGGTAATTCTTTCTTTTCATCGGAATTGTGTCATTTGGTTAATTTCAAGTTGAATTCATGATGCTAAGAAGGAAAAGATCAGAGGAATTTCGATTCTTTGCCACACACTAACTACCCAGTGAAATCTTTTTTTTTATGTCAGACTGAATTATTTATTCTAACAGAATTATAGTTTGCAATATCATATCTTATCTTATCTTAACAACATCGGGTTGCAAAATCAGAGTGTGTGGCAAAGACTCAATTCCTTTGTGGGACATTACTGGTACAATCTAATATTTCCTAGATTTCTCTAGCTTTTATTTTTCGTACAAGAATGCAAGTTGCAAAATTACATATCAGAAATTCAAAACATATTGTTCTAATCAAAAGCTCTTCAATAAGCAAAGTTATGATTAAAAAGTTTTTTTCATATTTTTCTATCTCACTCGCGACAGTTCGAAGTGTATATAAACGCAAAAATCTTTTATATTTTAAGGATAGTTCCGTTTATTGAAAACCTGTAAATTACTATAAAGTAGTTTTGAGAATGCAAAGTCCTACCAGTAATGAGTTTCTCCTTCTGCATAGTGTGCCAAGTATTAAAATGTATGTATTGTGTTTATTCTGTAGAGAGAGGACTATATTTTGGATTGGATGCTACCAATGTTCCTCTACTTTCACCTTCTTTCAAGCTTGATGTAACCTTGTTTACTCCACAGTCTAAACAGCTCCTTACGGTAAAAATAAACATGACTTGTTGTCGATGTAAATCTCCGAAAGGGTATTGTAATTATAGTATCGTAAATATAGTTCCGGAGACGAGATAATGTTAAACTACTCATCCTTTTCATTACATATTCTCTCATTGCATATGTGATAACGTATCCTTCTCCTCACATATTCTCTCATTGCATATGTGATAACGTATCCTTCTCCTCACATATTCTCTCATTGCATATGTGATAACTTATCCTTCTCCTCACATATTCTCTCATTACATTTGTGATAACTTCTCCTTCTCCTCACATATTCTCTCATTACATTTGTGATAACTTATCCTTCTCCTCACATATTCTCTCATTACATTTGTGATAACTTCTCCTTCTCCTCACATATTCTCTCATTACATTTGTGATAACTTCTCCTTCTCCTCACATATTCTCTCATTACATTTGTGATAACTTATCATTCTGCTGTGCGAAGGGATTAATTACTTATTTTGGACTGTTGTTTTATTTCTATTTTCATACACGCTTCAAGAAATATCTAATACAATTGCGAAAATTGCCATAAAGATAAACCTTAGAACATTGATGAACCTGAATGCTGAAAGACATTCCTGTATAAAAAGGTGTGTTTTTTGATGTGCAGCAATCTAAAAATTTGTATATGCAAGTCAATGTTAAAACCAGCTTTCTACAAATGAATGTCATTTATCATTAAATCCCACAAGTGTTAAAATTTAAATTGATTCTGGATTTTTTTCGGAGAGTAAATCCATAGCAACAGCTTTCTGGCTTTTGATTTTTGGTTTATAATAAAAAATAGTTGAGTCTTTGCCACAAACTAAAATATTCTAACCCCTAAATCTTTGCAACCTGATGGTGTAAACCTTTGATATTTCAATCTTAGATTAATTCAGCTAACATTATTCATAGTTTGAAATGAATAAGGTTTACAACATTAGGTTTCAAAGATATTAGGATTTGAATATCAGAGTTTGAGCCAAAGACTCGATGAAAATGTTCAATGACATATTTCAGATTGGTAACTGGTATATGGGAGGTGGATACAATACATCAACTACTTACAAGGTAACTGGTATATGGGAGGTGGATGCCATACATCAACTACTTGCAAGGTAACTGGTATATGGGAGGTGGATACAATACATCAACTACGTACAAGGTAACTGGTATATGGGAGGTGGATACAATACAACAACTACTTACATGGTAACTGGTATATGGGAGGTGGATACAATACATCAACTACGTACAAGGTAACTGGTATATGGGAGGTGGATACAATACATCAACTACTTACAAGGTAACTGGTATATGGGAGGTGGATACAATACATGAACTATACTTACAAGGTAACTGGTATATGGGAGGTGGATACAATACATTAACTATACTTACAAGGTAACTGGTATATGGAAGGTGGATACAATACATCAACTTCTTACAAGGTAACTGGTATATGGGAGGTGGATACAATACATCAACTTCTTACAAGGTAACTGGTATATGGGAGGTGGATACAATACATCAACTTCTTACAAGGTAACTGGTATATGGGAGGTGGATACAATACATCAACTAATTACAAGGTAACTGATATATGGGAGGTGGATACAATACATTAACTACTTACAAGGTCACTTTAAACTAATTGATTGTCCTTTTTTTCTTAAACGTTTTTTTTTCTCATAAGTCAAATCGGGTTTAAAAATTTCTAATTTCTTTACAATTTTAAACAAATAATATGCATTAAATATTTACAATAAGCTCCAAAAGTGTTCATCACAAGATCGCACTGAGCGACCGAAGTGATTTTTTTTATTTTTTTATTTAGGAAGTTGTTATGAAACGATCTTTCCGTATTGGAGTCGTCCTTGGTAAGCCCTGGGCCTGGGTATCTGGGGCTAAAGAGGACAAACAAACTAATCCCAAAAGCATTAATAATGCACTCAAAAATAAGGTAGAAGAATAATTGAGCAAAATTTTAAAATTCCAAAAATTGTGGGAAAAAAATAAGAAGAAAAAGAGTTGAATAATATGTTGTTTAACCTTTAAATCTTACTGCGCCGAATACATTGTGCAAAAAAGTTTTAAAATTATTCGTGAAAAACATTGAAATTATCGCCTATCATGGATTTCTTAATTCAGGGATTAGAAGAATATATTTATGATATTTTTAATTCCAGAGTTTAGAAGGATATATTTATAATATTCTAAATTCCAGGTTTAGAATGATATATTTATAATATTCTAAATTCCAGGTTTAGAATGATATATTTATAATATTTATAATTCCAGGGTTTAGAAGGATATATTTTAAATGTTTTAACTCCAGGGTTTAGAAGGATATATTTATAATATTTTTAATTCCAGGGTTTAGAAGGATATATTTATAATATTCTAAATTCCAGGGTTTAGAAGGATATATTTATAATATTTTAAATTCCAGGGTTTAGAAGGATGTATTTATAATATTTTTAATTCCAGGGTTCAGAAGGATATATTTATAATATTTTTAATTCCGGGGTTTAGAAGGATATAATTATAATATTTTTAATTCCAGGGTTTAGAAGAATATATTTTAAATATTTTAAATTCCAGTTTTTAGAAGGATATATTTATAATATTTTTAATTCCAGGGTTTAGTAGGATATATTTATAATACTTTAAATTCCAGGGTTTAGTAGGATATATTTATAATATTTTTAATTCCAGGGTTTAGTAGGATATATTAATATTATTCTAAATTCCAGTGTTTAGAAGGATATATTTATAATATTCTAAATTCCAGTGTTTAAAAGTATATATTTATAATATTTTTAATTTCAGGGTTTAGAAGGATATATTTATAATATTTCTAATTCCAGGGTTAAGAAGGATATATTTATAATATTTTTGATTCCAGGGTTTAGAAGGATATATTTATAATACTTTAAATTCCAGGGTTTAGTAGGATATATTTATAATATTCTAAATTTTAGGGTTTAGAAGGATATATTCATAATATTCTAAATTCCAGTGTTTAAAAGTATATATTTATAATATTTTTAATTTCAGGGTTTAGAAGGATATATCTATAATATTTTTAATTCCAGGGTTTAGAAGGATATATTTATAATATTTTTGATTCCAGGGTTTAGAAGGATATATTTATAATATTTTGAATTCCAGGGTTTAGAAGGATATATTTATAATATTCTAAATTCCAGGGTTTAGAAGGATATATTTATAATATTTTAATTCCAGGGTTTAGAAGGATATATTTATAATATTTTAAATTCCAGGGTTTAGAAGGATATATTTATAATATTCTAAATTCCAAAGAAGGAAAAATTAATAATATTGTATAGTATAGCAGCATCACTGTAATTGAAATAGTTCATGTTGTACAATAGGGCACTTGACACATCCCCTGCAAGTTATTCAATATTCTGAATTCCAGGGCTTAGAAGGATATACATTGGACCTATTGGATGAGGTCTCTAAAGCTATGCACTTTGATTATGAAATAGTAATCGCTACTGGTAATGACTACGGAGCTAGGTAACGTTAAACTTTTTTGTTGAGTTTGAACATTTTAATAAAAATGTTTTCTTACTATATAAAGTGACTTAATTATTCTAAACTAACATTACATAAAACCTGAAAGCTTCAATCTATTTTGCTATCTGTCTATCTACTTATGTTAGATACTTTCCCTACGGATTTTCCCCAAGCGGCAACTTCCCAAGTCAGTCCTAGCCGCAGCGCTTGGCCCCCCGTTGCAGCATGCAACGCCTCAGAGGGCCTAACCTATCCTTTGGGAAGTTGTCGCATGGGAAATTGCTTATTTAAGAAGTTGCCAATTGACAAATTGTCACTAGGCAAGTCGCCTTTGAGAAAATACTTTGGGAATACGTAACACATTTATCTTGCTTTATCATCTACCTCTGTTACTTTATATTTATCTATCTATCTAAGGGACCCTGTGACTAGTCAATGGTCAGGACTTATGGGAGATCTAATCAGTGGAAATATTGATATATCTCTAGGAAAAAATACAAAGAAACAAAATTGAAGAAAAGCGAATAAAAACCGAATTTGTAAATTAATACAATAAACAAAATAAAATAACAAATTGTAAGTGTCAGCTTAACCCTCCATACAAATATAGCAATGCCTGATTTACAACGGTATGCTTGAAAGCTTTGTTTGATTAAACATGAATTAGTTATCAATGATATCTTTAAACTCTTTATATTCATTTGCGAGAAAGTGACTTGCACATTCATAACAAGCAATGGAGAAGCTCACAAAAATAATCATTTTGACTCAGAAAAGCGACGATATCTTCAACATTTTTGATCAAAATCAGGTGTAAACTTGATTGTCTAGGGTATCATGTGAATCAGGAATTACCTTACTTGCATGGAATATCACTTGAAATCGAAATCCGGTTTGATTATTAATTTTTATATTTAAATGTTGTATTATTTGGAACAGCCAGCTTAATCATGACCACAGAACGAGAAGAATATGTAGATTTTGTGACACCTTACTTTGATCAGGCAGACAACTAGATAGAATTAGAAATAAACAAAATTATTTGATTATTCCTCCCCCCGTTTCTCCGAACTTTTTTCTTGAAAATAAGTTAAATTTATATCTTAAGAAAATGAATCGAATATATTATTCGAAATTTTGCTCTTTCTTTTACAGTTTACCCATTCTTGTAACTTTTTAAATCAATTTGGATGCTTTCAATATATGAAAAAAATAAAAATGATTTTTTTCAAATTTTAATTTTTTCAAAGTTTTTGTTATTCTATTTTAAATCCTAGTCTGGTATATCTATCCTCCTGAGAGAAAAATATGTTGAAAGAAATATGTTCAAATTCTTCCTTGTTCTTCAAGATGAGGTGATAAAAAGACAAAATATTAAAAAGTTTGCTTAGAATTCAATTCATTTTGATTCGAATCCCGCCCTGAAAAATACGGATCCTGGATCCAATTCATTATCCTTTTTTCACTATATCTTAAAAAAGAAATGAATAATGAATCTAAAGGAATTTTTACTTAAACTTAAATTTTCTAATCCCTACATCTTTGCATCATGATGGTGTAAATTTTTGATACTTATATTGTATATATGTTATTTATATAAATTAGTTGATCTAACAAAATTCATAATTAGAAATATCTAAGGTCTACGACTTTGGGTTGCAAAGATATAAGCATTATAGAAAAGTCTAAATTGCAAATTTCTTTTTTTGAAAAGATTTCCGGGTTTTAATTTTAATTTTTTTAATAAATTTTATTTATAGATTTGTTTACAAAACTCAATTGTTTAGTATGAGAGAAATAGTGTTTATTTTAGAAAATAGCGTAAACACTGTGTTTGCCTAACAAGTATTCTTTTACCACACATTATAAACAACATCATACGTACGTACAGGGTTACCCACAATAGATGAGACTTAAACGGAATTTAATTCAATCTCTTTTCTCACAGTCTCATTAAAATCCTAAAGCTGTACTTGTTACTGGAACAAAATAATAATAGACAACCTTGATAATAGTTTTTGGTCGTCAACTTTGATAATAGTTTTTGGTCGTCATTAAAGGAACTGAGCTGAGCTGCAAACTTTCGAATGGTGGATATCGAGATCAAGGCTTGATACTTTCTTTTTCTTAATCTCGAGACTAACCTAATCTTGTACTTGTATCCTGAAAAGTGTATAAAATTTAACCAATCAGAGTCGCGTATTAGAAGCTGGGAAATCTGAAATTTTGCGCGCCATCCAAAAAAGAGTGGATTAAGCAAGAAATTAAAAGTGTGCACATTGGATATTTGGATTAAGAAGTGGGGAATAAAGGTATCCCATTCTAAAGTTCACAGCTCTGAAATGGTGGATATCATGATCAAGGTTTGAACCTCTCTTTTTGCTAATATCAAGACAATTTTGGTCTTTAGATAAATTTCTAGAGATTAGAGATGCGCGGCCTTTAACTATTGAAAACCGGTTTTTGGGCATGGCATTTCTGGTGTTAATGGTGTCATGTTAATTGAACTAATGATGGATTGAACGAAAATAAGTTTTGGATTAATGTTTTTTAAGACTAACGTTCATATGTAATTAAATATGTTTTTCAATAAGTTCATATTACTATGATTCAATTTATATTGTGTAAATGCTCTAAAAAACTAAAAAACTGTGTACAATGTACAATTTTTTTTTTTTGAGGGAACTTATGGGTATCCTAGCCCCTAGGAATAACAAAGGCTAAAATAAAATCTAATTCTACGGGCAACGCCTTGCACTTTAGCTAGTAATTAGTATATCTAGGTATGGCTTGGAATATTAGGATGTGTTCTAGTTGTTATTCTCATTCTATGGATTTTGGACAGATTTTCCCCATATTCCTACGTTAACAACAGGAAACACATTTGAAAATTGAAATAAAAATCGTTTTCTTCTATGGTTCAAAAACATGTTAATGCTACAATTTTTTAGATCGATTTGTCCTTCTGTTTTTGAAATATAATCTTAAAAGATTAATATTTTGCACAACATTTTTTAATAATATTTTATGAGAGTGAGTATTGAACACACCATGAATTTTTAAATATTTTTCAGGTTTCTTTTTTCAGGTTTCTGTAAAATATAAATTCTTAAACGGACTTGAAAAAAACAATGATATTTAAAATTTGAATTCATATTTTAATTTCTAAATTTTTCAATATTGTTAAAAACAGAGAGGCGTATCCTGAAGGGGCGAGAGAATTTACCTTTGGCGAATGTATTTGGTTTTGTTTAACATCCTTGACGCCCCAGGGCGGAGGAGAGTGCCCAAAGGTGAAAATAAGAAAAAAAATTGTTTTTGCTGGGTCACAGACCACAGTAAGAGTGTGAACAAATGAATATGGAAATTTAGTAAAAATGTACAACAAATAAACATGAAAATTGGGTAAAAATAGAAAAATGATTAAAAAAATAAACACGGAAATTGAGTGAAAATGGTTGTAGTACTAATTATGGCTACATTTATTATTTCAAGCATTATTAGCCCGAGTTCTGGTTGCAGCTTACTGGTTGTAATACTAATATTGGCTGCATTTTTTATTTCAGGCGTTATCAGCCAGAGTACTGGTTGCAGCCTACTGGTTGTTTATAGTACTAATGTTGGCTACATTTACCTCAAATTTGGCTGCTCTACTTACAGGAAACCATTGTTATTTTCTTATTTCATAAGATTTTTAAAATAGATCAGCGGAAAACCAAAAAATATTTCTTGTCAACAAATATGAGAACAAAATCAATTTTCTTTAAGGTGTACGTTCAGCTTTAAAGCTTTGGAGGGCTAAGCCCACGACCCCCTGGCCCCTAGATCACAAAAAATGTATGTTTCTAGGGGGTTTTCTGGTCCCAACTGGTTNCCCCCCCCCAACTTCTGAGTACCCCCTGAATTTCCAGATTACGATAAAAATGTTTAAAAAATAACAATTAAATGGTTAAACAGTTGAACGGATGCAGACTACAGTGCAATCTCTTGAAGATCTAGCCAGACAGGTTCCATCATAAAATACTTATCAATTTACGTATTCAAATACGGTCTTAGTGTGCTTTCGATAACATCGTTCAAAGATATTTCCGAACGCAGTTAGAAATGTTCTTAAAGAAGCTGGAATGGTCATGAAAAACTCTAGAAAAACAAAAGGCTTTTAGATAAAAAGAACGATCATCACATGTTAACGACCAAAAACTTGTTGGATAATATAAATGTAATATTTTTTAAATTTTATTTTATAAAGTACCTAAAATTTTTTTTCAGATGCAACCTTCGCCTATCCACTGCCCTTATTGATCATGACCATTTTAACAGATTCAACATAATTAAATATAAGACATTATTAACTAACACACATTGTTAAAGATCAATTATCGTTAACGATCAACCAAGGTTTAAAACCAAAACGTTAAAACGGACGATACGTAAATGTAAAGCCCATTGTTTTTATGTTTAGAAACGGAATGGATTTTTTAGAACGAACGTCGAACGAACGATTATGTTCCAGGCCAATCATTAGCAAATGTTGAAACAACGGTTTCAAAAATCAAGAGCGTGTCAAATCCTACATAGGACATCTAAATCGTCAATATATATGCATATACATATTTAGTCTCAAGTGAATTACACAGTACTGGAAGGATCTCCAACAATGGAATATTTCAAGAATATGGCTGGAGCAGAGGAGGAACTATATAGAAAATGGAAGGTAAAACATATTTGAATGGAGAACTAGTAGAGTGGAACCAGAAAACTCAGGAATAGTAAGACGAGATAAAAGGGACTGTACGCGTAATTTTAAGGGAGTGACCGGCTATGTAAGGTAGTAGAACTGAGTAAGCAGTGTTGTGGAAAACTTCTTTCGGATTCATTTGAGACATATTGAACTTTTTAAAGATCTGTAAATCCCGAGTTGCTCAAATCGAGTATTTCGTTATCATTATTATATTGAATTTCTTATTTTCTTTGAATTTTTTCGCAGATTTCTTCAAATTCTTT